CCTCCAACCCCTGCAGGTCCCTGACCGCCCCTGGAGGTCAATTTCCATGGACTTCATCACGGATCTACCCGCCAGTGATGGGGTTGATTCTGTGCTCGTTGTCATCTGCCGGTTCACCAAGATGGCGCACTTTGTACCGTGCAGGAAAACTGCCACCGCTGAGTCAACTGCAGATCTGATCTGGCACCATGTCATCCGGCTCCATGGACTCCCCGACGATATTGTATCTGACCGTGGCCCACAGTTCAACTCCCACTTCTGGAAACGTCTCTTCGCTCTCCTGGGAACCAAGGTCAACCTCTCATCGGCGTTCCATCCCCAGAGCGATGAACAAACCGAGCGGACCAATCAGATTCTTGAGCAATACCTTCGCTGCTTTTGCAACTATCAACAAGATAACTGGAAGGAACTCTTGTCTTCTGCTGAGTTCTCTTACAATAACACCATCCACTCCGCCACCCAGACAACCCCCTTCTACGCCAACTATGGGTTCCATCCTTGATTCAGTCTGGCTTCCGCCACCACAACCGAATCCCTTAATCCTGCAGCCGAAGCTCGTGCCAACCATCTCAAGGAAATCCACGAACAGCTTGCCAGTGAGCTCAAGGAGGCCCAAGGACGCATGAAGCGCTTTGCCGATGCTAAGAGGGCACCTGGCCCAGACATGAAACCCAGGGACAGTGTCTGGCTCTTACAGCGGAATCTCAAGACTCTCCGACCTTCCCAGAAACTTGATCACCGTAAGATTGGCCCCTTCACAATCACGGAGAAGATCAACTCGGTCACATATCGCCTCAAGCTTCCCCCATCCTACAAAATTCACAACGTCTTCCATGTCTCCCTTCTTGAACCACGTTTCACCATTCCGGAGCGAACTGAGCCAGAACCCACCCCACCAGAAGAAGTCGAAGGACAGGAGGAATGGATTGTGGAAGACATTCTTGACTCCCGTATTCGACGCACGCACCTTCAGTACCTCATCAAGTGGCAGGGTTGGCCAAGCTCGGAGAACACATGGGAGCCAGTGGAACACCTTGCCCGATGTCAAGAGCTTGTTGCCCAGTTCCACCAAAAGTACCCCGACAAACCCCGACCAAAGCCTGCCAACATCAAAACAACATCCGGACGCCGTGGCTAAAGGAGGGGGTGATGTTATGGATGACGCGTCCATACCATGCGCTTACCTCATGACAGCATCCCAACAGTCAGTCAATGTCAATTCCCTGTCAAAACCTGACATCTGCCAAACCTCGCAGCCGCACGCAGCCGCGCTACCCCACACCTGCCACTGCCTTCATTTCTCCACGCAGCCGCACGTAGCCACACCTCCCAACACTCGGCGCTTACAAACCCTTCTCCATACTTCCCCACGTACCCGCCCACAGCCTCAGCGTAGCCACCCCATCCCCAGTCTTCTGTTTCTATGCTTCCCCACCCTTGGCGCTTCTCTTGGCTTCCCTCTCATTCCGTACCCTTCTGCTTCCCCACGCTTCCCCAGCCTTCCCAGAAAAACATAAATAGCCGCCTCCCCTGAGCTCCCCACTTCCTGATTCCCCAGCAGATCAACACCAGTTCTTCCTAGTCTTGTTCTAGTTCTTGTTTTGGTCTGAATACCATTACCTGTCAACAACCTGCACCACAAGTCGCCTCTATTTCCATCGGCTCCGCCCATTCATAACAGACACGCCGATAATACTGTTGGCGCTGCGCTCGGCTGATTCCGGCTCTACGGAGATGCAGTACGACTTGCTTCAAACCAAGCCTTTCATTGACATAGCGCAGAAACATTTGCATAAAATGCTCCTGTATGTTGACTTTGAGGTTGGTGAAGATGCTCGTAGCTGTGTACGCTGCGGTCTGTTGGCTATTGCGCATGCAGATGGGGGCAAATCCGTGAACATTACAGTACTCTTGAACCCGTGGACGCAACTCTTGCGTGATGGTCGGACTGCCATTGTGGCCGGGGTTGTTTAGCAGCTCAAATATCACACAAATGTGCTTGTCGGTAGTGTCCGGGAAATCGGGTAGAGGATGATCGGCTGCGGTGGGCACGTAGTAGTCAGGACATTATTTCATGGGAACCATACAGTGTACCTCAAAAACTTACCAAGGTAGTACTTGAGAAAGAAGGTGGTGTGGCGCGCAAGGACGTGAACATTGCCGATGAACGTTGTCAGGCGCCCCCTTTGCACTTGATTGTGATTTTGGATTCAGTGAAGGGAAACCTTCGTGCTGGCATGCGTCTGCGGGCGGGGTCGTTGAACTGGTGGTGGAGGTGGGGCTTCAAGCACCAGGGATCCACCCGGTGTGCTGGGAAAACGGGAAGGGATGGGAGCGGGGAGGTTCAACGGACGCTGCAGACCCCTGTCGACGGGTGAAAGCCCTCGCTGCTGGTGCTGTTGCCCGTCTTCATCGCCAGAACTCTCGCTAACCATGTCTGCGATTGCTTGGGGCAAGTGGCGCTGGACAGATGGTGGGAACTCGAATCGAGGGCGCGGGGCCTGCAATGGCGTCTGTACGGCGGGTGGCAGACGTATGGGCAACCGCGGGGTAACTGGAGCAACCTTCCTCCTCTTCTGCCGTGGTGTGGTTGCTCCAGTAAATATGCCACACCACAGGTGCCCCTGGAGCGCTTGGTGTGATGACATGTTGGCTGTGCTGTGCTGTGCTGTGCAGGGAGGTTAGATTGATCTGTTCTAGGTAGTGTGAGGGATTGCTGTTGTTACCTGGAGGTGGTCGGCGGGATGTGTACTGTACAGAGGTGTTGGCAATTGCATTGGGAAGGAAGTAGGTTGGGAAGCAGGTGAGGAAGGAGAGATGGGCCTACGTCCGAGATCCATTTTTGGAGGTAAGAAGCTTGATATATTCCACGGCGTCTTTATATATGAATCTCCATGTTCTTGTGCGATACAGAGTGTGGCTTGGACCAGCGAAGAAAAAAGCCCAGCCATTGCTACGCTTGCTTATGGGAATGGGGGGAAGGGAATGGGGGGAAGCGGGGGGTATGGCACTGACAGCACTGGATATTCGACAGCTCAGCGGAGTATGTACGTACAGTCTACACATATTGCCGTGCTATGGGACTGGGGCCTAGGTCCTATTACAGGCGGTCCTCGACTGAAAATCAACTGTAACGCGTCTATGGCCCGTTACTAACCGTTACTACCGCTACCTATGGCCCGTTACTATGGAGCCGCTGGTTATTTACAGCCTTCACGCTCGGATTCACAGCCTTCACGCTCGGTTTTACAGCCTTCACACTCGGCCTCTTACAGCATTCTGGACCTGGCTTCCGTCGCTTCTATTAGAGCCGTGGCCAGCCTTGTACCCATAGCTGCAGGTTTTCTTCACCAGTTCTTCCACACCCACTCACCGCCATTGCCACCGCCATTGCCACCACCATTGCCATCGCCATTGCCATTGCTTGAGGCAGCTCGGAATAGGAGCAGCCTCGCGATACGCTACCTTCTCGACTCGCGATCGCCCGAGGCAGCTCGGAATAGGAGGTGCGCACTCGCGGTACGCTCTCTCAACTTCCGCAATCGCTTGACTCGAGTGGTTTCCTCCAGCATCTCAGCGTTTCAAGACCAAGATTCCGTGGCCCAATCCCCAGATTCCGTTGCCCATTCCCCATTACACTACACTAGAAGAAGTTATGACCACTGCCGGCACGGCCAGGCGTGGTATTCACTGCCGGCACGGCCAGGCGTGATTGTTAACTATCTTCTGGTGTGCCTGGTGCCTGGTGAATGGTGAATGGTGAATGGTGAAGCGACCTCGGCTCTCGCTCCACAACCGATGAACAGTTATGACCACTGCCGGCACGGCCAGGCGTGATTGTTAACCCTACTTCTGTGTTGGAGGTGCTGTGTTCTGCGCTTGGGTCCGTCTGCATTTTGAGCTGTGCTGTACGGTCATGGACATCGGTGTCCACGTCGTCGCCGAAGAAGACGAAGAATATCGCAGATCCAGCGTTCCCGTATAGGCAGAACTAGACATCGTCACTCGTCCTTGACACTCATCCCTCTGCGTAGCACCTCACCCGGCAACCGTGATGCTTCACCCTTACCTGAACCCATGGCCGATACTCCTACTACCTCGGTTCCCACGACTGAGCACGTCCCACAACTTTCCTAGACCATCGACGACACTTCCGTTGGCCGTACTACTCGCTCTACCCGACAACCCAAGGGCAAGGCCTCCGGCCCGTCGGCCACGGTCGCTTCTGCGTCCGCCACCGCTACGATCACTGCCACGGTTACTTCGACTGAGCCCCGGTCCGCGGTGACTGAGCCTACCAAAAACAAGGTCATTCGGGTCAGATCGGTTGCCCCTGCTACATCGGTCGAACTTCCTCCGGTTACCTCTGTTACCTCTATTTCTATTCCACTGCCTCTTTTTCCCACGTAGGTTCCGCCGCCTCCCCCCGGTTTTCCCCTGCCCTATCCGCCCCTCTTCCCGAACCCGTACGTCGCCGGCATTCCCACGCTTGGCGCTTCCGTCGCGCCCTTCCCCTGCAGCACCCAGGGAACCACCCGACCGCCCCGGCGTGCAGACCTACGGGCATACTCTCTCCGGCCGGCGTGTCCTCTGGGTCTGGGTAACGGACAGTCCAGCTTTCGTATCTATATACAAGACCTCCGTGATGCTCTCATTTTCTGTGATGTGAAAGTGAAATGTATAGCGCATCGGCCCTTTTGTCTTACTCTCTCGTCTGTTGGACGTCTGCATATGATATGCTGGAACTTGCCTGGAAGGGCAGTGGTGTGATGAACCCTGCGAGTCATTATATATGTATCTATATACAAGACAAAGCATTTGATACGTACAATACATGCAATTGATACCGCACTAAGATAGCCACGCCAATATTGAACGGCATCCTACTCCGCCATCCTACTCTGCCTTCGTGGCCTTCATTGCATCCTCCAGCTTCATGGCATCAATAAACTTCCTGTCCTCCTCCTCAGATTTGATCTCCTCGAATTTTATCTCCAGTTTCATCTTCTTTGCCGGTTTTCTGTTCTCCTTCCAATTCTTACACTTCTTCTTTATCTTACAAAGCCCCTTCTCGTCCTGCATATGTATTCTATGTTATGTACAGGTGAATAGGTTTTCCGCCTTGCGTTGCGTGGGTATATGTGTACACAAGACAGTGTGATTTCTCAGTCGTCGTGATGCCGCTTGCGAGGGTTGTCGGGCGGTGGGAGTGATGGGGGGACGTCTCGCACGCCTTCGCTCTGTCAAAAGGAAAGGAGGAATCGAAGCGTGAGCATGCGGTTGCCGCCCTACCCAATGCCCCCAGAATCAAGTTCGGAAACCCACCGTAATACAAAACCCCACAGTCCTCTCCGGCAAACTCGGACTCTTAACCAAACAAGCCCTCCGTACCCCCTGGTCCCAAAACAAAATTACCCGATTCGTACACGCATGCCCCCACGTCGCCCCCAGCGCCGGCACCAACACCGCATCGCCCTCCCCCGTCCCCATCTCCCCACCGACTTTCGTAGTCATCTGATTCATCACAACAACCGCGCACGTAAACTCCTCCGCACACCTGCGTAGAGTCTGGGCGGTTGTGTTTAATAAGCGGGCGCGGAGGGGCATATCAGCTTGGGAGAAGGCTTGGCGGAAGTGGAAGGCGATTGAGTCGATTATGATGAGTTTTATGTTGCGGTGGGTGGAGAGGAAGGAGGGGAGTTGGTGGGTGAGGGCGACTTGGGCGGTGGGGGAGTGAATGCGGAGGATGTGGATGCGGGAGAGGAGGGTTGAGACGGGTGGGGGTGGGATGTCTGGAGGAGGATATAAATGAGCGGTCTGGCGGCATTGGAAGGAAGAGCGCGGAGGTGGAATCCCCTTTCCCGACTGCATACATGCCATACCTGCCGCCCGAGGATCTGTCGCCATGAGCCGTTCCGCCGCCGCCGCAATCTCAGCCACGCGCTCAATAATGAAGCTTCCTTCCGTATCTAAACCACGTTGTCGTGAGCGAATGAGTGCATTCCTGACGGGTCGAGCCCCACCCCAAGAATCAAAGCATACCAACATACAACGCCTCCCCCCCAGCCCCACCCAACACCTCCGGCAACTGCACATTCACACACGCCTGCATCCTAACCGTAGCCGCATCAGTCTCGCCCCATCCTTTTATACACCATGCAATATTACACATCAACCCACCCAATTTGAGTCTTCCCCAACCCGGGCGGCCCACACACCTCCGTCACCTTCCCGGCCGAGAACCCGCCACCGCCGAGCATGTCGTCGAGCGCTTTGCAGGAGGTGGTGATGGAGGCGCGGCGGCGTTCGACAGAGAGGGCTTCGAGGGCTGATATAGATTTTGGTGGGTCTGGTTGAAACGACGGAGGCCTGTGGGTGAGTGAGGTGCAGTGCTGGTGGGAGATTGGTGATGTGGGGACGTACTACGTTGGATTTGTCGGTGAATACGAGCTGAATCTTCAAGCGTGCCTCCTATCCCTATCACCAATCACCCGTATCAGATATGATTGTCATCAGGAACGGGGCACAACTTTTGCAGTAACATACGCTGAGCGAGCGGACCTGGCTGCAGACTCTCGACGTCTGAGGCGCTTCTGAGGCCTGCATTGTGGAGACGGACGCGCAGGTCTTGGTCTAGGTTGAAGGTTGCGAGGGGGCGGTGCATGGTCCGAGGGAGCTGCTGGGTGGAGGTGGTAGCGAACGAAGTGGGTGTTCTCCCATGCGCTGGGGACAAGATGGGCGCTGATCAACGAGCGGAAATTGAGCGGAAATGCCCATGTCGAGCATGTCGCGGAAAGAGCTCAGCGCGTTGTGCACTGCATAGGCAGATAGGCATTGCATAGGCGGTATCGGCTCGGAAACCACCCTGATTCCGTCCATATTCCCTCAAACAAAACACCCAACACCTAGCTGCAATGAGCGACATTGCACACATAAAGTCCCTGCTCAAGGCCATCCCGGACTTTCCCAAGAAGGTATGTCCTTTCTGCCGCTCCCCGTCCGCCTTTGCCCACACCGCATTCGACTTACCACCTTCCCTTCGTGGGCGTCTTAGGGCATTCTCTTCCAGGGTGGGTATTGAGCTCAGCATACCGAGTAGTATCACGTTGGGTGCGGTGAACTCGAATTGATTGTCCCCTTGTTTTACTGGCTTGTAGATATCTTCCCTATCTTCCAGGACCCTCTCGCTGTCGAGGTAAGGGATTGTCATGCTTTGAAGTTGAGGTACGCTTTCTGGCGACGAAGTGATCTAACGAAAGGGGTGTTCCCTCTATAGACCCTAGTAACGAACGTCGTGCATCATATCCTTTCGACGGGGTTGCCCAAGATTGATGTTATCGTCGGTACGTAAAACCATTCAATTTCGTGGAAGGCACTTGAAGGCGACCGGCGTCTGCTTCAGGCCGTCGCACTTGAAGCCGACCGCGGGAAGACGCCAGGCCGGGGAACTCAAGCAACGGGGTTTGTTTTCTTAGGTCTCGATGCTCGTGGGTTCCTGCTAGGCCCATGGATAGCCAACCGCCTCGGCGCAGCGTTCGTTCCCGTCCGCAAAGCCGGCAAGCTGCCTGGAGAGACTACAAGGGTCGCTTACGAGAAGGAATACGGAACTGTAAGAAAATCGTGATAACCTGAAGGTCACGGGGATGGAAAGGTTAACAACTCTTGGGATATCGCGGCAGGACTACTTTGAAATGCAAACAGGCGCAATCAAGAAGGGCCAGAATGTCGTTGTGTTCGATGATTTGATCGGTACGTCTCCCTTTCCCTCCCCCACTCCTCTCCGTTCCGCTCTCACCCCGGTTTGACACCCATCTTCCCGACCAATAGCAACAGGCGGCTCAGCAAAAGCCGCGGGAGACCTAATCGCCCAAAACGGCGGAAAGACGGTCGAATACATCTTCATTGTCGAGCTCACGGCACTTCAAGGGGTCACGAAGTTGGATGCGCCGGTTTATTCTTTGGTGCAGTTTGATGATTAGAGGGTGGGGATCTGGGGGAACAGAGACATACGACACGAGCGTAGCACAGTAGCCAGTTCGAGTAGGGCGGCCCGATGGGATCCTTTTGCTTTCGGCCGTGTGTGATGTAGACAGACAGTGCGATGCAGACATTTTGTACATTGGATTATATAGCATAATAGACAGAAATGTATCAGATTGTGAAATGGTTGCGTGCGGAGTTGGGGCATGCGAGAAACCCAGCCCCTTATCGATGGAACTGAATCATCCCTGACAAAATCATTGATTATCAGCGACAACTTCACACTGCTAACGACCATCAACACGAAAACTCACCCCACTTCCCATTAACCCTCCACTCCCCATCCTTGTTATCCAGCTGCCCCTCTTGCCCCTCGGCTAACCCAACCGCCGGATCACTCTTACACGTCCTCAACAGCACCACCGGCGGCGTCTGCTTCCCCATCCCTTCGACCAACCCCCCCAACGCCACGCCCAATGCCGTGGTAGTCGGCCAAGTGAGGTCGTAAACCGCTTTCCGGTAGTTCAAATCCCCTTTAAGGATCCAGAGATGTGATGTGCACATATCGGTGTACATTTCGGTTGCACTGGGCGTTGTAGGCAGTGCCCAAATCGGCAGCGGGGTGGTCCAAAACCCATCATCCCGAACCACCCACCGCCCGTCGCGGATATACCCCCTCCACCGCTCCACCGTCGTCTCCATCTCCCTCGTCGGTGTGTAACTCCCCGAGGGTGATGATCCCGGCGACAGGTGGTGAAGGAGGTAGGTCAGGTCCGCGGGGGTGGTATCGCTGACGAACCAGGGGATGTGTTTTGAGTGGAATGTGATTTGATGTGCGAGGGAGGTGGAGAGGAGGAGGTCGGCGAGGCAGAGGTCGGCGAAGAGTTCGAAGCCTAGAGAAAAATAGTCGTTCGGTTTGGCATCACCCCTGTCGTTGGATTCAAGTTGTTATCGGATGATGCAAGCATACCAGCGTTATCCAACACGATATCCACGCGACGATGAGAAGGCGAGGAGGGTGGAGTGAGGAGATGATCGATGACGGCCGATGTGTGGTCGACGATGATATGCGCCCGCATGGCGTCGAGGCCGGTGGCGGAGGACGTCTGGAGGGTGTGCATGCTGCTGTGAGCAACATTTTGCAGGAGGGAGAGATCCGTTTGGTTGCCCCAGAGTGAGAACTGATGTCAAAGAGGGTTGGGAAAAGGTGGCGTTAGTGCGAAGGAAAGTTGGACTGGACTGGGCGTGTGATGAACGACAGATGACGTGAAACGACATCCCGCTCGCTCACGCTCGCGACAAGACTGTCGGGCGGCGGTGGGCGGGAGCGGGCTCGTTTCGCTCACGAAAGAAGCGACACTGGGTGGTGCCCACTACGAGCCGCTTTGAGGGAAGTATCCCGCTCGCTCCCGCCTGCGTCGACTCACCTGAATAAACTCCTCCAACACCGCCCTCACATCCCCGTCCCCAATGCCATTCCCCTTCCCCTTTCCAAGCCTCTCCCTAACCTCCTCCAAATATCCCGCCAACTCCGTCATCCCTTTTACGGACGCCCAAAACACCGGCTCCTTCTGCCCGGCCATAAACACATCAAACTCCTTCCACTCGCTCCTCGTCCCAAAAATCTCGCGTAGTTTCCTATACATAGCGCACTCGACAAACAACCAGGGGGAGGTAAACCAAGTGGGTTGTCGACCTTCTTGTTGCGTTAATTCGGTTAAGCAGGCGTTCCATAAGTCGACGTCGGGCTCGGAGTCAGTGAAGGGGGTTAAAGGGCGATCGCGTTGGAGCTCATAGATCAGTTTGGAGATGTCGGAGATGACGGCTTTGCCTTGGGTGTGTTTGAGTGAGGAGGAGGAGGTTGGGGACGAAGAGGAGGACTCTGAGTGGAGTTGTTTTGAGACTGCGTCTACGCACTTTGTGAGAATGATGGGCAGGCGGTCTTTGACGGTTGGGTAGGCGAAGGAGGACTTTTGGGAGGCGCGGAGGGCGTCGATGGCGGGAGGGAATGGGGGGAGGAGGGGGTTGTCGGAGGAGGAGGAGGAGGAGTCTGCGGACATCTTGAGAAGGCAGTATGTGCAACGGGAGCGTACGGAGTGTGCCGAGGGGGATGGGAGAGAGAGCGAGAAAAAAGCACACTTGGGGCAAAGTGAACACCTCGTCTCAGAGTCGTCTGCCCCTCCTCCAAGTTCCATCCCGCAACCATCTTGAAAAACCGACAACCAGCAAGGAATATCGACAAGCGGCCTTCGGGACACACGCTTCTGGCCCTCGTCTCCTTACGTGCGGGGAAGCCCCTCCTGTGATACTCGATATGCGTCGAACAGCTCTCGCAACAGGCCGTAGGCTGCACTCAGCACACCTGTCAACTCGGCGACCTCAACCAAGTCATCTTGACCGTGTCCCGCCACTTTCCTCAAGCTTATTCTCCCGCACTCCCAAACGAGCCCTATACTCAACCCCCAACACCAACGCAGACTCACCCCGCTTCCCCTGCGTCGAACGAAACCAAGAACGCGAACGCTCCCTAGACGGCGGGCCCGAACCTGCCTACGAGAACGTCGTGTCCGGCTACAAGACCTTCCACTACCCGCACCCCTTCACCTTCGTCCACGGGGGCAGCCTCCCTTCCTTCAACATCGCCTACGAAACATGGGGCACCCTCAACGAGTCCAAATCGAACGCCATTCTCCTTCATACAGGTTTGAGCGCCAGCAGCCACGCAAAGAGCCACGCGCGGAATACGAACGATGGGTGGTGGGAGAAGTTCATTGGGCCTGGATTGGCGATTGATACCGACAAGTTCTTTGTGATTTGCACAAATGTGCTTGGAGGGTGTTACGGGACAACCGGCCCGCATAGCGTCGACCCATCACGGCCGGGGCAGGAGCGCTACGGGACGCGGTTCCCCATCATCACAATCTGGGATATGGTGCGCGCGCAGTTCAAGCTGCTGGACGCACTAGGGATCCGGAAACTGCACGCCAGCGTCGGCGCCTCAATGGGCGGCATGCAATCCCTCGCCGTCGCGGCCCTCCGTCCCGATCGCGTAGGGAGGGTGGTCAGCATCTCCGCCGCGGCGCGCTCCCACCCGTACTCCATCGCCCTCCGACATACGCAGCGCTCCGTCCTCATGTCCGACCCGAACTGGAAACAGGGGTTCTATTACGACTCCGTTCCGCCGCATGTGGGGATGAAACTTGCGCGACAGATCGCGACCATTAGCTACCGATCGGGTCCCGAATGGGAGCAGAGGTTCGGTACCAAACGCGCGAAACCGGACGAACCGCCGGCTCTTTGTGCGGATTTCCTCATCGAGACGTATTTGGACCATCAAGGGGAGAGGTTCTGCTTGCAGTATGATCCGAACTCGTTGTTGTATATCTCTAAAGGTACGTGGACGGGTCGATATCTCTCATTGCTTCGGTCCACCTCATCTTCCCGAATCCACAGCAATGGATATGTTTGACATGTCCCTCCTCCCCACCCTCCTCACCCCCGACGAATGCCTCGCCGCACCCTCCTCCCCCTCTCCCGTCCCCTCCTCCTCCACCACCTCTCCGTCCCCGCTAACGCGCGCCCTAACCCGCCTGCAAATGCCCACCCTAGTTCTCGGCGTGCAATCCGACATCCTCTTCCCGCACTGGCAACAAAAAGAGATTGCAGCCTGCCTGAAAGACGCCGGGAACGCCCACGTGACGTATTACGAGCTGGATGCGCTGTATGGGCATGATACGTTCTTGATTGATGTGAATGGGATTGGGGGGGCTGTTAAGGGGCATTTGGAGTTGGCTTGAGGGGAGGGGTGTGTGGGCAGTCGGTAGTCGCACACTTTTACCGGTAGATGCAGATACCTTTTCGTCCTTGAATCATGTAGAAACGTTTTTTTTGCTGCGGGATAGGCTCTTGGGTACGGTTTTGATCGGCAGATCTATGGTTTGCATATGTACATAGCCCCAAAAAGCCCCCATCATAAATACATCCCCCCCTCCTCCCGTCCCCCACACCATTCACAACTTCAAATGCTGCAACCGTTTCCGCTCAATCACCTTCAACAACTCCTCCCCACTCAACGCCGCCGTCGACGCCCGCTGCACCCTCGGCACCGTCGTACTTATATTCCCACCACCAGCCCCACCCCCACCACCAATCCCCGTCCCAACAGCCTCCAACAGCGCCGCCTCCCTCTCGCGCTGCCGATCTGACCCAGTCGCGACACTCACTTCCCGTCGGACACCCTGTCCCTGTCCCTGTCTCTGTGCCGCCCACCCACCCGCGCTCTTTGGCCGTCGACGGAGATACGCCGATACCGCCCCGGTGCTATTCCGTGTTTTGACCCCACCACCACCACCGCCAGCAGCACCCCCGCCCCTGCGCTCGACCTGCTCGAGGATCTTGAGCACCTCGTCCGGGGTCGTGGCGGTGGGTTTGGGTGTGTAGACGCGGAACGGGGTTCGGCCTTCCGGTTCGACTCGTCTATCTCCTGGATGGTCGGCGCTCAGGTGGGGTTGCGGGGAGTCGCTTGTCGGCGTGGGTGAGTGGTTATTATGTAGGGACCGGGACGAAGCGTCGATGGATTGGAGGAGGAGGATGCGCAGGGCGTGTGGGGTCGAGTGGGTGGGGCCGAAGTAGCGGTGGAGGATCTGGGGGGGCACTTGGCTGGTGGTGGTGGGGTTAGTGGGTGAATGATGGGGAGAAGATGTGTGACGGGATGGCCTGGACGTACCCCTGCTGCACGAGATCGATCAACGCAAGATGATCCGGCTCCGCTTGGTTGTTCTCGATCACGAAGCGGAGTCTTCGTAATGCAATCTAGGCATATATATATATGTATTCAATCAGCACCGATATCCCAGGGGTAGAGGTCTCACGTAGAATGACAGCATTTACGACACCTGCTCAATCCGATACCGATCCAGATTCCCCCTCACAGTCTGCACCCTCGCCAGCGCCGGTACCATCGGGCGCGCATACACTTTCCCCAGTTGCGTGCTCTCGTCGTCCGCGTCTACGTCAACCAGCCCGGGTCCCCCTGCAACAGAGGAGTCCCCGGGGTCGACTGCGAGGGATGTTGATGTTGAGCGCATGTAGTGGGTGTGCGGATGGAAGTAGTAAGGGTGGGTAGGGGCGCCGCTGGGGGGGCGGGAGGAGTGAGTGGTGAAGGCGGTGGGGTGGCGAGCGGAGCTCGGGCGGCGGGTTGGTGGTGATCTATCAGGATATTCACGTAGTTAGAGAATAGGGGTTAATGAATGTTGACGGGATGATGAAGGGGTTCACAACTCACCCAAACGGCACCGGCGTAACCCGCCCGCTCCCCAACTCAACCGCGCCAAACGCCCCTCCCCCGATCCCCGTCTTTTCCCCCGCAGCCCCTCTCACGAATACAGATGGGTTGTCCGGGACCTGCTGGTACGCTGCCGTCTCGTCCCCAGCCTCTGCGTCTCCCTCCCCCGTATGCCGTTCATATCCCGGTGTCTTCGTCAGCGTGCTCTCCTGGTCCGCAGACACGGGCCGACTGTCCCCACGTGATTTCCGGCGCTGCGTTGACGATGAGGATGGGGTGAACGTCGTCGCGGGGATCAGCGGTATCGCGACGGGAACGACGATAGGCGATAGCGGCGCAACCAGACTCTCGGCCCTTTTCGTACTCTGCGGTGTGGGAGCTTCCGTCTCGATGGTGACAGTGACCGGATCACTAGGTACCCAGCCGGTCATGGTGCGCGGATGCCGCGGGGAGGCTGCGCGTGCGCTCAGAGGGCGTGCGGTGCCGGTAACGATGTCGGGATGGATTTGCGTGTGTGGGCGGGAGTGGGTGTGCAGGGCTATGGTGGGTTGGACATAGGCGAGCGGCATTGGGTCTGTGTGGAAAGGCGTATGTCAGAGGGTTTGGGGTTGGGAGAGGAAGCGGGTGATGGGTACCTGGTGGTTTGATATGTCTTCTTGCTGCACTGAGTGGTTTGGGTGTTGGCGCTGAGGGTAGTGATATGGCTGATTTGACTTCAGCTGGGGTGGATAAAGCACTCGCATATATCAGCGTCGGTTGTCAATCAGCTAGCCTACGCAAAATCCCAAGATTGCCCCTCACCGCTAGTGCCTCCAAAAGCCCCCGTCAGATTGACAACCAGCCGTTCCGACTCCATGACGCCGCCTTGTGTGATGGTCGGCGGGTTGATTGGCATTTTTGTTGCAAGCATCCCCGATGTGGGTGTCCACCGCCGTGGTGTTGTGCTTGTGGGGCCGGTTGATGTGCGGGGCCGACGGGCAGAGGCTGGTGACGGTGATCGGGTCCCGTTTATGGCGGCCGGTGGGTGGTCGATCGGGGTTGCCATCAGTTGAGAGTATGGCTGTGTGGGCGGTGGATAATGCTAGAAGTACGCTATTGCATGTACGGCAGAAGAGCGGCGATGTTCGGCCAAAGACAACCAAGTAAAGTCCCCACTCCACGAAAAGCCCCGTCCGACTCCCATAGATCATAGACAATTGTACTTCATTTGCGCAAGAATGAGGAGACAGAGTTAAACTTTTCCTGCCGAATTGCGAGGGGGCGAGGGTATAGAACAAGCCTTGAATGTTCCGAATGACAGTTGCTTGGGAAAGAAGGTCCCGCTCATGTTCGATTGCTTACGTGATGCGACCTCCTGTCAGTGGCCTGCGCGTTATCGCCCCTTCCCAAGCTTCCCTTGCGTGGACGCCCGGTGTGTGGACACCACTGCAAACAACCGCTCGTCATCTACAAACACAAGCGCTGCACTTCGGTAGCCTGGGAACCTAAACGTCGTGGAATACAGTGGACGCCGCTTCGGTCGCGAAGTACTTGTTAGGCGCTGAGTTTCATATCAAAAGGCAATGGCCCCAAGGGCCAGGAAGACCCGGGATGAGGGCCCGAGAGCTCGTAAGTCGTGTCACTTGCCAGGAAACATGGAATTCTCAGGCTAATTCGTCCGCCTCTCGCAACAGGGCTGACGAGTTACGAGCAGTCTCGACTGCCGATTCCTGTAGACGATGGCGACGCGGAAGTGAGCGTGTACGTGGGAAAGAGCGTCGGAGTGAGACCACCGCAAAGGGCCGACCCTGACTAACTCGTTTTCCAACGTCGTTTTAGACCGCTGAAAGCGCTCAATGAGGAGCTTACGTGCCCTGTGTGCCGGAACCTCCTGCGCAAGACCTATGTCATCGTCGAGGTGGGTGAATCGCGCTCGTATTGGGAGATACATTCCTTGAAGTCATATTTCGGGCATGGTTCTCAGTGTATGCATAGGTTCTGCCATGACTGCATAAAAGAGGCTCTACAGAAGGGGTGAGTGGAGTCTTGTCGATTGAGAAATTTGGTCGACCGGCTTCTTCTTCCCAGCACTGCGCAGTAGAACACTTTGGCTTAACCTTCCTTTCTTTGCGGACAGCAACAAACAATGCCCAGCATGTCGGTGCGATTGCAATTCCATGCGGAATCTACGGCAGGATTGGCGATTCGATGCGTTGATTCTGACATTATACCCGGATCTCCCGGCTGAGGGAGAAGAAGACATAGTGCGTGTGTTTGATGGAGGGCTAAATCTCCACGCATTCCAGACAATCCTGACAACGATGTCTCTGCGTTCACCCAGAATCCCGCCATGGACATCGACGCAATCATCGCCCAATCAACCCTCGAACTGCAGAAACGGTACAATGAAGGGATAAAGCGGCAGGGCCAATTCCGCAGAAACCGGATCAGCCTCGACAAAGTTCGGAAGCCTTCGAGGATGTCGGAGGATGACGAGAGCAGCTGTACGGGAAACTTGATTGTGACAATGGGAACGCAGACTTGAGGTTGACAATTTCCCTTACTTTCAGATGATGAAAGCGAGTCAGAGGAGGTGGACAGCCTCTCGGAATCGGACGAGGACCACGACAATGGCCTTCGTGCGATGGACATTGATCTGGTAGCGCCCGCTGCCGAGCCTGTACAGCCACGGGTAGCGATGTTGCCGGATGGGATCGAGGTGCTGGACATGCTCGAACAACCGCCATGGGTAAGGGGGACCCATCGGTTCGGATTCTCCCATGAGTGCTGCTGGACACTGACACCCTCTATAAAGTCCGTCGAGGTGACGTTCGTCGCGCATCCAAACGCGTTCCGATTGCCCATCGGGGAAATAATACGGCTACGGAGTGTGGAAGCCTGCACAGGTGAATATCCAACCAAGTAATCCTCCATGTCACACAATCACAGCCGAGCTAACCCCCTCCCTCGAAATGAACCACAGTCGGCCACCTCCAAGAAGTCCTCCGGCTGCACTACCAATCCATATCAGATAAGTTTGCCGACATAAGCAGCTCAGACTTCCGCATGTGGCCATGCGGCTCGGGCCGGCCTGATATACTCGACGTGCGGGAAACGCTCGGGCAGACGATGCGCAGGCTCGACACTGACGGCGTACTGATGTTATTTCATTCACTGCAAGACTGCGTTCGATGACGGAAGGCGCCAGTGTACATAGACCCCCGGATGCTATCTTCTTTTTTGGGTATGGTTTTTTGGCCTTTCTGATGAGGGGCTCCTTTGTATGTCTTTCAGACGGATCTTTTTGTAACTGTCTCGGTGGTGCTGATCGATCCTCGGCTGCACAGTGGAAAATTCAGTCTGTCCCCTCCGTAAATATGTATTTGCTTGTGGGTTCCCGTTACCATTTTGCGCCTCTGCGGCCAGACCCGAATATGGATTTGGGGGTGGGTGTTTCTATCTATCTAGTTACGCCGACGAGGGTCCGATCAACGGTCCCGCCCCGTTCTGCTCGGTATTTGCGGATCAAATCCCGCAAATGTTCTTTCACTGCACGGTCGCGGTCAGCCTCAAAGTGTCGCATGTCGACGAAGCGTTTGTCGTCCTATACAAATAGCAGAAACACAAGGGTCAGGTTGAAATTCATGGTTTGTTCTCATCGCAGTCCGCTGTTCCAGGAAACCTACATTCAACACAGTAACAACTTCGTCCAAATCGATGAACCCCCACTCATCCCCCTCCTTCGAGTCCTTCTCTCCCTTCTCAATCGCGCTGGCCCTCGCATCCACCACAGCCGCCTTGACATGGAAATTGACAAAACTATTCTCCAATAGCGCTTTCTGCAGGTCCGCGCGGGCGTTCTGTTCCCGCAGGGCCTGGTACCGCTCGAATTCGCGGCGCGCTGTTTCGGCATAGACTTCTGCTGCGTCCCGCTCGGAGGGCGTCATGACGGTCGGGTCGTCGGACGGGTCGGGTGGGGCCAGCCGGCGGGTGCGCGGGTCACGTAGTACCCAGGTGGAGATGTCGTCCCATTTGGTTGTCAGGTCCGTGGTGTGTTCCAACGCGGCGTGGAAGCCCTGCAGTCGTTTCTGATGCAATTCCGCGACATGGTCCTCAAACAACGTCCTCATCTGGTCCTCATGCAGCGCACGCACGCGGTCCCACGCGGAGGGGTCACGGCGTTGGATGAAGGCACGTGTAGCGGTCCAGTCGGCGTCGGGGGAGCGGACGGTGTCGATGAGCAGGGAGCGGAGGAGGGTGGATGCGTCTTGGCGGAGGAGGGTGGAGCGGTGGGAGGACATTTCGCGGTTGAGGAGGGATTGCGAGCGGCGGACTTGGGCTTCGCGGTCGCGGAGGCTGGCGGCTTCGCGGGCGGCCCGGTCACGTTCGTTGCGTTCCTGTTCTTCACTGTTGCTGCGGTGGCGGTCGCTTCCCATGTCGTCTTTGTCGAGTTTGCGGATGTAGTCGCGGAATAGGTCTTCTCGCTCCGTTGAGGACCGGAGCGCGCGGTACTCGGCTTTGTGCTCAATGTCGCGCTTCACGCTCGACCAGCTGGATCGCGGGTGGAGGTCTTTCATACCCTTCAGCAAAGCTATGAAGGCGTCTGCGGGGGATCCCCTAGGTCTGCCACCGTTCTTCAATGCCGCGATGTGCTCCTTGAACACCTTCTCGCGCTGTTTTGCGTCGAACTCTGTGAACCGGCGGTCGCGTTTGAATTTGCGGCTGAAGTCTTCCCAGCGGGTTCGGATGTTCGTTTCGGACTGTAGGAGCTTGAAGTACGCCTCCTTGGTATCTTTTCCTTTATTTTTTTGTTCTTCTCGTAGCTCGGCGACTCGGGCGATGCAGTAGTTGTCGAAGACTTGTTTGCGCTCCTTCAAAGTCGGCACCACTGGAAAAAAAAGGCAGCATTGATAAGCGATTATTCCCACCGAAAATAATAGAGATGTGGTCGGAACGCACAATTGTATCGACGGTCTTCAACAATCTTCGGCAGCTCCATCTCCCACGTGGTATACGGCGACACGTTCTTCTCTCTCAATAAGGCTAGGAACTCTTCAACCTTGACATCCACAGCTGGCGCGTCAGCTGGACCACCGAGAGCCTCCCTCTTCGGTTCCAGCGGAATCTGTGGCTCCTCGGGTTCCTTCTTAACGCGCTTCGAAGATTCGTCCCTAGTCTCTCCCTCATCCTCCGTCTTCCTCTTCAATCCGCCCTCCTCCGCGTTCCCCGTTGCCTGCGAATCCCTCCCGTTCGGCCGCTCGTCAGCAGGCAGTTCACTAGCCTGCGACTGCCCATCATCAAACTGATCAGCAGTCGGCCACTCCTCCTCGTCCCCATAATCCTCCACTCCCATAGCATCAGCGATCAACGCCCCAATCAGATCCCCGAGCTCATCCGGCATCTCCCACGCGGAGGTCTTGGTATCCGTGTTGTAAAAGAACTCGTGGTCTTTGTTTGTGAGGACGATGGCCCATTTTGTCAGGGGGATCTTCTTCAATGCTAGGGGACGCTCGACGTCTGGGTTTGGGACGGCGCTGGGGGTTGGAGGTGGTGCACCGTTGAGAGTAGGTTGAGATTGAGCGGGTACTGACGCACTGAACATCCCGTTTGGAGGAGGGCCTCCCATCGGCCGCGGGGGAGGCGGCGGGGGCCGGAACTCTGGCGGTCGGTCCCATCTACTCTCCTTCGTCGCGGCGTTGTGGTAATACACTTTTCCGGCTGGATCTACATGCTGTGACCAAAATAAATGCGGTGGTGGGAGGCCTGGCGGTGGTGGGGGCCCTGGCCTTTGTTGTATGAACCCTGGGCCACCGGGTGGAGGTAGGCTTTGCGGCAAGACGAACGGTTCAGGTTGTGCTGCTGCCGGTGATGGTTCATCTCGCACGGCATAGTCGTAGGACGAGAACTGTTGCTCCTCCACTGGCTCGCTGGCCTTCCCGGGTGCTGCGGATGAGGAGCTGCTTTTACCGTTTGGCTCCGTTTCCTTGTCCTTGACGGGCCGGCGTCTGGACTTTGCAACGCCGAAATCGTGCTCTGGGTCTAAAGGGTCCATATCCAAGACGATGCCGCAAGGAAGTCAAATCGAAGCCGTTGTGTGTAGCGTACCGTTGGGGCACAGGATGGAGACAGTTGGTAGTAGTTGTTTAGTCTTGCCTGCCGGGTTACAGTCCAAACGAGCCACAATTGGAAGTGGAGGGGAAGGTGGAAGGAGCGTAACCAGGGCTGCGCCACTGACAGGTTTTTGACGGATTGTGGGACTTCCCCATTCCTCCACGCCCACAACATTAAACCTCAACGAGTGGCGACGAGCGATTTGTTCTCTGGATGTAGTGATCCTCTCTCTCCTCCTATGCGCAGGTCCTCTTTCAGCTCCGCCGTGATGTCTTTCTCCTTGATGGGACAGTTCATCCATAGCCAATGTCTAATCTCCAATCTCCAAACGTTCAGATATCTCGGTAGCACGCACGCTTAAGTCCATTTCCAGCTGAACCCAACAACGGGATAAAGCAGCTGGTTCAAATACTGTACATCTTCACTCCCATCTCCCTCAAACCCACCAAACCCACCCCTCCAAATCCCCCATTTCTCAAACAATATCAGGCGCGAAATCCGCCCCCACGCCATTAACACTAACCCCAACCCACCTCCTCCCCATCTTATCCAAAAACACCCCCGCGCCATTCATCCGCCCGTCCGTCCACTCGCCCGAATATTTTGCCCCATCGGGGAAGGTGTAGGTGCCTTCGCCGTTGTATTTTGAGTTGAGCCAGTTTCCCTGTTCAAGAGATCTTATCAACATGTTGACATGCAATGCGAGAGACGAATTTTGGGACATACCTCATATGTAGAGCCATCAGGATAAGTCATCCGCCCCCTCCCCGCCATCGCATCCCCGCTCCACATACCTTCATACACCACCCCGGTCTTCTCACACCGATACGTCCCCAGTCCGTTGCGGGTGCGTTGGCCGAAACCGCTGAACCCGTTGCTGGAGGGGGGTGTGGAGGGGCGGTGATGAGGGGTGTGCCGGGGGGCGGGACGATGACGGGGTCGCCGGCGAATTCACCTTCTGTTGTTTGGGGAGTGGTGTGGAGTGAGGTAGTGGGATTGGGTGCAGGGGTGTGGAAGTACGCTGAAACGTTAAACGTACCATATTGCGACCCGTCGGTGTAGATGAAGGTTCCGGTGAGTTTGACCAATGCTGCTAGGAGAAGCTATCAAAGATTCGTTCGAGACGCATCAGAAAAAGACCCATAAACATCCTCTATACCCACCACCAGAAGAAGGAGGCCGACGCCCCGCACTTCTTGCCATCGGGGAAAGCTTGATGGGGATGTTGAGGTTCGGCTTCTATTGCAGAGTTCGTCGAGCGTTTTGGGTAGACTATCGTATTCAGGTTAAACAGGACGGGTATTCGTCGATTAGAGCCTCAGCAAAGGTGGGTAGGGCACGTATGTATGTAGGGGTGTAAACTCGAAAAGCTTTTAACGCACGCGTCAAAACTGTCGAATATTTGGTACAAAGCGCAACTCCGCTCAGACTTTCCGTTAAACCGACAAAGATTGGACCCCCTCATTCCTCGACTTTTCTGGATATTCCTCCAGGTTCGTCTTTTAGCACGTCGCGAAGTAGCAAGAAAATTTTAGCGCCTTCCATAGTGAGGGTGTACATTAAGCAGCAGCAGTTCAATTCAGCGAGTGGAGGAACTCGCTGATATATATAGTCTAGACGTATTTCAGTCGTGCGGAGTTGAGAGGCTAACTGTATATTTCCCGAGCGACGGACCTGGGAATACAACCAGGAGGCATGCTTCTCAAAGTCTCATCAGTGAAACAAGCGATTTTTTTATGCAGACGATCAAAGGCCTGTGGGTCCCAATCCTGTATCTTTCTGGCGCAAGGATTTCTCTCCACTTCTCACGATCAAGCCGACGCGGCCCTTTGTGTTGTCAGGATCCAGTTATACCGCACGCTCTGCATCGTCCACAGCCTTTGGGGGGATGAGAGGGTAAGGAAGCTGATACGAGACAATCCAAAGGGACCGCGCTCAAATCTGTTCCGGATATAACCCAAACTTCATGTAGGCGGCCGCGCGGTTGGAGTACATATACTGGACTGCCAAGGTCGTAGGCTTCCCTCTGAGCATGATCGCTTCCGTGTATGTATATATTGGCTTCGAGAGGCATTCGTCTAAAAGTTCCTTCTGACTTTGACGCGTTGTTCAGTGTGGTAAATGCGGCGGGGGCGAAGATGAGTCGGTCTCTTACCACGTGCTAATGAGATCCTAGTACCCTCGAGCCTCAACGCATTCCCACTTTGCCACCGGTCAGGCTCCCGCTCACAGCTTCTTGGACCAGTTCCATCAGAGATCTTCTGGATTCCTTTTGCTCCTTATCACTTCCTTCCGCTCAACTCAACTCAACTCCACTTCCCGCTGCTCGCTCGCTGGCCTTGACTTCCTTCAACTTCCTCCAAACCCACGCAAACCGTTTTCAAAACAAAAACTCACCAAACATGGCCATCGACACAACCCCCGTGGATCTCACCGCCCCTCTGAAGAAGAAGCCCCTTCAACCTATCAATTTGGGTATCGGGGCTGCGCTGACCATCTTCGAAGTCTCTACTCTGGGACAACCCTTCGAAGTAAGGATTCACTTTTCGTCCGATTCTCATCCGGGATCTGAGGGGACTGCGCCAGCCCATCACCATACCGATACTGACTATGCCCCTACTTTCTAAAGGTAATCAAGACACATATGGCTGCTAACCGCGGTGACTCCATGGCGGCAGCAATTGCGAAAACATGGAAACGTGGAGGAGGTCCGTTGGGCTTCTACCAAGGGCTCATCCCCTGGGCGTGGATTGAAGGCGCGACAAAAGGAGCCGCTTTGATGTTCTCTGCTTCCGAGGTCGAGTACCTGTGCAGGAAGGGTGGAATGGGCCCCGCTTGGGCTGGTGTTCTTGGTGGTATGGCTGGTGGAATCACGCAGGTACGCGCATGCTGATGTCCTCGCCATAGTGTGCGACAAGCATGCTGAGCTTCGTGATGAACAGGCGTACACCACCATGGGCTTCTGCACCTTCATGAAAACCGTCGAAGTCACGCGTCACAAGGCCGTCGGCGCCGGTGGGGCTGCCGCCAAAACCACCATCCAAGTAGCACGCGAAATCTTTGCAAAGGAAGGCATCCGCGGAATCAACAAGGGAGTGAACGCCGTCGCCGTCCGTCAATGCACCAACTGGGGATCCCGATTCGGTCTTTCCCGCGTGGCCGAAAACGGCATCCGCAAAGCCACGGGCAACGAAGACATGCCGTTGTCGTCGTACCAGCGGATCCTTGCCTCGGCTATTGGTGGTGGGTTGAGCTGTTGGAACCAGCCCATTGAGGTTATTCGGGTGGAGATGCAGAGTCAGGTCAAGGCTGCTGGAAGGCCGGAAAAGATGACGATTGCGTCCGCTGCCAAGTATATCTTTGCGAACAATGGTTTCAAGGGATTCTACAGGGGTGTTGTCCCACGGTGAGTTACTCAACTGCGGTTACCGTCATCACCAGCGTCAGCTTTAAACTCATTCATCGCAAATCCCTAGTATCGGCCTCGGTGTCTGGCAAACCGTTTGCATGGTTTTCGGCGGAGACTCAGTCAAAGCCTACTTTGCTGCCAAGAAGTAGATTCTTCCCTCTTTCAATACCACCCCTTGGCAAGTTCCGAACGAAGCCCGGTCGCCAACATAATACTGTAACATTTTTCCTCTAACGTGAAAAGATTAGACGAACATGGACAATGCTGCTGCATCTAGCCATTCTCCCCCGCGTAGGCCCCCACTTCATCACATTGTAGATACTGTAGGTAGAAAAATATCGAATCTCGGCAAAGCATGCGTTTATTGATGCACGTAAATGATTGCTCCTGTGCCGCTCGGGTGGTAGGTAACCTTTGCGAGCCTCGCTTATACTGTATATTTCAAGAAGACAGAGCTGCAACCATCTTCCGTACGCCGTCTACACAATTTCTATCTATAACAGCCAGCACTACCCTATCCTCGCCCGGATGAACCGCACCATCCGCCAACCCTCCATTCTCAAACTCCTCACACACATCCTGCAAGCTCTCCGCTATCCGCTCACACCTCACATAATTCCGCGCCTCGCTCTCCAGATACCTATCCCGCGACGCCGTCTGCCCCCCATTCCGAGCCCCCGCCTTGAGATGCTGCGACACGATCGCATTGTACCGCGCCAAATTCGCCGGGTCAAGCACTAGATTCTGCAACCGCGAATCCGCCAGCGGCGACCCCGTATCGATCTTTCCAATATCCGCCGCCGCCACCCCAACACCCTCAAACAACTTCCTCAGCTCCGCATGGATATGACTCTTCCCCACCACATTCCCCATCTCCTCCTCCACCGCCGCTTCCACCCCCCTCTGCGCCAAATACACCTGCACCCTCTGCACCTCCTCCGCCACACCCATCCCCACAAACTCCACGGGCACCCCCATCTCCAACCCAACCTCCACAGCCTCCACCGCGTCCCACCCGGGCCTCAACCCGGTGCACACCAGCGCCTCGATCCATTCATCAGGCACGCCTTCATCCTGCATCTCGTTGCGCAGGCGTTCGGACCACGTGCGTACGCCGCGGAGGAACAGCTCATGGTCGTGCGAGTCGGCGCCGGACCCCGACGGACACCGGCGGACGATCGAGGCGTACCGGTTCAGCCACCGCGCATTCTCGTTCGCTTCATCCACGACCACCCAGCCGACGGTGCTGTGGAGATCCGGGAGCACCCTGCCGGACCCATCTCGTCAGTAGTGCTGCATGACACGAGGTATGGCCGTTGGATCACCACGACTTACCTCCTCACCTCCCCAGCAGGCGGGACGTTGATCAACGAGCTGCCGAGGATATGGATCCGGGTGTTTTTGAGGAAGACCGGCTGGGCGATGCATTGGTTTCGCCAGGCGGTGTTGGTTTTGAGGATGGTGGTGTGAAATTCGGGGGAGGGGAAGATGGTGCGGGTGAGTTGGTCGGCGGTCGTGCGGCCGAGGAGGCGGGAGAGGAGGTTGCCGAGCATTTTTGGGGGCGTTGATGTTGGGAAGGGGAGGAGGGAGGGGAGAGAAAGTTGGCATGCCGAGGAACGCGTTGGCGCCCTTTCTCTACATCTTTGTTCGTCTTCCACCTTCGTCCAGCGGACATTGAGCGGACATTGGGAACGAGCACCATGCGCGAATTACCAGGGCGAAGTCTTCGGCGGCGGCCTATTTTTATTCGACATTTCACGAAGTGTCAGAAATGTCGGACACGTCGGTCTCTTCTCTGGCTGCCGAAGAGACCGACGTGTGGGACATTTCTCACACACTGATGAAGACAAAGCGGACTTTGTTTCGGTGACCTTGCTGAAAACGCTTGTTGGAAATCACAATGTTTCGTCGTGGGTGTTTGTGGTAAGCTAGCTCAGCTTGCTTGATTCCGAATGTCCTACTTCTCCCCTCATCATTTTGCCGCGCAAACAGGGCAGTTACCTTTCGAAGGTCTCGACTATTAACTACCAGGGGATGTTTGCCGGGGCCAATGATGCAATGTTCATGCCATGCGAGATCAATGGTTTGGAATGGAGCCCGTCGGCACCCAAGGAAATATCGACTGAGGGCCGTGTGGCGGTTTTTGAGGATCCAGAAGTACAGGAATCGATCGCACTGCTGACCCAGCAAAGAGAATCAATCCTAGACGCTTTCACCACCGTTAGCGATGCAATTGCGTGCAGGGAGCCACAGGCGATGGCATACTATCACGGTTCATGGAAGCTTTCAACACTGATCAGGAATAAGACCAAAGCCAAATTCCTCGAAGAGGTACAGCAGCATCTGTCGGAGGAAAGAAAGCAGCTGTTTCGGCAAGCTTTCGAGTCGACTGAAAAGGCCCCTCGGGCCTGCTTCTGTTCGTGTCAAAGTATGTTACCGGGCTTCAAATGTAAGAACCAATCCATGCACTATTTGAAACTTCCGAGGTAGGCAAAGCCCCACCTCAGGGCACGTCACCGTTGGCGGAATGGTGGCCAACGTTGTAAATGACGGTGCCGTCATTCTCAAGCGCCAGAAGGCACGAACTCGAAAGTTTTCGGATGTGCGCGGGATTGTAGTCATGTTCATTGAGGTTTGTCATTCTTGCATGATTGTTTATTGCTCACAACAGGCTAAGCGCTTGAAGCATGACATGACTCCTGGAGAGCGGTATGGGCAGCTGGCGGGTGAGGCCCTTTGGACGGCGCAGCACAACCTTGAAGGCGTAGGGAGCGGAGACCAAGAGGTATGACAAGTACAGGGCTACTCTATCGAGTCGTTCATCCTCCTAAGCTATCGCACTATATCAGGTCTTCGGGGTGGTAAAAACTCACAGAAATGCGCACATCTTTCACGGCGTCTTCAAAGAATCATACCTGCGGAATGCTCCCAGCGCATTGTCACCGAATGATTCTGCCACACTCAAAATCAGCCGCAGTTTCGATTTGGCCAATACCGGGGAGAGGCTGGAGTTCGTTGCCCAGTTGCTGGGCGTTCTCCACTACGTGAAATCCGGGAATTCCTTCGTCGGAAAAATGAGGGGTGCCGGCCTACCCGTGAGAATATAATCACATGGGGTACTGCGTCGTTTTTGGAATCCTGTGGGGCACTCGTTTTCATTGAAGTTCTCTTTTCTTTTGGGGGAAAAGATGGCGTATTTAGAGGCGGACGCCGCTTGCGTTTTGGAAAGAGGAAAGCGGGTGTGCTGCCGTCCAAGACCGTGCGTGAATAGGTATGGACTTTTCGGTGGGTGCCGATGCGGAGTAGATCCTTAGGGCTGGGTTAGGGTTAGGGTTACATAGGGGACTGCCGTAGGGTACTATTGTGGAGTTTCCTGAACCCTAGGGACTTCGAAATATTCGAGTTTGTTGGTTTTGGGTGTGTTCTACAGGTTAAAATTTCAACCCCAAGGGGTTTGGTGGTGTGGGGGTGTCGCATGCGGGCGAGTGGGGGCGTACTCGTCCCCATGGTCGCACGTTGCCAGCTCCCTGAGGCTGCCAAAGGCGTTTTGGTAAGCGGGATCGGTGGGTCCGGTTGGAAATCAGGTGTTAAGGCTGCCAGTCTCTCAGAATACAAGACGAAAGACTTCCGGTGAAGCTTCGAATTGCCACCGTAAGGTCCAGGTGCTTTGAGTGGAGGTCTTTACATTGAGTACCACGACAAAATTGGTAATCTTTCTACAGCGAAGCTAGATATCATATGTACAAAAGCCCTCACGCCCAACGAGCTGTCGGCACCGCGGCTGTCCGCCTCGAAGTGTACATGTGGCATTAGATGGACCCGCCGGCGCCTTTTTCATCAGATGAAGCCTTTCCCTACCCCGTCAAATCTCCCCATCAAGCAACCAACTCCAATGGCCCTTCCAAATGATCTTGTAATGCTTTCGTCTGCCCAACAACACGCAATGTAAGCGAATTTGACTCAAGTGGACTAACCCACGCATCACCCACATCAGACCGCACAGACCTTAGCATTCAACAAGCCCCACTCAACATTCTCCTCGGCCACCAAGCACAGCAGCATCCGACTGATTTTCGAAAGCGCCAGTTTCCCATGCTACGGAAATCACCCCAAATCATCAATCCCAAATCCCATCCTCACAACCTCTCCTCCCCCCGTCACAGTGGCTGGCCCATACCTCGCACTCCAACACCAAACTCCTCATCCCCTCCCCTTGCCTCTGCGGCGGTTGCGCATGCGCGTTGTCCCCCCCAACGCGAGCCCCCCCGCTCGCAGGCTTCCCGTTGCGCTCGTACGCGAACCAGACATTGGAGGCGACGGCGGCGATGACTTTCGCTTCTTTTTCGGGCGCGCCGGCGAAGGAGATTAGCGAGCCGTCTTGTTGGAGGAGACTGTGGGGGGAGGGGAGATGAGATGGGGGGATGACGATGGGATGGGGGGGGCAGGTGGAGGTGTGACTTACAGGGCTGCCCGCACATCGTCGGTCGCTGCTTGCGCGAGGACTTGTGCTATTGCTTTTGCTTTTAGCATCCCGAATGGGAGGGAGGTCGGGGGCTACGGTGACGGGAGCGCCGTGTCTTCACTCTGGGAGTCTGAGAGAAAGCCCGTGTCTGCACGTCAGGATTCCCGAACGACTCTGCGTGTGCCATTCGGGGCGCCGCCGGCCTTTTCACGCCCCATACGTCACCACTTGCGAAAAGTCTAAGCCGCGTCGTGGGAACTTCGAACTTTCAGAGGTGATCTCCAAATTTCAAAAACCCAACAGATATAAGGCCGCTTCATCCACTCTAGGCCCCCATTGAGCTGACATCGTGCTGTACATTGTATAGTCGTGATTGTATAGGCGGCCCATAGGCCAGGCTTCGACATCATGTTCGAAAAGTTCATCGCGCCCGTTATTAACAAGGTATATATGCCAACCCTAGCCGTCTGCGTCTTCCAATAACAGTCATTCTGACAAAGTATATGAAGATCCTAGGTGAATATGTGGGAAACCTGGAGAGCAAGCAACTCAGTATCGGCATCTGGCAAGGTATGGACTATCTCTTTGTCGCGGGCCGCGTCGCTAAACTCACTCGAAAGGTTCTTTTCAGGGGATGTCGCCCTGCACAACTTGAAGTTGAGGAAAGAAGCTTTGGACAAGTTCAACTTGCCTATTCAAGTGGAAGAAGGTGCTTTGTCATTTCTGCCAAGCAGCTACTCCGGGGCTCTAGTTCTAATCAATGGGAATGCATGCGCGGTTGTAGGATATCTCGGCGACCTGACCCTCAGCATACCATGGAACGATCTGAAGAACAAACCGGTGAAGATCTTCATCAACCATGTCTATTTGCTCGCCAAGCCGAAAGCAGGTGCAGACTACGACCCGGTCGAGGAGGAGGAGAGGCTGCAGAAGGCGAAGCTTGAGAAGCTGGAGACGGCTGACATGTTGCTCAATCGCGCGAAGGAACCCCATCTGGAGAACTCGGCGAATGATTCTGGATTCGTCACGCAGCTGGTGACGAAGATTGTGGATAATGTGCAGATTACCATGAAGAACATCCATATCCGCTATGAGGATGCCACCAGCTACCCGCAGCAACCTTTCTCAGTTGGTGTGACATTAGAGGAGTTGTCGGCCGTGTCTTGCGATGGCAACTGGAATGAAGCGTTCATTCATGATCAGGCGGAGGTCATTCGCAAGCTCTGCAAACTCAGGAGTCTTGCTATCTACTTCAACACGCAGCCCGAGTCATTCTCCGGCAAACCGCATGAAGAGTTTATGAAGCTGTTCCGAGACTCGATCGCAACGGCCGACAATGCACCATCGTCCTACCAATACGTTCTGAAGCCGATATCTGGAAACGCCAAGATAAAGACGCATAAACATCAGCCAGCTGATGACGCGCGCCATACGGCGTTCCCGGAATTCGAGGATCTGGCCTTTGTCATCGACAGGGATCAATACACAAGCTCGATATCCTTGCTCGGCGCGTTCTCGTCGTACCTCAATTCGCAGAAGTATCGGAAGTTCCGACCTCCACGCACAATCACTCCAGCTTTGGATCCAATCGCGTGGTTCAAGTTTGCAGGCACAAGCGTACTATCTGACATACAGGAGAGAAACAGACGGTGGACTTGGGCGTACATGTCTGAGCGACGGGATGATCGCCGACAGTATATCAAGCTGTATAGCAAGCAGAAAGAAGGGCCGCTTACTCCTGAAGAGCTCTCTATATTGCAAGAGCTCGAGAGGAAGCTTTCATTTGATGACATCATGCTGTTCCGGTCCATGGCGTTGACCGAGATGCGAAAGTCACCCACCTTCCACAAGCCAGCGCCACCAAAGGAGCAGCTCAAGACATCGACATGGGGCGGAACTTTGAGCAATTGGTGGGCAGGAAAGGCGAAGGAAGAGTCGTCTGACAACGCGTACTTGACAGACGATCAGATGAAGCAACTGTACGACACTATCGAGTTTGACCCGAAGGTGTCGAAACCTGCCGTGGAACTCCCGAAAGACGCCGCTATCCTGAAAATCGAGTCGTCCCTGAAGAGTGGTTCACTTACGCTGAAAAGCTCCCGGGCTGCGAAAGCACCGCTGATATTGCTGCTGTTTGAGGACTTCAATGCGGGCGTGACGCAGTACCCGTCAGCTATCTCTGGGACAATCACACTGGCAAACATGAAGTTGGAGGATGGGTCTACGGTCAACACTCTATATCCGACTCTGATTCGGGCGAAGAAGGATACACATCACTTGACACAGACGTCCGAGACACCGTTCTTCAGCATGGGCTTTGAGCACAATCCGCTGGACGGTCGAGCAGATGATGCAGTCTCAATCGTGATGCTGCCCCTCGAGGTCATTTACAACCCGACGGCTATCAAGTCCATTGTGACGTTCTTCACACCACCCGTCTCAGAATCGGCCACCGTGTATACGATCCAGGCTGCAGCACAAGAGACTTTCGAAGGGTTGACGCAACAGACGAAGGCGGGAGTGGAGCACGCAGTTACCGAGCACAGGACGTTGGACCTGAAGGTGGACTTTGCCGCACCTATCTTCGTGTTCCCTCAGAGCTGCACGGATCGGGACTGCATGGTTATGTTGGTCGACGCCGGTCACTTCCTGGTTGAGAGCAATTATATCAACAAGGAACAGAAGAAGGAGTTACAGCAGAAGCATGGGGCGCTACGCTCGGCTGAAGATTTGGGAGAACTCCAGACGCTGTTATATGACCGGTTCACGTGTCAGCTGTCGTCCGTGCAGGTAAGGAAAGCATAAAACTGTGGCTCGCGGGGTTACGAGGCTAAGATTCAATCTGTTGTGCAGGTTCTTGTCGGCCCTTCTATGGAAGCATGCATGCAACAGATCGCCAAAGACACAGAGGAGGGACACCTTCACATGGTCGAGCGCGTGAATCTCAGCATCAGCCTCGAACTTTGCATTTTGCCGAAATTGGTGGATCTGCCCGGGATGAGGGTCACAGGAAACGTCCCGAGGCTCCATCTGAACGTTTCCGATCGGAAGTACAAAACGATGATGAGCATCATTGACCTCGTTCTGGCGAATATGCCTGGAAACAAAAGCGACGCCGCAACGGAAGCAGTGGGGCCTGTAGATCAGGCGCAGCCTCATTGGTTGACGCCACAGGATAGGGGGACCTCCTACCACTTTCTGGATGCGGAAGACGAGGGCGAATCCTTCTACGACGCTCCAGAACAGCTCGTCCGAGACACCAGATCTGAAATGACGGACGATTCCATCAACCGTGTAGCGATGGAAGTGAAGTTCGAAGTCAGCCAGGTCTCTATTTCGGTCACGAAGTCGGACGCGAACGCTCAGGTCCCGGATCGCGTCCTGGCGGCGCTGAGCGTTGAGGGCTTTGGCATCAACGTTCGCAATACGACGCATGATATGGCGGTCAAGATCCGCATTCGCGCGGTGCAGGTGGAGGATCTGATGATGCAGGATCCCGAGTCGCAGTTCCACTATCTGTTCGCACCAACACCGGAGAAAGACACAGCATCCGTCTCTAGCGAGAAGTCTTCGGTCGATCAGTTGATTCGAGTCAACTACCTCAGCGTGAAGCCAAGTTCGCCGGACTACAACGGCATCGACCAGTCCGTGGACATTTCGTTCGCAGCCGTCACATTGGTCTTGACTAGCAGCAGTGTTTTGACACTCTACGACTTCATCCTTGCAACCTTCACCAACCAAGCTGCTTCTGCCAACCAGTCCCGACTGGACCTGAGTGCTGAGAGCGAGGATGAGGATGCAGCCCAGGTCGCCGCGCCATCTGCCAACAAGGGCTCGCACATGGTGGTCCATGTGGTTATGAAGAGTATCGGCGTGGTAATCAATCAGGACGGCACTCACATCGCGACAATGGATTTCGGTGAACTGGAAACCAACGTCGATCTCATGCCTACTACCATGAAAATTACGGGAAGCATTGGCGATCTTGCAGTCCGTGATGAGATCCCGAGGGTGGAGAGCAGACACTTTGACCAACTGTTGCAGATTGAAGGCGAGGAAGTTGCCCATTTCACCTGGGAGACGTTTGACTCTTCATCCGCGCAGTACCCCGGCTACGACACCGCTCTGGTATTTCGAGCGTCTTCCTTCAAGCTGACGTACCTGGAAGCTCTCCTGCTGGAGCTCATCCGGTTCTTCAGCCAGTTTGCAAAGATGCACATGTTGTTGGAGACTGCACGCCGAGCCGCGATCGAGTCCGCCCAGCAGATTCAGAAAGCGGCTGGGAAGTTCCACTACGATATCGAAATCGAGTCACCCGCTATCGTGTTCCCGCGCCTGAGCTTGCAATCTGTTGATACGATGACGCTGTATCCAGGAGGGGTGTCGGCCAGCAACCGCTTCCAGCAATCCGGTCCGGATGAGGTCTCGGATAAGATGACCGCCTCTATCCGCGCGATGAAGATTGTGACATACCTTGGTGATGAGTCGCACGTAAAAGAACGTCAGATGTTGGATGATGTTAATATTAGCGTCAGTGTGGACACGTTGTCGAAGGAGGAGGCATCGTCGGATATGACGGTATGTACACTGCATCGTGTGGTCTCCGATTGACATTCAGCAACTGACTATCCGTCCCCTACGTCTTCTACAGGTACATGTAGAGGTTTCCGACGTCCATATGATATTGACTCCCGGGCAATTCGAATTCCTTCTCACACTTGCTGACTCGCTCGCGACGTTCAATGCGGGACTCACCCCGGAATCGTCGATAGCTGAGATGGACGACGATGACAACCAATCTGAGCACAAAGCCGAGAGCGTCGCTTCGACGGCCTCGTCGCGTAAAGTGGATGTCAGCGTCTCCTCCATCTGTCTGGACATTCTTAGTGCGCACACGTTTCAGATTGGATCTGAAGATCAGAAATCGCTCTTGGATCAGTCGTCAACGGCGAAGTTGGGCCCTTTGGCAACTTTCGCGGCACATGGCGTTGGAGTTGTCATGGTTACGTCTTCGGATGGCTCCTCGGAAACCGACGTCTTGGTCCAATCATTCGCGATCTTGGACGCCAGGGAGTCGGCAAAGAATCTGTTCAAGGAGATTATGCCCCTCGCCGGCCGTGACAAGAAGCATCAGCTCAAGATCCAGATGTCGACCTTCAACAAGACGACAACTACCATTGCTAGCTTGAGCGGCGCCACGTTGGTGTTGATACCAGACCATGTGTTCCTTGTCAGAGACTTCTTCACCGGGCCTATGACGCGACACGCGCAAACAAACGCCACTCGGTCCGCACACCAAGCGGCTGCGCCGAAAAACGCATCAGATGAGAAGATAGATCAACTGAACTCTTACCGCATGGAGCTACTCGACGTGGAGATCATTCTCCTGCAGAATGCTACAGCCAGCGCCACCGAGGCAATCGTCCTCAGCTCAAAGAACCTGTCTATTCAGCAGGATAAGGTCACAACGGTCACGATTGAGGACATGGGAATGTTCCTGTGCCAGATGGATAAACGGGAGGACACTTCGGTACCTTTCATTCAGAACTTCCAGCTGAAGCTTTCGTTGGACAGTCCGAAGCCCAACTCCACGAAGATCATTCTCGACATCTCTCCCATCATTTGGAGAGTCTCCTACCGCGATGGGCTCTTGATCATGGATATTGTCAACAACATCCACAATCTCTGGCTTGCCTCCAATAGTGCCGCCGACGTTGCCACTGAAAACAAGGGCCTGACCGCGTCCGCTTCCCTGTCGTCGTTCCAAGCGCCTGTAATGGATCAGGAGAGAATTCGAGCTACGATACAGGCATTCAGGCTGATTCTCATTGACGACTTGAATGACCTGCATTTGCCGATGCTGGATTTGATGATGGATAAGCTGGTGGTTGATGCGGCTGACTGGTCCACTTCGTTGCGACTGGAGGCTGCACCGTCACTGCACTGCAACTACTTCAACATTACCAACTCGCATTGGGAGCCGCTCATAGAACAGTGGCAATTCTTCGTAACGGTGGCGAAACGACCCAACAATGGCACATTCTCTCTGGACCTCTTTGCTCGCAAGAAGCTTGAGATCAACATTACCCACGCGTTTGTCAGGACTATTCTTCAGACGCAACATCTGTGGAGCAAACAAGATCAGCGTGTTGCCGCTCGGAGAGGTGCACATGCGCCGTACGTCCTTCGCAACAAGACCGGATACGACATGTATGTGTGGACGGATTCGAATGATGCTGACAGCGGTCTGGATACGGAGCTGAAGATGCTTCCGAACGGGGAAGACATCCCATGGCGGTTCGAGGACTGGAGGACTATGCGTGAAGGCACTTCTCCGGTCTCGCACCGGGTGTCGATGCAGCTCAACGGTCCATCCTGGGAGACCCTCAAGGGGATTTCCATCGATAGCGAAGGCGTGAAAGCCCATATTCTGCGGCCGCCCATCAACCGCGTCAGCTACAGGCTGGTGTGCGACGTCAAGCTGAAAGACAACGTGAAGGTGGTGACCTTCCATTCTACTGTCGGCTTCCAGAACAACACGACTGTCCCATTAGAGGTCGTCGTCGTCAACCAACGGAAGCAACGCGTACCGGGGCACACAGCACTGGATCCTGGACAGGACTACTTCCTTCCGATCGAGTCATCTTACAACGACCTTGTTCAGATACGTCCCGCAGAAGGGTTCGGCTACGATTGGTGCAGTGAACTGCTCAACTGGAGGGATTTGCAGAAGAAAGAGGCGTCGCTGGTGACCTGCCGATCGATGGACCCAAGCGCCCCTGCTTTCCGGTTCCAAGTGGGTCGGAAGCAGAATGACCCGAAGGCGACATCCTCGCCGATGATGATGATCCAGATCATCGCGCCGCTCCAAATCGAAAATGGTTTGCCATACGACATCCGTTACAAGCTGTTTGACAGGACAGATCGCAACACTCGTCAGCAGTTCACAGAAGTTTTGAAGAAAGGGGAGTGTCATCCGGTTTACACTGTGAACCCAACGCATCTGATTGCCTTGAGCGGCGAGATTGTGGACTCGAACTACTCCGCCAGCGAACCCGCTATCATCACGAATTCGGACCTCGATTACCGTGACGAGTCGCTCCGGTTCACTGACAAGGAAGGTCAGCAACTGCAACTTCGCTTGAAGTATCACGACAAATCCGATGGCGGTGGCCCAAGGATCAGTATTCTCAGTCCCTATGTCGTTCTGAACAAAACCGGAATGGACGTTGTCATAAGTACTCGGTCGTTGATGGGAGTGTCGCGGTACTCGTGCCCTGCCGCAATCAACGACTCCCTTCGTCCTCTCTTGTTCTCGTTCCCGAACTTTGAACCTCTCAAGTCTCGTGTGCAGGTGAAAGTCCCGGGCTCCGAATGGAGTAGACCCATCAGTTTCGATGCTGTTGGGAGCAGTTTTGACGTCGCTATTCAGAATGGCAAGAGCGGTACCGTTTCCCACATCGGTGTGTCGGTGTCGGAGGGAGAGGGGAAGTTCTACATGACCAAGGTCATCACACTGGCGCCACGGTTCATCTTCAGGAACAACATGACCGAAGACATCCAGTTCCGACAAAACGGCGCCACGGAAACGTTCACGCTGAAGTCCACGGAGTCTATGCCATTCCATACGTTGAAGCTCAACGACTCCGCTCCCAACGACTTCTGCATTCGGCTCTCGGGGTTGATGAACGAATGGTCAAGACCCTTCGACGTGAATCAAGTAGGAAGGGTGTACATCAAACTTGGACGTCTCAGTTCTGCCGAACAAGATCTGATCCGAGCGGAAGTACTGATCAAAGACGCTACCATCTTCATTGTGTTCACCGGAAAAGAGACCCGGTGGCCTTTCAAGATCAACAACAAGACTGATATCGACATCGACATCTGGCAGCAGGGATCGAGTCTCCGGTTCAAGATCCCCAAGGGCGAGTCGAGGCCTTATGCATGGGATTACCCATCAGCACCGAGAAAGGGGCTCGTTTTGAATGCACAGGGAAGAGAACGTGAGATAGATGTTCTGGAGATTGGACAGCTGGTGCCTTTCAAGTATCCTACGGGCATCATGTCGATACATGTCTTTGCTGAGGGTCCTACGATATGTGTCGATCTGGCTACATATTCCGAGGCGACTAGCGCTTTCAAGAACACGGGTGAAGTTGCCCGGAAATCGTCTGATCAGGACGCCGAAAACGGACCTTTCCGGATGAAAACGAAGAAAACGCAGCTCCTCATGGCGATACAAGTCCAGCTTGAAGGCATTGGGATTTCGTTGCTGAATTCCGCAATGCAGGAGCTTGTTTACCTGTCTGCAAGGCAAATGACCTTCATCTATACGGACACCAGCACGAACAACGCTGTAACCTTCAGTATCAAGTGGCTTCAGATCGACAACCAGCTGTATGGCGGACTGGAACCCATCTTTGTGTATCCCAGTGTTATTCCGAAGGAAGGCGAGGGAGAAGAAGATAGGCCAGTTTTACTGGTGACTGTCTCTCGGTCCAAAGATCAATGTGAGTGGGCATTTGCCTCGACACTCGATGACTTTGTACTAATTTAGCTCTCGCCTATCAGCTTACGGAGTGGACTACTATGATTGGTTTACGATCCTGCTCCAGGAGCTTTCCGTGGATATGGATGAGGAGTTTTTGATGGCACTCTTAGACTTCTCAAAATTCAACATACCTGGATGGAACGAAGAAAAGAAGAGGTTTGCCAAAATCTGAAGCATCCAGTCAGCGGGTGGTACTGAGAACTTTTTTCGTGTAGTGAACTCATCGACGCCAGTGTTGCCATCGAACAGCCCCCAATCACTCAGGAGGAGCATAAGATGTACTTCGAGAAGTTCCTGCTTCAGCCTATTCAAATCAACGTGTCCTTTGTGAGAACACAGAACGCCAATATGGAAGAAGCAAGGCGCGACCGGACGGGAGTCCTCTCTTTCGTTGTCGACGTGTTGACTATGACGCTGGGCAACATCCACGATGCTCCGATCCGTCTGAAGGCGTTAGAGTTGAGACACCCGAACGTCACCCCGAATCAATTAGCGGATCTCATCTTCAAATTCTACACCCAAGAGTTGGTTGGCCAGGTAAGGTTGCTTCTTCTTGCTAACTTCCCTCAGATGGGCCCCCCCTAATCGCCACATAGGTTCACAAAGTGATCGGGTCAGCCGATTTCCTCGGGAATCCCGTCGGTCTCTTCAACAACGTCAGTTCTGGAGTAAGCGATTTGTTCTATGAACCTCTCCAAGGATTCGACATTACGCGACCGCAGGACTTTGGAATCGGTGTTGCCAAGGTTTGTCGCAACTTCCTGTACATCCGCATCTTCAATTGCACAGTTTCACCAATGAAAATGACAGGGCGCCTCGAGTCTTTTCCGGAAAACGGTGTTTGGGGCGTCAGACACTTTCTCGAAGTTCACGGGCAGTGTGGGCAAAGGTTAGTTGTTTCACAGTGAGGTTTCTCTCCGGCATGGCACACATTGACTTACTACGCGTGGTTCAGGTCTGTCCGTCATCACGATGGACTCGGAATTCCAGGAAAGGAGGCGGCTTACCAGCATCAGGTACATTTTTGCTGTGGTCCTGTTCTCATGGCCCAGTTCTCACACTGTCTCAGGAATCGCCCACGGCATGCGGTGTACGGAGTGACAACTGGCGCTACGTCACTAGCGAGAAGTGTGGCGAGCGGCATTACAGGTCTTGTGGTACGTCCCAAGAGGCAGCTGCGTCGGCGTTATACGCGCAAACCTAATTGCATTACTTGTGTAGTCGAAGCCTATCGAGGGAGCAGATGCTGAAGGCGTTGGCGGGTTCTTCAAGGGCATTGGGAAGGGCATAGTCGGGTAAGTGTTAGCGTAGCCGTTTCCGCTGTTCGTTGCTAATCATAGCCTTGCACAGAGTGGTCACGAAGCCTGTTGTTGGAGTGTTCGACTTGGCTACAAATGTTGGCGAGGGTAAGAATGGTGTAATCCACCGCACGGCATCTCCTTAGGCGTCCGCTAATGTGGGAGTTCCAGGTATTCGTAATACGACAACGGTCTTTGACGCCGATCTGGATCGTACGCGGTTACCTCGATTTATTGGAAAAGACAGGGTCCTGGTGGTAAGACCGGTGTATGGGTTCCGAGTACCCAATATCAATTGGCTGACTGAGTCTGTGGCAGCCTTACAATCCGAGGGACGCTTTGGGTCTCAATTGGCTTAAGGGACTCGAAAATGGAAGGTTCTTCCATGAAGACTACATTGCACATCTGGGTACGACAGACGGTCATTTGCAACTTCCGTAACGTGCATAAACTTACACTACCTTCGAATAGAACTGCGGATAGAAGATCTGGTTGCCATTGTGACTGATCAGAGGATCGTCATGGCCCGCATCAAGCGACTGAAGATGGATTGGGACATTGGCTACGATGGTATGTCACAATTCGACGCGATTCGGTACGCACGCACTTTCTAATCCTCTCTTTCATGTCGTTACATAGAGGTTCAAAATGTGCGGGCGGAAGGCAACAGCGTCAACATTTTGCGGAAAGGACGATTGGAGTCCCGATTAAGGGTCATCCCGTGCCCTGATGTCGCTAGTGCGCAGGTGAGTCTCGCAGGTCCCCCTCAGGCATGACCAATGATTGTTTCTCTGAAAGGTCTTTCGGTTTCTCAGTGGTTGAGCGGCAAGATCGAGGGTGCCTTTGCGGCATACATCGACCAATTCCGCGGAATAGAATGATTCGATATGTCACAAGGGTACCTCTGTACATAGCAGCAACTCTGTACTGTATCTCATAGGTTTATAGTCCGTACTAGAAGAGCTTTAGGTCTAATGAAAATATATCCTCTGGTTCGCAAGGCTGAGTCCATTTGTGGGGAAACGAGCATCTGGCTTCTCCATACCACGATACCCCGGTCTATCGCTGTCCGGAGCCCATCTCTGCAGGGAACAGGACCGTTTTCAAGACACTCAGTGGGCTCAGTCAGCATATCGAGACGGAGGTCTGCGGCGGTCGGGATACCTTTGCAGAACTCTTGACTTACGTCACAGAGAGGCTAAGGGCTGTCAACATTCAGATAGGCTTGTTAGTGTGTAGCAATGTAGCAATGTAGCAATATAGTATGTCGTCCCTTTGCAATTGTGCGTCTAACTAAGGGGGAAAGTCCGGGTGCACACAGGTCTTGGGACGACCTCCCCAGGTGATGTTGGAATCTGCATAGTCCAGTAGCCCAAAGCTGTCCCCTGTGCCTCCTTGTGCTCGATGCTTAGCATTGAGGCGGTCCACCATAGCAGCTTCAAATCTCCAAATCTTGAACCGGTGCGCCTCCTCCTCCGCAGAGGGATAGACCTTATTGAAGCGAACTTTCCATTCCAGCCATCGTTGCCGTAGCGCTGGATCCTGATTTGACATGGTTGGTTAGCGAGAAAGGGTGCAATCTACTCTAGCCCACTTGAGACTATACAAAGGAGCACTTACGTCTGGAGGTGCCTGGAGACGGAAGACGATCTCTCTATCCAAAATCTCTGTCAGCCGGGATGCTTCGCAGACTTCATTCAGCTCAGCATCTGAGAGGGTCTTTAGAAAGCTTTTAATCTTTTCCATTGACGATTGTTGAACTTGAGTCCGATACAAAAGAATCGCTCACAAATAGTCAAAACTAACAAAGTAGAATCACGCGGGGGAGAAAAGGGACTTTGACTAGCTGAGCAGAGAGTGAGCAGACATCCTAAGGAGCTGTATCAACCCCATGATAACGAGAGTCTTGGGATGACGGAGCTCGTCCTCGTTCCAGTCGCAGAGCGCCACGTCGGAGAGGATCATGCGGTTGAAGAGCCTGAGGTTGCGGACGGGTTCGGTGACCGGCTTGTACCAGCGGCGGACGTTGTTGCAGTCGGCGTTGAAGTGTCTTGAGTGTCTTGCTCATCTTCAGAGTCCTCGACCCATTCGTACTTGCCGACGCAATTCTTCAGACCATGGTTGCGAGCGCCATGGACGTCTCGATGCACTCGATGGCCGCAGTCTCTGCAGTGAAAGAGCTTGCCATTGACTTGGTCTTGAATGACCCCGCATCGGTTGCAAGTCTTGGTGGTGTATTCCTCTCCAAGGATCTCCACAAGGGACCCACGAAGTTCTTCCTCTCGCATTTGGAGCGCGCGGCGAAAGGGGGCGTGGCACCAGGTGAGGAGGTCTCTAGCTGTGCGGCGAGCGATGCGACGACGGCGACCGTTTTCATCCACTCGGCGAACCATTTGCTCGGTCTCAAAGGGCGAAGTGTGCACGTATTGAAAGTTGTGGGTCAGGTATTGAGCCACGCGGAGGTTGCCCTCTCTAACCCGATCCTGAATCCGTTCGTGGCATAAGAACCGGTTGCGGCGCAGATAGCGTTTCTTCCATGGTGGATGGTATTCATTCGAGTCCATGACGGAGACAGTCGATCGATCCGCTCCTGATACCTTCGAAGGCGATTCAGGTCGTCCGCCGTCCCAAAAGAGCCGGCTTGCATCCGAGTGGGAGAGTAATAATTCACAAACGGGTTGGATCCGGGATCAAGGGCGGCCAAATGACCCCTCGCGTCGGGGTTCAAGTCCTCATAGGCTTGTAGATGGGGACGTGCATTACCCACTTGCCGGTGCCGCTGTGTGCACAATCTTGACTTCGCGATCGGGACCGTTAGGGTATCGATTGAGGACTCGTTTTTGATCCCTTGTTCGCACGCGTAGCTTGCCTTCGTCGGGGAGCTGGGTAATGTAGCATTGCCATCGCTTCCCCACCTTTTTCGACCAATTCTGAGGAGGGACGGTGATGGACCAATAAGGGTGCTTGACACTTCGGAAGCTCGGAGTAGTGAATTCCCCTGTTTCCCTGTATCGTTTGAATTGCGCCTTGTACGCTTCGGCCAATTCTTGCATGGTCGCTTCTCGCACCGAACATGGCGTGTCTTTGAGGTGGCGGAGCTTGCATGGGAACCGAGACATTTTGCATGTGACAAAGTTCTTTTTCAGTGCTTCAAAGTTGATGGGAATGATGGTCTTTCCGTGCTTTGCGTACTGCTTCCGAAGTACTCCGAGTACCCAGTTGTATGTCTTTCGGGCCGAGTGCATCCATTCCTTGAGTGTCTTCTTTTGTCCAGCCGTAGGAAAAATGCGGACGCGCCATGTTCGCTGGACGTGACCCTCGGGAATCATTCTCTTGCTACGGCGTTGAACTTGTGTCCGTATGGAGTCCGTATCGGAGGAAGATCCCAAAGCAAGGAGCTGCAATGAGACATGGAAACGCTGAAAGTCACGTGATTCGCTCGCCCGATGTTTTTTCAACCGCCTATAAAAAGCAGCCAGTTCCATTTTCCGTCCGCCGCCAATCTGCGTATCAATCTCGATCCAGTACAGTGTGCTTGGTGCTTCCAACTAAGGCACACCCGTACGCTGCCAGGTTGTTGCCGGGTCGCTGCCGGGGCGTTGTCTATACTGGCGACACTGTTCTTGGTGCGCTGTATACACATCCCACCCCGGCTTCGACTGTTCAACAGGTGAGCATCCTCAATACGGCATGGAGGAGTTCGGACAGCAGAGGAAGTAGGGACGGGGGCCCTCACCTTGTTCAGTGACGATATATATGACCCAGTTAATGAGTCAGAACGCCCCATGTCGAAACATTCATCGCATTTAAGTTTCAGCCTTGACCGAGAACTATTTGGGCCCCACTACACTTCCTCTCTCTTCTCTCTCGAACGTTCCCTTTACATCGGCTGGGAGAATCGTTGGATTGTTAGGGGCTTCATTTGCTGATCGTCTTCTGTTTACTGTCCCACAAGATGTTTAGGTGACACTCCTTTCCGGGGCTGGTCCACTACACGACTGACCCTTCGTAGCTAACTACTGGTGAGTGCATTTGCCAATCCCCTGGTTACTGCGAGGAAGCAAAAGAGCCGGGATCGTTGGAAGGCAGCCGGGATTGATGAAGCTATATTGACGGGCGGACAGAACTGTGTTAGTACAAACACTATTTACAATGTTGAACGTCAATGTGCTGACTCGTGCTAAGGCGAACGAGATGCGGAATGAACAAATTCACCCCGACAATGTCACTGACATCCTCTCTTTCGCAATCAGTTCTTGTAGGTCTTTTAGGAGCCGCTGCCGCCATATGACAGTTTATTTTTGCCGACTGTTTTTCATGGTAAGCATCACACCTCCCCATCCCGGAAAGGACGGGAGAGATGCCCCAGATTTCGAATGATTAATACTGTTAGTCTGCAAAGACAGACCACTTACCATGGTGATTCAAATAACGTTCGGTTCATCAATGACGAAATCTGGTGGCTCTCGTCCCTGTTCCTTCCCTCGAGTGTTGAATGTCACACGTTGATATGCCATCCTAACTTTCGTAAAGTCTTCCTTAGGTCTTCGACGAATGCGTTCTCAAGGTTTCCGTCTCCTCAAGAATATCCCATTGGAATCGGGTCGTTGATGAGAAGCGACTGGGACAAGAGGGTCTGTCAACGTATCAGCGCCAGCGGCACTCACGCCTCCACTCCAATGAGGGTCGCACAATGCGAGGCCGCTCACTCTTCAGATCACGTTGACTTGATACCGCCTGTTCCAGTCCCTCGCATTCAGGCCCCATAGCGCCGGAACAATCTCACTCTTTCTTAGTGGGGGGAAGTCCGCCGATTGCTCCGTTTGGCGTTGGCTTCCCTACGTGAGCGACCGGCAAGAGCATGTAAGAACGCAGATTCGCTAACACAGCGACTTTATTATCCGTGTCCTGCGTTTGATAGTAGACTGCGGGACAAAACCCATATGATGTGTAGACTTGGTGCTTGAGGAATGAAAAAAAAATGAGAAAGATACTACTCAAGTGTTGCGTTGACGCTGGAAGGCGGATGCCTTTGGCACCTCGTTCATGTGCTGCTTCGAGTTTCCGCTCTTGGGCTCTTGCTCATTGGCGAATAACCCATCAGGTTAACTTCGGAGATCGGACGGGATCCGGTCCTTTCTGGTGTGTATGGCCGTAGTTATCAAGTCCTGAGTTGTTGCGAGTTCTCAACGAACCGGTCTGTTCGCCATCATTATACTAGTCCGACAACGGGGGGCATGATTCCACATCCATCAACGGCAAGATTCAAACATGTCTCCATGAGTTGCTGATATATTACACTTGACGTACATCAGGTGGTTTCTCTCAGTATTCACAAAAACATGAAATAGGAAGACCACAGAATCCTCTATATCCGTCCCCGTTTCCCAAAATCCCCTTTGTCGACTCCCACAAAATACGCGCATATGCAAACCCGGTGTGTACTAATAGAGGCGAGGGGGGTGAGTGAAGGGTCCGAACGCCTAACCTAACAGAGCGCGGCCCTCCTCAATTAGGGGTGAAGAAGAGTTTGCAGGATGCGCCGTCGATATTGATTGTTCAGGCGATGAAGTGCGCGGGCATGAAATCATTCTTGCGGTCGTGCCGGAGCGGAGCCCGGTCTTTCTAGCATATGGGCACAGCTTCCAAAAAGGTAGGTTGCATATCTTCCAATGTGGAGGTCGCACGAGGTTTCGTAATGAGCCTCGCAGATAGGCGAGGGAGGTTATGTGCTGCGGACGATAATTGCGCCAAGGTTTTGTTGGGGACACCGAGATCTTGCGGCGAGAGCGATGCCGGGTATACTCCTCCACCGATGTGGCTGTGACTGGCGGGATATGGCGCCATGCTTCATGGTGGGCCGTCTAGGTTCGAGACTCGAATTTCAATTCATGGGTGCTCCATGTGGTGCCCTGACGCCATTCTGTAACTCCTTCATGTGGCGAGCGGGCTACGATGCTGAGCACCCGTTTGCAACTTCGCATTCACCCCAAAGAGTTTGTCGACGTCCTTCTTCAACCGGGCCATCTCAATCTTGACTTCCTGCTTCGGGGTCAATGCCACTCTCTATTGAACATAGATTTTGCCATGAAAAGTTAGTGTCAAAAGTATCTCAGCGCTGCGCCGGACCAAAGTGGAAAAAACAAAACGAACCTGATCGTTCATCTCCGAAAGAGCAGACCGTGCGAGATGATCGCCAAGGGTGTGGATAGCGTTATCGCGCGACATACTCCGCGCGCTGGGGAAATAGGTGTGTTTCCCACGCACAGAACCGTCTTCAGAGTCGGCCGTGTCAGAGAAAGCTTTGCGGCCAGTCAGTCCCTCATCGTCGCTCTGCGACCGGTCGGACCAAGGCGAGGTGGGTTCGTTCAGAACCATAGACTGCCGGACCTTCTCGTACCGACCGTAACGATGCAGGAGTGTGGTGAAGCTGCCGTATGGCTTCGCGACAGGGTAGGAAGTGGGAGTTAGGAGCGTGGTGAACGGATCCCCACCACCAAAGCTGGAGACTGATCTGCCTTCTGAGATGACCGAAGGCGACGTTGCTGAAATTGGGGATGATCCGTACGGAGACGACATGATGGTTTCGTAAGATGCAGATTCCTATTTTCTCTTCGTACGGCGCTCCGCTCCCTGTCCTATCTTGCAAAGCGCCAACTCAGGCCTGTAGTATGCCTGAGTATGTGCGATCCAGCTCGATATCGCCACAAAATCCCACCCCGACTGTGCCGCGGAATTACGAAGAATACAGCTCTCTTGAAGCTGACTGCGCGAGATCACGGATTGTCGTATACACAGATACGAGATCTAATCCTGCTGGCCTGTATCGTAGTTAAATAGCGTTTGCGAACTGTATCGACTAATCGAACTGCTTCGGCTGTGGGATGTCGAGGAATCTCCTGAATCTCTCAAGGTGGTATGAAGAGCTATAAACTTTGATGTAGAGCACGTGGTTGTCCCGAGATTTATTAACTGACAGCACGACTTCTCCGCTCGCTGTCAAAGTTTAATCCCCGAACACTGAGGTCAGCACCGTTGCCCCCCCGCTCAGTATATTTCGCAGCACTGGAACTCTTCCAACGACAAACACCTTGCGGCATTACGCAATACCATCTTACGACCATACTTCAAACTCCAAATCACAGATCCTCTGGGTGTCCTACCTCTCGCTTAACATTCCATTACAACTCATCACTTATACTTTCAAACCACAAAACAATAATGTCCCTCGGGTAAGGCCGTACTGCCTTCTACTGCCAGGTTCTCTTTCCGTATGCAGTTTTTCACATATTTCTTACATCCAGCGCTCAATCATTGTTTGACGACTTCAATTCCTCCTCGGAGGACGAGGATTTCGCTCCTGCCTTTTCTTCCGATGATGGGGACTTCAGTCACTCTGAGCCCGACGCAAGTGACGGTAAGGCTTGCACCTTTTGGTGGTTGCAATTCTCGATAATTCCTCCATCGCTCCAATGCTCCTCCTGCTTTCGAATTGCGTCTGATACTTTTATGGCATTTTGCTCGGACTGACCACAATCAGACGACAACGAAGCTGCCAGTCCCATTTTGCCAGCTCACAATGGGAAAGCAGGCAAGCGCAAGCGAACGGACGGCAGCAAGTCCCCAACAAAATCCAAGAAAGCGAAAAAGCAACCCAAACCGACGAACAAAGCCAAAACCAACAAATCAAAGAAGCGAGCCGGCCAGTCAGATGCTTCCTCCGAGTCCTCAGCCAGTCGCGGCGTGACGCAGAAGCAAAACGTCAAAAGCGAAAAGCGAGCAGAGTCTGAGGTTTCCTCCGACTCCTTGACCAGCGGCGAAGCCGCCCCGAAGGAGAACGGAAAAGGAAAGAAGCGGGCCGCGGATTCGGAACCTTCATCGGACACCTCTGCTACCCGTCCATCCAAAAGACGCAAGGCCGGTGCACCCAACACTGACACAATGGCGCTTTTAAAGGCTTTGGAGGAGCAGGACGATTATGATGAGGAAGATGATGAGGATTTCGTTCCGCGAGAGGACCTGGATGATGATGATGACGACGGGGACGATGATGAGCATACAAATGGAGAGGAATCAGGTGATGACGAGGAGGAGGATGGGAGTGATGCGGAAGAGGGGGATTTAGAGGAAAGCACTAAAGAGGGCATCACTGGGGGAGGTTTGACAGCCAGTGAGTATCTGCAAACCACCATCTTTCTCCTGGTTGAAGCACAGTCCTGACGCTCTCCTCCTCCCCCACCAGTGTCAGCACTCTTAGGCCCAGGGAACACGTACCAGCGCTTCCCAGTTGCTATCCCCATTTTCTCGCCGGAGTTTAACGCATTCATGGACCGCAGAATTGAGCGTGAGGCGATAGCGTCGAAAGAACTGGCCGATGTCACTGCCACCCTCAAGACCATCCGTGCCCAATGCACCTCACTCACCAGCACGCGAAAGGAGCAGATCAAGCGAATCCAGGTAGCACAGGAGGATAGGGATGCAGGAATCCAATATATAACCTCCATCCAACGTGCTCTGGCAGATGCGTTGTATGAGGGCGTGTTGGGGTTGGTGGCAGGGGTTGGGAAAGACGCACAGCCGCTGGGGAAATTACAGGGTGCCCAAGTTGCTGCTTTTCTCAAAGCGTTCAAGGAGAAGGTGGCGGGGACGACTGAGTGATGGGGGGCGGGGGCGGGGGAGGGGAAGCGGGGAAGTCTTACAAGTCACTGGAAAGGCGCCAGGGCTCAGAAAGTTACTCGACATTCCACAATAGACAACATAGACAAACGTAGATTGCACAAGTAGGCTGTTTGAAACATATATTGATGTTTGAGTCAATACTGTAAGAAGGAACGAGGGAGCGAAGCGCGTACTGCGTGGTAGGTATAAAGAGTGGAGGGCACCACACGCCGCGGGGCGAACCCATGAACGTCGGAAGGAGGTCCGGGAATCAGCTTTCGTCCGCGCCGAGCGTGTCGTATGACTTTGCCGGAGTCCGCTGTATGGTGTGAGCGGGTGGAACAAGCGGAGAGCGGAACTGGGTGGTTTAGTGGTGATGATGTTCTTGCTGAAATTGGAGTCCACAGTAACCTGGAAGTCCAATCGAAGGAGGAGGAGAACGGGGATGTGAGCGAGGCGGCCGTACGTACGAGGGCAACATTCCAATCTGGTCCAGAGGCAGATGGCAGAAAAGCTCAAGAAGGGGTTCCTTCCCTTCTCTCACGATTTTTGCCTAGACTACTTACCGCACGCTTGTGGCTCGTTCTTATCCTGCAGGTGACGATGGCAATTGCGTAAGGGGATAACAATAACGTTAGTGCACGAAATGCCAAAAGTAGGACTCGGCCCAATCGCTCCTATCCACGCCCCTCTCCACAACGGCCTTTGCATGTGCATACCAGGTTCAAATACACTTTCGGGTGACCAAGAGCTCCGCCTCCTATGGAACACGGAAAAGGTGGCATGAGAATTACATGGTCAATGTAACATTTCCGAAAAGTGTGTGCTTACCTCCATCGCAAGACACTCTCCGTGCCTGCACGAACTTCACAGGGACCTTGGAAATCAGGTCTTGGGCGGACAGTGGGTTGGGCTGTGTACGGAAGGCGAGAAGAAGCAAAAGCCGATTGAGTGGGGTATCCAGACATACGAACGGCCAACTTCTCATCGACAACTCTAACAGCAGCACCAGCATTCCCGACTCGTCGCCTCCAAGGATTCGTCTCCGCGTCCGACTTTCTGCTCCCTTCCCCTCTGCGCCGAACCCCGCAAACTATACAGTCTTGAAATACATTCTTCATACCTGCAACGAGAGATCGGTTTGTTCGAAGCGTGGGCCGACCATAGCCGCACTCTTGTCTTGTTGGTGTTCACTCCATTTGGCGGCTCTGTTCGGCGCTTGGGTAATGCTGACGGATGCGGCGGCGAGTGGCGGTTTGGCTTGCAGGGCGGCGGAGGTGGACATCCGGCGAAGACCAGCAGCGGTCACCCTGTGGGAGGCCCGAAGAAACTGCATGGTAGGGGTGTATGTACTGTAGGTGTTGCAGCTGTCTCGAGGGAGGATGGTGGACTTCTTCAACTGCGAGTTCCAACGCCACGCGACGTCTTTCGCAGAGGCTTTCAAGGGCTTCACATTCAGGAACAGACGACTTGCCAACGACTCCGAGTCCCAGAGACCTCAGGCCACATAAACCCGTCCAGCATCCCGCCTCCCAGCCCCAAGCCTGGTGGCCCCAAGCAACGCTTTCTCAACACCCAACAGCGTGTCCGTATCCCCCCTTACCGCGACACAAAATGGAACCTCCAACTTCCCGCCTGCGTCCACCAACAACATCAGCCAACCCCTTCGGCGCAGGAGTACGCAGACCCATCCCTTCCCACTCCGGTCCCAACGTCCAAGACGACGACGAGGAAGGCGATGAAGTCGCTCAACTCGTAGCCCTGTCCAAAAGGACCCTGGAGGTGCAGGAGGAGAGCGCGGCGTCGACCGCAAGGGCATTGCAGACCGCGTTGCAGGCCCAGAGTGTTGGGGATGAAAGTTTGGTGTTGGTCCATGCTCAGGGTGGTTAGTATAGAGAGGGGCAGAGAGGGAATCAATCGATGCTTGGACGAATCTTCCCGACCCAATCCTAATCTTGAAAACGCACTTCTCTCTCTCATAGAACAATTACAGTCCATCCTCAATAAAACAGACGAAACATCCCACGGCATCAAAGTCGCAAAAGCCCGCACGAACTTCCTCGACAAACTCTCCGACTCCTTCCTCAAACCCGTCTTTGGATCCGAGAAGCAAATCAAACCTTTCACGCCATCCAGCAACACATCTTCAAATACCCCACCATTAGGCCCGACAGGCCAGCCCTTGTGGGGAAAACGAGGCAGCAGCCTCGCCCCAGACTCATATCTTTCCCCCAACTCAAACGCCATCTCTGCCAGCGCTGAACCAAACATCAACCGCAACAGCAGTGTAATCATTCCCAACGCCCTGGGTGACTGGGCATCGACAGAAGACCGCGCCCAATCCAATGTATACGAACAGCAGATCGACGATAATTTGAGCCAGATTGGAAACGTCGTACGCGGGCTGAAGGAGCGGGCGCTGGCAGTGGGAGAGGAGGTGGGGCGGCATGGGGAGATAATAAGGAAGACCGAGGACAGTGTTAGCGCGCAGACGGAAACGCTTAGAGGGGTTAATCGGAAGCTGGGGAAGATTTTGAATAAATGAGCGTTGATGTGGAACGAGCGAAAGGAGGGGCATTCGTGGTGTAGATAGTGTACATATATAGCGTAGCATACCATCTGGCATTTTCAATTATTAGTGCTTTCGTAAGAATATGGACCCAGGAGCGAGTTGCCAGGAGCGAGTTGCACGGATGCGAATTTTCCATTTTGGAAGCGGGGAGTCGACCGTTGGCCGCGAAATATGTAAGGGAAGAGCGCGTTCAAGCCAGAAACCGTTCTGGTGAGCTCAGGGCAATTGTGCAATTGAACGACCTAACGCACGAAGCCCAGGAACATACTGAAAACCCCAACAGAGCTACCATAATGGCAGCTACAACTACTTCAAAGGGAGCCGGTCGGCGGCGGGCACTGGGCTTCCTGATAGTCATAACCCAAACCCTCCTCCATGCAGTCCGAGGCGCAAAGTTCTGCGGCAAGTCCCCATTAACCCCCTTCCCATCCCCCCGCTCAACTCTAACACCACCCCCAAAACCTCCAGCCGCAGACTTCTACGTCCCAACCCTCCCAAACATGGAGCCCAACGTTACAGAAGTCTTCAAAATGCACGCTGGGTAAGCATGCTACCGGCGATGATCTTGGAATTATTGCAACCGCGTTCTGAAGATACTTCATAGGAATTTGCCTGTCACGGAGGCTGAGGATCAGCAGTTGTTCTTCTGGCTTGTGCAGGCGAGGAATAACTTGCCGAGGGATAAGTTGGTGAGCAGGGCGCGGTTGGAGGGAGGGGTGTCTGCTGAAGGAGTGGGGTTCTGAAATGTTGTGTGATTAGGTTATATGGATGAATGGGGGCCCAGGATGGTAAGAACGGGGAGCACGGAGTTTGGTGGCTACCATCTCGATAAAAACGCTGAGGCACTCTACGGTCTCATGTCGCAACCGGACGTGTAGTTCAAGGTAGGAGCTAACGATTGGTGAGGGTACGACAAACGTTTGATCTGACTCCCCCATCCCAAATATAGCATGGACGGAATGCTCCTAGAAAATGGCCCCTTCAAAATCTCCTCTTCCGGCACCGTGCATGTGAACCCATACAGCTGGGTGCACAACGCGAACATGATCTACGGCAAGTGGCATGCCTAATGACCGCTAGCGCATGATAGGGACCCGAGGATAACCGTTGTGAACACAGTCGACCAGCCTGTAGGCACGGGGTTCTCCATAAGCAACGGCAAATTCGACGGGAGCTTGCCTGAGGTACGTTCCTGTGAATTCAAGGGGCACCGAGGGTGGTTGAGCTCAAGTCATCTTTCGATCCAGGCAGCATCACATTTCGTAAACTTCCTAGAGAACTTCTTCATAGCTTTTCCGGAGTACCAAAACAGCGAGGTACTCCAACGTGATCCCGCGTCCCCAAAACCGCCGGGCATCTATCTTATGATCCATTCCAGCTGTATCTTGCGGGAGAAAGCTATGCAGGGCAGTACATCCCATACACCGCGCAGGAGATCTTGAACCGGAATAAAGCGGGGCAGAAGGTGATGGAAGGTGATTTGAGAAGCGGAGACGGGATGGGCATTGACACAGTGTATCGCCCCGCAGCCCAAGTTGGATCTTAAGGGCCTGATGATTGGGAATGGATGGATAGATCCATTACGGCAGGTGAGTGCATACACCCACGCTTTGAAACATAGACGAGGGTGATAGATAAATGGAAATTTGCGTTTAGTATGGGTCATACATCAAGTTCGCCGAGCTTCACAATCTTCTCAAGATTCCAGAATATAAGGTACCGTCTTCGATCGATCCGACATTTTCGAGGCAACGTGATCGATCTGCTGATGCGTTTGGGCATAGCAAGCAGCGGATGCGGACTGGGAGCTGTGCAAGAAGGCCTACGAAAAGGAGGATCGGCTCAAGACGCGTGTGTGTGAACGGATCATGGACCATATTTTGGCCGAGTCGAGAGAAGGGTGAGGATAACCAGGACGGGACTCTGTTGGACCGGGGAGAATCTTTGAATTTGACTGTTTGAACAACCTCCAGCGGCCAAGTCTGTCTGAACATGTACGACATCCGCTACCGCGACGGGAACAGGTGCGGGCTCGGGTGGCCCAGCGATTTGGGTTTCGTTACCAACTACCTTGCGGTACGCCCCCCTTCTCCCCACCCCCGCTTCCAAATCGGAAAGTTTCACTTACCTACTGGGTTATGTGTCCGCAGAAACCAGAACTCCGAAAAGCCCTCCATGCGGACCACGGAACCGGATGGCATGAATGCGATGGAAGCGTGTATGACGGATTTGACAATGATAAGAGTCCGCCTTCGTATACGGTGTGTTGCCGCCAATCAAGTTTGGGAAGGAGGATGACATGGTGGTCGCTTACCCCTCTTTTCCCTCTGGTTAGCTGCTTCCGGATCTGTTGAATGAAGTCCCAATCACGTTGTTCAAGTAAGCGACCTGCGAAACCATGCCCACCCAAAAACACGATTGAGCTGCTCCCCCGAAACTCAAAACTCCCCACTCTCCCTTAGCGGCGACAAAGACCTAATCTGCAACTGGATCGGCACCCACACCATGCTCGAAGGCCTCGAATGGGGCGGGCGTACCGGTTTCGAAGTACGCTTTCCCTCCCCTCCCCTCCCTCCCTTCCCACCCAACTAACCTCTGCCCTTCCCCACCCGACAGGACTCCAAAAACTACAAATGGCTCATCTCAGGCACCCCAAAGGGCACCTACGAGATCGTCAACAACCTGACCTACGTCATCATGCACGACGCGAGCCACATGGTTGCGGTGGACCAGCCCGTGGCGAGTTTGGATATGTTCAATCGGGCGTTGAGGGTTGTGGAGGGCGGGATCGAGTCTGAGCTGGTTGGGGAGGTATGAGGCCGGTTTTTGGAGGTGTTTTTTTCTTTGTTTGTGGGGAGGGATGCGGGAGCTATTTGGTGGGTGATTGCTCCCCTTGACAATCTCCGCGATGGGTTTTCTAGAATGTGTTGACACCCGCACCTGGTGAGAAACCGACCAAACCGCCATCGTCGACGCCGTTGCCGGATACGGACGCCGGGGAAGGCGAGCCTGTTGCGGGGCACTATTACGCGTACGTACTGTACATCCCATCCATCCCCCTCCTTTCCCTGCTATCCGATCCACCCCTCTCACACCACTTTCGCACCCCCCCCCCCCCCCCCCCCCCCCCCACCCAAACAGCGGCGCAATCCTCCTAATCCTCATGCTCCTCGCCCTCGCCCTCTGCGGCGCCTACCGCATGCGGCACAAGTTACCCGGGCTACGCGGTATACTGCGTAACTTTATGCAAACGGGTGGAGGCGCCGTGGGGCCGAGGAACGGGAGCAATTGGCATGAGGTGCATGGCGATGAGGAGGCGTTGTTTGTGGCGGAGGATTTGGATGGGGTGGGGATGGAGAACATGAGGTAGACACGTGGGGGTTGGTAGGTGGGGGGGGGGGGGGGGGGGGAGGGGGAGGATGAGGGGTGTTTATGGTGTCGGGAGGGATAGATAACCTACCCGCATTTCTGTCGCCTGAGGCAAGAAAGCAGGGAGTGTGTTGTACTCTCATTTTGTATACTGTACATGTAAAGACTTAGACGGATATAGCGTGCCAATTCCAACTCGCGGTCTCCCCAAACCCCGCCAACCACTGAAAAAGACGAACAAGATGGGGTATCTCAGCAACAGCCATAGATCATTCTTATATGTACAGATTCTCGCTCGTTGCCTTGCGAAAAGGCGTTGCGAGGTGGGGCCCGCTAGTGATTCGCCCTCCCCGGTTAGCTATAGCTTCCTAACTGACACTACACCCACACGCATTTCAAAAAATCACGCCGCCTCGCATTCGGGGGAAAAAGGGGCGGGGGCCCTCCTCGCTCAAGCCGAGATAGCCAACTCGGTAATCAACCGCGCACACGCGTCAAAGAACGCATACACGGTGCGACTTCCGTCTTCTTCGTCTTCCGCGGGTGGCGGTGGTGTATCGGGCCCCGTCGTCGGAGTCGTCGCTTTCGCAGGTGTATCTACCCCAACCGCATGCGTCGCGGATACCGGTCCCACATCAGTTGTAGGTATCGTCGTCTCAACGGACGACGGAACAGCGGGATCCCCCCTACCCCCCGCCGCCGCCGCCGCGATTTTTTCCGACAACGTGATCCTTGTTCCCCCCGGTACAACCGCAGGCGTCCCCATCGCGTCGCCCGCGTTACTCGCGTTCTTGAAATCGACGAGATAGTTGTTGGATTCGACCTGATATAATTGTATGTCGAGCTTGACGACGTGGCCGCCTTTGCAGTGGTAGCGGCAGCGGATGTGGTAGGAGTCTACTGTTCTCCATTTCTATAAAGGAATCGCGGGGGTTAGGGTAGGATACATGAGCAGGCGACAGCGGGAAAGAAATCGCCAACGTACCATCCCGATATTCTTCAAAGCCTTATATATCTCCAACATAATATCGCTCGGATCGCTCCGGCTCCTGATCCCGAAATGCCACTTCGATCTCGTCTTGTGCCGCGCGCGTTGGCCTATCCCCGGTGGGGCGGCGGTCACTTCTGGTTTGGGCAGGCTAGAGGACAGCACCTGGATGGAGGATGCGGTTGGTGGTTCGGAGGGGGTTGGTGTGCCGGTGCGGTGGAGGGGTGAGGGGGACGGGTTGCGTTTTGGGGGGGCGGCGTTCCAGGCGGGTGGGGATTCGGAGAGGAGGTAGTGGTGGAGTGTTTTGTGTGGGGATCTTCGCACTGAAAGAAAGGGACCACGTGTTAGACGCGGTATGGATGTAGTAGAGACCTTCTCTCCGTTCTCACCTCCCGCAAGCATCCGTCGATGATCCAATCCCAGCTCATAAGCCACCTTAATCTGATTGTTCTCACTCTCCTTAAGCGCAACCATAACCGTCTCCTTGCTATACCCCATCTTCTTCGCAATCTCAGTAGCAATGCTATCATCAATATCTCCCGATATCAGCTGCGGGATGTCAGGCAGCGGCTGCAGATAATCCGGCAGGCCCTTCTTGAACCAGTCCAGTTGTCTGATCTGAGCGATCGTCGCTCGTTTGAGTGGGTCGACTATCAGCATCGATTGCAGGAGGGATTTGACGGGGGAGGAGAGGAATGAGGGCAGGGAGAAGATGCCGCCGTTGATCTTTTTGAAGAGAGCGGGGATGTAGTCGTCGTCGAATGGGAGTCGGCCGCAGAGCATCACGTATAGTATGACGCCGCAACTCCATACGTCGACCTCTGACCCTGCGTATAGCCTGTGACCGGAAAGCTTGTCAGGGGCCAGTGCCTGCCTGCGAGAATGCCAAGTTCAGGGCGCCAAGTAACTTACTTTCCGTTGATCACCTCAGGAGCGGCGTAATTTGGGGATCCACAACTCGTCCGAAGGAATTCACCGTCGCTCATGATATTTGACAGTCCAAAATCAGCGATCTTCACTTGATCGTACTCGTCCAGCAAGACATTTTCGGGTTTCAAATCTCTGAGGAACATGGTTTCAGCATCAGAATCCGAGCTTTTTGAATGGAGAAGAACCAACCTGTGAACAATCTTATGTCTATGGCAGTACTCGACCGCGCATATGATTTGCTGGAAGAACTTTCGAGCGTCGTCCTCTGACATCTAGAAGAGAGATATTGGTTTGCCGATTGCGTGAATGTCTTTGAAAGGACCATCCCTGACGTACCCTTCCTCGGTTGACGATGTAGTTAAAGAGCTCTCCGCCTGCATACTCCATCACCTGAGAGTTGCAAACCTTCAGTAAACCTGGGCATGCCTTTAGAGAGCAGCGCCTTCACTCACCATGATAATATCTGTCGGAGTCGTTATAACCTCATATCTACGGAGATATGTCAAAGCCTGTTAGCGCAAAACCCGTTGATCATTTTACCGATTGCACAGTCCAGACGTACAGTTTGATAATGTGTGGATGCCGCAATAGCTTGAGATATTGAATTTCGCGTTTCACTCGTCCCACCATGTCCATAGTTGCGATTCTCCTCCGATTGATGATCTTCAGAGCGACCTTATGTCCCGTGTGGGAATGAACGGCCACTGAAAGAGAGATAGTCACATCAGTCTACGGCGCTGTTTTGATGGATGTCCCACCCGCAGTCAGAAGCCCCGACCGTTCGCTGCCTTCCACAGTCCTGCTGTTTTCAGGTCCCCATTCACGCGTGAGCTCTCCAATTCCCTTGAGATCCTTTCATGATCCCGCCCCTTCGCTCTTGAATGTACTCGCGCCGGACCCAGCTGGCCCTTCTTCAGTCAAAGTCTCCGGAGATTGCACTGATCTATCCTTATCGCGTGCATCACCAGAGCTGATGCTCATAGCCCGCTTTCAGGGGTCCCATCTTCTCATTGGTGCAGCTTGCGCCACGTTTCCTCGCTGCATGCAAGCTTCGCTAGCTACGATGACTCCCGTCTGAAGCGCTCAACAGGCTTCCTCCCCATTGGCCGTACAGAGTTGTGCCACGGCTAGTACTCACGTTTCACCTTTCCAAAGCTGCCCACACCAAGCGTCTCCAGGAGGACATAGTTCCCGACTTTGATCTGAGTACTCGCCATGTCGGTGGCTGAATGGCTATCATGCGGCGGCTGGGTGGGAATCTACGACCTTCTATGGCTTTTCGATTTTGTGTGACAGCAGCAACCCGTTCTGCTCTCAGTGGAGTTGACCGTCTGAGCGTGGCTTCTGGATGTAGTTGGGAAGGTTAGCAGGGAAAGGCCTCGTAGGGTTTGAGGGTAAGACTTTTTACCTCGATTGTCGAGTCGACACTAGCGGGTGTTGCGCGCGCTTGCTTGGGACGGAACAGACAAACGTTCGAGGTTGTTGGCGGAGCAATGTACGCAAGACCAGGGGGGTATCGACGAGTTGTAAGGCACGGTAGGTGCAGTATGTGAGAGAGTAGGTGGTGGGAATTGGCTGAGACTTTGGCGAGTGTTGGTCGAAGGGTGGACGCCTCTTTGCGGTTGCTGCTCCCTTCCCATGTGTTCCTTGTTCCCCTTGTTCCCTCGCAGAGTAGATGATGATGACATCAAAGGCGTGGGACCGCACTGGAGAACACGCCCCACGCAACTGTTGACAGGGGGGCCCCTCGGAGAAGAGGCTTCGACAGCGCGTCACCCCCCTCCGTCCCGCTCGCTCCCGCTTGGGGGGGACACTCAGCGTTCACTGAGAATACGCCCGCATCTTGGTTGCACAATACAGCAAGGACTCGCTTCGCTCAACGGGCCCGCAAACTCAGAGAAAAGCCTTCTTGCCCCAAGGAGCTTGCTATTCCCAGGCGGAATCGCATAGCACCTCGCGATTCACTCCGACGCGGCCTGAATCGAATGGCAGGGCCGGAAAGCACGGGAGCGCCAAGCAGATCCGCCGTCGCTCCACTCCCCGCATTTGACGGCATTCAGCAACTCCCACTATTCATCGATCGAATCCCTCTATTCGAAGACGATGCCTCCGATGAATATGATTTCCTCAGTCGTCGGAAACCACTGGTCGCCGGCGAGTCGCCAATGCGGAGCGCAAGTCCCACCAGGGGTGGCAGAAGTCGACCAGGCTCTGCCAAATCCCGCCGTCAATCCACCGCTGTAGCACACCCTCCCAACAACCGAGGAGTGATCGGCCATCGAGCCCCGAATCCCGACTACACGAACGCTCGCTCGCTCGGGACATGGGCCGAGGTGCGGAAGGACATCGAAGCGATACTCGATGCCCCTGGTGGGGGACGAGGCGGCGGATCAAGTGGTGGTGCGGGTGCCGAAGGCAGATCAGACTCGGCATCCTCCTCGCGCGCATCAACACCTACCCCAACTTCCACTACCCCCGCCGGACACTCATCGACCATCTCGTTTGGGCTGTCGCACCAACAAACGATCCCGACATCGAACGCCCTGGTGCGGAACATCTTACACGTGCCCGCCGGACTGGCGCCGTATACATTCACCCCGACTCCAGAAGTCTGGGCCATCTGCGATGAGATGGGGGTTGGGATATGGTCAAGAGGCAGGGGGAGACGAGTGAATGGGGCTTGGATGGCCAAGGGCATTGTGGGTTGGAAGGCTGTTGCTGGATGGGCGGTGGTTGCAGGGGGCGACATGTGCTTGCGGGTAGGTGCGTGCTGGATATACCCATGCGTTTCTTCTTCGATATTGGAACGCACTCATGCATAATATCTCTCGATAGGTCTTGGACTCGCGCTTTGAGGAAGTCTCGTGCTTGAGCGTCGGCAGGCCTATACTATTGTGAGAGCCATTACTATCCTTCTGCCGATTTCGTTACAACTACTGACCATGTCTGTGGCAGCATCGACTGGGTTCCCGAGCGGAATGAGATTGTTACTGGCGAAGTCGGGTTCATCACAGTACGTGTGCATACCTTCCCGAGCCCAGTCGCTACCAGAAAACCATAACATGCTAATGCGCCTGGAACTCAGTTTTGGAGATTAGAGACCAAAGCGTGAGTATCCGGAGCGGCGTAACATGCGGCCTGATGATAATCTCTCACACTTCGAACGTCTTCGACACAGCATAGATCATCGAGACGTCCCAATCCCAACAGCACTCCGGAGCATCACCGACCTCGAAGAAGACGAATGGGTTTCGTTCGTACTATACGACCACGGCACCGAGCGATGTTACGCCGCCGTCGACTCCAGTATATATGCAAGTACACTGGGAGTCTTACCCGCAGTTCCCCTGCTTCAAGTACTGACTTCTGCGGGGTAGATTTTCGATTGGGTTACGGGATACAGAGTGGAATCCCTACGAAACGTGCACGAGATGAGCGTCGCCTGCTTGGCGTACCATCCCCGGCTAGAATACCTCTGCTCCGGCTCCAAAGATGGCGAAAGTAAGTTCACCCCCTCCTCCCTTCCATTACCCACCCACCTCCCTTCTAACGACCCATCCTCCCACCCACGCAGTAAAAATCTGGTCCCCCCAGTTCCTCCCCCTCTACACCTTCAAGCTCCCCAACAGCGTCACCTCCCTCCTCCTCATCGCTCCCACCTCCCCCTTACTGATGAGCGGCAGTCTAGACGGGAGCGTGCGGATCTGGGATCTCGAGCGTGGGAAGCAGACGTACAAACGGAACGTGCGCGCGGATGTGAAGGGGTTGGTGTGGGTTGGCGGGGAGAGTGTGGGCGTGTGGGGGAAGAGGGATGTGGAGGTGTGGGGGGTTGGGAGGGTTGGCGGGTGTTTTGTGGGGACCAAGTGAGTATTTCTCTCTTGATGCCGCTTTTGGCAGAGTTGTTCCCTTGATGTGTCGGAGTGGGCCACCAGAACGAACCGACGAACCCCACTCACTATCACCCCACCAGCGCAACCCCCCAGACCCTCTCCATCCTCCGCCACCCCACCCACCCCCCGCGCCTGCTCACCTCCCTCTCCGACAACTCCATCAAGCTCTTCTCCCCGACCACCGGCGCAACCCTCACAACCTGTTTCCCCGTCCACAAAGACGTCTCGATCCTCTCCGCCGCCGCCGACCTACACCATGGCTTCATCTACGGCCTGCTGTCCTCGGGCGAAGTCGCGGTGTGGGAAACGGGCAGGAGCAACCCGGCCGTGTTGAAGGGGGTGTGGGAGGAGATACAGCCGAGGGATCGGTGTGCGGCGATTTGCGAGGTGGATATTTATAATTGGAGGGGGTTGGGGAGGAGGTTTGGGAGGATGTTTTATCTGGGGGTCGGGTTTGAGAGTGGGGGGGTGGGATGGGTTGGGGAGGGGGGGAGGTTGGAGGGGTGTGTGCAGGTGGGTGCTGACATCTTCCGAACGGAAACCCACAGTGATGTCTGATCCCTGATGCTCTTTTGCCAGGCGCACACAGCACCCGTTTTGTTCGTCAAGTTCGATCCACAGAGATTATGGATGATATCCGGTGGACAAGGTACTGTGAGACCTCCGAAACCTGTTGCTGATAGCTCACCCTGTTTTCCAACCATCTCGCCCTCAGACAACACCATCAAAACCTGGCTCTTCGCCCCCGGCACGCCCACCCCGCACCAGCCCCACGCACGCCCCACCCTAACCCACCTCCACACCCTCACCACCACCTTCACCCTCCCGCCCACCCTCGCCGTCTCCCCATCGCGGTGCATCATCGGTCTTCCCGGTCCTGGTATCATCAAACAAGCGCGGTACGACGCCGATGGGGTTGTGGAGGGGCAGAGTCTGAGTGCCGATTTCGATGAACGGTTGGAGGTTGTGCAGAGTGTCGGGGATGTGGATTGGGGGGAGGGGTGGGGGCTGTGGGTCGGGGCGGTAGGATGCGCGGTGAGGGTTTGGGATGAGGGGGGGTTGATACGGTACGAGGCGTTTCATTGGCCAAAGGAGCGTGGTGTTCGATAGATTTGATAGATGTTTGTTTTTTTTTTGGGCAGAGAGATCCAATTCAACGAACCGATCCGCTCCGTCTGTTTCGCCAACACTCGCGGGGATATCTTTGTCGGGCTCCCGGATCAGATCTCTGTTATTCGGATGCAGGATTGTATGTCCTCCCCATTCCACACCCCTCCCCGCCCCCACATACCACTCAACCCCCATTCCGTTCTCTATTTATCCGTAGACCTCCCCTACGACCTCCTCAAGCTCGCCCTCACGCGCCACTTCCCGGACCCGATGAAAGAGGACCCACCGCCGTTCGACCCGACGATTGATTTCTGGGAGGGCGTTTATGAGCGAAATTTGAGGGAGAGGGGGACTGTAGGGTACTGGCATGTGAGGAGGTGTGTTGAACATTCGCTTTTCATGAGCGGAGATGGGGTGGAGTTCCGAGTGGGTGCTGATGGGTGGGGGTTTTTTTTTTCGCAGAGAGCCTGATCCGAGCGAACTGCAGAAACCGCAGGTCAGGAGTAAGGAGGAGACGAGGGAAAAGGATAGGCACAGTCGGGATGTCCATCGGGTAACGTCCCCCTCTTCATTGAGATATCCGCCCGTCGCATACCCCCTTCGTCTAACACCCATCGAACAGCGGCGCAACCGCCGCCTCTACCTCGAACTAGAACACCGCGCGTTCCTCAAGGCTCGCAAATTCGAAACAACCGCCTCCCCACATAAAAAACAAGTCTCTCCCATCCACACAGAAATGGAATCCGACGGCGAACACGATCTCGTCATCCTCAACCGACAGTCCAGCGAGGACGTCCTCGTCGAGCTGCTCCGAACAGAATCGCCGTCCGATCTGGTGGTGGAGGAAATGGTCCCACTCCCGCCTGAAGTGATCCACATCCCCCTCATGCCGCCCAAACCCAAAGGCCGGCTCTACATCAAGCCCACCTCCCGACGGCGGTCCGAGCGGTCCATCACACGTCCGACCCGGCCCGTATCCGAGAAGGAGACGATGAGTAAAGAAGAGGTGGATGCGAGGAGGCAGATGGTGAGAAAGACGTTGGAGAACCAAGGGGTCGTCATGCCGAATTCCAGTGTCACGCAGACGGTGACCCCGGCTAAGAAAAGCGAGGCGTTCCGACGACGCTCGATCGCCCCTCAACGCCCGCCATCGGCTGCGACGACGCCCGCGCCACCGGGGGAAGAGACGTCCGTGCCGCCGGTGAAGTATATTGCGCCGAAGAGGCAGCGGGTGCAGCGACCACCTGTCTTGGAACCGCCGGTCGAGGAACAGGAACCGGGGAAACCGTTACCGGTGGTGGTCGAGCCGCCCAAACCACCCACCCCCCCGCCGCCGCCGCCGCTCGTACAGCAAGGGGAAGACGACCTCCTCCTCCTCCCGCCACCGTCCCCACCCATGTTTGCCGAGATCGAGGTCGAGCGCCCGCCACGGCCGCCAAGACCGAAGAAAGTGCGGAAACATAAACCGAAAAAGCCGCCGCCGCAGGCAACGAAACCGCCGTTCGCGTTACCGCCGCCCCCGGTCATACCCCCCGCTCAGCCGAAGCGCCCACCCCCGGCGCCGAAACCCCCCGCGGTAGTCAAACCCATCATCGCGCCTCCACCGCCCGCACCCAAACCGGCAGTCGTCGCCCCCCCACCCGCACCTTCCAAACCCAAACCTAAACCCAAACCCAAACCAAACCCCATCATCGCCGTCCACCTCCCGCCCAAACCGCCCCCACCGCCGCCCGCACCATCGTCGCCCCCCGCGGAACAGGCGGAGAGCACCCCCCCAACCCCGCCATCGGAACCTGATTTCGTCCTGGAAGAAGTCACCGAGGAAGCCGCGGCCGCCTTCGCATGGAACCTGATCCGTGCGCGCGAGTTCAAGCGCGAGGAGGATATCCCACAGGAGCTGCGGAAAATGATGGGGATGTTCTGGTTTCCTCATCTTCAGGTAACGTATAACCCCCCCCCCCCCCTCATCTTCCTATTCACCCACCTCACCTCACCCGGGAAATCTAATAAACGGATGTATGAAAAAAAAAATAATAGGGCCAGAAACCGACGCTCCAAAACATCGTCCAGTCACTTCTACACCTCCTCCGCACGGGGCTCTGGCTCGAAAAGGTCGAGGCAGCAAAGGCTCTGTTGCTCCTTTTCCGCACGTTCCGGAGCGATTTCATTGATCCGCTGTCGACGTTGGTGCGGCCGCAGCTCGAGTTTATGGACGATCCGAGTTGGCAGGTCAGGGCGCAGCTGTGTTGTAATGTCGGGCAGTATGGTGTTGCCGGGGACGGGATGGAGGAGGTGATTGCGGCGCTGATGGGGAGGTTGGGGGATCGGGTGGAGTATGTTAGGTGAGTGGGTGCCGAATATCACTGATGGATGGGTTGGCTGTGGTGGGGGATCTGATGTGTTGTGGTTTTGTAGACAGGTAGCTCTGAGATCCCTCGCAACGTTCGGTATCAACAACAAGATGGATTTACACGCCGCCATGGTGCGGTGTGGGTTGCTGCCGGCCACAGTTCCCCCAGCAGATGATATTATGCTCAATGTAAGTTGGGTCAACATGATCATCGTGTTATTATTCGTTGAAGCATAGATTGATTTGAATTACTCCCCCCCCCCCCCCCCCCAATTAAAAAACAACCCAGATGATGCTGCTCATCCAACTGCAAAAACGCAACGACACCTATCAGGACATCACACAAGGGGTCGTCGCCTGGCTATCCTCCGTCGCACACTCAACAGGCTACGGCAACCGACAAAGACGCGACAGTTATTGCGAGCATCTCGCGGGCCCCTTCTTCCCACCGGACGCGCGGAAGAATGGGGATGGACCAAGGGGATCTCGACAGGCGTGGGAGGACGCGGCTGATGTTACGGGATGGGGGGACGATTCGGGGAAGAGCGCGTTGATGGCGGCGGAGGGGGATAGATGGGCAAAGAGTTTCCCGGGACGTACGACCGAGACGGGGTGGGAAAAATACATCGCCGCGCAGAAAAAGTTGGCGAGCGCTAGAGCCGCTGAGCCGTTATTCTCAGAGAGAACGGAGAAGCCGCAAGCCCGTCGGTCCATCACAGAGCGGGCCAAGACAGCCGCACCAGTGAGGCCGGTTTCGTTCCGGGACGCGATGCAGCGGGTGAGACCCATGACAGCTGGGACGAATTACGCAAAGGGGGGTCCGAAAGCTTTGACGGGGTTGGTGCAGCCGCCGATGGATTACAAGAAACGGCCGACAACCGCACCGAGTCTGGTTTCTAGGGGTACGACGGCTACGATAAGGGGCTCGGCAAGGAAAAGGCTGAAGGAGTGGCAGTCTTCACTACGGACTTCGTTTCCAGACGTTGTTGAGGGGTTGCATGATCGACCATTCAGGAGTGGCGGGCATAGGTAGAAATGCATTGGTGACGTCTCGAAAGTGTGTATATATCTGCAACATGGGACCCTTGGGGATAGCCGAGAACAACGAAATCATATATTCCCTCCCGGTGTATTCGCTCGTGACCTCTCCCTGCTCGACTGTTCTCTCACGGGTTTTGATGGACCGCTTGTGCTGCCGCCGGGCCCATGTTCGCAGTGTTCGCCCTTCCGTTTCTGGGTTGGATGATACTGTCGCGTAGTTCCAGTGCTTCAGAGAGTGGGAGCATGGGTGGTATCACATCTTGCAAGAAATTGAGGTCCACGTTGTCTGCCACCGCTTTTGCTGCAATTTGTGAGGTGCGTGAGAAGGTGAGGTTGGGCAATGCATCAACCCATCAACAACCATCCACAACCATCAACCCATCCAACCTTCAACCACTAACCACTCATCAGGAAACGATATCCTGCTCGCTCCGCTCGCGACGACGATGGGTTGCGGTGAGTGGAGCATAGCTCGCTAAAAGGTCTGACGTGCGCAAAGGCGCTCGCTATCAGTCGAGCTCCCATCGCAAATCAGAAGGCGTTCGCTCTGGTCGGCCCATCGGTCTCCCAGACCGACCCCAACCCTGCACCTCGCTTCGCTCGTTGCAGACAGGCCACCATCGCTCGCTTCACGCGCGGCTCGCATGGCTCGCGAACCTCAAGCACTCTCCTCGCTATCGCTCGGAACCCACAAGCAATTCTGCTCGCTATCGCTCGGCCCCTCTGGTCGTACTCAAACACCCACCAATATCCCTGTAAGCGATAACCTTCCTTCCGTCGGTCCTAGCGGTAGCAAAGCTCCTTTCCACAATATATTCCAGAAACATTTCCGTCGCAAGTGTCGTGGCGAAAACCGCGTCGTGTCCCACTCCACCCACGCCTCTGTCTTCTCTCATGATCGACTTGACGCGTGCTTGTGGGAACGCAGCTTTAATAGTTGTATTTGTGGAGCTGGATGTTGCGGAGGTGGTGGGCATTGTCGAGGAGGATGGCGGTTCGAGGGCAGGGGTAGAAGAGGCGGAGAGTGGGGAGGAGGACGAGGGTTGTGTGTTGTAGAAGTCGATGGTTGCGCCCGACTGGGAGGGGGACTGGGAGTGGGACTGGGAGTGGGATTGAGAGTGGGGCTGGGAGACCGGCATTGTCGGGTGAGGTTGTATTTGGTGGGGAAGATAGCTGTGAAGGCGAGTGCGAGGGAAAGAGGAAAGAGAAAGAGCGCCCTCTCTGACGGGAGGCGGGTGGCGCAGTCAACTGTCAATTGCGATCCCCTCCTGCGTCTTCTGCCCCGCCAACCGGCACCGTCAAGTGTCCCTTCAGCGTTGGAACACTCGGCCGGGAGCCCATCCCTGCGCAACTTCGAAACTACCTGAACCACCGCACCTTCCCACCACCAAGTCTATCGCCATGGCAGCAGTGTGTATGTACTCACCTCCTTGGCTTCCTGCCTTTCGTCATACGCGACTGACCCTGAATGTCCAACCCTCAGCCGAACCAGAGCCAGCAGTGATCGAGGACACCCACGGCTCACGCAGCTACAGGCCTTTCAACAGAGGAAATAAGCTCAAGAGAACGATAGAGGAGGCTGAAGGCGCAGCAACGCTTTCTGGAAGGCCGACAATTTGGACTGTGAGACCGATTGACGAGGAGTTGGAGGTACGAAGCGAGAGCGGAGCGAGCCAAGGCGGATCGTTTAGGTTTCCGAGGGAAACGAGAGTGCGAGCGAGAGCAGCCTCAACGCGAGCGAAGCGAGGCCCAGGGATGCTTGAGGGTTCCGAGCGATAGCGAGCATACTGCGCCTAAAGCGCAGGAATGCTTGAGTGCGGCGAGGCCGAGCCTACTGGGCCGGAGACCCAGGGTTGACGATCACACACCGGCCCGACCTCCTTGTCGCGAGCGGAGCGAGCAGGGTATCGTTCGACCGGCCGCTCCATGTTAATGTTGTTGATGGCTTGATGACTTCATGGTTGATCTTTGATCGTTGATGGTTAACGAACGGACATGTTTTCTTTATTTAGTACGCCCAAATCGGAAAACGCCGCGCCATCCTCCGCCGCGGCAAAGACCGCTCCACCGAAGACGACCCCTACACAAACGTCGACATCGAAAGTTAGTACGTCCCCCAAACTCCCCATCCTCCCTCCTCCACATACTCACACCCATTTCCCCTTTCCCCAAACAGAACTCTGGTCCTTCCCCACCCACATAACCACCGCCGCCGCCACCGCCTCCTTCTCACACACCCTAACCAACCGCGCCTTGAAAGTCCTCTCCCACACCGCGATGGAGATGATGGAAGCCGAGGCAGATTTCGGGCGGAGTCTGGCGGGGGTTGCGAATGTGTTGCAGGGGGATGATCCGCTTTTCCAGGATGGGGAGATTGAGAAGGTCGTGGGGGAGGATTTGTTGGCGGAGGTTCGGGGGGATTTGCAGGTATGTGTGTGTCGAGTGCTGCCATTTTCAGGCCCCACACCTATCCGAGGCCATCTCGCTCACGTCTTGTGTGTTTGAAGGAATTGATGAGCTGCAGCGAAGAGTACATAAAACGGATGAGCGACATGCGGGACAGGCTCTTGTTGGCGTACACGCAGAAAAAGTCGTTGGCGAAGGAATTGATGCCCGCGAAGAAACCGTTGATTCCGCCACTGCCCGATCTCGACGATTAGATTGGGGTGAGGGCGAGGGGTTATCCGACGGGTCCGAGATGTGACCCCGTGCCCTGTTTACTTTTTGTACATAGTTCGTAATATTGACCCAAGAGCAGGGGTGGTACCTTACTGGGAAAGAACCCAAGAAAGCGAAGCCTGCGAAATGGCCTGTTTCTTCGTCTCGTCTCAGATTCCGTCCTGGCCGCGGCACTCTTTTTCTACGCCGTTGGACATTGTACTGTATTTACAGCTCACGTATCAGAAGGATGCACCTTTGGACTATTTGGGAAACTGTGGCTATCTACATGACTATGTGGTACCCAGCACATTCCAAAGACATTTTGATGCCGCAGGGGAAAATCGGCTAGCTGCTATAACACCCTCTCTCCTATTGCAGACTACGGATTCGTAGACGACGTCGGCGCCGACGACGCCCCAGCATCCACCCCGCCCTCTATTCCCCTACTGACACCGCCTGCTCCCGAATGCCTGGGCACCCCCCCCTGGCCCCCTGCGCGTCCCCTACATGCCTGAAAACACTCATAACCTGCGTCACCATACTACTGACATCACTCACACTCGCCGGCACGACGACAGTGGTTCCCTCCTTTGCAAGATTTCCAAAGGCGTCAATGTACTTTTCGGCGACGGAGAGGGAGACGGCGTCTTGCCCTGCGTGGGATTCGGCGGCGATGGCCTGTGCGATGCGGGAGATGGAGGCGGCGTTGGCCTGGGCGCGGAGGAGGATTGCTTCGGATTCACCTGTGGAGAAGCATAAAAAAAATTGAGTGATGGTTTTGGACATGCCCAGTTCTTTGGGGGTGTGAGGAGGGGGAGGGTTTAGTACGTTACCCTGTGCGTGGTTAATCTGACGCAGCTTGACAGCCTCAGACTCCAGAATCGCAGATTGTTTGCGTCCTTCGGCTACATTGATAGACGCTTGTCTGCAACCCCAACACATGAACCGTCAGTCATTTCCCCCCAAATGACCCTTCCAATCCACCTCCCACATCCCCAATCCCCTACCTCGCACCCTCCGACTCCAAAATCTCCGCCCGCTTCCTCCTCTCCGCCCCGACCTGCTGATGCATCGCGGCAACGACGTTATCCGGCGGGTGGATATCGCGGATCTCGTAACGCAAGCATTTGATACCCCAGTCGGCGGCGGCGGAGTTGATGGCGTTGACGATGTTGAAGTTGAGCTGCGTGCGTTCTGCGAGGGTGCGATCTAGGGTCATTTGGCCGATTTCGGCGCGCTGTGTGGGGGTGATGGGGTGAGCATGTGGGTGTACCTTCGAATATGTGGGGCAATATTCGCCTAAAGGCGTCGACCCGCACCCACCATGGTCGTTTGAGCGAGCTGAGTGATGGCAAACTCTGCGTTTTCGACACCGTACGATGCTTTATATGGATCCACCACCCGGAAGTATAAGACACCATCCAACTCCAGGGTCACGTTATCTATAGGCAATTCCAAGCAAATTCAGTTCCCGTATCCCCCAGCACGCTCCACGTCAATCACCGACCTTGGGTGATAGCACTCTGCGACGGGATCTCCACCGCAATCTCCTTCAAGCTCTTCACATAACGAACGCGATCCAGCACCGGCACCAATATCGCCAACCCCGGCTCCAGGATCCGATCGAACCGGCCCATCCGCTCCACAATCCATGCTTCCTGCTGCGGGACGAACTTGATGATGGTGTTGGCGGGTAGCGCTTTTGATCTGCGCGCGGCGGTGCCGAATGCGTCGCCGTCACTGTTGTCGGGGAAGCCGAAGGGGTTGGAGTTGTAGGAGCGTGCGGGGATGGGGGTGGTGGTGAAGGGGCGGAGGGTGGAGAGGGAGGGGAAGAGGCGGGTGCGGGTGGATGGGTTGGCGGTTCGTAGGCACCTTGCCATGTTGCGCGAGGATGTGGAGGCTGTGGTGACAGACATTGTTGAAGTTATATGTGATGTTCGATAGGTGTTTTCGTTACTGCCGGTGTCGGCTGTCTCGATTCAGATAAGCCCTTTTTATGGTGCAAGTGCGGAGTATGCTGGCTGTACGTCCTGTATCTCACGGTTGTCTCGGCATCACCGAAATGGGCAAGGTGATGTTGAAGAGTGTTGAAGGGCCTGCTTCAAAAAGTTCCGACGCGCATTCCCGACAAACTGCGACCCTCCACGTACAGTACAGTACAGGAAGTAGCTCCACGTCTCATCCGGACGGCATCGACCTCATATTAATCAGACACCGCCAGCCAAGTGGGTGGGAGCCTCACCTGATGTAGTCAGGTCGCTTGGCGTGGAAACCATATCACCACTGATCAATGCCCAATGCCCAATGCCCAATGCCCAATGCCTGACCAACGCTGACCCGTCGCTCGTTAGTCGCGCTTCGTTGGCGACCCATGAATGCCATCGCTGCATACAATCTCTTTACGCGCAGCCGTTCGACGCCAGATATCGTCATGAAGCAATTGCACACTTTTCGTTCTGGAAAATTTGGCAAGATTATGTGTACACTTGATATTGATGTTGGCTAACGAAGCCTCTCGCCAATCCCCCGGGCCTCTCAGCGCTCTTCGTATTCACGTTCAGACCACCTTCTCCCCACTCCCATCTCCTACCCCATCCCCCGGCGTCACCGCGCCCCCATCCGTCTTCCCAACCGTCGGAGCAGCATCCTGTGCATCAACACACCTAACCCCAAACTCCTCACAGACATCCGCCACAACCGTCTCCACAATCCTCCGTTTCTGATGGCGGCCCCATTTGCGCGTTAAACCACCCCCATCAGTGCTCCCAGTGGCTTCATCTGCTACACTCTGCGATATCGCCGATGCTTCCGTTGTTGATGGTGATGGGGATGATGATGGTGACGATTCGGCGCCGATGGCTTGCGGCGAGGACATGGTGACGTAGTATTGGATCTGTTTCGTGGGCAGGGCCGGTGCGAAAGGCTGGATGGCAAGGAAGACGTGGGCGTGGTGGGGGCTGGGTGGGGTGGCGGAGGTGGCGGAGAGCTGGTGGAGGTGGGCCATTGTTTCCTGGTGAAGGGTGATGTGATGTGAGACACGAAATAGCTAAAATGAATATGAGAAGGAAAAGGATGGGGGACATACCTTGACCTGCCCCACAGCCTCCCCCAATCCTGTACACACTCTCCCTCCCTCGACTCCCTCCAGCGCCACGCGATCACACACGCGTCCAATCCACATCTCCCGTAGCGTCGCTAGGATGAAATCGCGGAGATCGCCAACGTCCGGGTCGGCGGGGGCGGAGAAGTAGAGGGATACAACAGGTGCGAGTGGCGAGGAGGCGGTGGATTCAGAGTCGGGGATGGGCGGGGCGATGGTGTCGACCAGGGTGTGGGTGAGGTGGGATAGGTTTGTGCCTGTTGAGGAGTGACGATGATAGTGAGTGCTTCACACCTCGCGCTCGAAGAGGAAGGCATGCATTGTTTTGAATTACCCAGCTTAGCCATCTGCTCCCTGTTGATGATCCCCTTTACGTTCTCGTTCGCAGCGACGCTCTTCGCGGTTTCCTCTGCAATCGCTTTGGCTGATTCCAGGCCTTTCGTTAATGATGTAGTCGCTGTTGCACCGACTTTAGCGGCCTGACTCCAGATGCTTGACCAGCCGCCTGCGAGGGCGCCCCCTGCAAACGACAGAGATCAATTGGTCAGTTCCAAAGGCTCCGCCGGGGCCCCACAAATAACACGTTTCCTACGAATTCCCCAAACTTACAGCTATCACTCTGCGGTGAGGTCTCACTCTGTGCCGGTCTCTCATTCCCTCCTTGAGCAGAGCCAAATCCCTGTCCCTGCCCCTTCCCTTCCAACCCCGGCGTCGCATTTCGACTCCCACCCGCACTCCGCCCGATACTCCCACTTCCAACGCTAGCAGCGGTAGTCGGCGTCTGCACCCTTCCAGGCACAGTGACCCCGCCCACCCCCGGAACAGTCGTCATCACCGCGGGCGAACCCGTCCCCTCCTTCACCACCTTCGGCAACGGAGCGGGCTCCACAGGGGCATCCAATTCGTTGAGGAAGCTGAGCACATCTTGGGATGAGTGTGTGTCGGTCGTGGCGGCGGTTCCGGTGGTTGTGGCTAGGTCCCCGGCGGTGGGGAGGGCGGGGTCATCTGTGGGGACGATGTTGTCGAGGTCTTGCAGAAACCTGGTAGGATGGAGATGGTTAACGCGTGAGGTTTCTGGGTTGGAGATCGCCTGGTTTGACCAGGTTGGACTTACTGTAGGACCTCTTGATTCGTTTTAGACTGGGCCATTGTGTGTATTGCTATTAGTTTTCGTGTGTGCTATGAGACGTTTTTCCGGGGGGATATGCTTCGGCTGGGGACTGGGCTTTGACCTTGAAGCCGCAATTGTGGAATGTGACGGCGACGTGGAACACTCGCGCTCCCACTCAGGCCCACCCTGGCTGCGCCACCCATAATTGGACTATGTGCAAAATTGCCGCGCCAACCCCGGACGCCATTTTTGGCCTCTCTTCCTTACCCACCATTGCCAACATCATGGCCATCTCTGCGACAGACATACACATACAGAACCTCCGCTAGCAATATTCGGGTTCAGCACCTCCTAGGCTTGAGGTTCACAATAAACAACACTCAATTTGAATTACAGGGTTCTGAGAAATATGGGTGAAAGTGATGGAGGTCCGTACATCCATATCATCTCTGCGGCCAGCCGGATCACCTTGAGCGATTATAATTTTTTGTTCCTTGTACTCTAGTTTCTGAGAGCGTAATGCCTCATGACGGTACGGAAGTTGTGTGGTGCACGACGGCACTCCTCCCAAAATCTGGAAGGACCTGACAAAACCTGCCGTAACTCACCCAGTTCAGAACTTTTTTCGGGTATTTTTGCTGATTCTGATAGCCCTGCCAATTCCGCTGAAGTCCCGCACCAACGGAATGCTACGCCCGTCATCGACGTCGTTGACGAGAAAAAGACCGCTGCGCCCGTTGTGGAGGCCCGTGAAGTCGAAGCCAAGCAGGCCACTGCAGAATCTAAGAAGGAGCTCCCCAAGGGCGAGAAGGAACCCCCCAATGCTGGGTTCGCCCCGACAAGGGCACCTCTCGCAAGTTTGGCGGGGATAGCAGCACCTGTCATCGCCAACCTCGGGGGGGGCCTGAAGTCCCGCTGAAGTCCCGCACCAACGGCGCTCATGCGTTGCCCTTGCCTGTCCAGCGGTCGGCATTGAAAATGAGGGAGCTCCTTTTTTTCTGGAGCGGAAAACGGCGAGACGCGTTATAGTGTCAGTTGCTGTCAAAGTGAGGGTGGGCCTGAGCGCTCCCAGCGACTACTCAAAACATTTCGACAACGGACACTTTCTCACCGGAACTTCGCTGCATATAGCCTGCACTCACCCTCGTCACAAACCTCCATAACCCCACTTCCAGACCGAAAATGGCTTCACTACCAACCGGCCTCAACCTGGATGAGAAGAGCAAAGCCGAACTCATGACATTCGTCGAGAACGAGCAGGTACGGGGAACGCTTGAGGCGACAACGGAGAAAGACGTTGGGGGTTGGATAAGTCGATTCGTAGAGGGAGACCGGAAGTGGTGGGAGCAGTTGGGACAACCGCCTTTTGAGGAAATACCAGGACTGCAGCATTAATACAGAGGGAGAACCGACGCTCACTGGTGTTTTTTCCTATTTTCCTTCTGTCTCTTTTTCGAATAGCGCCGGGCAAACTTCCAAGCAACAGGTACGGGCCTCTCTTTCGGATTGTTGCAATCGGATAAGAAAGCTAACACACCTATTTGACCTCCGCTTTCCGCCAACAGTACACCAATACACGGGTAAGAAGTGAACTATGCCTGACTTTGCGACTCCATACCACCAAGACTAAAAACCTTTCTTCTCGCCTCCGAGACACATGCTGGGACAAATGCATCACGAAAGTGAAGGCCACAACGGATAAGTCTGATGAAGGTACCTACCCGACTATCTTTTGCGCACGGTTCTCATAACGGTCAAAGGACGAAAAGCGGACGCTAACAACACATTACTCCAACTGTAGTATGCTTAACGAACTGCGTCGACCGATTCTTAGATAGCACCATCTTGCTCCTCAACTCGCTGGGAGCCCAGCAGCAGCGTTGATAGAGCTTGTTAGTCTAGAAGATAGACGTAGAATTCTGGCGTCGCTAAGTCGTGCCATATCGGCTCTTCGGCACTGCCATCAGTCTGCGGAGCGGCCAGGTCTTTTGGCTTGGACGACCAGAAACACGTCCGAGTTGGTGCAAAAGACTTTCCACCACTCCGCGTCCCCGTCCGACCTATTCCCAGCCTGGCATCACACAAAGTGGTGACATTCTTGGTAATGGTATCGCCGTGAAGTTCCGTGCCAGCGCTTTTGTCGCAGGCCGTGTCTTGTGAAGGTTGTGTTAAGACAAAATCGTTTTCTTTGAATGCTCAGGTAGATTTCCAAAAAGAAGGTTGAGGACTCTGAAGGGTCCTTGGATGTGCCTTTGACATCGTTGGTAACCCTTGCGATATCGTGGTATACGGCTGCTGTCGCTGGAAATGGTAAATGCGTCTTGCAAGTGGAGTGCATTGCAGACGGAAGTGGAACGCAGCAGTCGTCCAGGAAAACTGACCGCGCGTCCGCTGTTGAAATTGGCGTAAGCGTAAGTGAAAGGAAACTCCGCTCAGACAGGGCCAACTCACTACTATGGACGGCCGCGATATTACTTCAGGAGAAACGGCCGGCTGCGGACTATAAGTACCAAGGTTTGGGTTTAGCGCCTATTTTTTCGGTGACGATCGAAAAGGAGCTCTCCCCGCAGAACGAGACGACGAGTTTTTGAACTTCTCTAGAACCGAACTTGTTTGCAGTCATTTCAGCCACTGAACAGGCATGACGAAGGTATAGTACGCTCCCACTTCAGCCACATCACAAAGTCATCCCTTTAACATTCCATTCGCTGCAGTCTACACTCCACCCACCGCCCCTACAAGAAACCTCCCAACGCTCCTCAGCCTCAATGTCCAACGCCATCTACCCCTCCGCAATCCCCCCTCCACCTCGCCACGACCCACCCCCACCACCCCCAGGCCGCTCAGGCCGTTCCTCCTTCCAAGACACCCCCACAAATCCACACCACCACCGAGACTCCCAGCCGGATCGCGCCCTCCAAGAACGCCAACCCCCCTCCTCACAACCCCCCACCTCAGATCCCACCGCTCCACCACCGTCAGCCCCGACCCACGGCCACACCCCGCACCTCTCCCTCGGCAGCCTCGTCGCCTTCGACTTCCCGCTCGACCCCGCGGAACACCCGCTGACCTCCCACCAATCCTCCCAATCCCTGCACCGCAAGAAGGCGTCGCGGGTGTCGTTGGAGAACATGTTGCCGACCGCGTTCCGGCGGTCGATGTCTGCGACGACGTTGAAGAAGTTGGTGGTGACGGATCCGATTGTGGAGTTGAGGAATATACATAAAACGTATCTGTTGGGGTTGGAGGGGGTTGCTGCTTTGCGGTGAGTGTGGGGGAAGGGGCGGAGAGTCCTGTTGGTTGCGTTGAAAGTAAGGCACTGAAGTGGGGATGTGTGTTGTGGTTTAGGGGCGTGAGTCTGAGCATCCAGCGCGGCGAATGGGTAGCCGTATATGGAACCTCGGGTGGGGGCAAGACGAGTCTGCTGAACATCATTGGCACGATCGATAAACCGACGAAGGGGGATCTGACGATCTGTGATACCGGTATAAGTCCGCAACATCGATTGCCAACCATCGTGGGACGGGGATGATGAGTTTCTCACTCTTGTGGCGATTCTGTACAGTCATCACGCCAAATACGAAGGACGAAGTTCTGGCGGATCTGAGGCTGAGCAAGCTGTACGTACGTACTCCCACCCCCATCCATCCATCGTCGGGGATTCCTACCTCTTCCCATACATGTTACACTCAGTCCCCCACACTATCAACGTCCCACACAACACAGCGGCTTCGTCTTCCAGTCCTTCAACCTCCTCTCCTCCATGACAGCCCTCGAAAACGTCGAGCTGCCCATGGTCCTCAAAGGCACCCAAACCGCCTCGGAACGGCGCACCCGGGCCGTGTCCAGCCTCGAGCGGGTCGGCCTGGCGCATAGATTGCATCACTTCCCGCATAAATTGTCGGGCGGTGAGCAGCAGCGGGTGACGATTGCGAGGGCGATTGCGAATTTGCCTGAGCTGTTGTTGTTGGATGAGCCGACGTATGTTGTGTGTGTTCCCCAGCCGTTTGCGGGGTTGGATATGTGCTCACATCCATTCTACATGTACAGAGGCGACCTAGACACCCAAAACACGCTCAAGATCCTACACCTCCTGCACACCCTCAACCTGACCGAACACATGACCTTCATCATGGTCACGCACGACGTGTACCTCAAGAACTTTGCGCATCGGGTGATCTACATGCGCGACGGGAAGATCTCGAAGGTCAAGATGACGAGGAGTGAGAGGCGGGAGGTTGCGTTGAGGGAGTTGGAGGTGAAGATTGAGGAGGTGAGGAATCATTGTGCGGGGTGTTCTGATAAAGATGAAGGGATATTGATTTTTGAGATGTGCTTGGATAGCTGGAACGGAAGATCCAAGCGAAAGCAGACCAACCCTCCACACAACCCACACCCTTCACCCCTTCCCTCCCGTCAACCCACATAGGCCGCGTCGCCGGCGAATCCGACCACACCCCCGGGACATTCGTCTCGCGAACCACCGAGATACGCGAGCCGGGGGACTACGCGACGTATTCGGCGTCGTCGGGGGTGGCTGCGCGGATAAGTGGGGATGCGGTGAATGGGAATGCAGCTGGGAATGCTGGTGGGGCTTTTGGGAAGGGGGGGATGCCGAGTAGCAAGTCGCATCAGCGGCTTGGGGGGGAGGAGAGGAGGGAGGGGGGAAAGATATTGAAAAGTGCGAGGGATTTGGATGATATTGTTTGAAATGGTGTTGATGGGGGATGACGTTTCTCAGTGAGTGTGGTGCTGGTGGAGGATGCTGGCAGGGATCTGTGCGTTGGCACCATTGCATGATTGCGATAATCACCCTTTCCCGCCTCTCAATCCATCATGACCGCAATCTTCAATTTCGCTTGCATAAACATGTATTGGAGCCCGCCATCGTAAAAAGTCGTCATCCGTATATATATCTAAAGAAGAGGGTAAAGAAAAACTATCGCCGCGACGCCTGCGTGGTGTGAAGAAAATGGGTGCGGGAGACTGTTGTGTTGTATTGTGTTCAGCTCCGTGGTATGACCATGAGATCCTCTTCGCTTGTTGGCCGGTAGTCGCGGATGTCGAAGCCGTTGTTTTGTTGGGTGTGCGGGGTTTTGGTGAACTTGTTGGTTGCGATGACCGTGTCTGCAAAGAGCGTGGTTGTTAGTAAATCACACCGGGGATCCTGAAATATGGGGAGGCAGCGACTGGGCAGTTGAGAAAGTAACATACCGGCAGCAACCCTGAATCTCCGCAGCGCCTTGGACTGGTTGAACCGATCACGCACGAGCGGCATGAGGTCGGGCGTTGTCGGTGTCGGCGTGTGCATATCATTCGAGGCGTTGTACATGCGCAGCCAAGGATGCGCAAGGGCCTGGTGGATCGTCATGCGTTGGTGAGGGTCGACGATGAGCAACTTGGAGATGAAATCCTTTGCTAGAAAGTTGAAAACGCCATGTGAGCACTCGGCCCGGTAGGATCAAAGGAGCGCTGGAGCATACCGATGTCAGACACGTGCGACCAGTATGGCGGCGCGTATGTGAACCTCCCGTGCAAGATGTTGTCGAGTTCGTCGGCCTGCGACGATGCTCCGTAATCGAAAGGGGTATATCCGGACAGCAGGAAGTATGCCAGGACGCCTATTGACCAGAGATCCACGGCCTTTCCGTGTCCTTTCTTCTGAATGACCTCTGAATAAACCATAGATTTAGCAATCGATGACCCTCCAACGTTGAAGGCGTCGCTTGCAAGTAGGAACCCACCAGGAGCCATGTAGCCAGGTGTTCCGCAAACGGTAATCAAGCCTTCGAATTTGTCGTCCGCCACAATCTTCGACAGTCCAAAGTCGGCAATGACCAGATCGCTGAGGATATTCCTCGTCTTGAAGAGCAAGTTCTCCGGCTGTCATATCAAGCAATCCATATCAGCTCCCAGCTGCTGCGTATCGCTGCGACCGCGAACACCCTTACCTTGATGTCACGATGTATGATGTTGTGATCATGGAGGTAGGCAACCGCGCTGACGACAACCTGCACGATCTCGGCCGCGTCTGCCTCGGTGAAGCTTCCTCTCTCACAAATGCAGTCGAAGAGCTCGCCGCCCATGCATAAATCCATCACCAAGTACACTGCAAACAACGAGCCCTCTGTCAGCATTTCATCCAGAGTGTCCAAAGCAGTAGCCCGCAAGAACCTAATCTACGCACAGTTGTTTGGGGTCTCGAAGTCTAAAAGTATGAAATGTTCGGTGAGCTTCAGTGCACACTCACAAAGCTGAACACTGCGATCGAACGAAACTCACAGTCCCAGAGTGTGACGATGTTCGGATGCCCTTTCGACACCTTCTTCAACACTTCGATTTCGTTCAGAATCATATGCTCCCTTCCTCGCATAAGCTTCTTGCTGATGACCTTCACGGCGAACTTCTCGCCGGTACTGATCTACAAGGAGTGGGATTGCAGGTCAGGGCCGTGTCCTTCAGATAACAATCGGCTATTCGCACCCATTGGACATACCTTGACGGCCTCTTTCACGGTAGCATAACTTCCTTGACCCAAGGCCTTTCCAGTCTGTTGAAACACGAAGTAAGCCATGGCGGGAGTGTGAGTAACCGGCGGCTGACGAGTTGAGACTGGCTGAGCGTACAGTACCTTATATTCGCAAGGGGCGAGAGCAGCCATTGTAGCAGGCTCTTCCTATGGGATGGTTGGTTCTGTTGGGATACTGGAGGTGTCCTCTCACTTTTGCCCCAAGTTGCAACTTGCCAGTCCAGCGCCGGAGTGTTCTCTCGCTCGACGTGGCCGGGGGGGGGGATCTGCAAGCGCCTGCAACCAACACGAGCAGCGTGACTCACAACCACGCGTCTGCACTTTCTTTTCCTTTCGGAGCCCTTGCCTCTCCGCCCTCCACGCTCTCTCCCACAACTCACTGGAAGGGCACCCCAAGCAGGGCAGACGAGGCCACCGCCTTATTAGGTTTCTTCTCGTTCGCTTTGGATTTTGGAACATGCATGATACACGGCTGCGTCATTAGGTGGTCGTCAAGCTTTCTCCGGCTCTCGTGATCCTATGGCTGTTTGCTTTGTCCATTTGTCGATTGTCCAACTGGGATGAATTGCGAAACGACAAAACAATTTTTTGTCCCCAACGCGACCTCGACAGATCCCGTCCGTCCGTCGTTGGTGCCCCGGTCGACGCCCAATGCTCGTGAACGATGCGGGGAGAGGTGACCGATCCTACGCCCGCTTCCCCAAGTTGCCCCTACCAACTGGCGTCAAATTTGCTATTGTTCCTCCCCGGGCCACCGGCCCCACATCGGTAAGATTTTCTGGTGTGGGGAACATACCCGCTGTCGCTGCCGTTGCACCATGGTGAAATTTCAAGAAACCGGAGGCAGCGAAGGTCGAGCATGAAAGTGCTATATAAGGGCGGAGAGCGTCGATCAGGACCTTCCTTCGTCTGTATGCCCCTAAAGCCCTTCCTTCTTCATCCTTCAACATGCGTTTCGATTTCCTCATCGCTGGTCTGGCATTGGCCTCGTCTGCATCTGCAGCTGCTGCCCCAAAACCTACCTCTTACGTCTTGACGGGTGATTCGACAACCGGTAAGTTTTACACAACATCACATCCTTCGAGAAGTCTTTTCAGGGTAGTAACATCGAGTCACACTGATAGCTCCCGTTATCGGATGGGGCGACCAATTCTGCAAGCTCACCGCCCGCTGCTACAACATCGCCGCCTCCGGCAGGACTACGGCCACGTTCCGATCAGACGGTTACTTCCAAAAGGCGCTCGATAGGGTTAAAGCGGATGTAGCTGCCGGATTCGCCCCGCGCGTAACGATCCAGTTCGGACATAATGATCAGAAAGTCATGGACACCACCACCTTCAAGAAGAACATGGCTGGTCTTATCGCCGACATCAAGAAGGCCGGTGGAAAACCCATCGTCGTTACATCGCTCTGCCGTCGTACATTCAACAGCAAGGGCGTGTTGACGGACAAGCTGGAGGACTGGGCCGTCGCTGCGGAACAGCAGGCGGACACATCCTCGGTCCCGTACGTTGATCTCCACGGCAAATGTATCAAGTACATCTCCGCCATCGGCAAGGACAGCGCCATGAAGTTGAACGCAAAGACTGGCAAGACACCCGGGGATGTGTTTGACCCCAAGACGGCTGATACGACACATCTGAACACGGAGGGCGGGATCATATTCAGCAGAGTGGTTGGTGATCTCATCACTGCCCGCATTGCGAACGCTGGTATCAAGGCGAACCCGGCGTTGTCGGCGAAGATTAACGCTGGCAAGGCTGTTTACTGAACACGGCGTACCCGTCTGCCTTGTGACCTTCACTTCTTCTTTCAATGGCGTATTCCTTATAGACATAGACTTCGGGTAGACACTCTGCCTATGTAAATCCACTCATCTCGAGCGTTCACAATCTAGACTACCCTTTTGGAACAACGGCGTATATACAGTACATATAGACACTCCTATATACCATTTTGAACAACGGCGGACTACAGCTGGAGACCTGAATCAATGGCCCCGGTGGTTGTCGGGAATGAAAAGAACGGAGCCCGGAGTAGCGCAGGAAGAGCGTGGATTGCACGGATTTCCATGTTGGGAAGACGTGAAGAGTCGAGAGTCGATGACACACGGCGACGGATTGCATGACACGAGCGTGTTTGGGCCATCGCTTTCTGGCCATATTCACACCTCTCAGGCGTAGATCACTAGGCTTTGCTTTCCCAGGCACACAAGATACCCCTCTTCACACACTCAGAGCGGCAGCCAGACCACTCTGCATGGGGCCGCACAACCAGTCTCTATGAGCCTCCGTTCCAAACCCTCCACCTCCTCCCTGCAGTCCAGTAACGAGCTAAGTCTAGAGTCCTTCTACCTCGAGCCCGGCGCTCCAGAAGGCAACAAAGCCGGTGGCTTCCTCACCAGTCTATGGAGAGCCGCGGTCGGCAGGGCGACGAACGAGGCTGCCGCTCGAACACTTCAGAATGCTTCCACGACGGGGCATAATGCCGTGGGCACACCGCAACGACGGAAGGTCGAGGAATGGCAGGCGGGGACGAGCGTGGTTCGGTATGAGTCGCCCGGACGGGACGAGCTTCTCGAGAAAGGCAGCTTTGTAGACTCGGTTGATAACGCCGACAGCGAGCTCAGTGCGTCTGAGACGGCCAGTCAGGCGTCGACTCCGAACATTGACACGACCATGTCGGAGGTGTTGTCGGATGACGTGGAGAAGAACAAGTCGTCGTTGAAGCTTATTCGGAGGATGCGGAATATCGGGTCGACGGGGATTACGAAGGATTTTTGGATGCGGGATGATAAGGTGAAGGAATGCTATGAGTGTAAGCAGGTCTTCACTACGTTCCGCCGGAAACATCACTGCCGCATCTGTGGTCAGATCTTTTGTCACAAATGTGCTTCCTCCATCGTCCCTGGAGAAAGATTTGGATACCCAGGAGAAATGCGTGTGTGCAACTTTTGCCTGAAGATCATGATCGACTACAAAAACAACGACTCGATGGGATCCAAGGAGCATTCGCCTCTATCCCAGAGTGCAGTCAGTCGGAAAGCATCTTGGAAGCCGATACAAACGTCACCTACCGCTACGGAACCCAGGATCGCCATTGCCTCTCCGGGATCGCACAACCCGCCGTCATCCACCAAGCCATGGCCGGGTTCACCATCGCCCGATGGATCGTTGGAAGGCTTCAGGAAGATGCTGGGATCCTCGTTGTTCCAGAACAAGCGGGTGACGATCACAGAGGATGCAATGCTGGAGACTCCAGGCTCCTCGTCAGATCCATTCCGCGGGAAGCTCCCGCAGAAAGAGCGAACCTCTGAGGATCCCAGCTCTGAGAACTTGATTGATCCCGAAGCCATAGTGGAGTACGTGACGGACGATGAGAGCGAGGTGGGACTTGCCGATCTGTGGGCCACCAGCCCCTTCTTAAACTTTCCCTCCAACACGGGAATCAGCACCGTATCGGTAGTCGCGACACCGCTGAAAAACATCCGTTCACTCAACGGCGTGGCGGATTCACCCATCATCGACAGCGATACGTGGGACTATGGGGAGGCCAACCAGCGGAAACGCAGGACACACCGCCGCGTTTCCCGGAACGACGAGCTCCGCCAGGAGTTTTCAAAGGACAAGGCCAAGCGGCGGAATGTCTCCAGCGGACATCCCCGACCGTCTCGATACTCTGCAAGAGCGATCAGCAAGCAGCTGAGCAAATCCACGCTTGTCAGTCAAGCAGGGACGCTGGTGGCGCCGTCGACCGAGGACTTGTCTATGGTGTCGAACGGGTCGCTGTCACGTCATCGCCGGACGGACTCGGGCTTGCCTACGGTTGAGCTCAATGCATCGTCTCTCGAACATTTGCGGCGGCTGCTGGGGCAAGTCTTATCTGAGTCGGATATCTCTCCCATCGAAGGATGGGAGAGCGTTCTTATGAAGATCATGCTACGGGTATGCGACAGCATCCAACCCGATGTCCGTGGCGGGGACTTTATCGATATTCGGCACTACGTGAAGATCAAAAAGATCCCCGGGGGTCTCCCCGCAGATAGCGAGTACGTATGCGGGGTAGTCTGTTCGAAGAACGTCGCGCACAAGAAGATGATACGGCCCATAGCGAACCCAAAGATCATGCTTCTGACATTCGCGCTCGAATACCAACGCGTGGAGAATCAGTTTCTATCACTGGAACCGCTGTTGGCGCAGGAACGGGAGCACTTAAAGAATCTCGTTTCCCGCGTCGTCGCCCTTCGCCCCGACGTTGTTCTGGTGGAAAAGACAGTCTCGCGGATAGCACTGGAATATTTCCTCGAAGCCAACGTCGCCATTGCGTACAACGTCAAAGGCTCCGTCATTGAAGCCCTTGCCCGATGCACGAAGGGGGATATCATCGCTTCCATGGACAAGCTTGCGTTAGAACCTAAGCTGGGAACATGCGAGTCATTCAATATCAAGACGTTTATGAACTCGTCGATTCCTGGATATCGTAAGACGTTCCTGTACTTTGCTGGGTGTCCCAAGGAACTCGGATGCACCATCGTGTTGCGCGGGGGAACCCAGGCCGAGTTGGCAAAGATCAAGCAGATTGCGGATCTGATGGCGTTTGTTGTTTACAACCTCAAATTGGAGACGTTTTTGTTTAGGGATCAGTTTGCGATGGAGCCGCCTACCGACTCTGAGCCGGTGGATAAGTTCTTGTTGGAGGGATTGCCCGACAGCGCGGGAGCTGTCCCGGCAGTCAAGAAGACCGCCGACGCAACGCCGCTGTCGAAGGCGATTCGGCCTTATGAGGAGATTATCCTCTCAGCGTCACCTCACGTCAAGTTTCCACTGCCGTACCTATTGATGAGGTTGAAAGAAGAAGAACAACGCATGCTGCTCTCGAACAAGAAGCAGGTGGCGGACAAAGCCAAGCAAGAGCTCGCAAAGGAAGGCGATGCAGACAACGAAGTCCGGGAATACATCAGGACCATCCTCGATCAGTCCAGCGGATGGCTCTCCTCCATCGAGACCCGCGCAGGAATCAACAACCTTCTCGAGAACTCAAGCAGCCTGAGCCCGTTCGGTCATCAGTCCATCACGGTACTCTACTCGAACGTCTGCGCGGCTACCAGCGTACCCTGTCAAGCCCCTGAACAGCACCTCATCGAGTACTATCGCGGGACAGACATGACATTGGGGCAGTACCTCGAGGAACTCTGCTGCAATGCAGAATACCTATGCCCCGCTAAACTATGCGATCGGAAAATGCTCATGCACTTCCGATCGTACGCTCACGGCCAAGGACGCGTCAACGTGGTGATTGAGGAGTTCGCGAGCCCTATGCAGGGGATGGAAGACGTCATCCTCATGTGGAGTTTCTGCAAACTGTGCAACCAAGTCACGCCTGTCGTGCCCATGTCCGAAGAGGCGTGGAAGTACTCGTTTGGGAAATACCTGGAGCTGGCGTATTACCATGCGAAACTGGGGTGTCGGGCGGATATGTGTCCTCATGATATCTTCCGCGACCATATCCGGTACTTTGCGCTTAAGAATTTGGCGGTGAGGTTTGAATATGAGATGATCGACTTGCTGGAAGTCGTCGTTCCGCCGAAACGGCTGCGCTTTGTTCCTGAGATCCCGGCGCGATTGCGGCAGCAGGATTATGAACTGCTGAATGAGCAGATTGTGAATTACTACGACTCGTTGTCGGAGCGCATCAAGACGTTTACGTTCGATCTTGTGCCGCAAGCAAAGGCGCAGAGTGCGAAAGATGCCATCTCGGATATGGGAAAGAAAGCGAGCTCTGAGAAGAAATACATCTTGCAGCTGTTGCAACAAACGCTGATCACCAGTGCGGCCACAGATACCTTGGCATTCAACGGAACGCTACGGGTGCTTCAGGAGAAGGTTGTCCAGTGGGACCTAGATTTCGCTGCGTTTGTGAGGCGATTCTTGCAAACCGATACCAAAGAGATTCGAAGATCAACGGCCGCGCAGCTGAAACGTATGTTCGTGGACGGGACAGGGGTGCAAAGGAGCGGCTTGGCAGGCCTACCTGAAGATACTGGGGCTCTGGCTATCGAGATGGGGCTCAACCCGTCTTCGCTCGTATTGTCTTTCCCCGAGCTCGGCAAATCACCGTCGCAGTCAACTACTCCATCATTTGGAAGAATGATGCAGACTCGGTTCCCCGATACGTCACCCGGATCACCGCAATCCCGAATCAATAGGCGAATGTCGATGAAGTTGATGAAGGATTTGAGGGTCAAGCGCGCACCCCTGGAAATCGTACCAAGTTTGAGACCGTTATCGTCCACCCCGGATTATTTCCCCGGTACGAATTATTTCGAGAATGCAGACGGTTCAGCGAACCGGACGAAGCCAGGCAGCCAGGCAGTCCTGGAGAGTCCCTTTGACGACGACGTACCCGACATCACGATCGAGTCAATCGGCGGACCATCGATGTGTCGGTATGCGTCCGATGAAGATGAGGACGATCTCGCGATCGGGAACAACGTGGACCAGTGGTCGGAGAACGATTCCGACATGCCGCCACTGAACAACGTCCTGGCAGAATCCATAGAAGACGTGCTCACCGCTGACATCCAAACTATCTCCCTGACGCCAGCAAAGCAGCGCCCGGCCTCCATCTCATCGCACAACACCTCCACGAATCAGAACATCAAGGATGATGAGGAGGATATGCCGTTAGAATGGAACATCATCTCTGGCGTCGCTGGCGAAACCTCCGAGCATCTCCAGTCCTCCACAGACCAACTCGATCTCAACAAGGAACTTTCGCCCAGCGCCGCAACCAGTGGTGAACGCACCTCTATCATGAAAACCCTGACGAGCCTCTGGACCGGGAACGCCGCCAACCTCGCCCCATTGCAGTGCCCGTTAGCACCCACCGAGCATATCTTCCCCGACTCGAATGTCGTGGTGAGGGAAGAAGAGCCAAGTTCGATCATTGCGTTTACGTTGGATTCGAAGCATTACAAGGAGAAGCTGCAAGGATTGGGTAGAGGTGGGGAAAGCGATGGGAGTGCGGGCGTGAACGGGAATGCCGGTGTTGAGGATATGACGGCGAACCCGAGGGTGTCGGTGGAGTTTGACGATGCGCAAGGTGCGGCGGTGGGGATGGAGGAGACGTTGCTGCGAGGGACGGGGACGCATATCCGATATCGTAAGTTGAAAAACCGTACGCCGTGCCCGACTCCTCTCATCACCTGCTGACGGGTGGGTGAAACAGAATTCTGGGATGGGCCGACGCGTATGAACTGCAAGATCTTCTTCGCGGAGCAATTTGAAGCGTTGCGGAGGAACTGCGGTGTTGACGACAAGTTCGCGCAGAGCCTTGCGCGTTGCATGCGTTGGGATGCTTTGGGGGGCAAATCTGGATCAACGTTTCTGAAGACGAAAGGTGTGTACCATGTTGGTATCCATGAGACGCGTGAGATACCTGACACCGACCCTGCAACCCTTCCGCAGACGATCGCTTGATCATCAAGCAACTGTCACGACTGGAACTTGATGCCCTGTATAAGTTTGCGCCGGCTTACTTTGAGTATATGTCGCAGGCCATCTTTCATGAGGTTAGCGCATCTGATAGGTTACAAGCTCGCAAACTCATCCATTCATCCATCAACTAATACGCATTCAATCGGAACAGCTCCCAACGGTCCTAGCCAAGATTTTCGGCTTCTATCGCATCTCCTACAAAAATCCAACAACCGGCCGATCCATGCGGTTTGATTGTTTTGTGATGGAGAACTTGTTTTACGAGCGCACTATCTCACGGGTATGTGTCACCGTCACTCCGAGTTGATGGGCTTTTCCTCGAACTTAAAGCAGCGATACTGACTCCCCTTCTGTTTTGCAGATATTCGATCTCAAGGGCTCCATGCGTAACCGGCACGTCCAATCAACTGGCCGTCAGAACGAAGTGCTTTTGGACGAGAATTTGGTGGAATGTAAGTTTCGCACGCGTCTTACTTCTGTGCTCCCATCACGAAACGACTCCTGACCCCTATTTCTTTTCTGCCATCTAGTCATCTACGAATCACCGCTCTTCATCCGTGAACACTCCAAAAAGCTACTGCGTGCATCCGTATGGAACGACACGCTTTTTCTGTCGAAACTGAACGTGATGGACTACTCGTTACTTGTGGGCATCGATGCGGAGCGGAACGAGCTTGTTGTCGGGATTGTTGGTGAGTTTTACTATCTTTCTTTGGCCGGAGTGCGCTTGCAGATGTGTTGATGGCGTTCAAATTCAATAGACTTCATCCGGACTTTCACATGGGATAAGAAGTTGGAAAGCTGGGTGAAAGAGACCGCGTTTTTGGGTGGTGGTGGCAAAGAGCCCACGATCGTCTCGCCAAGGCAGTACAAGAACAGGTTTAGGGAGGCTATGGAGAGGTACTTCCTCATGGTAAGGATCGTTTGAATATTGGTGCATCTATCGCACCGAACACTGATCAAAATTTCGCCGGGACGCCGACAGGTTCCAGATAAGAACATCTCCAAAACCGCTCAAGACTCATGATGGATTGTGCAGATCCTGGTTGTACATAGATATTCATTTTTTTGGAGGTGTTTACGAGCTTTCTGATTTCCCCCACATTAAAAATTCACGGCGTCTGTCTGTCTCCCGCACCATAAACATGCCCTCTTCTTATGCAGCAAAAGGGTCTAGATGTCACTAGTGTCGTAGAAGTAGCTTATGCGCATCCGGCGGTTGGGTCGGCCTTTGTGTTCAGAATCAGGGCGACTGAAAACAAGGTTCATGTCAATGAAAAGAGCGGATAGTAACGCGTATAGATGAATATTGCCCTTACCGATAAGTCCGTAAAGACCCAAAACTTCAGCGAAAATGAGAATCAAAATCATCCCGACGAAGAGACGTGGCTGTTGCGCGGTACCCCTGACTCCTGCGTCGCCAACGACACCGATGGTGAAACCAGCAGCGAGACCGCTCAATCCGACACTCAATCCCGCGGCAAACTGTATGAAACCGGCGAAAAGGGACATTTTTTGTTGCACTGCGGAAACAAAATGTGAGGACGGGACTATCCTTGTATCTCCCTGCCAGGTCGGGAACAAGTTCAATACTTACATCCACCGCTAACCAGCACGGACACGACCAGACCGTAGATGGCAATGATACCAGCCTAATCCCATTTGGAGCGCATGTCAGACGTCTGTTGTGCCTCAGAATCGCATTCCACACGATTGGAAGAACTGAACGTACCATGACGACTGGCACAATGTTCTTCATGATCAACTCTGGCCTCATCACACCCATAATCGAGATTCCAACTCCAGACTTTGCCTGTATTCAGCGTACATTAGCGCCGAGAACGGAGAAATTGTGATGTTTGATGCGTTCAGGTGCTTTACCGTTCCATATGCAGCGCCAAAGCCTGTGCGAAGGAACACATGTAAGTGATTATATTCTTTGACGCTAGAACACCCCATGTGGACATCAATCACTCACAAGTGAAGACGATAGCTGCAAAGTTCGTAAAGGAATCGAAAGAATTGTTAGCCGCGTGTATCTCGGGTAAATACTGTCGGCTGTCGTGCAAGACAAGACGGCAAAATGATAAAGAGCGGCGTACCTGCAGTGCAGCCCATAGCACCAAAAAATGGGCTGATAGAAAGCGGTCAAGGTATTAGTTTTGAACGTTCCCACGGATTTCCAATTCGAAGATGAGAAAGGGCTACCTACCTGTATACGGGACAAGCTTCTGTGAATGTGACCGACATGACTGAAAGCTGGCTGTCTTTTGACTGTTTGGAGCGTGTAGGAGGGTTGACGAGAGTGGGCTCGCAGCTGTGTTTTCGAGGGCTTCAGGAGGCGGGTGCCGATGAGGATGCAGATGACCGTAAAAGGACCGAGGCAAGGGGTTGGTTTGTGCTTGTCATCGGGATTGAGGCGGGCGGGTCATGTGACCTGTCAACGCGTTGAAAGTCCTATGCTCAGCACCACGACTTATTCGGCGGACTCCTGGCCACTCGTCAAGTACTGTATATATACATACAGTGCGCTATGATGAATGCGGAGCAAATGCTTATACTTAGTGTATTTGATAGCGAAGTGTTGGTGCAGATATATTGCGCAAATTAATGGTATGTTTATGCTCCAATCACAATGGACTTTCATTGGCCTGCAAAGCGATAATAGCTGGGGTGAAACCCCTGCTATCCTCCACCTAACTGCGTCAAGACGACGGGCTGCGCAACCCTACGGATGCGTCAATCGACTCTCGTCCCCCCGGTCCTGCCCAAGTTCACCACCTCCTCTCTGCGGTGAAGACCCGGCGGCCAGGAACTGTTCCTCACTCTCCTGCACGGGCCTGACCCCACCGCCAGCCGTAGCCATCTTCGCCGCCGCAGAAGCCAGGGCAGCTGTCAAGGCAGCCTGTGCTTGACCGTTAGCTGCGAGTGCTGCCGATAGTGCCGGATTCGCCGCCGCAGCTGCAGCGGCCGCTGCCGCGGCTGCTCCTGGCATTCCATTGAGGGCTTGTGCACCTGCAGTGGCTGAAAGGATGCTGGAGAGCAGCGTATCCATAAAGGTTGCCGCTGGACTGGCAAGAAGATGCTGTTGCTGATGTCCCGAAATAGGTGAGAGGGCGGGTATAGGTATTGTGTTCGGTGGTGGTGCTGGAGCGATGCGTGGATGCGTTGCAATATGTGGTGATGCCCTTGCAAGAGCGGACTGCTGCTGCTGTTCTGCCGTTTGTTGTTCGTGCCGTTGCTGCTGTGATTGTTGTTCATTCGAGGCACTCGCACCGCCGTCTGCCTCCGTCTGGGTGCTCAACCCCGGTATCGGCGGGAATGTCATACTCCGGTAGAGCGCTTCCCTCTCCCCATCCCAATGGTTGATCCGATTTTTCAAATCTACCAGCAAAGCATCGGAGAGACTCGAAGTAATGTTCGACGGGACTTCCGGATTCGTTGCTCGCTCGATCAACTTTGCGAAGGCGATGCTGCCAAGGGATGTTGGTGCTGATGTCGATGGTTGCTCATTCACAGCCGCGCTTTCTTCTGGTAAGCCGGGCTGACCACCCAAGTCCGTGGTTTCAGCCGGCGCTGTTGTTTGTTTCGGCTCTGTTTCCCCTCCGTCTGGGCGCACAACCTCCATGGCATCCGCGGATGTTCCCGCCTCGAGATCTCTCGATTCCTGCCATAACCCGAAGACGATCTCCTTCAATCGCTCGTTTTCCGCATGCAGTGTGTCCAAGTCTTTCCTCAGCGCATCTACGACCCTAAAAACCTCCTCGCGCTCTCTCCACCACAGCTCTCTTTCCTTGATCCGCACATCCCGCTCCCTCGTCAATCTTTCCACTGTGGACCGGAGCTCGCGATGTTTCGCCTCTGATTCGTTCAATTGATGATTTCGATGATCCATCAGAGCGGCTTTGTTTTCCAACTCTTTTATGTATCGTTGCTTCCGTTCCCGAAAAGACCGCTGTGCTTGTCTATTCTGCTCGGCACGTTTGACTGAGGATGTTCCGGGACAGAGTGCATTCAGCTTGAGGTCATATATCGAAACGCTCTGCACCGACGCTAACCCACCTGCTGCAGAAGGGCTCGCGCTGTCTGGCGTTGTCGGCGTTGTGGGCATTCCCATTCCTTGGCCTGCTGCTGGCTCCTCCGCAGGTACAGCCGAAGGCGGCTCAGGAGCATTTAAAGCATCTTGAGGGTCTGGAGAAAAGAAGAGTCAGCTTGGGAGGCTTGCAATACTGACGGTAAGAGGTCAGGACTTACTCATCATTAGCGCACGTACAATATGGCGGCTGGACGGGCAAAGGGATGTGATGTTGAAGACAGGGGTTTTTCAAATCGCAGCAAGATGGCCAAAGTCGGACGGATATGCGTGTGGGAGGGAAGGCAGGGTAAACGCGGATGTGACAAAAGTCAAGCCAGCTGGCATTAAACTGCATTAAACCTCCTTACTATTCACATGCTTTTGCACAGCATCTCAACCCAGATCTCAACCGGCCGGCGGTCTGGAGTAGATGTCGAGTTTGGGAAGAACTTCACCGGAGTCCTAGGTGTCGCACAAAGTGAAAAGGCGGGAGGGAACGACGTTACAACATTGAGCTATACATGCAGTTGAGAATGCGGCTGGGAAGGGGCTTGAGACTACCATATGCAGTCCTACGAGCGCCTTGGAGGTGTGAGATGCGGGTGGGACGGTGTGGTGAACGATAAGGAAAATACTTTGAGAGGTCCAGCCCCTTGTTCAGTCGTACCGGTTATGTACACTCTGAAAACTCTGAATCTTCGATATGCTATGATTTTCATTCATCCAAATACGTTGAAAAAATCTACTTTTAACTGAGGCACAACTACTACCTTTGTTGGCTCGATGCCTCGATGATGCATCAATCGAGAACGGCCAAATCGTAAGAGAACGGCTCGTGGGTTGGATGACAAGGCGGCCTCCTGTATCACCGGAGGTAAATGCATAAATGCGCTAATGATGTCGGGATATTGCCGCGGGACATTGTCGGCCCCCCCCCCCCCCACGTCGCTCCAAAATGAGATTTCGATGTCTCGCAGCTCGTCTCCTTCCAGAATAACCTCTACCGCGCGTACAGTGCCTTATCATCGAGCTGACTTTTCCACCACAGCTCGACGATAGGGGACGGTAGGTCGGCATCCCCGATATCCCAAAAAAAAATCCACCAGATGCACTATGGCGGCTGTCGATGTCGATGCCGTCGTGGGTCCGCCAGGCTTCTGCGCCCAGAAGCCCACGTCTGACCTGGATCCCCGGGGAGGCAGAACCAGGCCAGCCGAACGATTCTGTGCGCGAAGCCAGATCCCGGCGATTCCAAATGTCGTGCCACACCGCCACCTATGGCCAGGCGAAAAATTCAGGGCTCAGATGCTTGCGAACACGTACAACTGACGGTTCTGCGCCAGGTCGCAGAGAATTCTGTAGTCTTCAGATTGACGACAGGAGTTGGCGGGGTAGCTTTCGGTTCCTCAATTCCGGTGAGGTCTTAAGTCGTCGATTAGGGAAGGAATCAGTCGGCCGGTCCTTGCACTCACCGCTAAATTCGACAAGCCCCATCTTGTCAGGCGTTTTGGAAGATCTCCTGAATCGGCAGATGACACCAATACGGTCTTCACAGCCACACCTGAAAGCGGTGGCTGGCCATACCGCCTACGATGTACCCTGCTTCCGGAGACTTCCGGGCTCGTAGGCTCGGTCGGTTTCAGTGCCGCTCTCCCTCTCCTCCTCGGATTCAGACCCGCTAACCTCCATGGAAATGATTGATGAGTTCATTCTCTCGAGAGGCGGTTACTGGCCATTTTTCGCCATCGTAAGATCGTAAGAAAAATATCTGCCCTGCTCATCCTGGTATGATGTCAGCGAAGTCATTGAGGAAACCCTTCATGAAACCGTTCACCCATACCCATGTTGGAAGCCACAACCGACAGTCCTCATCTATCATCATCTCTCCGTGTCCGTTGTCTTTTGCAGAATTGAAGGGCACGATGTGTTCGGCATAGAACTTGGAGACCCACACTCAGCGTCGCTGGGGACGGTGCTCGGGGGCACGGCGTCAGAGCAGTGCACGTCGGGCAGCGCACTTGCGCCCTCCGGTTGCTGTCGACGACAAACACTCCATTCTCGCCGACGTCTCGCCATATAGGTTGCATGTGAATAGGCGCAGGTCTTTCCTCGTCCGAAATCTTGATATCGGGTTCGGCCTTGACGATCCAACGTTGGTAAGCGACGTGATAGGTTCGTTCTCTTGACAATGAACAAAGAACAGGCGGCATCCGTGTACAGCGCGTGGAAACCTTTCTGCCGGTGATAGTTTTTTACGTCGACGATGTGGAGGTTCATGTATCTGGCTCGAGTTGGTGTCACATGTTGGCGGGCGGGTTCCGCCATGTGTCCGATACTACCCCTGTTGCAAGTATTGACGCCAGTGAAAACAACGAGTTTACGCTCCTCACCAATTACACCGTCCGTGGTCGAGCAGCAGGTGGTGTGCGATCGGATTTGAAGAGGCGGAGCGCGGTTCGGAGAGTGTGAGCGCGGTAAGGGCTTATGATTTGGCAGTCGGGGTCGGCGTCGTCGGTTTCAATTGCTTCGGTGTTCATTTCGGCGAACAGTTGACAGAGAAGATCCACTTCGAAAGGGTTATAGAGTGAAGTCGGATTTTCGGCGTCGAAGAATTCTCGGTTATCCCCATAAACTCCGAGGACGGCAAAGCCTCAAAGCCACGCGTCGTTAATGTCTCCAATACTTCCGCCCAAACTGATTCGTACCGACCGTGCTCGATGGGGTCCGGGTGCGCCATTCTTCTTGCAGAGCTGGTGTCGCCTTCATTCGTGTTTTGAAGATTTCGTAGTTGTCCGTTCAGGAAGAGGTAAATGATCCTGTTGGGCACACTCGCGGCCCAACCGACGGGGCCGCCACTGAAGCTGTCAATCCCACCAGCTTTGCGGCTTCCTCAGGGCCCCCAACTTGTTCTGCCAATAGTTCTTTGGGCAGCCCGAGAGATATCCCCTTCGACTCCATTGCCCTAAGCCTTTCAGAAGCAAGGATGTCGGAGGTCGCTGCACTCCTCATGGCACCCATGACTAACACTAAATATTGGTGTTCTATGTTCCATGTGAAGAGGGAAGGGGGAAGGGGGAACTCATGTTTTCCTCTTCTTGGCTGCCCTTCCCGCGTCAGCCTGCCTCTTCTTCGCCACACCCTCCGCGATCTTTCTTGCTTGGGCTTCGTCGAAATCGGGAAAGGTGTTTTGCTCCAGAGCGACCTGCTCGAGGCACAAGGCGATCGCAGAAGTGCACCCGCGTTTGTGACCGCCGAAGCGGTTCCACAAACCCCACTCGGGCTGGCCGTCGATCGAAGATACGTAGAAGGCAACCCTCCCAGCCTCGGTGGCGCAGGTCAAGTTGCGAGGGACGTACGCCTGAGGATGGTGTTCCCCGGCAGGCGCGATCTCGACCCGTACGATGCAGGCCCGCAGGTCCTCCCAAGCGGATTCCGAAAGCTGCTCCAGCACCTTGTCCTTGAACAGAGTTGCTTTCGTATTCCACAGCGTGTATTGGCGGCTCGCTTTCGTCGGGCCGCTTTTCGTGAGGACCTCCCGATGGCCGATCTTGTATTGGTCGAGCTTCTTGAGCCGCTCTTCGTGCGCATGAAGCGCGAATCCACGAAGGGCGTTCAGGAAGCCTTCGGTTGCTTGATCGGGGTGGTCGTGGAACCACGAGGAGAGGCTGTCCAGGCCGAGATCGCTGAGTTCTCGGTGGGTCCTTTGGGAGGACAGTCCCCGCCTCGCTTGATGCTCCGGCAAACTCGACCAAGCCGCCATTGCCAGGGAGTCATTGAGCCCAAGGTAGGGGCCATCGGAGAGGTCGAGTCCGGCGGCGGCAGCAGCAGCATCGACCGCTGCGCTCCGGTAAAAGCGGCCGATGACTTGGACGGCCGTTTCGAGGACGAGGACCTCGCCGTCGGAGAGCGACTTGGCAGGGAACGCGGCGACTCTCTTGACGGTCATCCTTTCCACGTCGACCTCGTGGCATCTTCGGTACGTGGCCTGGTCCTTGCGCTTACGGTACGCGGGGCTCAGATGCTCGTTGGCGCGGTGGACGAGGCCGCGCTTGCCGGTAGCAGAACCAGCGTAACCGTGGTTGCCTCGAGGCACAAAGACGTAGAGACCCCACCCCTTGTGCTCCCACGAGACGGCTGGCAGGCCGGCGCCGTTGGTCGGGCAGCCGGCGGCAAAAAACGAACGACCCGCATCGTCGAGGAAGGCGTCCAGCTTGGTGGCGATGGCGTTGGAGACGACATCGTCGTCGGTCTCTTGGATGGTCGCACCGCCGGTCAAGACGGCGACGACGGCGGGCTCGTGCGGGGATTGTTCTGCACGGACAAGGGCTCGCAAGGTCTTGATGGCCTTGGCGGCACAAAGACGTAGACACCCCACCCCTTGTGCTCCCACGAGGGGCGGCAGGCCGGCGCCGTTGGTCGGGCAGCCGGCGGCAGAAAACGCACGACCGGCATCGTCGAGGAGGGAGTCGATCTTGGTAGCGATGGCTTCGGAGACAGCTTCGTCGTCGGTTTCTTGATTGGTAGCACCGCCGGTCAAGACGGCGACGACGGCGGGCTCGTACGGGGATTGTCCGGCGCGGACAAGGGCCCGCAAGGTCTTGATCGCCGTGGTCAAAACGACGAAAGCAGCGGATGGCGCTGACATGTCTGAAGGTTGAACGCGAAGTCAGTAAGGAAACCATTCATGAAACCCGTTCATCCCCATGTTGGAAGCCACAACCGACAGTCCTCACCTATCATCATCTCTCCGTGTCCGTTGTCCTTTGCGGAACTGAAGGGCATAATGTGTTTGGCGTTCCACAACCCATCCGCGACACCCACACCCCGGCGACGGTGCTGGGGGGCACGGCGTCAGAGCAGTCCAAGCCCGCGATCTTGGGAGAGAATAGACTGCACTGCAAGGACGCCGGAAAGTAGGATCATTCTGCAAATTCTGTTCGTTGGTCATGGTGCCTTATCGCATGGCAGACATGAGGCGTGCGTAGGCAGAGGCTTCCCCAGGAATTGATTTGCGCTCGAAAATGGTGGTCCCATGAGACGGCAGGGAGACCAGCACCGTCGTTAAGGCTTCCTGCAACGAAGGAGGCCCCACCAGTCGCGTCTACATAGTCCATCCAGACCCCGTCTTGTTTGCGCTGGGTTTTTCCCTTCCCCATCTGCAGAACTGCGTCAGGACGTCGGGATCTTGGTCAGCGGGATCAGCGCGCGCGAGCTGTACGCATGATCTTGACGGCGTGGGTAAGAACAACTGAGGCAGAAGAAGGAGCGGACATCGTTGTCATTGTCGTATTCGACGAAATGCCGGATCGCCATCGCTTCTCGGCAGGGGGCGCGTGTGTGCTGACGGCCATGATGAAGACCGTGAAGACGAAAACAGAGATGAGGTGATGGCGTCCAGGTCAAGGCGTCGACGATGGTGGAGAAGTAGGTAGGCTGCTGATGAGACGACGGCACAGCTGGACATCCATCTGTGACAAGAAATCGATTATTGATGGTGACTCCATGTGGTGTAACTCATTCCTCATTGGAATGAACTTGCGGGGGGAAGAGCGAGAGGGGCACACATGTGGGTGGTACGGCATGCGGGTTTGGATGTCGTAAGAATTAATTAATTCACAATCCAACGTTGCAGCATTCCTGGAGACAACTAGCCGAGAACGATAGCAGCGATGGCCGAGTGGTTTAAGGCGTTTGACTTAAGTGGCACTTAACTTAAGTATTCAAATACACGCAAGTGTGCGTGGGTTCGAACCCCACTCGCTGCATTCCGTAGAAGATGTTTTTTGCCTTTTCCTGGCTCATTTTTGGCAGGCCTGACCCATCCTGCCGACAACCAACCCGTCTTCTACATATATAAACCTTCATGCTCTCGGAATACTCAAGTCAAGTGCCACTTTTCGTCACACGCCTTAACCACTCGGCCATCGCTGCTATCGTTCTCGTCTAGTCGTCCGAGGGCTGGCGCGGCAGCCTTCGCCAACGGGATTTCTGGTGACAGCGTTGCCAACGCCGCTGTCGCCCCGCCGTTCCCGAAGAAACAGTCCACGCCGTCCGCTTATGGACAGAAGTCGAAGCCGATACGCTTGTGAACACAGCGAGCGCATTCCTGTCTGTACGTAGTGTTGAGGACGTTCTTATCCACCTTGCTTTCACGGTGGCTATTGCGGCATGTTGCATATCGCCTCCGTCTCGAAGCGACATGTTTGAACTACTGTCAGGCGCTGTTGAAACTTGAGAGCGAGTGAAGCAATTAATTAACCCACTTATAATGGGGGCGGGCGAATGCGTCTCTCATCAAACCCCACTCCCATGTCGTCTCTCTCGCTCTCGCTCACAAACACCACACAACCTTCGCCGCAAACCTCGATTTCCCACGCTCTCAGACCACCCTCAGTTCTCTCCCGCACCGACTCACAGCCTACGGTAAGTGCCATACTACGGGCTCAAGCTAGTCCCTCTCCTGTTTGTCCCTTCCCAGTTTCCCTCCTGACTGTTGTTGTCCCCCGAACACATGTTTCCTCCCACTACTTGCAAACCCCCCCAACTCGCAATCCCTCCCGTTACACCCTCCATCCTTCACCACCCTACCACCTACCCACTCTCGTCCCCTTATGTGAACCAATCAACCCTCCCGCTACAAAATCTCTCCCACAACCATGTCCTTTTATCCCCAAAAGTCAGCGATAAAGCCTAACCGATAAACCACAACCCCCCCCTTCCTCTTTTGGCCACGATGAGCAAGACCCCTCCAGATGCGCCGTCCCCGGACCGGAAACGCTCCCTGGAAGCCGAAACCTCCTCCGACGAAGACGACGAACGCGGCGGCCGGTACAAGCGTCAGGCGATCAGTGTAGACGATAAGGCCGGGAACGATGCGGATAAGCCGCAGCCCGTGCCTGTGTCTGCGGACTCGAGGGCCAGATCTACCGGTGGATCGTTTAGTGTGAAGGAAGAGGAAGATGCGGTTGGAGCCTCCGTTTCTGATGAACTGGCGGGTGGGGCGGATGTCAAGAGAGAGGCGAACGGAAAGTCGGAACCGATATACCCGACGGCAGGCTCGCAATCGAACGTCCAAGTCGCCGCACCCGCCCCACGCCCCGACAAGGAGTTCCGCATGCGCGCGCTCATCTCCACCCGCGAAGCCGGGATCATCATCGGCAAGCAGGGCCGCAGCATCAACGACATCCGCAACCAATCCGGCGCAAAAGTCCAGATCTCCGACCACATCCCTAACGCGCAAGACCGCATCCTCATGATCACGGGCCTAATGGACCAGATCTCCAAAGCCTTCTCCCTCGTCGCCGGCAAAATGGTCGCTGAGCTGCAGGACAACAGCGATATCCCCTTATCGCAGCGCTTGACAGAGATCCGCCTCCTCGTTCCGAACCAGATGATGGGCTGGCTCATCGGCCGACAATCACAGAACATCAAGGAAATCATGCACAACTCCTCCGCGCAGATCCAGGCCGCTAGCGGGTCCTTGCCCAACTCCACGGAACGCGTCGTCAGCGTCGTGGGTGTAGTCGACGCCATCCATCTCGCGAGTTACCATATCGGCGTCTCCCTCCAAAACCACCGCGACGAGATCCGTGGATTCGTGCCCTATGTCCCCTTCGCGCCGATGAACCCGGCCGCGTACATGGGCGGCGCCGACGCACGCGGGATGGGCGGACCGGGCGGACCAGGCGGGTACGGCGCCCCGATGCCCTACGGATTCCCCGGCGCCCCCTTCATGCAGCAAGGCGGGCACCCCCACCACCCCCACCAACAACACCCTGCCCACATGATGCAACAACAAGCCGCCGCGTACGGGTACCCCCAAGGCATGCCCGGCGGCCCTCCCCCCGGCGGGCCCCCCAACAACGGCGCTCCAAACGGCCCCTCCCAGATGGTCCAGATGTACATCCCGAACGACATGGTCGGCGCGGTGATCGGCAAACAGGGCGCGCACATCAACGAGATCCGGCTGGCGAGCGGGTGCAAGATCAAGATCATGAGCGCGGATCGCAATAGCACAGAGACGCTGGTTACTGTTACGGGCGCCCCCGAGGCGAACCAGATGGCGCTGTATATGCTTTATACGAGGTTGGAGAGTGAGAGGGCGAGGATGCAGGTTAGGTGAGCGGGTGGGAGGGGGGGTGAGGGAGGAGGTGTTTACGAGCTTAAAAATATGGAGCGAAGGGGGTGGAGTGGAACGTATGGAGTGGGGTTATTGGGGGGCGTTGCAACGGAGTAGCTTTTGTCGGGTGCGTGTGTGTGATTGTCCTCAGTTTAAACAATTGTTGGGAAAGGGAGAACGTTTTGTGTGTCCTCATCTTGTCTGCCGTCTTCTATGCTGGATGCTGGTTTCCAATCAAACGGGAAAAAGAAGTCAAATTCATGGTGAAAACATTGCAAGCAGACCCGGTACATATTTACGATTTTGCATTGATTAATACCATCGAGACTCAAGAGGATATTGAGCAGAAAACGGTAGTAACAGATTCGTCAGTCAAAAATGTACACTATAAATCATTCTATTCTATAGTTTTCGAGATGGGGGGGGGGGGGGGAAAGATGGGGGCCTAAAACGTCTATTCTACCATCCGCAACCACGGCCTCCTCCCTAACGCCCTAACCCCCCTCCTCATGCCCCCTCTCGCCCTATTTCTTCAAAAACCCAAACATGCCCTTCCCCTCCTTAACCACCTGCGGAGCCAACGCCGGCATCCCCGGATTCTCCTCCCTCAACTCCCTCAACCGTTCCTCGGCCCTCTTCTCCCCCCTCCCGCTTGCAAGCTGATACCACACCACCGCCTTCTCCAAACTCTTTTGGCATCCGATCCCGGCCTCGCAAAAGAACCCGATGGCGTATTGGGATTCGGCGTGGTTTTGTTTGGCCGCCCGGTACGTCCAGGCGTAGGCTTCGGATTCGTTCTTGGGGACGAGGGGGGGGAAGCCGTGGAGGTACCAGCCCGCCAGGACGAATTGTGCCTCGGGGTGCCCGTGTTCGGCGGCGCGGCCGTACCAGTACAAGGCTGCTTGCTGTTGTGTGGAGGGGGGGGGGGGGGGGGGGGTCAGCATGTGCTCAGAACTCCATGGGGTGTCCTTCATAATAACGGTTGACAACTTCAAACGTCCACATACCAGATCCTTAGCACACCCCAACCTCCCAAACTCATAACAGCTCGCCAACACATTCTGCGCCGGCGGATACTCCAACTCACTCGCCTCCTTATACAGCCCCAACGCATACCCCTCATCCTGCTGAATATGCGGCGGCACGCCCTCCTCATATATCTTCGCCAGCTCATACAGACACTCCGGGTGCTCCGTATCCGCCACAGCTGCACCGCGCTTGAACCACATGACCGCTTTCCGGACATCGCGTTTGGTGCCAAGGAGACCCTGGTATTCGATCATCCCGAGCCGGTATAGGGCGGGGCGGTAGCCGGCTTGTGCGGATTTGGTGTAAAAGTCCATGGAGATCTTTGTGGATTTTTTGGTGCCGGCGCCTTTTTCAGAGAGGACGCCGAGGAGGTACATGGCGCCCGGGTGGGAGCGTTTGGCGGCGGCGAGGAGTTGGGGGTGCGCGAGGGTGTATTGGGTGTCTTCGAAGTAGGCTTGTCCGAGTGTGAACTGAAAGGAATCATACTGCATCAGCAGTGCTACAATGTCCTCATTTCGCAAAAATGGTCTCACCATGGCATCCGGATTCCCCGCCTTGCTAAGCTCCTTCAGCAGCGCAAACGCCTCCTCGCTCAGCTTATCCTTCAACGCATTATCCGTCGTCTTCCCACTCTCATCCAACAGATACTTTGCGAAATCAAACCTCAGCCGGTCATCCCCGCTCTTCAAAGCGTTCATTCTGTACATCTCGAGCGTTTTCTCGAGAGAGACTTTGGAGACTTTCGAGCCTGATTGCTGCTGTTGATTCCCTGCCGCGTTGGGTTTGGGTGGTGGGCCATTTGGCCGTTTCACGGAGTAGCTTCGAAACGTTGGTTTGGGCCCCTCTGGAGGCGGCCCACTGATTTCCATACTCGACAGGGCTTCGGAGAGCCGCAGACTGTCCGTTGACTCGCTACCAGAGTCAACTGCTTCTGAGTGCGCATGGGAGGGTATCGACGGGTTAGACGACGGTCTGGAAAGACGGGCCGAGTTCCCGCTGAGCCTTTGTTGATTGAGATTCTCGGCAGATACTGATGACGGTCTCGATCCACTGACGCCGGGCGATAAGCTCGAGTTCGAATGCGCAGATCGTGGGCCATCCCGATCCGGATGTAGCGCTTGGTTCGGGGAAAGTCGATGGTTTGCTGGTGGTGGAGGACGGCTCATATGCGCTGGATGTGGTTGGGCCGGCTGCGGTTGTCCCGGATGTGCTTGTCCCGGATGTGGCTGCCCAGGATGCATAGGCGGCCTCATGTATTGCGCTGGATGCATTGGAGGAGGCCCGTTAGGATCATAATAACGGTCTGCCAGTGGTGGCGCGCCATAACCTGGCCCTTGCGGCGGTGGAGGTCGAGCATACTGGGGTCGTGGGTGATATGCTCCATTTGGTGGTGGCGGCCCGTACGGCTGCCCATGTGGTGGACCATGTGGCGGTCCGTAAGGCGGCCCTTGCGGTGGTGGGCCGGGGTAATGATGTGGGCGTTGTTGTTGCTGCTGCTGCTGAAACTGCGGTGGTGGTGGGCCGGGTCTGTATTCCATAGGCGGCCTTCCCGGGGCGTGTGGCTATTGAATTGAACCAGTAAGGAGCTGGAAAAGTGAATGCAGATACGGGTCTGCCAAACTTACCTGCGCATATTGCATTGGTGGGCCATGGTTAGAATACAAAGCAGAACTTGCTGATGGCGGAGCCTGCTGGGGGCGGTGGTGTTGGGGTTGAGGAGCCTGAGAAAACCCCCCAGCGGGGTCCCGTTCCTGCTCAGACATTTCGCGTTTTCAAGCGGGTACTGCCCACAAGCATTGATACTTTTGTGTAGGACAGCGACGGGGTCTCCGTGGCACTCTCGCCCAACAAAATAGACGCTATGAGCAGGAAGTCGGGGGGGAAGGTCGTGGATGAAAGTGCAGCGTCGACCGCGGAAGTGCTTTGAGTGCTGAGCGCCAGTAGATTCCGGTTGTAAGACAGATATGACCGATAGTTCACGCCACTCCTAAGCCGTCCTGGCAACCCTTTTTATGAGGAAAAAAGCGAGGCAGATGGGGAGCGTCCCTTGTACGAAATGTGTGCCAGCGGGATACTGTATGCCAGTGTATGGTTTGCCCGCAGCGAGCGAGTTTGTGGTGGCAGCGAACGGTCATGAAGCGGCGATCTTGGAAGCCAAGAAGTTTAATTTTAAGTCGGTGGATTGGAGACTCTTCTAAACTGCGCCCTAATCAAACGCGGCCGATTGGGTGTTTTTGGGTTTAAGGGGCGGTCTGTTTGCGCGAAGGACTGTCCCAGTGTCCTGCAAACGTCATGATTGCAAGCCCTCTCTCGGTCGGAGCTTGTAAACAACAACCTCCTGCTCGCCACTCTCAGCAAAGGACTACCTAGAATACTTCTACCTCCCACCACCGTGCCGGCTGGTGCAAAGTGCGGTACGGTGCCTTATACATACGCACCTTGCGTGACGTTATTTGCCAGCCTACCGCCCTCCGGAAAATGACTTCGAAACACGACGCCTTCGACACCAAGGTTCGGCTTCGACGCTACGACCGCAGAATATCTCGCGCAAAAGCACACGCTCGAGAAGGTATGTTGTGACTCCAGAGCCAGCTTTCTCAGGGCAACTTCGGAAATAAAGAGGCAGGTCTCACTCAATTCTGCTGGCGATTCACAGAACTCGACTCCTTTGGCTGGTCCAAGCACAAATATTACAAACTTGACCTGTGGCCACGAGCACCCTATCGCACGGCTCCTAGGATAGACTACGATACTGTCGACGAGGATGACTTCATTCGCCACTTTGAAGAGCCAGGGGTCCCTGTTGTCATTATGGGCGCTACAAAAAGCTGGGATGCTGCAAAGAACTGGACTCCGGAGGGACTGCTGAGGGATTTTAGGTAGGGATATACGAATGCGGTGGATATTTATGTTTCGCCCAAGATCACTCTCAAACTCACCACGCAAAGGAACGAAAAATACAAAGGTATCGGGTCGATGTCGAAGATAGATGTCTCACACGTTACTCGAATAGCCATCTAATGTGACCGCTCAACATCAGTGGGAGAAACAAACAAAGGCACAACCGTAAAAATCTCCATGAAGTACTTCCTCCACTACGCCCTCACCTCTAAAGAATCCCAGAAGGACGACTCCCCGCTCTACATCTTCGACAGCAGATTCGCTGACAAAACTCCCACCTCTTCATCATCATCCTCACATTCCCGGAAGAAGCGGAAACGGTCCCGGTCAACCTCATCTCACCGGCCCCGCAATCTGCGGGATGATTATGAGATTCCGAAATATTTCAGGGATGATCTGTTTGCTTTGACGGGGGAGAAGAGGAGGCCGCCGTACCGGTGGATTGTGATTGGACCTGCGCGGAGTGGGACGGGGATTCATCTGGTATGGTATGGCAGAGCATTCCCAGACATATCCAACTCGTAAGCGGAAGACTCAAAACATCCTCCTCACAAACCAGGACCCGCTAGGAACCTCAGCATGGAACGCCGTCCTAACCGGGCACAAGCGCTGGGTCCTCTTCCCTCCCACCACACCCCCACATCTCATCGAACCGCGAAATTTACCCGACCACGAAGCTTCGTCGTGGTTCGCCCATGTCTTGCCGACCATGTATGTGGTCGATGGAGAAGGGAGGACGCTGGGAGAGAGGTTGGGGATGATTGAGATTGTGCAGGGGCCTGGGGAGACGGTCTTCGTGCCGGGGGGTTGGTGGCATGTTGTTATCAATCTGGGTGAGTGGCTTAAAGCAATAGAGATGGACGCAAAGTCTGTTCGAGCATTCAACAATTACATCGCGATAAAATCCCATCGGCACTGACCCCCACCAACCACACACCCCCACCCCAGACTACACAACAGCAATCACCCAAAACTTCCTCTCCTTCACCAACCTCGACTCCGTCTGGCTGCGCACACGGGACTCGCGCCCGAAACTCGCGCGGCGACTCTTGCAGCGGATCGAGGAGCTCGCCACTCCACTATCGAGATCCACAAAACCGAAGAAGAGGGGGAAGGAAGGGGAGGAGTTGCATGCCGAGTTTTATGCACGGTGCAGGGATAAGATCCGGGCGTTGCGGATGGTGCCGAGGGTTCCGCCTTCCTCTTCATCCTCGTCGTCCTCTTCGTCTTCATCGTCTTCATCGGGTTCAGATGAGAGCAGTGGTAGCGAATAGCGATTACGCTATGCTAGATAATCTATTCTTATCAAACAGGCAGAGCCCGATAGCGGTATGAGGGAAGAGAGAGTGGGGGTTACTAAGCCCTCGGGATGCAGGCGCGGGGATGAGGTATCGGTAGCAGAAGACGATATAGCAAACGAGAGAAGTACTTCTATCGTAAGGGAGGAGGGGTAAAAAGACCAAAAGTAAAACGCGACCGAAAGAAATAACAAAAAACTAAAAGGCAAGCTAACTGTACAAGAAAAAGAAAGTCGGTTGACGGTGGTCGGGTGGTGTCCAAAGATCGAGCGGGGTGATTCGGAGTTATGGCGGGCCGGGATATATATGGCTTGCTTGCGTGCGGGATACGACAGGTGATTCCATTTCACTTGACATGGAACCCCGCACTCCACGTAATCGCCATCATCAGCTTCCGCTCCAACTTCCCTCTTGACGAATACTTATATATCCCAATCTGGTTGAAACATGTATGTGATATCGGTAAATTCTCCGAGTCCTTAAAAAATCATAGAATCAGCAGTGAGGTCCTGCAATCAATGGATACTCCGATGACGACAGGTTACCTCGCCCATGCAACTGAGTTTGAAGGTCATGTTCTGGATCCCGGTGGCGGGGATCCGGTCTGTGCCTGTGGCGAAGAGGAGAAGTTTGCGTTTTTGGTCGGTGGGGAAGGCGTTCACGACGTCCCAGAACATGCGGACAGCCGGGTCGGTGGGTTCGAATCTAAAAAAACAGGAAACACATGGTGCGACCAATTCAATCTCGGTAACAGGAAAAAAAAACAATCAGAGGGCGATCCCACAAACTCACCCCTCATACTCCGTAACCCCCTCCAAATCCCTGATATCCAACTCCGTCGCGCCCCTCACCATCAACTCAATCTCCTGCGGGCTAAACAAACTCAACGCGTTCCCCCCGCACACATACTTGAACCCCGCCTTGAACGCGCTAAACTGCGTCTCAATACTCTCATTCAGGGCCCAACTCACATACTTCTCCACAAACTCCGTGCGGTTCAGATTCGTCACGGGGGTGTTTTCGCCGTTGGGGATGAGCGGGACACGGATGGTCTGGCCGAACGCTTCGTATTCTGCGACAAAGTCGCGGCAGAAGGTGGTTTCGACGTCCGGGGAGGTGTACTCGAGGAGGTGTTGGAGGCCGCGGGTGAGGGTGGGGCGGAGGATCTTGAGGTCCTCGATGTCGGTGGGTTGGTCTAGGAGCTTTTTGTAGCAGGCTAGGGGGAAGTGGATCTGGTAGGGGGGGTTCAAGCATCGCCGTCAGTCGCTATCCAACTCCACGTTGACCGATTGAGAAAACATGATTGTACATCAAGAATGTTGGAATTATGTATCGCCAACCCAAGGATAATCCCCACCAATCGAAACTCCTCCGTATTCTCAAACGACGCCGGGTTGAACCAACACAGGTTGCTGTCCTCCTCGTAGATGAACATCCCATATTGCGGGTCAAAGAGGTCCCGGACCAGCAGCAAGAACCACTCTTTCGTCAGGCCTCCGGCGTCAACCCCGTCCTCGTCTGCCGAAGGTTGGTCAATGTGATGAGTACCAACACTCTTTCCTACCAGAATATCGATGGTAAGTCTCAAAGCTTACTCATAAACTCGATCCGAAGCTTCTTCTTCAAATCAAAATGCCGCGACTGGAGCTGATTCAACGAATCTTCGATGAGGTTGTTTCGTCGGATGTGTAGCGAGAGGAATGGATCGGTGACGAGACCGTGTAGTGCTGTTCGGTAGAAAGCTTCTTTGAACCTATCGGGGTCGGGATGGATGTGGTTGGTAATGGGTCGGAAACATCAAGCAAAACGCCTGGCCTACCTTTCCGCCATTTGCCGTTTTGCATCTGCTTCCATTATCTGCGCCTCGGCCTTTCAGCCCCGTGTTCGCTTTCACAACATCGATGCCTTCAATATATCAAATCTGCATACCTGCATCTTCCCCCCCAACGACACCAAGAACGGATACTGACAAAACGAAAACGCCCTAAAAACCCGATGTGAGCATTTCTTTCGCAACGTAAAGCAAACAGAGCGCCGACGTCCTACCCAGTCCGATCTTCCTGCCATATCTTGAAATCCCGATACAGATCTACGTAATCTACAAGGGTATTGTAAAGCTCGGCCATTGGTAATGGGTCTGCTCTCCGTCCGTTTGTCGCATCTGATAGCAAGCCATGTCAGAGTCCATAATGTCGGCAACAAGCTGCAATGGTCCTTTGACATACGTAAAAGCGCCATAAACCTCGCCGCCGACCGAATCGGCCAATCCGTCGGATAATTCTCCCGCATCCCCTCTATCTGCGCCAGACGATAGCTGATAAAGTAATTTACCAGCGTGACGCGTTGTCCAAAGACGGCCGTGGGGACTTTGTTAAGCCAGACGACGAGGTGGTGATGGAGGTCGTTGGGGAGACAGGAGAGGAGGCCGAGGAGGCGCGAAACGACGGAGTGGACGTAGGACTGTTCGAGGTCTGGTGGGGGTTTTAGAAAGAGGGGGTTCTGGTGGGAAGAGAGATGATGAGATGGCGAGTATGGTAGAGATACGATACGTCCTTCTCGACTCACCTCTACTAGTATTATGAGGAATCTGATGTCTTCGGGTTGTTGGAGCTGCCTGCATAGACACCTCAGTCAACCCCGCGCCGCTATAACCGACCAGCTCCCGCCCGCCATGTACCTTCCAGGCCGCCTCAGCAATTCATCGATTCCTGCTATCATAGCTCGCTGCGCCGCTACACCCTATTTCCGCCGTCGTGTTCAGATCCATACCGCTTGAATCCACATAGATGCAGCGAGGGGCAACCACTCACATTCCGCGCAATGAGCTGGTAGACTTCCCGCACGTCATCCAACGCGACTCCCGAATCGTCCACATTCGTCGTTCTCCCCTAGATTCGACACATTTTCAGTCGGTGTGTGGAAAGATGACCAGCATCGTCGTCCCCGATACCCAAACCCGCGCCCATACATTCAAAAAGCTCTCGTTAAGACTATAATGCCTCGAGAACAGCTGGTATATCGCGTTATCGATCTGCTCCCTCGTCAATTCCGGGTTGGACAACAGATCCCGGATCGTCGGGAGGGTGAAGGTTGCGCCGTTTCCTGTCCCTCCAGCTGCTCCAGTGTGGTTGTTAGTTGCGAGTTCGTCTAACGGGGGGGTTAAGGCGTGCTTCCTTACGTTGTGGAGGAGGCGGTCGTATTGGGACTAGATCTGTGACACCTGTTGAGAGGAGAGTTGGTTGGACAAGTGGAAAGTTAGAGCTGCTACGTTCGTTCGCCGTCGTAGCTCTCCACAAAAGCGGAATACTGACAGTCACAAACTGTGCATCCTGAAAGATAGGGTGGAGTATCAGTAACCACAACGTATAACGTATTTTTTCAAACCCTGTTGCCGGACGACGGGCATACTCACTAAAACAAGGAACGTTTCCGGGGAACTTGAGAAGATTCGCACAACACATGCATCTGCAATTCGAGAATGTGTCAGCACATGCCGTGTCCTTTTGTCGATATCCGCGGTTGCAAGACAAGGTAAGTTTCAGATGTAGAGATACGTACGTTGTCCTGCTCTCCTCCGGGTATTGGTTTATCATGGCTCTACTCTACTTAAGTCGTTGCTTGTGGGGGGGGTAAGAGAGGGGGCAAGAGCTGCGAAGGTGGCCAGCAAACACCCGTGCCCAGATCCAAAGCATGCATGACACGCCGCACTTTGGAGAGAGTGGAGTCGTGGACACGGACACGCTTGTGGGTGGTGACTCATCACCCATCGACAATTTCGAGATGGAGACGACATCCATATGGGACAAGTGGCAGGAAACCAACGCAATCATATGCTCTCCTTTTTTGGTCCGAGATGGGGAGAGAGCTCTAGTTGAGAAAACATACGCTCCCAAGCTATCCCTCCCGCGATGCAACTCCCAGCTCAATCGAGACCAGCCGCTATACAATAATAAGGGGAGCATCCATGTCCGGCGTCTCGAGTAGGTCGGCGGGGCACGTGCCAAAAGCCAAAGCGGTTGTCGCGCCGAGGAGGAGGGAATGATGATTGGCATGTGCTTGCTTGTTCCCTCTCGCGATCTCGTACAGACGCTCGCTCGCTTGCCGTTTTTAGACCGTCAACCCCCCACGCACGCCGTCGTTTTCACCCCCCCCCCCCCCCCCCCCCCCAACCAACCAACTGCCTGCAGCTCTTATCAAAAAGAAACCCCTGTAACTTTCTTCACCCCCCCACGCACGACTATATACGCGCTTATCCCGTTTCGCTGCACTTTCCCACGCTCAACGACCCACCGCACGCATATCCACAGCCCCATACCTTCCGCACAATGGCCACCCCAGCGCCGCCAACTGGACCCGACCGAGGCGTAGTCTCCACCAACGTCGCTTCCACCTCCACCACCACCTCCTCCTCGCAATCAATGACCTCCACAGCCCTCGACAACGTCAGCTCCACTTTCACCAACTTGATCTCCAGAGGTCGGAAAGCCACCATGCCTTCCGTCGACTGGAGGGAGATACCTCAACCGGTGCCCCTAGTCAAAGTCGTATCGCAACCGAGTGCGCCTGGATCGAATTCTATCAAATATGTCGCGACTGGGATCACCCCGCAGGCTGAGCAGATTCTATCGCAGCTGCCTGTTCCGCTTCATATCGTCGCTTTTACTGGGTTTGGAAGGTGAGTCCGAGCCATGTGAGGCCGAGCGGAGCGAGACCGAGCGAAGCGAGGGGATGCTTGAGGGTTCCGAACCCAACTGGGCCGGTGCGAAGCGAGGCACACGAATGCTCTTGAGGATTCCGAGCGATAGCGGAGCGCGAGGTCTGCTCGCTTCATCGGAGGATCGGAGACACTTCGCGCAGAGTGCATGGGACAGTTTTCGCTCGCTTCAAAATGGATACTTATGTTTACCTCTTTTCCTCTTTTCAGATCAGGGAAGTCGTTTACGGCATCGAAAGTGCGACAACACATGACTGGAAACGAAGATCACAAATTCACGAGTGCTCCTGGGAACGTTCCGTGCACACACGGCATCGACATGATTGTTTTCGAGAATCCACGAGGACCCGGTACTATCGTCTTTCTGGATTGCGAAGGAGGAGCGAATCACAATCAATCAGCGTTACCATTCGTTATTGGGTTGGCTGCTCGGTTGTCGACCAGGATGTACGCATTTGAGCGGGGATGCTTCACGACGGGAGGGTTGGACACGGTCATGCAGGTTATCAATATGGGGCATGCAACCAGCGCGGATGAGGTGGACATAACCCGGCAGCTGGTGCTCGTGGAGAACATGTCGATAAATGGAGATATCCCAGACCGACGGCTCTTAGATGATCTGCTGTGTGAAGAGGATGGGGACGAACAGACGAATCGCGTGAGGAAACTCATTCGCGAGAGATTCGACGTGAGCTTTGCGAAGCTACCCTTCACCATGCCCGGCAACCAGCACCTATTCCTCGAATCGGTCGCGACACTGGCAGACACACTAGGGGACTCGCTGACCCCTTTCGTTGTCGGCGGCGTGCCAGTAGACGGACCCGTAGTAGTCCAGCTCATCAGCGAGCTCCTCGCACAGATCCGCGACGGTGGAAACCGGTTCAACATGGTCTCTGCAACCGAAGCCCTCGTCGCAAACATGGCCTCAGAAGCCGCCAACTCCGTCTGGACCGATTTCATCGCCAAAGTCCGCAAACAGGGCAACCACCCCGTCCAAATCACCGGCCGCAAACACCTCCGCACCATCCTCCGCGAAGTCGAAGGCGCCGCCAACCTCTGTCTCAACGAACTCGAATCTTTCACCTCCAAACTCGTCCCGAACGAACCCGCCGCCATCGCGAAATCCACCTGGGACAGGAACTACCGCAACTTTGAGATGGACATCCGCGCGGCACATAAACGTAAAGCGGACGATCTGGCGAAATATACCCAGTGGGCGGACCGCGTTAACCGCATTGTAAGCGAGATTGTGGCACAGGTGGTGGAGGCGATCCGACAGTTTATTCGATTTGCACGGTTTTCGACGAGTTTGGTGCTGATGAGCAATTACTACTTTTGGAGGAGCTCGTTCAATATCGCGACGGGGATTGCGCAGGGGGTCATTACCGGTGTCACGTCTTGAATGCACTCTTCGGCGTGTTGGCGATCTCGTGAAATGGCGCAGGCAATACCCCCTTTCATTCTGTGCTCCCGAACGTAGTCATCCATTCTCAACCGTTTTTGAGTAGCATGCAACATCAGTCTGCGACTCTGCGAATATATCCTTGCCGGCTGGAAGATGTTCTCCAGCGCGACATCGGCGAACCGCCTCCTCTTTCTCCGTGTGGGGCTTTTGTTTAGACAGCACGCTTAATTGTAATTTCTTCATAATATCAAATCATCACATTCATTTTTCTTGAAGATCAGTGTCTCGTCGTCCTCTACCTTCAAAGGCCACCTAAGAGAATCTAACCCTGCTACAACTATCCCCTATCCCCTACTCCCTAACAAACCCCCCGCTCTCACCTCCCGCTCCCAACCCCATTCAAAGCCCCCCTACTCCCCCTCGCGCTCCCCGCCCCCCCACCGCCGATCTCCGGCAACTTATTATACCGCTGCTTCAACGGGATCCTCCCCCCCGTCACCGCGATCCGCGACGACGTGGACGATGAGGACGATGTGGTGCTTGTAGTGTAAGCGGAGTCTTTGAGCTTGAGTTTCAGGTCGAGGGCCTTATCCAGCAGCTGGATTTTCCGATCGAGGTGGAGGGTTGATGAGAGGGCGTGGAGGAGAAACGGGGGAGAGCAGAGGGAATGGAGAGAATAGAGAACGGTACCTGGAGTTTCTGGGCACGTAACGCCTCGTTCTCGTGCTGGAGTTTGGCGCACCGCTCTTCGGCGTGCCGGAGGGCGTCGTTGGATGCCTATGGGGTGGGGGGGGGGGGGGGGGGGGGAGTGGTGCGTAGATGTTGGTGATGTTGCTCGCCCTCGCAGGAAGGACAACCCCCATTGCGAACGGCAGGTCCCTTTGCTACATCATCATTTTTCGTCCATCTATTTGTCCTCTGCCATCCTCTCGCACAGCCCCCCCTCTCACCATCCCTCCCCGTCCCCAAAACGAATCCGCAAACTTCCCAGAAAAACGTCCCTTACCAACTTCGCTTCCGCCTCCTCCAGCTTGTTCCTCAGATACCCCAACGTAGTCGTCAGATCCTGCACCTCCTTGAACAGCGCCCGTTTCTCCAGCGTCGCGGTCTCGTAGTCTTGCGTGAGTCGGGCGTTGGCGGCGGTTAGGTGGTCGATCTGGGCGGCTTGCTGCGTTTGGAGGGTTAGGCGAGATTGGAGCTGCCGGGGGGAGGGAACATCAGTTTTTATTTTGTCATTTGCGGGCAGAAGCTATGGGAACTGGTTATGTATGCTTTTATGTATGGGGGAGACTGCACACACCTCTGCGTTTTCCCGATTGAGTGCGTCCAATCTGACTTCCAGCGCCCGTAAGATATCCAATGTGGGGTCGGTCCCGTCCGCTGATGTCGCGCCGCCGCGGGTGTACATCAGCGTATGCGGTTGCGTTCTTTCGTCGGGGTTTGTGGCTGAGAGGGCGTCCATGGAGGTTGAGGATGTGCTGGTTAGGAGGTCAGCGGAGGGGAGGGATCCGGTAAGATGCGGTGTCTGCTCATGGTGGTCGAAATTAGATGCGAGGTTGGGATTCTCGGGGCCGGTACTCGATTCTATCTGCTGTGATATCTCAATCGGCGGTGGGTCCAATAGCGCAGAAATGTCTGGGCAGCTCGGGGCGTACTCCAAAGCCCGTTGTGATATGAGCTTCGGCGCATCTGCACCTTGTAAGGCCTCTGGAGCTCGGGCGTCTCCTCCATGTTCCAATGCCTCATAAGAGGTGTCCTCATATCCAGGTACGGGTGCACTCTCGGTCGCTTCTATTCCTGTCACATGAGGAATGGCTTCAACATCCTCAGAAGCCAGCGCCTCGATCCCGTTTGGGTGCACTGGCTCATCGATCTCCACCGCTTGCGCTCCATCTCCCGCCGCCGGCTGCTCCCCCGCCTCATTCACAGCTGATGGTTCAGCCAGGTCTGAAGAGCTCTGTGGTGCGTTTTGCGGTGCTTCGGCTTTGTTTGGCTCCAGCCCCTCTTTTGTGGCCTTTTCCTGAGATTCAGAAGGAGCCTCCCCTGCCCTATCCTCATCCCGGCTTTTCCCATCAACATTTACGTTCTCCGCATTTGCGGTTGCTCCCCCACTCTCCACTGTGGGCCTCTCCGCAGTTTCCGCCGCCGTTGCTTCCGCCTCTCCAGCATCAGAATAGACCCCGGTACCATCCTCCCCATCGTCATCATTTATCAGATCCGATGATGCCTGGTCCTCATCTCGATCCACGACATCCAGACCTGCAGACGACTCACTCGATCCTGCTTCCTGTAACGGGACCTCCCCGGAGACAATCGCCTGTGCATCTTCTGTATTCTCATTCGACCCCTCAACCGGAAATTCATCGTGCCTTGTCGGGAGACCAGCAGGATCTCGTTCCGCACCGGATCGCTGTTCCACCAGAGCGTCTGATTCCCGTGCATCGCCGCTATCCAGACCACCCGTCTCCCCACCCTCCTGGCTCTGATCATTCAGCACCGGCGGCTGCAAATGTCCTCCAGACCCATCTTCCTCAGCGCGGCCAGGCGTGTGAAGACGACTCGAGTCTGCATCCGTCGGGTCGCCGTCCGCGTCTGCGCCTGCTTTGTCGTCGTTCGCGGCGTAGTCGTCGTCAAGCGGTTGCGACGGTGCTGCCGAATGGGTATCCGTCATGTCTTTCTGTAACAATTCGGTTGCAGTCGGCTGGTGGTTTGGGGCGTGGGGTGGTAAGAGGGGTGTGCCCAAGCGACGGTCGGTATTTGTAGGTTTTTGGACGTTGCGGCGTGAACGGCCGTTTGAGGGTTTGAACCCTTGCTCCTACCTGTCGATTGTACGTAAGCGGGGTTTGAGTGACATCAGCGACGCGTTTCCTGCGCGCGCGGAGGTCCTGCCAGAACCCGATCAAACTAGCAGACGGGCAGGCAGCACCGTACCCGTCTCGCGCTTTCCTTCGGATCACAGGGAATGGCTCTCGATAATGGTCCCTGGCAACATGTTCTCATCGGAAGATGTCTCGATAGAAGTTACGCAAAGAGCAACAGGTTTCACCTCCTATAATATGGTGATATAAGAAAGCGCTGCATAAAGAAGATCCACTACTCGCCCCTCTAAGAAGATTGCAAAAGTTCCTGCTAGTGCTGTCCAGTCCAAAGTCCCCCCAAAAACTACGACTACCTTCTGCTAGCCTTGCCCGCTCACTTCAGCTGGAAGCCTTGAAACTTCTTCCCACCCCACGGGTCCCCAACCCTATGACTTCCCCCAAATCCACGCTCCCTCACATTGCCAAACCACTCCCTCAACTCATATCGGTGCATGTAGCCCAGAACGGCGGCGGCGATTGCCGTGAAGATGAAGATCACAATCACGGCGACGCCGCCTGAGGAAACTCCGCCGTGGCCGCCGTCGCTCGAGTCGCCAATCTTGGCGGTCGCGCAGTCGGGGAAACCAGTTGGTGATGTGAAAGTACGGTCGTAGACGTAGGCGGCGCAGTCGTCGGCTGTCAGATGCACTGCGTTTCCTGGAGAGGGTAGAGACAGTGAGTTGATACATTGACTATTCACTGCATTTCAGCAAGTCTGTGAACGTACCCTCCAGCGGAATATGGCGGAAGTATAGATTATCTTCGATAATTTTGTCCGGGGATTTGTATGTGCCTCCAAGGACCTGGATGAGGTTCCTCAGCACGACCTCCGGGATGGCCGGGGCATTGTAGCGCGTGTCTGGAAAAGAGACGAGAGGAGATCCATTGAATACCACGTACGAAACAAAAGCCAGTTTGCGAACATGTAAATTCAGAACTCACAGCTCAGGCCTCCAGGTAGTCTCAAATTATCGGGCTTGAAGATTTGCGCTGTGGCGGTCCCTCTCCACCAAGGAAAATTCACTCCTTGACTTGCATCAAAGCCATAGAAGCCCATAATAGCTCCCCATTTCAGTTCTTGCTTGCCCGTATCGGTGTCATCAATGAACGTATTAGCGTTCGGGAATATGCTAAGTGTTGCATCCTTAGTACTACCGGCCGGTACCAACACGCGGGTCGCGCCAGCGTCCGTTATGAGTTCTGTTTCGTATTTCCCGTCCCCTGAGAAAGATGAAGCTGGCGTCTCGGCTTTGTCCGCAGCCACCCAGAGAACTGTTTTCTGAGTCTTCGCGGCGGACTTTGCGTATGAGGCCATGCACTGATATGGCGCCAGAATCTGGTTCTCGAAAATAGATGTTGCCTTGCTTTCCAGATTGAAGAAAAGGGAGTAGAATTTGATCCACTCGGCGCGAGCCAAGGGGGTCTGTTCAGCCAGCATCGCTTCGGCGACAGACACTACCGGTACGCCGTCGGGGCCGGCGCTTCCAAACACCACAGAGGTGTTCGATGGGATCCCAGGTTCGCTATAGGGTATCGTCTGGCCCGCATTGACCTGACCGAGAAGACACGGCGACGAGACGTCGGGCACGTCGAATTGGATGTAAGCAATCTTGGATAGCTGTTCCAAGCGCTGCAAGAACCCCACAGCGTACACCTCCTTCAGGCCCAATGCGCTTTTGTCAATTGGAATTCCAACATCCGTAGGGACCGCTGTGGCCGAATTGCACAAATGCAGTTTATATGCCTTCTGCTTTCCATCGGGAAACGTAACGGTGGCTAATTTGTAGTTTTTGTTGTATGTGACCTGGAAGTTCTTTGCATGCTCTGTCAAGAGAAATCGGTTTAAGTTCCCGGCTTTGTGTCCATACATCTTCACGCTTCTGCCTTCGTTGGGTGCGCTCCCTCCTAATACTTCGGCACTGCGTCGTCATGGCCGTGGACGACTACCATATAACTTGGACGCCTCTCTACATGCGACTCGCGCGCGCCTTCCTACAATTGACGACATCAAAGCCTTCCTACAATTGACGACCCTTCCCAACCAACCCTGCCACATCTCACAAGCAGCTGCCACATATTGCTCCTACAACTCCCAATTCTTCTTGCGTCTCCGCCAGAGCCCAACAGACCCCAGCGTCTCCACCTGTTCCACTAGCAGTGAACGACACTCACTAATTTCAACTCGGTTTGCCGCATCGGCGAAGTAATCCTTATTCGCATCAAACTTGTTCGGTGATTCAATTGGCCCACCGGTGCAAATCGGCGTTGTGGTTTGCGCATTCACGAAAGCCGAAACGCTCGCAAGTGCCAACAGGCACAGAGACTTGAGATGGAGTCGTAACATGGTGACCGTATTGGTTGGCGACGGTTGTCTCCTGCGAGGATTGTCCATGCACAGGTGCGGAAACGGAGGAACGGAAAAGACAAGCGCAAGAAGCGCAAAGCTCGCAAAGCGGGAGACGACTCGTCACGTGATTCAACAAGTCGCCTCCTCCCTCTCTTCCACCCTTCCACCACAGCTTCCACCACGCTCAGCACAACCATCTAACCGTCTGATGCCCACCGGCGCCACGGATGCTATCAGTTGGTGCTCAGAGCCTTAGGAAGAATACTCACTACAGGGTCGACTGACGCGCAAGTCCGTCTCTGAAGATGCTCTCGGGATTACCTACATGTGCTTTCCAGCTGGAGGCAGTCACCATGGCGATGCGCTAAGATTCGGTCGGAGCGTTGGCGATGAGGCATCGACGAGGGCGCTGAAGGGTTCAGGCCTGAACAAGAAGTGTGGAAGGAAACCGTCCCCCACCCAGAGATATTGAAGGTGGGGACAACGTCTTCCTCCACGAAAACCTCGTACAGTTCTTTCGCTCTCCACACCAGTTGCAAAAGAACAAGTCATCCTTCAAAAAGGTCCACCTCGTCTCAAAACTCGCTCTCGACTTCTTGAGCGTGGTACGATATAAAGAAACAACAGCTGAATAGACCATGGCAATAGCTCACCTTTCTGACCTCACAAAGGCACGAAAAAAAGAGCACTTCGTGAATCCAAATGTGAGTGAAAGTCGGTTGCGTTATCTTTGCGTTTTCACACCTTGCTTGTATTGCTTCTAGCGTGAAACTGATCCGTCTAGGACTCGTCCAATGGAGCAGATGCAAAAGCTCCGAATTAGTCTAGTATCGCTGGATTGGCTGAGACCGAAGGATCCGCGGATTGCGCTTGGACATGCGTCGATCAAAGCTAAACTGACACAAAGCCAATTCGCCGAGCGCTTGGACGTCAAGGATCACTCCTTCAACGTCAATCCAAGCCAATCGCTTCCGGCAGACTTGCTGAGCACGGCTGAAGAAGCAGCTGATGAGATCTTGGCGAGCAAGCCGGATCTTGTGGCATTTGGTGGATATGTTTGGAACGAATCTTATGTACAAAATATTCACAAGATCTTGGCGACTTCAAACCCGCGAAACACCTTCAACATACTAATGGGTCCGCAGACTTCCTATGCTCCAAAAGGGACGCTCGAATCATTCTATCCCTTCAGCGACATCTTCATCCGAGGCTATGCAGAAGACGCATTTCGCGACGTTGTCGAAAACATGTTGCTACTTCGCAATGAACGGATTCGCGGAGTCCATCATGCGGGAGGGCACGACGATGGTTCTATGGCCAATGTCGATCTCAACGCCGCCCCATCGCCATTTACTGAAGTAATCGACTTGAACAAGCACGAATTTATACGCTGGGAGACACAAAGAGGTTGTCCATTCCGTTGCACATTTTGTCAACATCGCGACTCTTACCAGAAGCGATCCTTATTCAATTTACCGAAGCGAATTGCTGGAGAGATCCACGAAATCTGCTCAGAGCGAAGCGCTGTGCGCGATATCGCTGTTCTCGATCCTACCTTCAACTCGGGACCGCACTACATTTCGGTCATCGAAGAGTTGACCCAACGTGGATACGCAGGGCGCCTTGCACTGCAGTGTCGCTTCGAGATGATGCGGCCCGAGTTCGTTGAAGCCGTTCGGAGGCTTATCACGGTCAACAATGCGAAAGTCATACTTGAGTTTGGGATACAGACGATCATAATGGCCGAAATGAAGGAGATTCAGCGCATCAACAACCTGGAGAAGGTCAAGTTCTGGGCGGAGCAACTGCATGCCGCGGAGATTCCCTTCGAGATCTCCCTCATCTACGGTCGCCCACATCAGACCGTCGATACATTCAAGAGGAGCATCGATTTCTGCCACGAACTGAAGCCAACTACCATGTATGCATGGCCCCTGATGCTACTTCGTGGCACAGAGTTAGAACGAAAGAAAGGGGTTCTCCAGTTGGAGGAAGGCGTGTTAGAGGAGGAAGGGGAGCAAAGATTCGTGGAGAAGCAGCGGATTCTAGGTGGAATCCCGCATGTTATGAGCTCGCCATCATTCAGCAAGAAGGAATGGTTTGAGATGCGCGATATAGCCGCAAGTCTTAACCTTCATGAGGATTATATGTTGTACATAATCTGCTATTCTTTGCATGTTATGAATGTACGCCAATACTTGCCTGTAGTCACCTTACGGTCATACATGCATAATCCCATCGCAATCCGCGTACGCAAACTCTCAGAATAAATATATGTCACGTCGCATTGTCGGGTTTTGTGCTTTGGCGTTGGGGGTAGGCGGAAGTAACCCGGGGTGAGACGTCTTGGTCCTTGGCCTGCAGTCCTTGGCTATTTCCATTATTTCTCCAATTCGGGCCTAATGAAGAGTGAGCTGACAATATCCGACCTTGACCCATCTCAAACCCCGAGCTTGGTTCGCACTAACCATTAATGCAGTCATGAAGAGTATAGCCGAAGTAGTGGGGATTTCGTTGCCTCGGTTGAGACTCGCCGGAATGGAAAACCGCCCTACCTCGACTGCCAGAAGAACCCCGCCGAAGACATAAACCTCGTAGGCGACACAGTCGGTTCCATAGATGGCGGCGGCAATCTTCAAAGATGCCCTGGATCCCGGATCCTCTGCCTTGAGATCATCGATCAACCATTCTATCGTATGGTCGATGGCCCGCGCTTTATGCTTCCTAGCCTCGCTAGGCTTGGCGTTGCCCGACTTGGCTTCAAATGCGGCAATCTTTTTCCCCCAACCCTTTGTACGCAATAGTCAGGTCTTAACTTCTTATACTTTTCTTGAGTATCGTCGCTAATAACAAAGGATTTACCATTCTCGCTCCCTGCGGCGACAATCAACTTCGGTCGCCGGACTTACTAGAGCCATTCGATATCTTCAGCTACTAGAAAACCAAAATGATGCTGGATTATTTCTAGCGGACCATGTCGGCTCGTTAACGTCGGGGCCGGGGATCGGCACAATTTTGCGCTCAAAAGGGGGTTTAAAATCACATTAATAACCCGGCTGGCAAAGCGATCCCAAAATTGACAAAAGAAAGCACCCAGAATCCCCTGTGACTTGAATAGCTTCCTCTGGACCGACTTGCAGCGACAAACGCCACCTGCAGTCAGGTCGGACAGGTCCCGGTGGGCAAACGCGCCAACGAGCCTGCCACGAGAGTTTGGGGGACTACGCCACAAAAGCTAGCCAGCCGCCCTCCCGCTGTTCATAAAGCAGCCATACAAGTCGGACCGACTTGCAGTGACGAACGCCGCCTGCAGTCAGGTCGGACAGGTCCCGGTGTGCAAACGCGCCAACGAGCCTGCCACGAGAGTTTGGGGGACTAAAGCCACGAAAGCTAGCCAGCCGCCCTCCCGGCACGTATGCCTTCGACTTGTTTCAGGGGATCGGCTCATACAATAACACTTACCACGTTCACTGCTGCACCGAGCTCGCCATCAATCTTTCCCTTTAGTCGGCGAGCCGCCCGATCGGTCAAGTCCCATTCTGTCTCGGCAATGTCTTTCTGCGCTGCTGTGAGATCCACCAACCATTCCGACCATGACTTCCCGTCCTCGATGGAAGGGACGCTCATAACGCCTGCCGTGTAGGTATCTTGTAAATCGGAGCGCGGTTTGTTTCTTCCAGCTGCTGGATGGGTGAGATGGGGGAAGATGGGGGGATGCACGACGGGGGCAAGTTAACACTGCACAGGACATCTTCGGTACTTTTCAAAAGTGCTGGCTCTCGATGTCATGAACCACGACGCTGTCCGAAAACGCGTAAGCAACTCCGACTCTACGCGTTGCGAAACAGGCACCGGTGAACATGATAAAGACTGGGATATCTAATTAACTGTGACTCGCGTATCAGTGAACTTTTACTTGAAGAAATAAGATGGAGATTAGCGCATTTGCGTACTGCCAATGGGAATGCCATATACGCCGCACCGCAATACTAAGGGAAGACATGGAACCAGACAGAAGCGGAGCAAGATACGGATCGCTATGAACTTCCTGAGCAAAATGCAGCAACACGACAACGATGCCACGATGGTTGCTCAACTATAGTGCTAACCGCGCTCAGCACTGATGGCGGCACCACTCGCTCGGACGGGCTTCGCGTCGGCCGCAAGAGCTCCAGTTCCAGCTGCTCCGTTGATCTTGCCGGCGATGCCTACACCCTTCGAATCGGGAGTCTTGTCCGTAACAGCGGGGTCTTTGGTTGCTTTCTGAGGACTGACCGAGCGCGTATTGTCGCCGCTGTCACCGAAGAGCATCTTCCCATACAGCTTCTTTTCCTCGTCTTTGATTTTCTGCTGTTCTTTCAGAAGCGCGACTTTCGCGGCTTTGATTGCCGGGTCGTCTCGGTCAAGCTGTGAGAGATCCATTAGTAAGCACGTAGAGTTGTCTCCTGAGGAGGCCGCTTTGGTCAACATACGTCTTCAGCGGTATCCAACGCGCTCTGAGCCCCTTCCCAGTCCTTGAGCATAGTTTTGGCCCTGCCCAACCTATACCACATCTTCGTATTTTGGGGGGCAACAGCCAACCCACCCTCACAAGCTCTTACGGCATCAGAAGCATCCAGAGTACGAATGTAAGCCTCGGCCAGATTAGAGTAGAGGGCGGTGCGGAGCTTCTGAATCTCCATGTCATCGTGCACGGAGGCGCCCCACGTGGTTCGGAGACGGTCTAGACCGGCCTTGTAGCTTTCTTGGGATAGATGGTAGGCGCCGGTTTTGAAGTGGGCGTTTCCGCGAGTTTTGTGAGTGGTGGCCTCTTCAATGCGTTGCGGGACAGGGTCTTGAGGCTGATGAGATGCAAATTGTCAGCTATTGCTCCATTATAGCCTCCGTAGGCCGTTGAAGCCCTACCAGCTCGGCGTGTACGATTTCCAGATGGAAACACAAAGTGGCGTTGCCAGGCACCATCGGTTGATAACCTTCCTCGCCATAAGCTGTGAAATCAGGCGAATCCGAAGAAATGGTAAGCATCACTCGTATTCACCGGGACGGGCTATGATGCGCCCGTGGAAAGTAACATACCGTATTCAGGTCCACAGATGATCTCGCTCTTCTCATTCACGTGCATAGTAGACACAGCCTTTTCCCACGCTTCGAGAACTTGGCCTGTGAGATAGGAAAATGTCAGGTTCTGTCCGGCGGGACAGAGCGCATGGTTATTCCGATTAAGTCTCACCGTCTCCATGGACATATTCAAAGGGACGACGGCCAGCGCTACTGTCAAATTCCTTCGGAGGATCGGTGCCATGCACCCAACCGGTGTAATGAACTACGTCCGATATGTAAGTAATGCCACATGTGGAGCGACGTAAATCTCTGAACCCTCACCTTGAAGGTAAGACTGGGGAGTAATCAATGGGCCCGAACCACGTCGAAGGACCTTCTTCTTCAGGTTTCCATTGGGGTCCAGAAGAGTGTAGCCGTCCGCATCAACGCCGTAGTCGTGCACGACGGGTGCCGCCGGATGCGCTGCTGCAGGGGAAAATAGGGTTTAGTACCTCATTCGCAGATTCCGCATCTCGAACTCGTGCATACCTGGTGCAGGATCCTCGGCATTATTCCACTTTTCCTGGTCACCTTTCTCGGCCGCTTTGACATTGCTCTCCCCTCCCGCTTCATCCCAATCCACCGGAGGAAGATCCTTCAATTCGACGCGCTCGCGTTCATTCTTTTGCTGCTCACGCGAAGGACCGAACTGGGGTGGTTCGAGAGGGACATGCGATCCATCCTCAGCGATACGCCAGAACCGGCCATCTTTGCCCATCACAAAGCCGTTGGGAACACGACAGTCACCAACGACACGGGAATCAGCCAAGTATTCCGGGATATCTTCCCATGTGTGCTCTCCATTGTAATCTCCCTCCCCTGGCTTTGCTTGAAGGAACGCACAGCCTTTCAAATCATGCCCTGGATGGCCGCATCTACAACAAACGCCGTCATTGCGACGCTGCCTCCAGAGCCAGTCCGGGATGTTACACTTCTGGCTGAGGCGGAGCTTTGGCTTCGTCGGGATCTCCATGGTGGAGAACTTGTAAGCGGCGCAGTCATTCCAGTCCTTCTTGCCATCGAGATCATCGTAGAGCGCGCAATCCTGGAGTCGGTGGCTAGGGTGGCCGCAACGGAGACAAACTTGGCACGCCTTGCGATGCTCCCACAACTCATACGAGATTCCCCAGCGACGACCACCACGGTCGCGATAGAAACTGTGCTCCTTTTTCTGGGCGGGCGCGGCTTGGTCTGGTATCGGAGTCTCCGTCGGTGCAGTGGGCTGCTTCATGATAGCCTCCCCGGCGGACATGTCGTCCTGACCGTCAGCTTGGTCCCCATTCTGGTCGGCATCAGAAGCGTTCCTTTTGTTCTTGTTCTTGTTCTTCTTTTTCTTTTTGCGACCTGATGTCTCAGCTAGCTCTTCCTCCGTGGGTGGGATAATCACGACAGGTTCCTGAGATGGGTACGGACGACACGATAGGATGAGATGTATATCCCTCCGACAAAGCCTACAAGAATTCTGGCAAGCCGATGCGGGTGATGAAGCTAGAGGCTACACGTACCCGCTCTTCGGTGTACTTGAGGCAAGAATGCTGGCCTTTCTCAATCTCACAAACCTCCATAGGAAAGTAGGTAGGGCCCTGAAAGTTCAGGCATTATGGGCCGAATTAATCATGTCTCAAAACCAAAAAAAAGAGACGCAGTTCACGTACCCCGGATTTCCTGACAACGACGCAAGCCAAGCCTGGATGATCCAATTTCTTTCCCCAGCGACTCTCGAAGTAATCGGCCACGCTTTTGCCGTCCATGTCTCCGTCGAGGAAGATCTGATCAGCGCGCCTGGCTGTGAACTGCGAGATTCGGTAGCGACGTCTAAACTCTGGATTATGAGTAGTCAGAAAATTGTAGTTACGCAGCTCCAGCGTCAGGAAGTTGCAGTCTTCTTCACTGAGAGGCCGAGAGAAGGGATCGGCACGGGTCGGATATTGCTGTTTGAGAAGACGACCGACTACTTCGAGCATTGGCCCGCCGTCGAGGAACGAGTCTGTGCGAAGATCCGGATGATGATGAAATCCCTCCTCATCCTGAACCGTTTGGCCGGCTTGCTCAAGGGCTTCTGGGGTGGGCAGTCCACTTTCTTGGTGGTCCAACGTGGTGCGAGCGAGCCTGGAGAGCGCATCGACAGCCTTCTCAGTCAAACTTCGAAGATTCAGAATATCCCGTGTTGCGTCAGTTACCTGAGTTCCTCTTGCAAGGTTGAAGCCACAGCTTGCTTTTCGGAAATCTTTTGTCGAAGGTTGGCCATCCATGCTGAGCTGGAAGCATCCTCGTTTTTGACAGCTCTCTCCACGAGAGGTTCATCGACAACTGGGTGGCTTCCCTCGTCAGCGAACAGTTACCGGTTCAATCAAGCAAAGAGCGGTCAATATACCTTCACGAAGGCTGACGGCGTTATCAGGAGTCTCCGTGGTGCTTGGTTTCTCAGCTTGTAGAATCTTGTTGCTAACGGCAGCTGAAGAACCGTTGGCGTCGCGCTGGGTTTCTTGGGCAGGAGCCACGTTTCCCATCCTGTCCGTAGCTTTCTTGAGGGGGAGGAGGGTGGTCTTTCGTGGAAAATGCAATAATAACCAAGGCAAGCTTGCAGTGAGTTCCAAACGTCCCTCGGTTCCGCAAGCGGAAGACGCTGTCGAAAATCGCCCTGGGAAGGTTCCAACAATCACCTGGCCTCCAGCAATGAGGTTGAGTGGAACTGACTTGGTAGGTGTGAGGTCGAGAGCCCTAGGAAATTAGGTAGGAGAGCCTTAGGAGAGGAGGTATAAGTAGAGTGGAGGTCTCTCGCTTTCCCACGGTCTCTGGGAACAGCTCTCCTCCCTCCTCCTGTCTGTTGCGGGGGTTCGTCCCCGCTGTCAATCTGGTTGACTCATCGCCACTGTCGAAAATTGGACTGTTTCTAATGGTTCCATCCGGTTCCTGGTACCAGCCGCTTTCCTTTCCCGACTGCCGTAATGCCACACGTTGGGTCGTTGGGAGGCATGAAATCTGCACGAACCGACAGGTTGAACTCGGTGTGACAGCGGTGGCGTCTGTGGCTCTGTGGCTTTCTTGGCCAGTTACTCCAGGGCATTTGCCTGCTAACGTCGTACCCACTTCCAAGCAATAGGATCGGCATGAGTATGACGGAAGGTTGTGTCCCCAGCAGTGGCGCGCATGCCAGGGTCTTGCAACTCTTGTTTTACATGGCAAACTTTTGCAAGTCTGGTTGGCTTCACGGAAAGCCATGTCCGATCGTTTTGCCAGAGGCGGCCGTGCCTCATGGGGAGGGATCCGTTTGAATAAGCGCGTTCTATATCAAAACCATCAAGAGAAGTTGGCGGGCCCTCCTTGCAGGGGCAAAGACCTTGCTTCCTTCTTCGTTCTCCGTTCTCCTCTCTCCGCTAAAGAGAGCGACCGGCTGAGGAAAGAAATATATATACAACGCCTGCCTATTCGGTGCCCACGGAGAACCGGCCCGACGCTTGTACCTCCACCACCGACCGATACCTTAGATACATTACCAGCCCGGCATGGCTCAAAGAGACTTCTTCGGGAAAGGGTCGTCCAGCTCCGGCGGGGGTGAAGGCCTGTTGGGGGACATCATGGGGGCCTTCGACCAACTGCTGGACAGTCAGGACGACGCAAGCACCAGTGGTAAGTGTCTGTCAGGTGCTCGTAAGCCACCGGACCAGAAAAGCCGCATACGACCTCGTCTTCACTGCCTGCATGGAGCCCATTTCAAAGTCGCTCACACCGGTTCTTCTCGCATGACTAGGCCCGTCGACCAGAACTTCACACAGTACGGATGGAGAGACGAGACCTTCCTCCGTCTCGCGGCAGACTCCAACGTACGAATCGTCCCGTGCAGCCAAACACGCACCCCCTCCGGCTTTCACTGCGAAGGTACATAAAATCGGCGGTGGGAACATATCGCAAACCAAAGATGACAGCAGAATAGGGTCGAGGGATAGGGACTCGGTCTCACCTCGGGACGTGCTCAAGTCGCTACGTGGGCATGCCTCATCCATAGATCTGACGGGGAAGGGCAATGAGGGTGGAGCTCGGGACGACTTTAGGAGCAAAAATCGAAGAGGTCTGGGGAGGACAGACAGCACACCCGCTGTATCTTCCACTTTGGGGTCGGGGCGATCACATGCAAGAGAGGGACCGGTACCGGCGCTGGCGTCAATGTCTTCGTTTCTCGACGATGGGAAGCTCCCGAGTTCGCAATGGCGTCCATCGCAAACCACCCGGGACGCCCCACCACTGAATGGTAAACCTGCAGCATTCAATCGCGCTGCAAGATACGGACGAGCTCCTCGCGCTGCGTCATCGACAGAATCGGAGTCGGAGGCTTCGGAATGGGATGCCAGCAACTCTGACAGTGATACCCCAGTTAGGCCAGTGATCACTGGTCCCATGTACGGCCGCGCCGCAAGGAGGATAGCTATGCAGCAAAAAGCAACGCTGGAGCAGAAGCGGCAGGCGAGTTTAGAAGCTGCTGCTGCTGCCGCCGCCGCCGCCGCTGCCATTGCGCCCTCCACCTCCTCGTCTCTGTCTACATCGAAATCTTTACATAATTTGACACACCGAGGAAATACCAATACGGCGCCGTCCAACAGCAGCGGCAACTCATCCGGAAGCAGCCCATTCGGGAACGCGGCAAAGGCAACGATATCACGCTCAAAATCCGCGGCCCATCTGCCATCACACCTGCAACCCATCATCCCCACACCACCACAGTCACCTGTGAAACTGACACCGCACTTCAAAGTCCAACCTCTCATCACTGGTTTCCGCGAATACGTCCCAAAGCCGTCAATCCATGACGCTGACAATGAGAACAAAGACTCTCCAGCGACCTCGCCCTCCGCCACCACACCAGCACCTGAAACTCCGACCGAGACAGGCGCAGTGAATTCGCCAACTATACCGCAAGCCCCACAGACACCCCCACTGGAGCCGTACGCCCAGTTCTATCAGATTCAACAGCAATACGCAGCGTATGCCGCATATATGATGCAGCAACAGCAAGCGTATGCGCAGATGTTCGGAGGACCACCCGCAGCTGCCGGAGGATATCCTGGGTATCCGCAGCCGATGGTCTCTGCGGATGGCAAGCAATCGAAGAAGAAATCTTCGAAGAAGGGGGCCAAAAAGTCGAAGAAGAAGAGGTCCCAGGTTGAGGGCGAACCTGGAGCGGGTGTGGATGCTTCGACGCCCGAAGGGACGCCGGAAGGGACGCCGGAAGGAACGTCTATGGTGGAAGCGGAACAGCCGGTCAAGGCCGCAACAGCGAATGATGTGCCACAGACAGACGCAGACATCCCGATCGCCGCCGAGTGATCTCATGCATGAGCAATCGTGTCATCATCCTCATATCATGGGTGTGTCGCTTCTTTAGTAGACCCTTTCAACCCTTATAGACTTCTATCGTCTAGTGCCACCTCCAATTTTGCCGGCGTATATGCGCTTCCTCATATGCTTCTTTATATAATTTTTTTTTGCAATAGAATATGCTATGATACGTAGGTTTTCAATCAGATACGTTCACAACGTCGTCGACTCGTTGGGTTTGCATGTCCCACGCTGAAATTTTGGAGTTCCCACTTTGGCCACTTCCACAAATTTCCAGGCTCTCCTCGAAGTCCCAACAGGTTCGCCATGACAGCCGACACCCACACGAGTGCAACCCAAGTCCGGGTCGGAGTGGGGGTATTCGTTGTCCGGCGCCGAGACAACCATATCCTAGTCGGCAAGCGGAAAGGCAGTCACGGACATGGTGGGTTCACATTCTTCTTCCCTCAGCGATCCGGTTAGTGATGCTGATCTTATCACGGCTTCCGGAAGGAACCTACCAGCTCCCTGGCGGGCATCTGGACCCGTTTGAGAGCTTCGAAGAGTGTGCGGCGCGGGAAGTCTGGGAAGAAGCACGGCTGAAGTTGCAGAACATTACATATGGAACGACCACAAACGATCCAATGCCGAAAGAGAATAAGCACTATGTTACCATTTTCGTGACAGCTGAATGCGTGGACGACGAGCCGTTACCCGAGGTATGCTGATGAAGCTCGCAAGTCTGTTCACTGGGAGATGCTACTGAATACAGGTCGATTTTGTGAAACAGGTTTGCGAGCCAGATAAGTGCGATTACTGGGAGTTCATCTCCTTCGAAGAGTTGATGACGAATAGGACGCCTCTCTTCAAACCTCTGGAAAGCTTGGCTGCGACAAGACCATCGTTTAGGCCTGAGACGAACTCCATTGACCGACATTGATTGACGGACCGGCGTAACATTTTTGGCTCTATATAGGAGCGATCCGCAATTGACGTAGGAAGCTGGGCTCTTCGTCACTTCTCATTTTTCTACCATAGGCGTAGATGTATATGCATACATATATATATGTATTATATTACTGTAGAGACGTGGAAGGTAACGACTCCTTCGAGTGCGGTTTGCGAGAAGGCCAGAAGCAATCCAGCGATGTCCTGTTGTCGTCCGAACGGATTTGCCCCTGTGTCGCTGTGTCGCGCGTGTTTTGTGATGACTGTCCCATGGAACGGCTGAGGGCTCCCACCGCTGTTTTTCCAGCCGTCGATCGAGCGTTTCACTGCCGTAGCTGCCAACGAGCCAACCAGCCATTGCCATCCTTTGGTTTCTCTCAATCTCTCGCCGCCACGGCCATACTCTCTAAAGTGCTTCTAGACGCTGTCCTCCCAGCTGCCTGATTACCGCTACATCTTTCCCCAACTCGCGATTTCCCACGACTCGCTCTGCTCGCATGTTCTCCAACCTGCGAGGCCGGTTAGGGTCCGGCTCGAGCAGCAGCGGATCGGCCGAGCAAGCGCAAAGCCCTCGGTCTGCAGGCAGTGGGATACCCAGCGGGATTCCAGCTGCCTTCGACAAGCCTTTACCGGTGCCGCACAGTTCGGGTCGGACGGGGCTGCCGACGCCATCACCATCCCCAATATCCGCCCTACCCACGTCAGCGTCTACCTCAAGTCTTGCACCGAAGAGTCGTCTTATGTCGCCGTCGAAACTATCAAAGCCGCCATCTTTGCTGCCAACGGTCACGCTGACGAGTGCGGGTGGAGCGTCGTCTCCGGGCATCCCGAAATCCACGTCGTTCAATTATGGTCAGTTCGACACTCAAAGCATACCAGGGGCAGGAGCGGATGGTGAATCGGATTCGATCTCGGGAGACGCTTGTCAAGTTGTCGTGAGGATGAGGCCATTGACGCATGCAGAAGAAAACGCCCATCTCCGAACGGTATGGGATATCGACCACCAGTATAATCGTGTGTCGCTATCAGCGGAACATGCCGAGTATAGTAGGAAGGCGCCTGCCGAGTTCTACTACGATGCTGTGTTGTGGGGAAGTGACAATAAGGATCTCTATGAAGCTTCCGCAAAGAGCGTGGTGCGGTCAGCGATGGAAGGATACAATGGGACGGTATTTGCCTATGGGCAGACGGCGAGTGGAAAGACCTACAGTATGATGGGATTGGATGAACAGCCAGGAGTGATCCCGCAGGCAGTCGACGAAATCTTTGCTTACATCCGTGAGCAAAGCGCGGATCGCGAATATTTGCTGAGGGTCTCCTATATGGAGATCTACAATGAGACGATACGGGACCTGCTATCTCCTGAGCAGACGGATTTACGCATCCACGAGGACCGCAAACGAGGAGTTTTTGTTTCGCCATTGAAGGAGGAGATTGTGACGAATCCGCGGCAGGTGATGCGAGTTATCCGGAAAGGAGAGGAGAATCGCCACTTCGGAGCAACCGACTACAACGAGCACTCGAGTCGGAGTCACACTATCTTTCAGATGGTGATTGAGAGTAGGGAACGGGGACAGAGCGGGACGAGCACCCCGACGATTCCTCGGCCGGACAAGAATCGTGGTACGGTCACTATCTCCCAGCTTAATTTAATCGACCTGGCGGGATCCGAAAAGGCGACAACAGACACAGATAGGAGGAAGGAAGGAGCGTTTATCAACAAGTCGCTGCTCACGCTAGGAACGGTTATCTCGAAACTCACTGACGGCAAAGCCGCTGCCGCTACGGCACATATACCCTACCGAGACTCCAAGCTTACCAGGATCCTCCAATCTTCACTATCCGGCAACGCCCGCATTTCAGTCATCTGCACCATCAGCCCCTCCGCGAACAACACGGAAGAAACGCAGAATACCCTCAAATTCGCGTCTCGAGTGAAGAAGGTGACGGTGAACGCACATGCGAACCGGGTCGTTGACGAGAAAGCCCTGCTGCAGAAGTACAAGCAGGAGATCGAGGAGCTGCGTCAACAGCTATCGGCGACCAACGAGCTTCTGGAACGCGAGCGGCGGCAGCAACAGACTACGGAGGCTGACAATGACCGAAAGCGTTATGAGGAGGAATTGATGGAAAGTCAAATAGCCAGCACAGCGATGAAGGAACGGCTGGACCATTTGACGAACTTGATCCTGACCAGTAAGACGATCACGAAATCGCAGCTGCTGGATTGGAGCGCGCCTACCGACCCACAATCGCATCGGAATTCGGTAATGATGGAAGACGGGCTGCTACCCAGCAGCCCGAACATGAACGCCAAACGAACCGCCTCAACAACAAGTCCCAACAAACTCTCCCCCTTCAACGACAAGGAGTTTCTGAAGCGGCATATCCGCGAGATCGACCAACGCGACGAAAAGATCCGCCAGATGGAGTTCCTCGTCATGCAACTCAAAGCGGCGACCGCCAAGGACGGAAACAGCGCCTGCCTGCGCGCCATCGAGATGTACGAGATGACCTCCGGGAAGAGCGTGGAGAGCGTGAGCACCCTCGTCGCCGAGCGAGACAAGGCCGTGACGCACATGCACGAGGTTGAGCTGCTCCGTAACGAGATGGAGGAGCGGATACGCGATCTGGAAGCCACGATTGGGGATAGCATATCTGGTGATTATCCTGCTGGCCCGAGCGCGACGGATCTCAAGCGGTTGACGGATAACAACCGGGCGTTGAAATTGACGATCAAGAATCTGCGGGCGGAGATGGAGAAGGTGAAAGGAGGTTCGGGAAGCAGGGATTCGGGGGATAGTAGCAGCAGTAGCAGGTTTACGAAAGAGCTGCAACAAACGATCTCGAAACAGAGAGAGGATATAGAATCGCTGCAGAATGAACTCGCGTCCGGGCAACGAACCATCCAATCCCTCCGCGACAGCATCCGCATGCTCGAACTCTCCAATGACATGTTTGTGCAGTCCGCGTCGAGAGCCAACTCGCCTACACCGGGATCGTCGTCTGCGAACGATCAACTCACGCGAACGAGGACCCAGTCGTCGCAATCGTCGGAAAAGTTAGTTCTGGATCTGGAGGGCGCGTTGGAGCGTGAACGGAAACTGAGAGGGGAGGAGAACCGGACGGCTATTGAGCGGATTGCGGGGTTGGAGGCGGAATTGGCGTGTATGAAGGCGGAGTTGGGTGTGTTGTCGCTGGTGGGTGGGTACACCAAGAATGATGGACAGAATTAGGATCCCTGCCCACCCGAAGGCGGAACTGGGGACGCATTTGGTCGAGGCTAGTACATTTACTGGCGGACTTGCCAGTGTGTCACGTTTTTATATTATGTATATACACTGGCAGCCGCCTACAGGCGGTTGTCACCAATATTCTCTCATTATGCGAATATTATCGTTGGCTTCGTGAGGCTATGTACATATGATTATCTCGCGCTCCGCTATTGTATGCTACAGAAATAGGTGTACGTACTATGCTGAAGTTGAGGGAGGATTATCGCCCGAAGCTGCTGGGTGAACCTTCAAGAACGAGGAAGACGACTTGCCCAATCCTTGATACGCCCCCCGCATGATTTTCGATACCGTATCGACGGACAACATTCGATACGCCTTTCCCCTCGGACACGTCGGACAATAGCATGTCTTGCCCGCCTCGCACGTCGGGCTATAACAATCCACCACGTCGCCCCTCCCATCCTCCAAAAACTGCGCCGCGGTCGATCTCGTCATCTGCGCCGCCTCACGGGTTGTGTTCGCCGCCCATCCCAGAGCTCTGTTGCTCAACCCATACAGATCCCGTACGAGCGGGGTCACGCCCGTGGCTTCCAATGCCGGGATAGCAACCTCAGCCGTCCGACTAGCGATACGTTCAGCTTTCTGCCGCGCAGCGGTCGCCGTATCCGATCCCACCCGTACCGCCGCCGGCACAAGATCCAACAACCCCGTCGCATTAATGACGCTCGCGCCCGCCATCGACAACTGCCCGACCGCGGTCCGGATCTCATGCTCGTAGTATTTCCCGATGATGGGCATCTGTTTGATGACGTCCTGCGCGACATGTTTCTCGGTGTGTTCGACGATGCGGAGGAGGTTGTCGCCGCGCTCGGTGTCGGTTTCGAGTTGGAGGTAGAGGTGTTGGTGGGTAGTTATGGCGATCACGCCGCCGAGGGCCTTGGGTTTGATGACTTGAGTGAGCTTTATCAGCGCTTTTTGGGTCGTTGGGTCGTAATCTAAAATAGGAGATGCTTCGAGATGAGGAAATCGCCAGCCATCGCAGCTACATGATTCTCACGCCAGCGGGCATGGACTGCGTAAAAGACTCACCAACGTTGTCCACTATGGCGTAAAGTTCGGTACACGCGTTCGACAGCCCTGCGAACCCTCTTATTATCTCTGCCCTGTTTCCAAGAACCTTTTCAATCGTAGAGAGTAGGAGCACAAGGTTAGTCAACGCCGAAGAACGGAGAAAGCGCTCCTTTCCGAATGCGCCCATAGCCATTCCCACTCAAGCACAGGCCGCCGCATACGTACCAAATAAGGGTTCTGGAGCCTCGCTTCCTGGAAGTAAGCGTGCTCAATCGTTTGCCGTTGGATAAGTACATCTTTGTTTATCAAGCCTCGAAAGAGGGCCTGGAAGATCTGCTTGTTGATGTGAGCTGGGTCCATGATGCGACTATTTTGTAGCTTCAGTGGTTTCAGCGGGATTAAGCCGGGATATCGGTTTTGCTTTCGGGGGGATAAGGTGGCGTTGAGTGTCTGGGAGAGCCGCTTTCTCCTGTGCCTTCAGGTCGAGCTTTGCCTTGTAAGCGGAGTGTTGCCTTTTTTCGGGGCGAGGTCTTGGAGTTCTTGGCGTGAAGTTGAGGGGGCTAGCTCACAGTGACGGCAAGTTGGGAATGGAATCAGCGGCTCTCATCCAAGCGCGTCTGTCTGTCTGTCTGAACAGCCGGATGACTAAGCCGACATCACGTGACGGCTGTGCTTTTCAAATCAATCACGGTGAGTAACCGCCTGCAAACGACGCGTTTGCTTTGCTTGCTTTGCTTGCTCACAAACTCTCTGCTGTCTTCAACCTTCAGACTTTTTACAAAGGAGACTCCGGGGACGACGAACATATAGAAGCAAGCTGGGCAAAACACCGGTCGTCTTATCGTTAGAGAGAAGAGCTTCACACTCAGAAGGTCTTTATTCACCGACGCTTCATCAATAATGGACGGAGTAGTCTATGACCCCGCTCGAACGGAGCAGCGCATGTGAGTAAAGGCTTCTTTTGGCTATCCTTTGACCACCTATTTGCTCATGCTTCCACGACTCCCAGTCTTTGCGCTTCCTGTGGAACGGTCATTGCCCCAAACCCGGCAAACATGTGCGTCAACTGTATCCGCTCCGACGTCGATATCACCGAAGGAATCCCAAAACAGGCCACAATTCACTTTTGCCGTGGGTGCGACAGATACCTGCAACCCCCCAATATCTGGGTCAAGGCCGAGCTGGAGAGCAGGGAGCTGCTTGCTCTGTGTCTGAAGAAACTGAAAGGGTTGGCGAAAGTGCGACTGGTGGACGCTGGGTTCATTTGGACGGAGCCGCACTCGAAACGTGTCAAGGTCAAACTGACTATTCAGAAGGAGGTATGGATCAAATAATCGGCTTTCCCGAGGGAATCGTTATTTCATTGGAAAAGCATCACCTGACGCCTCCTTCTTCGAAAACAGGTGTTCGCAGCGACGATCCTCCAACAAGTCTTCGTCACCGAATTTATAGTAGCCGGCCAATACTGCGAGGAATGTCAGCGAGTAGACGCCCAACTGACATGGAAAGCGGTCGTGCAAGTGCGCCAAAAAGTGCAGCACAAGAGGACTTTCCTGTGGCTCGAGCAGCTGATCCTGAAGCATAACGCGCACAAGGATACCACCAACATTAAGGAATACCGCGACGGTCTCGATTTCTACTATGTGCAACGAGGGCATGCCCAGAAGATGATTGAGTTCTTGCAGGCCGTTGTGCCGTTGAAGATGAAGACTTCCGAACAGTTGATTTCGCAGGATATACATAGCGGGACAAAGAACTTTAAGTTTACGTACTCTGTAGAGTTGGTGCCCATTTGCAAGGTATGCGATGTCAGTTCGGTAATGGTTGTCCTACTGACAGCGGCTGACTTATATATTTGCCATACCATAGGACGACTTGGTATGTCTTTCAGCAAAGCTCGCCCGCCAACTCTCCAACACGAACCCGCTCGTCATCTGCAACCGCGTCAGCAACAGCGTCAACCTTCTCGACCCCAACACCCTCAAAATCGCCGACATGCGCGCCCAGGTCTACTGGGACGCGCCCTTCACCTCCCTCTGCGAAGCAAAAGACCTCGTCGAGTTCTACGTTATCGACTCCACCCTCGAGGGCCCCCAGAACGGCCGGTACGCCCTGGGCACCGTCGAAGTCTGCCGCTCAACCGATATGTCCCGCACCTACCTCGTCCGCACCCACCTCGGCCGACTGCTCAACCCGGGCGACCACGTGCTGGGGTACGACCTCACACATGCCAATTTCAACAGCGATAACTGGGACGCGCTCAACAGCGTTGGACGGTTGTCGGGCGGGATTCCCGACGTTGTGCTGATCCGCAAATCCTACCCCAACGCACGCAAGAAGGGCAAGTCCCGTGGCTGGAAGCTCAAGTCCCTCGGCAAGGAGGAGGAGTTGGAGCTGGTTAACCGGTCCAAGGCCGAGAAGGCCCGTCAGGAGATGGACTATGAGCTGTTCTTGCGGGATATTGAGGAGGATTCGGAGTTGAGAGGAATGATGAACTTGTACAAAGATCCGAATGCCAAGGCGGGTGCGGCTCAGGCGGCGCCGCAAGAGGAGGTTGATGAGAATATGATGGATGAGGATGAGGAGGAGCCGGAGGCTGACTTCCCGGAAATCAATGTGGATGAGTTGTTGGAGGATATGGAGGGGATGCGTTTGGGTGGGGATGACGAGGAAGAGGGCGCGGAAGGCGAGGAGGAGATGATGGAGTAGAACAGACCTGCTGTCTCCATCGCCTTCCACAGTCTCTCGCGGCGTCTCTAGTGTCACACACGCACACACACTCTCATTCCATCATTTTAGATAGCAGCATTCATTCATAGACGTATTTAGCATTTTATATGTACTGTATTTACAACAGAAAACAGGAAAAGGGAGCACAAATATGAAATGGTCTTATCCCTTGTTTTGCGACCTATACGTCTCTACCAAAACTTGGCGTGCTTTCGTTTCCGCGTCACAGTGCCCCCGGCAAAGGCAACGGCACCCCAGTCACCGACCACAACGCCAACGCCGTAACACACACCGTCAACGTAACCGCAATCTGCACAACGGTGTTCTGCATCGACTTCTCCCTAAACCGTCTCAGCTGCTGACTCCTCGACCTCGCAATCATCCGTTCCTGTTGCCCAGCGGTCAGTTGCCGCGTGCGAGGCGTCGAGAGGAGTTGGTCGATTTTGAGGGCGTACAGGGCCGCGACGGGTTTGTGGTCGCTCCAGACGACCGAGTGCGCGCAGTGGTAGTAGAGGGGCTCGATGGCGGATGATGTGCGTTGGCGGGCGGATTCCCAGGCGTCGCCGATGGGGTTTTCCGAGGTGCCGCTGTCGCCGTCATCGGATGTGTCGGCGGGAGCGGGGTGGAGGGGGTTGGCGAGTTGGAGGTCGACGGCACGGTACATGATGCGGTCGCAGTAGGCCGGGACCCTGTTGTTTGCGAAGCGGCGGGCCGCAGGGATTGGTGGCATTTCTGTTCTCGATGAAGGGGACTTGGGAGATGCCGGCGAGGAAAGTCCCGAGGGTTCATCCGTCTTCTTGCTGACGGCCGTACCCTTCGATCCCGGGTTCGTTTCCACGGAAGTGTTTATCGAGTCTTCGCCTCTGAACTTGTACGAAGGGATGAACGTGATAGGCGCCTCGAGGAACCCAGTCAGCGGCTTGAACTTCTTCACATCACGCAACGCCGAGAGCTCGTCCATAGAGAGAAGCTCCTCGACCTCTTTCGCGTCTATATGTCTCAGCACGCTCTGACGGAACTCTGTCCATGCGCCGGAGCTGGAGACCCCGGCGCCCATGAGGCGATAGTTTAGGTCTCCGAAGAAGAAGACGGCGTGGAAGTCGCTGAGTAGTCGTATCCGGGTGCTGTCTTCCGAGGAGGAAGGGTCGTGATGTGCATGATGGGGTCGATGATGGCCGGAGTCGATCGCACGCTTCTCCAACAAGAGGGTTTCAAAGATATGCTGCACCTCCTCGTTTCGCCATTCGTAGGGCTCGAAGCCCTCATGCGGCCCAAGATGGGAGTTCCCGAAACAGATGGAGACGGGACTCCGATTCGATTGTGCGTCGATGACTTGGAGGTCCAACCCGACAGCCACACACCCTTTGTTGGGGTACTTCCCCAGCAATCCCGTCCCGATATCGCCTTCCCAAACCGCCTCCACCTCATGCCGTGCTCCTGACCCTCTTCGGACGAACAATATCAATCCGAGCCCAACCATCCGGCTGATCAGGTACGGCTCATAATACAGATCGTCCTCCTCACTTTCGATCGACGAGCGGCCCAACCCGCTCTTGGACGCGTCTCCACCTTCGTCGCCATAGATGTTGTGCAGCTCATCCTGCACCAGCCGTATCCACGGATCGAGAAAATCGAGGCGGCCGGTGTCAGCTTTCTCAACGAGACTCACGTCGCCGTGACATGATCCACCTAGCGGAAGTCGCGCTCCTAAAAACTGAGACACGAGCTCTTGGAACCCGACCACTACAATGTCCGGTTTGACGCGGTGTGCGGCGCTGCTATCGGCGGGTGGTCGCAGCCACGTTAGCAGGTTCGGGATCTCCCCTGTTTCGATGTTCGGGCCGCGTGTTGCTAGATTGACTGGAGTAGTCGCCAGAGGAAGATGTTCAGACATTGCCCCCAGCGGAAAAAGACTTGAGAAAGTTTAGTTCTACTCACAGCTCCCGATGAGAACATGCAGATCGTCGCCGTCGTGGACCGACGTCGCTTCGGAGGTCGGGAGACTGGAAACCGTCGAACGTGAGTTGCCGCCCCCGGATTGTTGCGAGACAGCCTCGCTGGACGGAGGGCCGACTCTGCGGGACCGCATAGGGATGTCGACCGCCATGTTGATAGCTCAGAAGTATGAGGGTGGTCGTTTGTGATTCCCTTGAGAATGCGAAAGTGCTGGCGAGAGACACGGATACCGAGCGCCACGGAGATGTTCAATGCTGGTGGATATCGAGAGAAGGAGGAAAGGACCCTCTATGCAACTACTGTAACGCAGCTCGTGTGGATGAGGGTTCTGCCTGCCGGTTGTGCCGCATGGTTTCCAACTCTGACGAGCCAGTGACGGAGGGAGCACTCTTGCCGATCCTCAGGCCCTTCCTCCCTCACGCGTCTCTTCCACTCCGACCCTTGTGCTGTACATTTCATTACTCAAGTTGTGTATACTATACATTCTTGGGACTATCTCAGTCCCTATCCCGATCAGTAAGACTCAAACATGTCGCTCCTCACCCTCGCGAACTTTCCAGACCTTCCCGAGTCTCTACAGTGTGCCCTCCTGCGTCTACAGTTGCTATCCGTGCAAGGTTTGCGATCCAACACGGTCAAATTACCGGGTGCAGCCACATTCCCCAGCACGTTCGTTTGGGGCGGGAATGTCAATTGCATGTATAGGCGGTAAGAGAACTGGTCGCCGATAAGTCGTTCGTTTTTGGTGACAAAGTCGCGAAGGTCTTGCGGGACCTTCAGGGTGTATTCGCCTTTGTCGGCTGCGACGTTGTTGATGGCGTATTGGGGTAGCTCCTCGAAGTAATCGGAGAAGAAGAAGATCGAGAGCAGCACTGAGGATGTGAGTGTTAGCCAAGCTGGTCTGACAGCCCGTGGATCCGTCAGAGCAAGCCTCTCACCATTCTTCGGGAAGTTGAAGCCCCGCTGGTACTTCCATGTAATCTTGAGCTTGTCGCCCACGCGCACCGTCTTGGGACTAAAGTGCACTGACTCGAAAAGTGTGTAGTTCCGCGACGGCGGGGCAACTTTGCACTTCAACGGACAGAATGTCTGCTCGCTGTACCCCTCGGGATTTCCAAGCCCATCCACATCTTTCCCGTATGGCAGGCTTGTTGACAAACTGTATGATGCTAAAAATCAGCATCCTCAACATCATAAGAGCTACTGGCATCTGAGAAGTGACTGATCTCACCATAAATTTTGATTCGTGTAGTTCACGAGCGCGGAAGGCCCGTACTGATACCAATCCAACTGCCCCGAGATATTACTATCCGTCAGCAGATTGGTGCTCGATGGGCCGTTCACCGGCGTCCCAGCATCCTCCGATGCGTTGCTGACAGCGTTTTGCGCATAGATCTGCCATGTGAACACGCCTCGTGATGGCTTGCTGTTGTCTTCGCGCAATTTCCATGTTACGTTGACGGAATGGCCTAGCTCCACCTTGGAGGGTTTGCATTCGATGTCGTGGAGCGTGGGGACCGCTTGGATGCTTAAGGCTAGTAATAGAGGCAGAGCGAGAAGCGCTGATCTGAACATCTTGATGAAGCGGTGAATCAGGCGTGATCTAAGCGATGGTGCAGTGAGAGTAGATCTAGAGATTTCCGCTGACGATGCCGACAAAGAGTGTGTTGTACGAATTGAGTAAATGTATCAGAATGGCAGACACCTCTGAGTCTACCGGCCATCGGACAGGAGAATGGGCGCTAGAATATATATGCTTTCCACCCACCGCATAAGGCTTTATGGGGGCTCTATGTCCAGGTTTCACCCGCGAAAACGCGTGAGGTAAGAATTGTGTGTCATCGACGAGCGACGCGCGGTACGAAATCTCCTAGTTACATGGGAACCCGAGTCCGCACTTCGACAAACGTCTGCCGGGGTCTATCTCAGTAACCTTGCTGAACACCCAAAAACTCAGGCATGTCCCGCCGCAACCCCACCCTCGGTCTTCTCATCCCCGCCTACATCTACCCTCGCGCCCACGAATCTGATCCGTATCCATCGCTCCGCAAGTACGTTCTCTTGCCCTCCCTCGCTCCCAATCCACCCCACATCTTGCATCATCGCTAACCCACTCACCTTCCAGCTGGACCCCCCTCCTAACCCTCCTCCAAACACACCCCACCATCCCCACAACCCTCATCCTCAACCCCGCCTCCGGCCCCGGCCCCTCCCCACTCCCCGACGAAGTCTACGCCCACGCCATCGCCACCCTCCGCACGACCTGCCCGCACGTCACTTTGGTCGGTTACGTCGCCACCGGGTACACGCGCGTGTCGCTTGCGAAGGCGGTGGAGGAGGTTGGGCGCTATGCGGGGTGGCGGGTGGGGCAGGGCGTCGCGGAGGTTGGTGGTGGCGGTGATGCTGGGCCCGGCGTGACGCAGACGCTGGCGCTGGATGGCATATTCTTTGATGAAGTGGGCAGCGATGAGGCTGGAAAGGGGTATTACCATACACTTGCGGAGGAGGTTGTGAGGCATTTCGCGGGACGGACGGTAGCGTGTACGACCCCAGTCGTGATACATAACCCTGGGGTGGTGCCGAGTGGGCCGTGGCCGTTCCGTCCCGCCGCTGTTACCGGAGATGCACCCGGGTGGAATGGGATCGCCGAGCCGATCGTGGTAGTGAGTGAGAGAAAAGCGGTGGATTATTCCCCCGTATCACCACGAATTGCGGCGCTCGATGCAAAGGAAGCTGAGGGATACCGGGTCATGCCTGAACGATGCGCGGTGATCTTGAACCGGGTAGAGACGCGGAAGATGGCGGAGGATGTGTTGACGAGGATCCTAATGGACGATCGGGTTGGGTGGGTATGGTTTACGGAGGATGACCAGTAAGTTTCATCGGGGATATGAGAGCGCCGTATTGCGGGAGAGGCCTTTTCATGCTGAAGCTGAACGGTTTGCAGTTATCACGCGTTTCCGGCCTATCTTCCTTATGTATTCAACACGCTAGCGCACGGCCCAGGATCAGTCGAGTCGACAAGCAATGAGGGCCGAACTCCAGCTCATAATACCAAGTAGCTTCGAGTGTGTAACTAGTTAGATTCAGAACTACTGAATCTATTGCAAAACTTCTGAGATCAATGACCTCTATGTACATTCGATAGCTGATAGCACCTATGGAACCTAAGACAAAATGATCGCCTGACATCCCCAAGACTGCGATTAGAGAAGAAATTCCAACAAGCTTTTGAAGCATTAAAACGAGCGAGACGCACCAACATCGACAAAATCCCGATCATCATGAACAACCTCGAGACGAATGACCCCGGTTGAAATGCGTCAGGTGCTGGTCGTTGGCCCGCTACACCGCCCATTTGCGTTCCAACGCTCTGCGTGAAAAACACCAGTTTGTGAAAAAGCTGCTTCGCGCCAAATCCAAGCCCTGACGCTGGTACTTACAAAGTGAACCCCAAACAACGACGGAAAGATCCCCAGACCAACAGTAACCCCATTCCCCGTCGGTCCGCCTCCACCGAACCCTTGCCACCCGCCCCCGTATCGTGTGACCTGTGGAGGCGCTGCAGCCGTAGGTCTCTTTGGAATCACCTTCAATCTGCGCTCTCATATTAGTCCCGAAACTTCCTCCATGAACATCCCGTCTCTCGAACATCCCACATACCGAGGATCCTCCGCCTCCCTACCCCTCCCATAAATCGGTATAATCTTATCCTGCTCAACCTTCGCTTTGCACACCGGACACGCTTTGGCGAACGCCGATCGAGTCTGCATCCAGTAGTGCAGGCATGGCCAGCAGAAGAGGTGGCCGCATAAGGTCACGACTGGACTCGAAGCCACTTCCAAACAGACGTTGCACTCGTAGTCGTTGCCTTCGTCGTCGTCCAGAGGCGCAGTTGGGGAAGTTGGGGCATTGGCGGCCGTTGAAGTGGCGCTCGTTGCGGTAGGGGTGGGCATCTCGTCTGTTGGACCAGGGAGAGGTGGAGACACCGCTGTCGTAGGCTCTTCTGAGGCTGAGTTGCGCCGCCGGAAAGCGAGTGTCAGAGAGGGATTGTGGGAAGTTGTCGCGGCTGAGCTAGAGCTTGGCACTGGGCGATCTGAAGCCGCGGTTGGCTCGCTCATATTGCAGAAAGTAGACGTCAGTATCGTCCTGAATAACTCTACGCAGACGGTTGGTGCGTTGGTTGCTTTCGAGAAGGGATGCGAGTGTTATACAAGTGCGTGAATTCGACCTTGGCGCCGTCGACTTGTGACGTAAAGGCCCAACTCCAGAAAACGCGTTGCTCGCAAATAAACTCTCCAGGGACCTTCGTATCCTGTATATGCTAACTGTATGACTATGCGATATCTACAGCCATCACTACAGCTCATCCTTCACAGCGGATTTGACCTCGAAAGTCCGTGCTGGCAGTGCGGTCAATGTCGCCGATGGGCCCGCGGTCCTGCCTTCCGCCTTCTTTGCAACAGCAGCCACTTCCTTGTCCAAACCGTCCCACTCTGGCAAGATGCGTCGTGCGCGCTCCAGCTTCGGTTCTTTGGTTAGAGGATTGTTGCACTATTGGGAAGGTGATATCGGTTAGCATACATCTCCGTTTGCGACAGGTTAATGAGTAGGACTTACAAGATCAATAGTTTTCGCAGTTTTTAGAGATGCATCGCTGCACCACGTCTCGCACCAAAGCCTGTTCATTCCATCATTGTATGTTGTGAGCTCGAGAACATGGTGAGAGAAGTTGGGGCCAGGTCACATACCAGTCCTGCGGCAGAGAGAAAATGGGGATCTGGCTGCGGGTGTTCATATTGTTCGGAAGATCCTGATCCAGATTGGCGAGCGACCCAGCGTCCGCGCTCAGCATCTGATATTGCTGACGGAGACGATCACCAGCAGCCAGTTCGCGGAAGCGGTTCAGGTCCACTACATACAACGCACTGGTAAATGATTCGTTAGTCTAAGACGTTTATGCTGCGGCAGAAGCCACTTCATGAAGCGCTTACCTGATATGGTACGGCTTTCCAGCCAGGTGGTCTTTCCAGTAGCCATTCTTCCAGAACCTGAAGCCGTCCATCTCCTTTCGGTCATCGCAGAAAGGTGTGTAACCGTACACGGCACCCTCTAGATCCATCTCCACAAGTTCGATCAAGTCGGTACGAACAACCTGGTCGGCATCGACGAATATGACCTTTTCGAGATCGAGCGGGAAGAGGACATCCAGGAATAAGATCTTGTACCTGAGGTAACATCTCGGGATTAGACCGCGATTTTGAAAATGGTCAACTCAAAAGAAACCAGGCCCACCCCCAAATGGTTCTTTGTTTCTCCGTTTGCTGACGAAGCCAATGCGGCCATTTGTCTGTACGGCGGGGGACAGTGTTTCAGCTGATGACCAGCATCACATCACAGGATAAGTAAAGGAGTGGATTACTCACATGTCACAAGCTCGTACTCGAACCCGTAGGCCTCCGCGAGATGAGGTATGAAAGCCTTCCGAGAAAATTAGGATTGAAAAGCCTTCTTACAAACAGCTAGCAAACGTTAACCGCTTACCTTAAAGGATGGCGATAAGAAATTCCGAATGAACCAAAACTTCACAGGATTCTTGGTTTGTTTGACAACGCTAGATGAGATGGCGACGGTAAGCCGGAAGCGCGCATGATTCGAAAAATGGAAGAGCAATCTAACCTGAGCATCATGATGGAGAGGAAGCGTTCGTACAAATGTCCAGATGCCACAGAAAAGATGTTGATGGTCGTGTTGCTCGGAGCACCGTTCCCGAAGATGCTGGAGCACAAAGCCAGAATGTGAGATAACGCGAATCAGACCTTCCTCCTATACTGTTACTCACGTGCTCTTGAATTTGCCCCACAGTTTCGCCGCACCGTGAGCTTCTTCCTTTTTCTCAACGGTCGCAACAGCTAAAACATCTTCGTTTTCTTTCCCAGCCTTTTTCCTCACAACAGGGAAGATGGTAACGCCCTCAAAGCTGTTGACAACGACCTTGACAGTATCAAGATCTTGTCCGGAAGGCAGCTTGTCCTGGAAGCTCGTCGACACCGAACTGATCTCGTATATGTCCTTTGACCGGCCGTCACGGAGGCGGAGTTCCCAGATGCCCGGATTGGCTTTGAGTTGCAGGTATCCGAGGTTTGCCATGGTAATCGTGTCCAGGAGCGCAGGATTCTGCGGCGTGCCCAGAAGGAACTGTAAACCTCGCGGTGGTCCGTTTGTAGGCAATTCGCGGGCGTGACCTAAAGAGAAAAGTTGCATGATGCGAATGAGCCGTAGACACCAACGAAAGACCATTTCTAAAACATACCTTCCACCAAAATGTTCTCGAGGGTGAACTCAGCCTCAACACCAGCGGGCCCATGTACTTTATTCAAGCGGATGTTATCCAAATCCTGCTCAGACCGGGTCGGAAAAACAAGCCATGCGTTCGGCACGTCCATTCCCAATGTATAGAGAGGCTCCGTTGGTAGACCATGGAACTCGGCCGTAGGCGCTACAAGTTCACCCTCGCCATTGAAGGCAGGCTCTGCAGAAAGCACATAGCGGTAGAATCTCGTGATGGGCAACTTCTCAGTGGCCTTGGTCTCCGGGTTGAACACGATGGTGACGGAGACGCCTTCCAGGGTGCTCAGAACGCGGAGAATTGCAGATGTCTTTTGGGCTGCCTCGCTTAGCGGGTCTACCACGGCGAAGATACGGATCGTCGCCGTGTTGACATCGCCAGTAATGATGGCACTGTATATCCGAATGTCAATTTCATAACGCTCGGTAGACATGTGAACGAAGTGGCGTTCTTCACCTCTTCTCGGTCGCCACTGCCGCGAAAGCGTCCAGAGTAAGTCGAGGGGCTGGTACTTGTTCTATACTGGCCTCATTGCTCTGGACACTCAACGCGCCCAAAGCAGACGTGACCTTCATAATGCCATCCGCCTTTCTTGCTCTAAAGAGTAACAGATGTAAGAGTCACATCGGAATCAGACGTTCCCTACTTCATCGTACGCTGTAGCTTCTGAGTCCACATCAGTTGCCCACAAACTGGTGAGCTTCTTGGCCACGGCTTCTATTCTGTGCGTTCGTTCCGCGGTGACGAGAAGGTGGAAATCCTCTTCGTCAAAAGTTATTGTGGATGCAATAGGGCCCACGATCTGAGAAGGGACTGTAAGCACCGGTGACGGCGCTTGTATGCGAGCTTACGTCACAATCTCACCCTTCCGTTAACGACAATCCCGGATTCTCCCAAATCAATGCCAATCTTCTTCGCAAAGATCTTCATTGCCGAGGTGAGCGCTTGATGCTCTGTGCAGCAATACGTAAATGAGAAGGAACTCGCGATATGTTTCTCCGGTGTTTCTGGGGTGAACATACTATGCAAGATGCTCTCCAGTTCCTTTCTTTGAACGGGCGACAGGTCTTGGGCAACGAACGCGCCAGAAGTGGGATACGGAGCTCCATTGTGCAGCAACGATAAGCGAACGTCCGAATGAGTGTCCTGCAAAGGAAAGCCGTCAGGGCTTGCACTCCCGCCGTAGAGATCTACCGTCAACCGCACCATGTAAATGTACGCGTCGCGAGCCAGACGTTGTCCTGCCTCCGTGGTAAAATCGGCCATCACAATCAACGAGATCATAGAGATGTTATCAAGGCCTATTGAATCCAAATTCTTAGCAAAAGAAGCTGAATCGCATGTGCGAGGGGCTGTTACCTGATGACAACCATGCAAGCTTCTCCAGCACGCCGCAACCGTCGCATCGCAACAGATCGACGATCCGCGGTGCGCCGAAGACGAGCTGACTGCGTTTCGCGTGCACATTTGGAAGCGTCATGAAGTATTCGTACAGATCCGTGGTGTCTGTTATTTTGCTTTCGTACACCTAATAAACGGGATGAGCAGCGCATCACAGCGGTGTCGTCCCCATTTGTTCATCATACCTGGACGGAAAGGTATTCCACCATTTGCATGTAAGTAGATACCAGGGTTTGCTGCCATGTCTGTCGTTTGAAAAGAGGAGACGTCAGCAGATAGCTATCCAACACGATTGGAACTAAACGAATCCATACATCATCGACGTCAATGTATTTTCCGTTGGCAAAAATCGCTCCCTGTTCCAATGACACTCCCGTTTTGCGGTCTAGCTGCTGGAGCTTAGCAAACAATCCTCCCCCTTCCGCCCCTTCATCCATCCATTTTGAGAGTTCCGGCTGCAGTTTCTTTTCAGCGATTTGGAAGTACGCGTCCGCAATGTTCTTTATTGTGATGGTTCCTGACGAAGATCCGACGAGATACAGCTGCAGGCACCACATTAGCATCTCCCGGTTGGCATCTCTTTCGGCTGCGTATCTTCACCTGCTCGATGAAGGCCTTGCTAGCCTTCAACGACGTAGTCCTCTTCAGAAGGTAGAAAGTAGTAGCGGCGACTGAAGCTTATACCCAGGCAAGAGAGACATTTAGATGCAATATAGTGCGCCGCAAGTGAGTAGGATGGCCTCTCCGCAGTTGCCAAATTTTCCTTGAGCGAAGTCCAAGCAGACACATACCTGGCGAAGTTTCACTCTCAGCATCCACAATGGGCGCTATGCCAAGACGCAGAGGAATATCACGAGGAATCATTTGAAGTGCTTGGACCATCAAACCGAGATGAGATGGATTGCTGAGATCCAGTCGGAACAGAACTTGCACGAGGTTTTTGCGAATGAATTTGAGTTGCGAAGGGTACGACGGTCTCAGTATCTACAGTGCTAGGCGTCAATGCAACGGCGACAAAAACCACAAGTGCATGCGGTGGTTTGCCAAGACCTCGCTTATCGATTTCGGCCAGCGGTTGTAGCGACTATCCTTTTCGAGATCATTCCACCATATTACGGCATCGGATCGAACGTCGAAAGCATCTCCCCAGGTGATTTCCGTCTCGGCCTTTTCGGTCAAAGGCGTGGTCAAGAGCTCCAACGCCTGACCGGAGGAAATATTGAGCGACGCGAGGGATGATATCAGGGCCAATTCTGCGCGTAAGGTTCGCTGCACACTACATGGCGGTGAGATGTCTCATAACGATCCTATTCGAAAGCATATCCGACAAACCTGAAGATATCGACGTGAACCAAGTCCTTCTCCAGCCCGTTGATCCACATGCGATTCTTGATTCCCGCGAGTTTCGGCATGTTTTGACGTAGCTCCGCGACCACTGCATCATCCAGTTTCGTGTCCTTCAACAGGTGCGCAAACTTGGGGAAGTTCTGCGAGATGTCGACCAGGCTTTTCAGCGGATTGGACGACCCAAGAATGAACTGCGTGGTCTGGAAGCCCAGGGCTGATGAGAGTAGAATCCGATTAGGTCCAAACCTGCCCGTTAGACTTCAAAGTAATACAAACCTCTTGTCTCATTCGCATGCAAGGGAACCGTACGGGGAGGGATCTCTCGCAAGATATCGTCATCATCTGGGCGGGTTTTGCTACCCGTTACCTCTTCAGACGAGCCTTTCTCTGTCAAGAGAATCCTCATGAGCTCAGTATATTCCAGGCCACCGCATTACATCCCAATGAAGACATCGCACCTTGCTTGACATCACGGTCGTCCAGGACCTTGTACTCTGTACTTTTCAGCGCGAGCTCGACGCCGTACCCGGCCACCATCAAAGGCTTTTCAGACGTCAGAAGCCGCGGCTTATACCTCAAAACGTACACGATTTGCTGTTTCGATGCCATCTCGTGCAAGACTTTGTGCAGTGCTTCGAAAGTGGACGAGAATACGTCCGCGTACAAGATGATGGTCGGAATATTCGCATCTTCAGTAAGACGCAAGACCTTGTCGAAAGGGTATACGATCGGTTCTGGGCTGCGCCTGCTGATGCGCAAAAGCAGATTCGTCCATTAGGTCGGCGACGCACGGATGGTTTGACAAACATATATTGAAGATAACGTTCGGACAATCTAGCTGTCCAACAACCATAGCACATATCGGCTCTGTAACCCTGCCCTTTCTCGAAGACTCATACGCCATATATCCCAACTCCGGTAAAGAAGATCCCCAGCTCTCAAGCGAACTGCCTACGCCCTTAAGGCTTTGAGACCACTAACCTTGAACTTCCAGCCTGCATCCGCTCCTGCAGTCCTTCCGGCGTACAGATTTGCGCCCCATACCAATCCATCCATGACTCGCAACTCTCATCAAAAGTCTTCTCAGAGCTGTTCCTGTGGCCCAGGAGGACCTCGTCAGAATAAAGCCGATATTGCGCCTGTATGCCGGGAGCGTGACTCCGCGTCGCTAATGCAAGCTTCAAGAGGGAAACGAAGGCACTGGCAGGCGTCGAGACATCTTCCGCCGTGCGCTGTGCAGGGACAACCGTATCCAAGCTCTCCAAGATGACTTTATAGCTTTGGTGATCTGAGGCATGGGAGATTTCCGATAACTTGCCCGAAGAGATGAGTGACGACAGGTACACAAACACGACCGGGCCTCCCTCTTGGTGAACGAAATCACTGCAAATGGATTAACACCCGGGTTTGGTGTGGGCCGAAGAAACGTCAATTCGACCTACATACAGTGTGTCAAGTAGTAATGAAGGCGCTTGCCAGTCCGTTCGTAGCCACGCAACGACTGGTGGCGAGGCACTTGTCGATGCGAGCCCAGACGAAGCCGCCGCCACAGCCAGCGCGGCCCATATTGACCTTACCAATACCATTGTGTGTCGGTATTAGGGATCGTCGTCGTAAGTTCCTTCCAGAACGCGGAATGCATCGAGGCGAGTGCGGTCAGCCTTGAGAGCGTGTTCTCATGTTTCCCGCCCTATTTAAACTTAAGCTTAGTCTTGGTGGTCACGTTGGACGATCACGAGAGTTTATTTAGAGTTTCGCTCCTCAACGTCATCGGGAATATCAGATCTTGCCATCGGCCTGATCTGAGCGGCGATGGAAACTTGCCGTTTGATTAGGATGTGGATTAGGATTAGGATTAGGCGTTCACAACAACTATGGGCCTACAGCCATGGGGTGCAGACGTCACAAAGCTCGTTTCTTTACAACCCCTTCGAACTTCCACATCTTGGACTCCCCCATGCAAATTGTGCACCTGGATCCCTGGCATCCACACTCTCTACAGTACATACACACTCTCAAACGCACTGCTATAGTCCTCAGCGTCTACCAGAAATTTCTCTTCGGCATTTTTTCTATTTTGTCGAGAACTCCGTCTGTCCCGGCCGGCGGTGTTTTGAAGGTAATATTGCGCTGGACGCCGCCAGAGGGAGAGCGGACGAAAGCATTCGTGCTCAGACGCACGTCGCAATATCCAGTGCGATACATCGACTGTCTCTGGGCAGTGGTCCGCGTCTCTTTTTCTTTTGTCTTCGAAGCTGACTTTTTGTCACTTCCCCGCATCAGGACTGTGCGAAACACCCGGAAACGCAAACCACCCTTTCAGACAGCCACTTTGCCTGTCAGCAAAATGACTTCCCACGCTGAGGCGGCTCCCCACCCTCTTCTGCCGGCCACTTCAGTCACGACAATCCACGTCGAGCCGCGATTCACGTCGCGACGGGAGCAACTACTGCAGGGCGTGAAGAAGGTGGAGAATATTCACATCGAAGAGGAGCTGAATTATCATGACAAAGATCATTCGAGGGCTCATGGGCACTGGAGGGAGCCTGAGGAAAGCAAGGACAAATCGGAACTCATAAGAAACCGGACGCTGAGCATTGTGAGTACCCGAGCAGCCCATACTTTGATACGATTTTGTGGGAATCAAGAGAACGGCGCGCGGCAGATGGAGTCTTTTGGCTTTTTGATTCCAGCTGCGGCGATGGCCGAAACGGAAAGTGATTCCATACAAGGAGCTTACACACGGATCTTTCTTCTCTCTTCAAGTCCCATAGAAACCTTTACGGCAACGGCGGCCGAACAACCCCGCAGGATGAGAAAGATGATCCTTTTAAGCGCAGGCGACGAGGCTCCCATGATGAGAAGCTTGTTGGGAAGTCGCGGAAGTTTCTGATCGACGTCGAGGAGACGCAAAGACTGATCTTGGCGCAGGAGGATACAGACGGGGATTTCCAGATCACCGTTCAGGATTCAGGGCCAAAGACGTTCCAGCTTGGGACTGCAAACTCGAGTGGATACAGGAAATACGAAATCCGTGGGACGTATATGCTGTCAAATCTCCTGCAAGAGCTTGCTTTGGCCGCGGATTATGGTCGGAAGTTCATCGTGTTAGATGAAGAGCGATTGAACGAGAACCCTCTAGATAGATTGAGCCGTTTGATTAAGTATCACTTCTGGGATGGTTTAACCAGGAGAATCGATGCCGAAGGTGAGTGTTATGTTCCGCATCTAAACGTGCCTTCTTCCAGGCTTGCTGATACGGCGTACTCCAGGTCTTGAGGTCATCTGCAACGATCCTAAGAATAGGTCTCATGATCAACGACCCCGTGTCTACGTGCCATATCACGATCAGCTGGCGATGGACTACTACACAGATGTTGCGAAAACGCGACCTCATCTGAATCTGGACATCGTTCGTCTTCCAGAAATCATAACTCCACGATATGTGAAGTCTTTGAACCAGCACCCCGGGATTCTGTCGCTCGGCCTGCGGAAGAGCACCGATCCAAGGACGAAGAAGCCTGTGATCCGCGGGACACCGTTTGTTGTGCCAGGTGGTCGGTTCAACGAAATGTACGGCTGGGATAGTTATTTCGAGGCCCTAGGGTTGTTGGTCGATGGCCGTATCGAGCTCGCTCGCGGAATGGTGGAAAACTTCAACTACGAGATCGAGCATTATGGCAAGATTCTCAACGCCAATCGGTCATACTATCTGACGCGATCCCAACCACCGTTCCTGACCGACATGATCCATCAAGTCGGGCTGAAGCTTCCAGAGAAAGCGTGGAAACCCACAGAATTGAAAGCATGGCACGCGCAAGGCTACCGGGCGTCTATCAAGGAGCTGCTAAGCGTATGGATGGCAGCGCCGCGACTGGACGCCAAGACAGGGCTCTGCAAGTTCCATCCCGAAGGCATTGGTATGCCGCCCGAAACGGAAGCGAGCCATTTCACCCACATCTTAGAGCCGTATGCTCACAAGATGGGTATACCTCTGGAGGATTATATGCGAATGTACGACGAAGACGAAATTCAGGAGCCAGAATTAGATCAGTACTTTGTACACGACCGCGCTGTCCGTGAGAGCGGACATGACACCACGTACCGGTACGAGAAGCGGTGCGCGAACCTGGCCACCATCGATCTGAACAGCTTGGTGTACAAGTACGACGTCGATTTAGAGAGGGTGGTCAGAGAGGAGTTTGGCGGAAACTTTAAACTACGGGTGCGAAGAGGTCCGGATGATACCTTCCTGATTCGTTTCAAAGAGTGGATGAAAGTGCTCGAAGCCAAAGGGGTAGCGGGCTCGGTTGGAGACGAAGGCGGGTGGGAGTCTGGATGGGCGAAAGGAATCCGGGTCTTCGACGACGAGATTGACGAAGAGTACAAGAAATGGGTTGAAACCGGGAGCCCCATCACATGCCCGGAAGAATCACCCAAGGGATACCCAGTATACCTAGTCGACGACACGCATTTCACCGTTTACTTCTTCCCATCATTCTTCGCCGAACTCGGCGAACGCATGAAGGAACGGATCAATAAGTATCTGTGGAACCCGGTCGACAAGCTCTACTACGACTACGACTGTGCAGTGCAGGAAATGAGTGTCTACGAGACCGTTACCTGTCTATGGGCACTGTGGGCCGGGATTGCGACACAGGAGCAGGCGAACGCGATGGTTCCGCGTGCGTTGGAGCTGTTTGAAGTGACAGGGGGTCTGGTGTCTGGAACTGAGGTGTCTCGTGGTCTGATTTCTCTGGACCGGCCCAACAGGCAATGGGATTACCCTTACGGTACTATACTCTTCTTGAAACGGTGGGTTATGCATCGAGTACACAGCTGATATGGTCTTCCATGTTTAGGATGGGCTCCGCACCAAATCCTCGCCTGGCCCGGCCTTGTCAAGTACGGCTTCGTAGAGGACGCACGTCGTGTTGCGTACCGCTGGATGTACACCATCACGAAAAGTTTCGTCGACTTTAACGGTGTCGTACCAGAGAAGTTCGACGTTGTCGACATGACGCACAAAGTCGAGGTCGAGTATGGAAACGTCGGTGCCGACTTCCGATTTGTCGTCCGAGAAGGATTTGGCTGGATGAACGCCAGTTTCCAGGTACGTTGTGGGACGCTCCATTTTCTTTCATAGGTCCGGTCACTGACGTTACGTCCTCCTTCTTTTCGCAGCTGGGTCTCACCCACCTCACCAAAGGCATGAAGCGCGCATTGGGAGCTCTGACACCTCCCGAACAACTATTCATCAAGAACGGGCAGAAAGCACACATCTTCCCAGATCTCCCCGTTCAATCGGGGTCATCGAACCCCAATTCCGCCTGAGTCTCACCCGGACTTTGGACTATCTCCGCTCCTTTTTGAAAGCAAGCATATCCTCACCTCCCCGTCTCTCTTGACCTTAAAGCGGAAGCGAGAACTCTGTGTGTTCTCTCATAGACGCGCCGTCGTCATCTACACGGATATGTGATCCGCCTCTTGTTTGGACTGCAGCAAATGGCGACGGCTTCAAACTCCCCATATGCGGACTGTTCCCCCTCTGATCCCGCTCCTCACATGCTCAAGTTATCTATTTTGATCGGCGGGCCAGCGCTTTGGGAGGCCGCGCTTCGCTTTGTATTTCGACGGCGAGGGGATTGTGTGGATGTGCTTGTTGTGATTTTCCCACTGCTACTTCTGTTTTTTCTTTTACATCATTGAATCACATGTCCGCCTGGAACTACTTAGAGTACTTTTTGGATATGTTGTGGCCTGAGTTTTGCATGAAATCGATCACCTACATATACAGTATGCCTTTCTGCATACTCGCTGGGGCTCATCGGAATCTATGGATGCTTTTATGGTAAAATGCGTTTCATTGCCACTCACTTTACCCCAAAAATCAGTATGAAATAATGCAGCAGCATCCCTGCCACCAGCACACCTGCTGCGATGCCCCCCATCATCGACCATCTGACACTATTCAATGATGCTGCGGCCCTACTAACACCGCTCCTCCCTGGATTATCAACATACCGCTGAATGTGACCGAGAAGCTGCTTCTTCTCCTTCAGGACATCCACTTTCTGATCTATCTTCTTCTGCATGGCAAGCACCTTTGCAGCCGCATCATGGCTGGACTGCGTGACTCTGTCCAAGCGCGCCATGAGGTCCTCGTTTTGCGCCTGCAATTCTGCGAGCAACCTGAACAATGTCGTGTTGGTCTCCCCAATCTGGAGCCAGTTCTGCTCGGCGGTCTGGAGAAGCGCGGTCTTGGATTGCAGCGTTTCCTGCAGATGCAGAAGTTCCATCTGGTAACTGACGCACATCGACCCGTAGCGTTCCATTTTCTTTGCGATGTTTTCGAACTGGCCTACGAGCGGATTCGAGTCTGCACTTCGCACAGAGGCTTCTTCCCCTTCGCCGTCAGGACCTGTCGTTGAACCCTGAAGTTGAGCCGTCTGCGCTTGCTCGACTATCTCCTCAATTGTGGAAATGATCCGAGCCTTGTCTTGAACAGTCTGCGCACGGAAAACAAAGACGCCCCCCCGGGTGTTGAGTTGAAAAGCGAGTTTGGGATTCTCAATTTGTGACCCCAATAAAGCGCCCAAATCGAACGCTAGAACCTGCTCCGTCGCATCCAATACTCGTTCCGCCGTCAGTGCAAACCCCGTGTCGTCTATAACGGCAAGCTTGACCGCCTCTTTCGATATTGATAGAATTCCACGTTTATAGAAGAAGAACTGTGGAGTCAGCTGCTCAACACTAAAGCGGAGCCACTCTTTTGAAGGTGAAGCGGTATCGGAGTCGGAGTCTGCTGGTGCGGTAGTGGTTACCGAGTTGTACGTGTTCGTTGGCGATGTGTCGGTTTGTGGTGCACCGGGGCGATCTTGGGCCGACGGACCCGGTCGAATTGGTGAGCTATTGGAATGTGGCCGGGAGCTAGTCTGCCTTGAATGAGGCCTGGGCCCTGCTAAGGAGGAGGCCGCCATGCTGGGGTAAAAAAAAGCGGTGGTTTTCTGAGAAAAAATGCCCACAGCGGAAATCCCCGTTTGCCCACAGCGGAAAGTGGGCTGTTTCAGCGGGGTTCCCGTTATGTGGTGAGCGCTGCTTGCAGGTGCGATGGACACGTTTATGAGGGCGATAGGGAATCGAACGAGGCTTCGAGCATTCTCAAGCAGTAAGGTGGTGCGCGCTTACGCAACGGACGCTTGTGATTGGCTGGATTCTGGCAGACTATTATTCCCCAGCGAAACTCGGCTCAACACAGCAGCTGCGTCGTCGAGTCCAATTCACAGAACGAATCGTCGCTGGCCGCCTGTCGTCGCTAAACAACAGGATCGTCTTCCGAACATGCGCCCAATCATACCTTGCACAGCCCCCCGGGCAAGTAAGGTCCTCTTCCCCCACCTCCGTCAACCACAACGGCCAGCATCCACCGTCAGTGCCCGCGTGCAGCAAATGACCACCACAGCATCCCGGCACCCACCGTCGGACAGCCAACGGTCAGCGATTCAAAAGTTCGCAGAGAGCAATGAACTTCGCTTTCGGAACGAGGCGCTGCTGGTGGACGCGCTGACGCACTCTTCGTATGCGTCACCTCACACTCCCTTGGATATTGAAAACAAGCGGTTAGCGTTCTTGGGTAAGGGCTTTTTGTGCGTTGTGAGATCACGGGCGGTGGGCAGGCGGCTTCCCCGCTGCCCTCTGTCCGTTGTATGGGCATATGCTCTGACACGCATCATCCTGCTCGTGTTTTGGTGTTTTCAGGGCTTAAGGTCCTACCGCTGTACGTTACGGAACATATCCGCACGCAGTTTCCAGACCTGCCAGCGGACGCCATGGAATCGGTCATGAAGGCGTTCACAGGGCCAGATGTTTTGAAGCAGATTGGGACGAAAGTGGGGATACCGAGCGCCGTGAGAGTCAAGGTGGGGGAGGAAACGCTGTTGCCTGACATGCCATGGATATGGGGACTGACCAGGTTGGGGTTCGCAGGAACAGGCTCTGGGCAGTAGCACTCCCGCGTCCATTTCGGGCCGCATGTTGATATCACTGATTGGGGCAATATATCAGGACCAGGGGCCGCAAGCGGCACGGCAGTTTGTGGAGAAGCATGTTCTCTCGAGATCGGTCGATGTGAGCATACATAGGAAGATGCTGTACCCACGGACTTTGCTCGACACTATCGTTAAGGAATCTGGAGGCGCGAGGCCAGTAGCTGAGTACGTTCTTCCGTGGGTACGCTTTGATCTTGTTCGCAGCTGTACTTACACTGCTATTATTGTAGAACGACCAAGGAGGCGGGAATAGCATCGGCCACACCGGTGTATGGAGTCACACTAAAACTGGGCGAGAAGAAGATTGGGGAGGGGTTCGGCAACACCGCCAAGATGGCAGAAACACGGGTATGGCGGACCATTTACTTCATCAAAGCAATAGCGTTCAACTTGGGTGCTGACTCCTGTATCACAACCAGGCCATCAAGCTTGCTTTACGCACACATTACCACGCACAACTGCACAAGACCACGCTGCCATCACAAATAGATGAGGAAGGAATAACATTTTTCCCCGCATAAACCCGCAGGGCATACATACAACGGCCGCCCATTACGCACCACCCATCTCCATTCCGCTTCATATTTAAGAGAAGAGAATCTCGACCTAGGGTTTCTGTAGATCACCGCCGAGGGCGACTCCCACATATTGTACACAACCACATGCTAGTGCTATATACAGATAAATACTGGCTATATAACCATGATAGGCGGCTTTACATTGGTTTTGCGCACTTTCTGTGCTCGATAACCTGAAAGACGGCGGGAGGTGAGCGACCGCTAGCAATGACGACCATCAATACTGAGAGGACGGGCATACCTTTGTCTTTGGACAGACCATTTCCTCCCACGATATTGGAATCATGGTATGCCCGGCGATGCTTTGCGCAAAAATGACACCAAGATCGTTGTTGGCCGTCGACAGGTAATAACTCCTCGCATCTCCAAGGGACACGACCTCGGCTCTGCAAAAATAGCCCGCATGAGTTCCCACTGCAGGCGACGACACTTCGACCCTGCCCACCTCCCAAAGCTGACCTGACAACGTCCCCCGGCCTAAAACTCTTATAAATCTGCACCTTATCCCTCTCCGTCGCCCTCACATCCTGCACCCGTATTATCCCCTGGAAGTTCTCTCTGCACGGCACTGTCCCGACCACCATTATGCTCATCGTAGCGTGGCGCGGGCTGATGCGGATGATTTTGCCGGTGACGATGGAGCCGACTTCGGGGATGGCGTTGGCTTCTTTTTTGCGGGTTACTGTTATTTGGGGAGCCTGTGTGGGTACAGTCGAGATCAGCATTCCTTCTGTGGAATTTGGAGGAGTCTTGCGAACGTCTTGGACTTACCTTCCCTGACCCGGAGGCGGGTAGTATTTGACTCCTCCCAACGGTGGATGCATATATGAAGCCATCCCTACGATGAGCAATATGCTGTATGAGGAACCAAATTTCTTCTCCCTGGTGTTCAGTCCGCTCGGCAAGTCACCATGCCAGGGCGAGCATGCTAGATCGAACATGCTACCGACCGACGGTCCCCACACGGTGAAGCACGCCTCCCGCTGCCCAAGCCGCCTCCGCCTCCGCCTTCTGCATCCACATCCTCAACTCACTTCTCATAAGTCCCAGATGATGCTATGTTGGGAAGAACGAGGGTCACTATCGCGAGCCCCACAAATGCGACAAATAAGGGGGAGGTCTGGAAGTACCTTCGAAGTCGCCTGTTGCGGCTAACCGCTGTCCGGGGGTCACTATTTGGTCCATGATGGTGTGACTGGAAGACTGTTTCTCGCATGGGGGTGGAAATTAAAGTTGCAACTGGCCTCGGCCTCAGGGCTCAGGGCCTCAGCTGCTTTTCGCAACTTTCGCGGGAACCGAGTTCTGGACGTGTTCTGGACATGTACCTTGGACAGCACCTGAACTCGAGCCCCTGAAAGTGCAACAAATAGCACCCATGGTCGGATTGTAACGAGCGGATCAATTCTGGATATATTCACTAACTATAGTGCTTTATGAGGCAGTTGGATACAAAAAAAAGGACAAAAATCTGTACATTGAAAGCACCCTTTGACTACGCCGTCAGCCTTCCAACGGTAATACGTTCGCTGAACGAGAGGAGGCCTATTCAAGCTTCGATGGAAACGTCAAGGTCCATCTCTCCTGCGTAAGTGTCCGAGTCTTCGTCAATATTGCGGGTGTCGAATTTAATGCACCAGAAACGATGGTAGACCCATGAGTTTAGTTGACATCGTCGGCTGCACATATGATAATGAATGTTTTAGTGCGTGTTTCAAATGACGCAAATATCAAGCTCGAGCAGCCAATCCTTACCTGCAGTAGACGACTTTCCGGCATCTCGAGCATCTGTGGAATTTTCGGGTAAGGGACTCTACCCGGAGGCATTGCGGGTTCTCGGATCCATGCGTTCCGATATTTCCACAGGTACGTAGCGGATGTGCCGGAGCTGGTCTCGACGGAGGAGAGACGAGCGACGACGAAGAGGTAGGAATCATGCTCGGCTGTGCACAACCTTCAGCGCATATGGGAAGGTTGTGAAGAATAGGAGCATTTGTTGTCGGTGTAGATGGTTCCGCCATGTCGTTCGAGTGCGCGGAGGCAAACAGGCTTCGAGCGCATGCAGACGTCTGCAGGGAGCTTGGCATATCGGCCGCGGATGCCGGTGTTACGATCGCCAATGGGGTCTTTTTGAATGCATTACGCATGCACAAGACAGCCCACTGACGAAGTTCCGGGTGGTAGGTCGGGAGGGTATAATGTTGAGTACGGGCAAAGGTCAGGTTTGCGTGAAGGAGCTGGCGGATGTTGGGATACTTGGAGAGGTAAGCGATGAGCTTCAGGGCCGGAAGGAGGGTGGGGTGCGTCATCTGATAATAGGGCACGGAGGTCGACCAGGCTGGTGCGCCTACTGAACCTGAAGCCACTGTTGGAGTGGGTGCCGGTGGTGAGACGTTCTGGGATTCATCCGTTGCGGCGTTGGAAGAAGCCGTGTGGCCAAATGTCGTTTGTGTTGCTGGCGCAGACTGTGACATTGGTGAAGATGGGGTGGTCTCTTCGTGGGAATACATCCTGAACTCGCTGCCGGCAGCACGTCCATCGTTCCCATTGTTATTGACCGGGAGTCTCGCTTGCGTTAGCTTCAGTTCGTCGCCCAGAATACCGGCTAGCACGCTCAACGTGCCCGCTTCAACGAGTCTGCCCCTCAGTTTCTGATTTCCTCTTATGGCAATATTTGTGAGGCACGCTACGCCAGCTATTATGCAAGTTTCCCAGTGCTTCCTCTGTTTTCTGGGAGCGGTGTGCAGACGCTGCAGTGCCTTTAGTACCGCTCGGACTATAAGCTCCAGGCCGCCGTCGGAACAAAGCGTCGCATTCAGACGGCCGACGCCTGTCAGCTGCATCACTTGGAGTAACGACTGCGACAGAGGTAGTGGGTCGGAACAGCTGAGGGCTCGCTTGTCGTAGGCGAAGGTGGTGAGAGTAAAGCTCGCAGCGGCGGACAGCGGGTCCCCCCTGCCTTGGTGGGAGACTCCATAGAAGTTGTTCGACCGCACCATCGTAGTAAGCCTTGACAGGTGGTTGTCGGTGTGAAAACAGCTCCGTGAGAAAGAAGGGCCTGTTTGCAGCCTCAACCAGTATGCCCTAGCCAGCGATCAATTGAAAGAAGGTGGTGAAGTCGAAACAGGGCAAGCGGACCGGAATATGATGAGAAAGGAGTCGTTAGCCATGCCGGAGGGATGGTGAGCAGTGTTGAGAGTGTTGAGCCTCCGCGGTGTTTGATGCGGTGTGGTCGACTCCTCGGCGTTTGGGGGTATCGCACAGATTGCATTCAAAAACGCATCTGTTGTTATTAAATTTTCGCGCAGCTGAACCCCCTGAAGAACAATTTGCCGTTCACGTTGGCTCGCATTTCACAGATGACAGCAAAGCGCGCTGTCGAAACGAGCGGAGTGGGAGCTTTAGTACTGTAGAAAATACCGCGCAGGTATGGAGGCTAGCGGGTCGTCCTGCGCGGGATGGGACGGGATTTGCTGGTCCCGCGTCCTGTCCCGCAGGACGCGGGACGTCCCGCAGGATATCCCGGTCCCGCTCACAGCACACCCAAACACGAGTCTTTAGTAACTGGTAACATGAAAATGAGACTAGCCAGCAGGAATTAGACTCTAAGACCGTCTGCACGCCCCAGATAGGTACTCTTCTAGATGCCTGTGCAGTGCCAACCTCATCTGGGTCAAATCAGAGTTAAAAAGCCTACCACGGTAAAACAATTAGTAAAACAATTAGTAAAACAATTAGTAACTGATAACATGAAAACAAGACTAGCCAGCAGGAATTAGACTCTAAGACCGTCTGCACGCCCGAGATAGGTACTCTTCTAGATGCCTGTGGAGTGCCAACCTCAACAGGGTCAACTGCCCATAGGGTTAGGGTAGGGTTAGGTTAGGGGGGCTTGCTGCTTCCACCATGTCGAAATGCTGTTCAAATGCTGTCAAGGCAGTCCCGCGGGCTTCCCGCAGGATTTTTGCGGCGGTCCTGCATCCCGTCCCATGCAGGATGGGACGGGACGGGACGCGGGATATCCCACTGCGGGACGACCCCCTAATGGAGGCCGTCATAGGAAGGCCCAGCCGAGGCTGTTCCGAGAATCAGTTTGTCGCCGCGATATTTACATTGCTCTATGCGATGACCCACGGCAACCACATCAGCCCGACTCTTGGCCTGATTCTCGCCGTCGTCTCGCGTTTCCACCTCGCTTCGGATTCAGTGGAGCGCCGACTTGGCTGCCGTATATCTTCAATCCCACGTCGTGGAAGCCCCATGACGATACGTCGTTTGCCGTTATGTTCTACATTAACTTCATCGTCCCCTGCGCAACAACTTTGCCGACGGTGTTTGCCGGGTTTGAGATGAAGGGCGGCCAGATGCGAGATTCGTCCATCGTCAAAGTTATCTCGATACGCAGAAATACTGACGCCATCAACAGTGGTTTGGTCTCTGCACGCATTGCGCACGATGACGAACTTGTTTTCGACCGTTCTTCTCATCCCGCTCTTGGAGATCTTTCTGCACGCACTTTCCTGCTACGATAACGAGCTTGACAAGCCGCTGCTTCCGGAGTCACCCAGTCAGTGTCTCTCCGGGCGCTATCTCCCTCCATTCATATTGTCCATTGGAAGCTTGCTTTATCTTACAATCCTGGAAGAGTTCAAATATAGCATCATCCTGGAACTAGCTCGACAGGAAGAAAAGAGCGATCAGAAGAAAAGAGCGATGCACAGGGCGCTGACAGCGAACAATACGATGATCCAAACTAGCTAGGAGTCCGCCCTGAAGCAGGTGCTCAAGAACTGCAGCCAGAAGCCTTGAGCAGTTCTTCTGGCTCGGCTGGATAACTGTCGAACGCGGCGAGAAATTGGCGAGAGATTGCGTCTTTGAGGAATATAATATGGCGTTCCTTGAAGCTCGCCATTTTCCAGAAGAACCAAACAGCTGTCCTTATCTCTCTATGTCCCGTCATGCTCATGATTTCCTGTTCAGATAAGCGGGAGGCTTTCAGCACCTTCCTGAGCCAATGGTCCGCAGCAGCATTTGATCTCTTGTCCTCCTCACACATGCACTTCTCTTTGGTCTAATCGCCGTCACCGTGACAGGAATGCCAATCCCAGCCCTGGTACAAGGAAATGTAAGTGTGATGCAGATCCCACTCGCCGTCTGCTTCGGCACGATCCGAACCGTTGCCGGTGTTCGTCCTCAGTATTGGAAAGTCGTCGCAAGCACCGTTGACTCCCGCACGGACCGCAACTTCTCCATCATCAGTTTAATGGCGTACGCATATGAGCTCGCGGCATATGAGCCGAATAGCATCCTCCCTCCCGAATCTCATCGAGTTTGGGCAGACTACAACTACAACGAAGATCACAGGATCAAAGATGGTGGGGTATGCTATCACCGTGATCCAACCTCGTGCAATCCAGCGAAAAGGTGCAACAGGTTTTTTTAGCTTGCCACCGGCCCTTATGAGCTCTTGGTGAGTGGTATTGAAGCTGTTCCAATCGGAAAAATCTAATCCACTTGCTGTCAGCTGCACGGTGGGAAGTGCACACAACTTTCCTGTCAAGAACGCCTGCAAACCAGAGTTTGTCCAGTCCGGGGCCAAATTTCATGTAGGAAATACTAGCAGACGTCGTGGGAGGTCCAAGATTAATCAGTGACCTGATTGTTGATGATTTTCAAGCAAAGGGCATCATCATAGGCGCATTAGTGTTGTTGTTTGATGTGGGCCATATTCTAGTCGTTCGCCGCCTCGTGATCAGGTTCCAGTCGCAGATGGACGGGTCTCTGTGGGTGATATTTACGGCTCCACCCGAGATTGCGAAGACTCTACCTGATCACCGAACCCCTATCAAACGCATACATTCTGGTTTTCTGTACATAGAAATTCATCGAAAGTGCGGGCGCCATCCTACGGAAAGTAAACACAGCAAACTGGGATGATTTCTTTGATTCATTGATGATCATGTATATTCCACACGACAACCAAGGGGTATAGAAGCAAGCTCTACGTCTACATGAGGTGGTACGGCCCTTATCTCTATAGTGACTGTAAGGGAATGTTGGGTACCACTTCAGATCCGCAAAATTTGGCGTAACCTGTGAAGCACTTGAGAATTCCGACGGCCGGCCTTCCCTTTAGAGAACTCCGACTGGACATTGGCTCCGCTTGCTGAGCTCCGTTGTGACGCCTGTTTTGAGCTTTCAGTCGATTTTGAGCTTTTCCGCGCGAGTCCATCCATTGTGGATGCGCTCGTTGTGTGAGTTTCTATGCGGTCTTCAAGTTGGTCTTCCAGAGATTCTTGCGAATCAATGCCAGCTGGGCGTGTCCCAATGTCGTTGGGCCTCGCGGCATATGAGGTCATATTCTTGGGTGCCGCGAAAAGACTTCCTTTCTCCGAGGTCGTGAAGATGTTTGCGCATGACAAAGTTTCTGAGCTGGTTTCGCTTGGTCTGCTGGATGGGAGGCTGTCCGAGGACAGGACATTGGCCGGCGACATGGCGAAATCACCGGGGAGTTCACCAGCAGCTTGTGAGCTGGGTGCTTGGAAGTCATCGTCGCTGAGATCGGACTCTTGTGGACTGAGCAGGATCGGACTTCCCAAAAGCCCTATGTGATGAAAGGATCCCGCACGAGCTCTGAATAGCGTCGTGTCGTCGACGGATTCGGAAAGAGACTCAGCTGAAATGTTCTTGATGCAGCGCTCCATTGTTATATAGGATAGTTCAATAAGCAGCAGATGAGAGATGTCGTTGAAGGTTCAAAGATGTGAAGGTTGGGAGGAGAAAAGAAAGTGGGCGGGGCGATTTACCGCTTCCTTTTAAGCATTGCCTGCAGGATGTACCGCCTCGCAAACAACACTCTGTCGACGATATCGCTGGAATTCCGGAGCATTAAGGTATTATGATACGCAGGAATATCATGCGGGAATAAGCCAAGAATAAAGTGTCTCCCGCAGAACTAATTACGGGACCTTCACTTGTCGTCACGGCGATCAGGGTCATCCCGCCTGTCGTGGCGAGGTGCGTCCCATGCCCTGGCCAACCCACATACCTGAGTTAGACGTTCCTGACAACAGGTTTCAGGAGTCATAAAAAAGATACACTCGGATCGTCACGAGAAATCCGGGGAGTCTGAACTTAGACGTTGTCTCCCACCCAATTTCGGGTTATTCCGCACCGCCAAGAAACGACGGGTTGTCGGTCATCGCAGATCATCGAGCTACATAGGCATGATCGAGAGAGCAATCGACTGAGTTGCTTAGTCAGAAACGTGACAGTAAATTAACAGCGCGAAGAGGTCCTACCAAGGATGTGGCATCAGACCCAGGCACATGAACCCGGAGCAAAGCGCAAGCACTTTGGTGGTGACGCGAAGTTTGTGCGAGCAGCGTCATCAAGCCGCAAAAGAGAATCAAGCCGTTTTTTGCATGGGATGCAGGTTCAAAGACTTTTGGGATTCTCTCTTCTCTAATCCTACACAAAACACTACTCAAAACCGAAAATAACAATGTCTGGAATCGTCAACCGTGCCACCGAAACCGTCAGCACCACCGCGCAGAACGTTGCGGCGGTCGTCGACCCATACGTTCCCCAGGTTGCAAAGGTGATTATCAAGTCATGATGGCCGTACGACAGCTGGGAACGCAACTCGGAACCAGCGAGGTGGTTCTAGATGCCCTTGCTTCAAAAGACTGTGTTGTTGAGAGATACAGGCGAACTGCGGGGCTGCAAAGAGCTCTCACAAGCACCTGTCTTCTGAAGATTTGGCCCACAGGTGTTTTCCGAGTTCAGGCGCTCATCCAAAGTTCCCGTTTTACGTTTCAGAATGTTGCGAACTACGCCCTCGGAACTGCTGTTGCTGCCAAGGACCTCGCCGCTTCTACCGTCACCTCCGCACAGGGTACCGCTGTTGCTGCTAAGGACCGCGCCGTGAACACTGCTACCGGCGCGGTCAACTTTGCCTCCACAACTGTCAACAACACTACCTCGTACGGTGAGTATACCATCACCATTGAGTGTCTCTATTCTCTTTCAGCGGTTCTAAATTTTTTCTATAGCCTCCAACAAGGTTACCGAGGCTATTGACTTTGGGAAGATTGTCGTCACTGGTGCCACCACCACCATCACATCCTACACTCCCAACCCCATCCTCAACTTGGTCCAGGGAACTGTTGAGCAGGCCAAGTCTCTCCACTCTGACCCTGTCGGAACCGTGAAGAACTACGTGCCCACCTTTGTCATCCACGCTGGAGAGAAGACCTACGAGGTATGGAGCTAACTTCACTGCGATGCACATCTTTGTTGAATCACATCTGATCGAGTTCCCATAATTGCGTTACAGGTTGTGCACAACACCAAGGAGCGCGCTGTTGGTACCGCCAATGCCACCACTGGTTTCGTCGTCACGAAAGTCAACGGTGTCGTCCACTCCGTTACCTCCATCCCCCAGATTCACAACTTGATCGAACAGCTCGAGAAGTTGGCTGCCCCCGTCTTGAACAAGTTGGGCGTGAGCAAGCATTCCGACACCACCGCCGTCCCAGTGAACGCCGAGACTCCAGTTGACGCCCCCGTGGCCCCCGTCGACGCCCCTGTGGCTCACTAAGCATTCTGTCACTTTCTCTGCCTCAAATATCTCCTTCTTGGCTCCCCATCCCTTTTCTTTTCGATCATCCTCATTCCAGTCACGGCGTGTATGTGGCGTGAAAATGTAACGGTTTTTAGGTCATCTCATAGTTTCTTAGCATCATTATTTTAGTAACCTTCAGAAAACTCACTTAAGCCGCATAGAGCAAATAAGAGGACGAAAAAACTCTTGCTGTTGAAGAAGTTGCGCAAATGGTGCCGCTGTATTAGTTCGATGAACTTGGTTTACTGTGCTCGCTTCAAGTTCTCGGAAAGGTCTGCGCCCAAAAGATAAATATATATATATAAACGGACAAACAAAGAATACATATGGCGGTCCCCGACGCCCATGTCGGAAGGAGGCTTTCCACTAGCTCCTGCGCTCTCGCTATCTCCTCTTCAACTTCATCTGCTTCTTAGCATCACTCCTAGCCTTTGCAATCATTTTCTTCCTGTAAGCGTTCCTGCTCATGAACAGCTTCATCTTCTCCTGCTTCGTCATTGGCGTTCCCTCCGCCGTCGACGCCCCTGATGCACCATCTACTTCCATCTTTGTCGAGTCGGCGGCTGCCGCGCCTGTGGATATCCGACCTCGCTCTTCTGTTGTTGCTTCTGTTGTGGCGGTGGTGGAAGGAGCGTCTGTCATTGCGGTTTCTTCCTTCTTCTGCTCGGCTACAGATGCGACGGCGGCTTCCTTCAGACGCTCCATGCGGGCTTTCTCTGCCGGCCCAAAGACCTGAGAAGCACAACGGAATAGTAGAATTAGTCAGCGAACGTGCTAAAGGGGCGGAATGCCATACAGAGGCCTTACCATAGTCCTCAGGTGTGCGCGGTTGCGACGCATAGACTTTGACCGCAGTCCTTTTGCCATTGTGTATGTGAAGGTGTGTTGAGGTGTGGAGTGCTGGCTGGTGTGCTTGACTGTGCTTTCGACGGCTGTCGTTGCTGGTGGGTTATGGGTTCACTGCGGACGAAAAGAAAAGCGCTCAAGTTGGGTGTGATGACAGGCGAGTGCACATCCAAATGGGGGCTGCGCCACTTTTGCAGCCAATCAGTCTGTCGGACTCGCAGATCCGTGGTGGCCGAAAGTGTGCCTGCGAAGACCTGCAAACGCAACGCACTTTCACGGGAAAATTCATCAGCTATCGGAGAAGACTATTCAGTGAAGAGCAGAACGAAAGCAACGAACTAGGGAAGTTAACTCGTGGATGTCAAATACAACGCCGAAAAGCAGCAAGGGTTCGAAAAGCACCAGCGCCAACCGTCGGACCCCAGGATCTAGCACAAAGAAGGGGGGAGGAACTGGAGAAGGATTCTCATCGCTCGGTGCCCGCTCGGCGAGAGCATCTCCCGGGCATTCTACCGAGTCCCTAGCCGCTCCTGAGCCGCCACTCAAATTCCTTGCCACCCCAGCCCCTCCTGCCTCTGCGAACACACGTCCGCGTCATCTGCGTGTGCTGGTCAACACAGGGGATGCGGTGCTAAGGAGGTGGAGGGCTGGACAAGAGGTCTGGGTGGCTGGGGTTGGACATGGGGTGGAACGGGGAGAAGGGACACAGCAGGTTTGTTTGGCTCTACACCTTGGTTTACGGTTTTGGCAAGCTCAGGCTGCTTGAGATCGGAGGTATTGGATAATGGTTCATTTACGTATGAAATGTTCCGCATATGTGTCGGATAGGGACTAGGAATAATATGGCCATTAGCGACTGTTCCTGCTCAATGTACGTCCGACTCCATAGATTCTGTAGCCGAGTATCATCAATGTAAACATTTTCAATAATATTCTTTGTTTCTCATCTGCCGCCCGTTCAGCCGTCCAACTAGGGCCAGTCGTGAGGCAAAATGGAGGGATTGAATTGGGGGCATATGTTACTCTGAGGGAATTCGAAGAACCCGTGCTTGAGGCGGCTAGAGTGACGTTAAGACCGGTGACGCCGCCAACATTTGCAATTGATGAGATGTTTTCGATATATGCGAAGGAGATCCTGGGTAAGAGGTCACTTGGCCGGCCGTTTTTCAATGGATAGTCATGGCTGACATATGCTTGCCTCTCGCACCATAGTCGATCTGCGGCATGTCGTCAAGGGAGCTACGATTGAGTTGCAATGTGCGGGGAAGCTGAGGCTGTTCTTGGTTGAGGATGCAACACCAGTGAGCGAAGCCCCGGCCGGACAGCCGAACAAGGGCGGGCAGTTGGCATATAGGATGTCTCGCAGGACTGAGGTTTCCGTCTCACCATCAGCAATATCAAATGTATGTATCCGGTATTCATGGGGGTTTCTTCCCATGCACTTACTGAGACACGAGCAGCCCTCAGCAGCCTCAAACCCTCGCGCACCCACCATCAGTTACGCTTCGGTGGGCGGCCTCGGCAACGAGATCGCAACCGTACGAGAGATGGTCGAAACGTCCCTCAATGAACCGGAAAAGTTCACTCGTTTCGGACTACGCCCGCCCCGCGGCGTGCTGCTGTTCGGCCCACCGGGAACGGGAAAAACTTTGATTGCGAGAGCAGTGGCGGCCGAGACTGGTGCCCATGTGATTAATGTGAATGGGCCGGAGGTCATAAGCAAGTACTTTGGTGAGACCGAGGAGAAGGTACGTCAAATTCCTTCATAAGATTGGGGGACCCTTCAACGTCCTCGTCCTCACTTACTCTCCATAGCTCCGTAAACTGTTCACAACAGCAAATGAGAACGCTCCATCTATCATCTTCATCGACGAAATCGACGCCCTTTGTCCAAAACGGGATTCTTCCGCTACCGACCTCGAAAAGCGGGTCGTTGCAACACTGCTCACTCTAATGGACGGCGCCGACGCGACCGATGACCCGCTTGATACACGGCACCGAGTGGTAATCATGGGCGCAACTAACAGGCCAAATTCTTTGGACGAGGCGTTGCGAAGGCCCGGCCGGTTCGATCGGGAGATCGAGATTGGTACTCTTGTTTTCATCAGATTATTGGCAGGGATCTGGAGAGACGTTGATGCCACCTTTGTTACACAGGTATACCAAGCGCGCCTGCTCGTCTCGAAATCCTGACTGCGCTACTACGCCATGTCCCGCACTCGCTGTCCGAAGTGGAGGTAGCCGAAGTGGCGGCCAAGACGCATGGATATGTCGGTGCCGACCTGGCCGCAGTATGCAGGGAGGCTGGGCTCAAAACCATCAAGAGAGTGACGGCAAATGGAACTGCGATGAAAGGGGATAATGACGTCGGTCAGTACGCCGATCTCCTCCGATGAAGCCTGCTATGGGCTCATGTGCATGTTCTTCTATGTCGGTATGCAGATCTACGAATCAGTCATGATGACGTCCTTGCAGCATTGACGGAAATAAAGCCCAGCGCAATGCGAGAGGTGTGTTGAGACGATCCCGGAACCCGAATCATGAGACGCACTGCTGACTCAACCTTGCCATTCCGCAGATCATGCTAGAAGTACCGAAAGTGCTTTGGACGGACATTGGCGGGCAGGCTGAGACGAAGCAGAAACTGAAGGAAGCTGTTGAATGGCCATTGAAGGTATGAAATGACATCTTGTTCAAACGCCCTCCAAAAACCCAGACTCACGCCCATGCTGTAGCATCCAGAAGCCTTCGCAAGATTCAACATCCGCCCACCGAAAGGAATACTACTGTACGGTCCGCCGGGTTGCAGTAAAACCCTCATGGCAAAAGCGCTGGCGACAGAAGCAGGCTTGAACTTCATTGCCGTGAAGGGACCAGAGGTATGAGCTAATTCCTGCAACTACGTACGTGTTTACCGTCGATCCTTCGTGCTGAATGATGGGATTTCTCGTCTTTCAGCTTTTCAGCAAATGGGTAGGGGAGTCGGAAAAGGCCGTCCGTGAGGTCTTCCGGAAAGCAAGGGCGGCGTCACCTTCCATCGTATTCTTCGTGAGTAAAACTGTCAGGAACGGTACCGACGGTCGTCTCTCGTTGGCGGCACTAACGCACCGCTTTTCAGGACGAAATAGACGCACTAGCCGTCCGAAGAGGCGGGGACGAAACTTCGGTTGCCGACCGGGTGTTGTCCCAACTGCTCGCTGAGATGGACGGAATCGAGCCGTTGGTGAATGTCACTGTCGTTGCGGCGACCAACCGGCCAGATATCATCGTACGTCATTCGGGCATTGACTTTTGGTACCCTATGGGGTGACAGATGAGGCTCACCCATTCCCAAATCGCATGCGATACTTTTCGCGACAAAGGATAGCGCCTTGCTCCGCCCGGGTCGAATCGACCGCATTCTTTACGTGTCGCCACCGGACCAAGATTCGCGACGAGAGATCTTTCGGATACAGACCAAAAGAATGGCATGCTCCGCTGATGTGGACGTGGACTTGCTATCTCGAATTGTAAGTGACTTCGCTGTTTACAACTCGGCCGAAATCTCGAATCTGATTTCTTTTGGCGTGTAAAGACTAATGGATACTCTGGCGCCGAATGTGTGGCCATCGGTCAAGAGGCAGCCATGCGGGCCATGGAGGAGAATTTATATGCTGAGGAGGTGAGGCACCGGTGCCAGTTAGATTGATAAGTTTCGCTTTATGGATCAGGCCTCGAACTCATCCATCTTCGTCTAGGTCTGTCTTCGACATTTCGAACACGCCGTAAGGAACGTGACACCGCGCATCACCGACGACATGATCAAGTTCTACGACGATTTCCGCATGCAGTCTGGGTTAAGGAGCGTTTGATGGTTTCCGTCTCTATATGCTTGCCCGAGTCCAGCGCTTGTACAACTTTTACACACAACTTTCAACCCAGACCAAACAAGCTGTTAGGCTATTGGTGCTCTGTACGCCGTTGTGTACTTGACGGATCATCGCCCGACTCCGTGGTGTCTTCTTCCTTCGCGTTTCTATCACTCCGCAGGGATCTCTTGAACTTCGTACTAAACGATCTATTTCTACTCAACAAAGGCGTCAACGCTAACCGCTCGTTCTTTGTTCCCTCAGAAGGCGTTTGAAGTTCGATTGCAGTAAACGTATCCGCAGCCGTCGTGCCCGCTTTACTGGCGGAAGAATCAAGTTTCCGGTCGGCGATGCCCATTGAGGCGTTCTGGATGATGGACGATAGGTGGTTGCCTTTATCTAAGAAACTTATCGCTGCGAGAAGGAAGAACAAACAGGGTTAAACGTCATTGATTTGTGAAGTCTCCTTCGCTATTGAGTTTCCATTACCTTCTCCTGTCTTGCCAGCCCGCCCCGTCCGCCCTATCCGATGTAAGTAGGTCGCTGCGTCCCTCGCGAAGTCCACTTGTATAACGGTCGACACATCTACGAAATCGAGCCCACGAGCGACGTAATCTGTGCAGATCAGAATGCGAAAGTCTCGCGAAGGAGATGCTCCACCGTGAGGCCTTTCCGGAATGCTCTCAGTTCCTTTCGATTGTTCCTCCTGAGAGACACCGACCGATGCCGGCGCGGTGATAGGTGTAGAAACGAATTCCATAATCTTTTGGCTCCTCCCAAGCCGATCCTTTTCGCCGGTACCTTCCAAGACTTCACAATGGATGGTCACCTGTCCTCGATATTCCTCAGGGATGAAGATATGTTTGGTGCGATCCACAGCCTCATGCATCACCCTCGCTCTCCGCCCGTCATTGCAGAAAACGAGCCACTTTGCCCCACGGTGCGCATGCGCATCACGGGCCGCAACCAACAGCTTTTCCGTCTGTTGATATATCAGGCTTAATAGCGCATTGCATTTCAGTCGATCTTCCGCTTCCATCGTAAGCTCTTCGGTCAATTGGTCGTCGCGGGCCAGAGGGAAAAACCGCTCTGTTATGCCCACCGGGGCTTTGTGAAGTTCCCCGGTGCTCACAGTGACCAAATTCGGAAAATGTTTGTGTAGGAGAGCCCGAGGAGTTTTCGATTTGGCAGCTCTGATCGGCGGCATCGTCGCAGCGGCAAAAATGAACTTCGATCGTCGCCCCTCCGCTGGCAAACATTGCTTTCTTAGGACCCTTTCCGCCTGCGACACGAGCTCCCATGCCTTTTCGTCTCCGACAATGGAATCGGCTTCATCAACAACGACAATCTCGCACCGACCCAGGAACGCTCGCAGAAGGCGGTTGTTTCTCCATTCGACATTGACCGAGCCAGGGGTAGCTATCACGATGTCGGGTGATCGAAGTTGAGACAATAGAACTGACGGCGGTGGAGGAAACAACGTCACTTTGAGGTTCAACCCTTTCGTGAACGCCCGTAGGGCTTTCACCACTTGCAGACACAGATCCCGAGTCGGTGTCAAAATAAGAACACGGGGAGCAAGAGGCGCACAGGAAGTAGATGCTGCTTTTGCGGGCTGTGCAATGAGATGGGACAAGACTGGAAGTAGGTAAGCTGAAAGAAATATCACGTCAGTTTTAGGATCTTCTGGACTTTTCATGCCAATAGCTGAACATACCTAGCGTTTTTCCAGAGCCCGTTTCGGCTGTTATGAGAACGTCCTTCGAGTCTGCTAGTAGTGGTATCGCCTAAATTTAGAGCATTTCAGACTCCCGTTCGAGAGCAATATGTTTTCCGCCCAAACTTTACGGACCCTGCGCTGAACGTTACTTGGGACGGTAATCTTTTCGGCCTCCAGGGCCCGCAAGAACAGCTTATTCACCCCGAGCTCGCTAAATCCTTCTTGAGATTGCTGCACAGGCGCATTCGGTATATTCGCCGTTCCGGCGTCGCCCGACCCTCCGGACGTGGTGGTATATGGGCTTCGAAATGAAGTCTCCGGACGTTGCAGCGCGGCTGGACGAACCGCCGTTCCGACCGTTGGGAGGCCTACTTCGTTACAGCATAAGGCAGAGCGCAGGAGGCTGAAGGCTCGTCTGGCGACCATTCTTGAGTCTCTTGCTGGCCTTGCTTTCCTGCATGTGTGCTCCTTTCAAACCAAGAGGAAAGTGCAGGAGAAGGCCTTGACGCAGGCCTTGACGCGTTGACCTGCGTTGACACACCAACAGCACAAACCAGAGCACAAACGTTCGACATCGAGAAAACTTGGTCAGGCCTCGGCGGTGGAAAGCTCATGGCGCTTGAACCGTACGTTCTGTAAAGTGTGCCTTCGGTCTCCCAAGGGTTTGCCAAGTCAGAAGCGGCAATGTTGCACGCACTGCTCATCATAAATAAAGCCGGTGGGCTGATCTACAACCGCGACTTCACCGATGGTCTCGCAAAGCTCACCACCAACGAGTATCTCGTCATGGCAGGAACATTCCACGGGTAAGTGAAGGTGGCAGGTGTTGTCGACAGGGAAGTCTAATTAGGGCGGGCTCTGGACGCCGTAGGCTTCCAGTCGCCCAGTAGAGGCTATGATGGGCGCCGCGTTTTTGTGCCCTGCTCCTGGGAACCTGTACTTACGCAGGCTATTAGGGTGCACGCTATTACGTCCCGAATATCACCAGTGCCAGGGTCAAGTGGGATGGAAGTGCTGGAAGCCGATACATTCAGGATTTTCTGCTTCCAAACATTAACAGGTTCGTAGATTGGAGATACTGGTCATTTGGGCCGTATGTAACGTGGGGTTTGGACAGGCGTAGACCGGTGGTAGCTTTCATACTCATCATTCATGTTGCAAATTGATTGGCAATCCCCATGTAGGCGTAAAATTCCTCCTCATCACAGACCCATTGCAACCATATGCGGACAACATGTCACGGAAAGTTTATGAGCTTTACGGCGATTTTGTGATGAAGAACCCGTTCTACAATCCTGAAATGCCAATCAGGATAGAACTTTTCGATGCAAATGTACAGAAGCTGGCTAAACAACTGAACGCTGGAGGTTGATGTGCCACACCGGGAGAGAGAAAGGTGAAGATTAGTTCTAGATCTGAGCTTGACGAAGGTACCTGGTTTCCTTACCAAACATGGTTCTGCTTCGGTAGATGCCACTATTTGCCATGGTCTGATTGTGCCTTGCTTGTATGTAGTATGTAAAGGCTCATGAAAAATCTAGAACATTTTGGACATGAATTCATTCCCTGAGGAGCATGGGTCCATCACTCGCTGCTCCAGCAGACATGCTTTTACTCAGCAAGAAAGTGACCAGCAGCCATCCCCCGGTCGAAAACCGATAAATGCAAATGCCTCCCAATGCAAAATTCATATATTTGAAGTAGGTTACATCTCCCAAACAGAAATACAAGTTTTGGAGACAAAACAGACGTCGTCCCCGAAACAAAACATAACGGAATTTTCACGGAGATCATGACAAAGGTAGCAAGCAACCTTCTGCCGTATTGTTTGCTGTCGCTCATGCTTGCTCATAGTGATCCCTTTCGCGAGATCAAGAGATGAGTCCAAGTCGGCTTGGGAAACGCTCATGGCCTTCGACCGGAGTGACATTCGAGGATGTTGTCCAGTCGTTGTGCGGGGATGCGTGAGGAGCGCTTGCTCGAGAAAGAGCCCCCACCGCCTTCCCCACACGTCAAGCGGGTATGTTCAAAAACTGATGGGTTTCTGTGCTTCCTTTGGATCAAGGTTCTGGCCCTCAGCGTGTTTAGTCTTCTTCTTCTTCTTCGGCTTTGTGGCACCATCACCGCCATTTGCGTCGGCGCGGGCAGTCTCGACGCCAGCAGTCTGTTCCGAAACGCTCGCCTTCCGCTTCTTTTGTTTGTGTGAGTGTTTGTGAGAGAAAGACGTCGAAGTGACTGCAGCGGTCGGGGCAGTGGAAGGAGCGTCCTCGCGCGCTTGAGACGCCGTGGCCTGGTTCGATTCGTGGTCGGTCACCTTAGTTTTCTTCTTGGACTTCTTTGTTTTAAACGGTATCTTTCCCGTAAGGTCGTTGACGTCCGCAGATCTTGCTTCCGTTAAATCGTCGAGTCCTTCCGCAATCTGTGCTTGGATCGAGTTCGTCATTTGAGCATCCGTGGACTCCGGCAATTCGTCAACTGATACTCCAACGATGGAGGTCATATCTGCACCACGCTCGAGGGATTCCATCGCGGCAAGGGATGCCATGGCAGCCTCCTTGGCGGCCGTTTGGTTCTGCATGGATGGTTTTGGGACGAGTGATGTGAAGGTCATCATCTCTTCCTCTTCCTCTTCCTCCCACTCTTCATCTTCATCGTCCCCTCCCTCCTTATTTCCCTCCACCGCATCGACACCGTCAGAGGCGGGAATGCTTTGCGTGTTGCCATCATCATCGTAAAAGTCTAGGCCCAGTCCAAACCCAGATGCAGGTTCGAGAGGCAGGTTGTCCGGATTGTTGTCCACCTCGTCTATATGAGTATCGTCTATGATCCCCTTCGCTTGTCGGCTCGCTTTCTCCTCGACGAGAGAATGAGCCAATCGAACTCCTTCAAGGAAGGACATATAGTCGAAATCTTTCACCCTCTTGCGGCATCTCCGCCAACGGTTTCGCAAAAATGTAATGGGTAAATTGGACCAGTCCTCGCCCCGAAGCCCTGCCCATTCGATCTCATCTTCATGTTCGGCTTTGTCATGAATTGCCAGTATGCGAGTAAGGAGTTCGCGGTCGTCCGCTGCCGTCCATCGCTCTTTGCCTAGCACGAACCATGGTTTGCGAAGAAGAAAATGATCGGCGCAGGCTCTTTCATCCCTGCTTCCGACAACTTTGGAAATCTCCACCCATTCCGTTATTTGCGAGTGATTCGTATATCCTTTCTTTTCCATGACATCATTCATGGCGTCGGTTAATCGCTTTTGCTCTTCGGACGTCCACTGAGCATTGTTCTTTTTCGGTTTCGCCGCCTTTTGTCCCGCCATTGAACTCGGGGCACCGTCCGCTCTACGGCCATTGGTAATGTCTTCGTACCTACGGCGCGCATTGGGACGCCCCAGCTTGATATTGATGTCTCGCCATTTCTCCCCCCTCTGAACCAACTCTACAAGCTCTCGATCTTCTTCCGGTGTATAAGGCCGCCTCTCGCGCTTCTCACCAACTTCTCTGTCACCATGGCCAATAAGAGTCCGCTTCACGAATACAGCGAGTTGATATATCGTGCGATTGAGTCGTGAGGTCTTCAGAATCTCCCTCATGACCTTTTTGCTCCCATGCGTGGCATCTTTGGGATCCGCAGGCACGCCCTCCGCAGTTTTGTTGCCGTGGTTCCTTTTTTGCGCCAGTATAGCAAAAAAGTCGTCTTTTGAGATGTCATGGTCCTCCATGTATTTGTTCATAGCAGCTTCCACAGCCTGTCGCTCCGTACTCTTGAACCTTCCTTGGCTATACGAATCCAGATACTCTTTGTGCTTTTCGTAGTTTAAGCTGTGCGTGAAAACGATTGAAGGAGGCCTCTCGTCGGTTTCCGGGTCGATGAAAAGGGGTGGGGCAGGTTTGGTGCCAAAATATTCGGCATGGTTGCGGTGCCTGTTGGGTGTGGACGTGGTTGCCATGACTGGACACGTCCCAAAAAACCAGCGGGGAACGGATGCAAGTGAAAAAGTTACCGAAGCGGAAGGGTAAGCTGGTTCGGTTTTCTTACTTGTCGCGGGTAACAGTTGCTGCGGGAATGCTTGCCGGGGGTTGGACGAAGGTGCTCTGCAAGGACGACACGCTCCAAAGCGACGGTTTTTTCGATGATTCTCAGGCCCGACGCTACTAACCCTAACCACCAAGGGCATCTCGTCGTTCTCACATGGTCATACTGTACCTCGTATGTGCCCACTGGACATTGAAGACCTCCCTGGACCTCCTGGACATTGGACACTGGCGCCCACATGAATTGATAGGCAATATGCCTTGGAACTGTCATGGTCATCCCAATGCACGTCTCCAGAGTCCACATCCATCCACATGCCTGTCTCAGTTTTGTGTTGGCGTTGAAAACTGTTCGTGCATTTGCAAGCCACGGGACAGAAATCCTTTCGTCTCACTTTTATGATCAGCCGCACCTGCTAATCTATTGGCTATGGCCAGTGCGCATCCGCCCTTGTAAGACTGTCTTTGCACATGCCCTGAAGTCAATGATGAACATTTGAGAAAAGTCCAGCACATTCCCCGCAGGCGCGTCAGTCAGTCACCGCGACAGTGGTGGTAACCGAATGACAGTAATGTCAATTGAATGTCAATGGCATCACCCTTTAGTCACTTTCCAGATGGTTCTACGCGCAACGAGTCGGAAATAGTGTGGAGAAGCAGAAATCCACCCCCGCATAGAACGATGAACTGCACCAAATTGCTCGAGGACATCCCCCGCTCCTATATAAAGGGCCCGCCAAACTCCCCAGTGCAGATTTTCGCATTCACTTCACTTCTGATCGTCACAACCCGAAAAATATTACATTTGCAAATAACCTAACAGCATCTGCAACATCCCACACCTTTACTCAATATGAGTAGCGCTGGCACTTCGAAAGCCGTCGGAATCGATCTCGGCACAACCTACAGCTGTGTCGGAGTCTTCCAAAACGACCGGGTAGAAATTATCCCAAACGACCAAGGCAACCGTACAACGCCCAGCTATGTGGCTTTCACCGATACTGAGCGTCTCATTGGAGACGCAGCGAAAAACCAAGTCGCCCTGAACCCACAAAACACTGTCTTTGACGCCAAGCGACTCATCGGCCGCCGGTTCACTGACAAGGAAGTTCAAAGCGATATGCAGCACTGGCCCTTCAAGGTCTGCTGCGAGGGCGACGGAAAGCCAGTCATCGAAGTCGAATTCAAGGGCGAGAAGAAGAGGTTCACACCCGAACAAATCTCTTCGATGGTGCTCACCAAGATGCGCGAAATCTCCGAAGCCTACCTCGGCCACCCTGTCAAAGACGCAGTCATCACGGTCCCAGCCTATTTCAACGATTCTCAACGACAAGCAACGAAAGACGCTGGAACCATCGCCAACCTCAACGTTCTGCGCATTATCAACGAACCTACTGCCGCGGCGATTGCGTACGGGCTTGACAAGCGCAAGGGCCATGAGCAAAACGTCCTCATTTTCGATCTTGGAGGCGGCACGTTTGACGTGTCGCTTCTTTCCATCGAAGACGGCGTTTTCGAAGTCAAAGCTACCGCCGGCGATACCCACCTAGGCGGTGAAGACTTTGACAACCGCTTGGTCTCACACTTCGTCGACGAATTCAAGCGCAAATACAAGAAGGACATCCGAAGCAACCAGCGAGCACTTCGCCGCTTGCGTACGGCTGCCGAGCGCGCTAAGCGAACACTCTCGTCATCAGCCCAAGCGAGTCTCGAAATCGATTCTCTCTACGAAGGCATCGACTTCTATACGACAATAACCAGGGCGCGGTTTGAAGAACTCTGCGGCGATTTGTTCCGCGCCACGCTCGAACCGGTTGAGAAGGTTCTGCGAGACGCCAAAATCGCAAAGAATGAAGTCCACGAAGTCGTATTGGTCGGCGGCTCCACTCGCATCCCCAAAGTTCAGAAGCTCGTCTCCGACTTTTTCAACGGCAAGGAACTAAACCGGTCGATCAACCCGGACGAAGCAGTGGCCTACGGTGCTGCTGTCCAAGCAGCGATCCTCACCGGTGTTCAATCCGAAAAGACGCAAGATGTGCTGTTGATGGATGTGGCGCCTCTCTCGCTCGGTCTCGAGACCGCCGGCGGAGTCATGACGCCGCTCATTCCTCGCAACACCGTTATACCCACCAAGAAGAGTCAAGTCTTTTCGACCTATTCGGACAACCAACCCGGCGTCCTGATTCAAGTCTACGAAGGCGAACGCAAGCTTACCAAAGACAACAATCTTCTCGGCAAATTCGAGCTCAGCGGTATCCCTCCTGCGCCTCGGGGCGTCCCGCAGATCGAAGTCGTCTTCGACATGGATGCTAACGGCATCTTGAACGTATCTGCGCAAGACAAGACAACGGGGAGATCTGGCAAAATCACCATCACGAACGATAAGGGCCGTCTCAGCAAAGAGGACATTGAGCGCATGGTCAGCGAGGCTGAGAAGTTCAAGCAGGAAGATGCCGCGGTCGCTGAACGAGTCTCTGCTCGCAACGAGTTCGAATCGTACACATACAACCTTCGTAACACCATGGATGACCCCAAACTGAGTGGCAACCTTTCCGATGAGGACAAGGCCAGCTTGAAGAAGCTCGTCGATGAAGCTATTCAATGGCTCGATCACAATCACGAAGCCTCAACCGAAGAGTATAAGGAACGTCAGAACGAATTGTCCAAGGCGACCGAAGGCATCTTGAAGAAGATGTATCAAGGCGGAGGAGGTAACACGGGAGGAGCTACCACAGACGGCAGTGCTCCCTCTGGTCCTACCGTGGAGGAAGTCGATTGAAAAGGAGTCGATGGAACAGCCCCGCCTCTGTTTGAAAAATGTATATAGCTAGCAACCCCAATTTTGTAACCTATCCATGTATCGTTGTTTGTAAATGGCTTCAATTGAATATGATCAGTATGGCAATCTTGTCCATGCATTGTCTGACCGTCGTCGAATAGTCCGTGAAGGGGAAATGGCTCAAGAACTGGGATTCCCACTGTCCCTATTCCCACTGTGTTATTTAGCGAAACCACAGCCAAGGGAACGGTTCACCGAGATTGATGAACGTTAATGGCCATTCCTCGAGTCGCACGAGTCCTGAAGGCCTTGCCATGTCCACATGTCGAAAGAGCATAGCAAGTCCAGTAGACTCACGATTCGAGATTCTACCAATTCCACTCAAACAACACTTCCATCGGGCTCGCCACTCCGACTCGTGCAAACATAAATGGTTTCTGGATATATTGTAATGTAGGCAAATTTCGTTTAACGCGAGCAGAGGACTCTATATATATTCTCCTCACGGTCTGGCGGGGTAGATGTTGCACCAGTACCGCACTTAGTGGTGGTGGTCGTGGCTATGATCCTGGTTGTATTTGAAAACGTTTCCGCAATGAGGGCATCGGTCGAACTTCTTCTTGCCATAGTCGCGAATCGTCAACCAGATGGCTTCGTGGGAGTCAGCGGGGAATCCTATAAGAACCAGAAGAGTTAGAACACCAAGTCGTTCAAACTCAGTCATATCGCAGCTCACCGGTGCAAGCAATGTATCGTTCTGGGTCAGCACCCTTGATGACAATAGGGTTGGAGGGTGTTCCACGAGCAGTGAGGTAGATGGGTTGCATTTCTTCCCAAGGCTCCTTTCCAGCTAAGCGAGCCAAGTATTCGTAACGCTCGTTACCAGTCATCAATTCGTGGTTGGTGGGGATCTGGCCCTCCTCACGGAAACCAACAAGAGTATCTTCGGCGGAGTCCTTCGTTGCTGGGGTAGCTGAAAGTGAACCGGAGTTGCCAGCGGTTAGAAGCGTGTATACGCAATTAAAGTCGCATGGTGCCTCTCGAGGCTGATCTCATAAGGCCATCCAGAACTTTCGTTTTCTCCAACGTTTCCCATCCTCAGCGACGGAATGCCTCGATTCGCTGCCCCTCTTCCCAGTAACCCCACCATCTCTCTCCGTTGTGCCCAGCGTATTCATTCCGCCCAGAGACAGTCTGGCTCCTCCTCGCCACTTCGCACAAGCGCCTTTTCGCCCGCGTGCCATACATTTCCTCGGCTATGCAAGCTTCACTCTCTCCCGGCGTTCACAGGCGACCGATCCTGGGCCTTTGAACCGACCAGCGAGCCAAGCCCACTCAAGAATAACAAGAAGAGTGCTTCAGCTTCTCAATTATCTGACCGGGGAGGCCCTTCTCCCATAGTCCGACGTCGTCTGTTTCGGTCAGGGAAAGTCGACTGTCATATTCATTCGCAACTCACCTTGACGTGTGACGGCGGCGACAGAGAAGGCCCTGGTAGCCATCGCTGGCCTAACAGCGACGGCGAACGCCCTTGAGGAGCGAGCAACGGCACGGATGAGAGGCGACATGACTTGTGATTGATTGCTAATTGAGTTTCCGTTGGAGTTCGTATAGTACGCAAACGTGAGGTTCAAGGTCCAGGTTGTCTTTCCCGTCGTCACTGGACGGTGATGAGAGAGTTTAATGTAAAGCACGTGAAACCGCAATAAACTCACGAACGCGCGTTTGTCACTCTGGACATGGACACCGCGCTGCTGTTGAATTTCCAGAACTCGAAGTAAGCGGAAACGGACGGCGAGAATTGTCGGAATTGTTGGAATTGTGTCGGCCGTTCGTCAAAGCCTATGCCTGTGCCCTCGCTATTAGGAGCCGAAAATGAGCGACGAAAAGAGAGCGGAGAGGCTTTTGAAGCGGGCGAAGCCATTCCTCGACGAAAAGCTGAAAGCTAAACAGAGACTGACCGCTCTGTCCAGCTTTGTCGGTAACTTGAACGTCGTTTACTTTGTGCAGAAGTCTGGGGATAGACTCGACGCTAATATCAACATCCTTGTTTGTGCCTTCCTTCAGAGAACTCCAATGTGCAGGAGCAACAGAAGTTTTTTCACGAGCATGATTACCAGATATACACCGTCATGTTCGATTGCTTTACGCATCAGGTGGACAAAATCAAAAGTAGGATCAGGCGATATCACTGCGGTGTCCGCTTTTGATAATCTCTGATGTCCATGCGCGTTCCAGCACGAGAAAAACCAGACAAGCCGGTTTCCATAAACAGTAAAGAGGTGGCTGATTTACTGCGATCTTTGCAGATCTTGAAGAAGATCATAGTCTATCTCCCCGAGAAGATGAGAGCTGGTTGGCAAAGGCGAAGCATAGGTACCGGCTGTGTCCTCTCTTGGGTATTGTGCAACCATTGTGCTTACCCCTCTCCATCCTCTTCAGTGGGAATCCTCCAGGCCTTACTCGTAACAGGCAACCATGTCAAGCTACGCATCGAAGGACTCCGACTTTTGCTTCTATACCTCGCCCAGCAACCGCCAGAAGTACAGGATACGATCCCTCTGTACGCCAACGCTATTTCATTATCCGTATTTGATGCTTTCGTCATCCCCCCGCCAATAGCAACTGCGCATACCTACTGCGAAAATCAGGGAATAGATAGTCTGTTGCCGACGGAGGGTGTTGCCGTCTGGAAGGGGGAGGGCAAAGGACAACTGAATCAGGATGTCATAGAATGGGAGAGACGAATACATACGCTCAACGGGCCCGCATCCGTGGGCGGTTCAGGAGGCAGCAGCAGTATGTGCAATATTTGTCATCTTTCGCGAGAGCAATCAATTCAGACGAATCTTCCACCCTTAGCCATGGATAGAACGGTGCTGCTTCCTAGCTCGACGCCCTTTACGATTTACGACGCGATGGACATGTTCGAGGAGATCTTATCACATCTGGTTATAGTGGCTGGTGAAACACCTGCAACTCAATCGACGGCGACGGCGAGCCTGCAAGTTCCAAGTGTAAGAGGTCATCGGGGCTCGGTCGTGGAAAAGGTACACCCGGAAGCTAAGGAGACGGAAGTCGGGACTGATGCCCCGAACGTGAGCACGCCCTCAGTGAGCAGAAACGGTTCTCTCGCCGCCACGGACACAACGCCAGCGAAATCCATACTCGACATTTCTGCTCAGCCGGCGGATGGCCTCTCCATTATGTGGGGCCATTTCCGAAATCATTATCTCAGGTTGCTTTTTCCACAAGTGGCACGGCTGTCGGGAATGCAGGTTTCAGATGAAGAAGGTATGCGCTGGCTACCCTTTGCTTAAAAGGGGTTCGCTTTGGCATCATAAACTCCGCGCCCGGTTCTCTAACATCTAACAGGGTTCGCCACATGTCCCCCTCAGCTTCTTCATGCACTCTTGAATTTCCTTATCCGGAATTGCGTCGACTCGTCGGTCAACACATCTTCGACTTCGTTGCGACGGCTGTTGCTCAGTGGGGATGTCCAGAATCTGGAACTAGTACACGAGTGGATTCATCAGGCCATGTTACTGCCCTATGTCTGGAGCGACGTTATGAGAGGGGCCATAGCAATTGTGCGAGTGTGGTGTGCCCAAGCGGTGGGTTGAATAAAAGTGACTTTGCTGCAGAGGGGAAGCAGGCGGCATCAGAACTGAGTGTAGGGAACTTTAGGATGAGGAGCGCCCGCCCTTTCTTCAGATGTTCTCCCCCGAGGCAGTGTCGCCGGTTGAGGGTCCTGGGGGCGACGTCGATAGTTACCTGCGCCGTTATATTCGTTATCTTCGCCTGGCTTTCTCAGTGAAAGTTGATGATGTGGAGCACATGGATCACCAGGTACACACATTCGTCGAGTCCTCTCCCAGAACCTCTGGCAAATTGTGAGACTAAAACTTCCACATACATGTAGCTTGCGATTTTCCGAGAAGTCATATTCCTGTTCCGTTCCTTTACTCTTGACACTATGCAACCATCGCTCACTCCTCAATCCTGGCACACCCTCTTCGCGACTCTGTTTGATGTCACCGTGCACTTGCTTTGCAGACCGAGTCCTACAGCAGTCGTTCGTGACTCGGCCATGGCCATTGAAATTGCGGATTTACTACTGGAGACAGCATTCATAACGGCTGTGAGAAGCGGAATCAAGGATGATGATCTATGGAGCACACTAAGATCGATATTGCAGAGGTGTACCCGTTGGGCGGAATGTATTGGCAATTGGGAGGTGCGTACAATCACGCCACTGCTTGGAGCCTCGGTATCATCTGACCACATCTCATGTAGACCACGTTGACGACGCTGACTACAATACTAGCAACGCACACATATTCCGTGGAACTGGACCCTTTGCATCAACTCAAGCATCGTGCCAATCAGAACGCCGCATCTGCATCTCCTTCAACTCACATTGGACACCATCCTCCTCACCGCGCTCCGGCTTCCGTGTCTTCTTTCGTCACCCATCATTCTTCGTCTTCATCAAAGCGCGACCGGTCCAACTCATTTATAGCGAACACACTCCATCGAGGTGCTGATGCCAAAAAGCGGGCGAACACAGAGGTCTCTTCGAATTCCTTGAAGGGCGCGAGGAGTGACCCAGAGGTGTTTGTGGGAGGCGGGAAGAGTCAGACGGCAGAGAGTCCGAGAACGTGGGGACTTGGAGCGTTTGGAACATCTAAACGAGATGTAGACCGGCATGTGGAAGGCGAAGAGACGGTGGGCGAAGCGTTGGTGTTGAATAAGAGAACCTTTGCGGTACGCACCTGCAAGCCGGAGATGCACAAGGGCGAAACAAGATGAGTTTGCTGACCGGAAGACGTCATTCAGATTCTGGGTCAAGCCAAGGGGTCGAATGTGTCGTTGTCGAATCTCACCCCCGAGTCCAAAAACAAGTAAGGTCAAAAATGGAGATCTTTCCGGGGAACATACACTCACGACTAGAACGCCCGCACTATCAGCCCTGCTCAGTCTCCCATCCCCGTTTATCATCGTCCAACTCCATCCGCGGACTTCATGGACCTCATCAGCCTTCCCATTTGGGACGAAACCTCGGCGTCTTTTATGTGGAAGAATGTGCTTTGCATCCTCGGTGATATAAATCAAATAGAAAACCAGCAGAGGCATGCTGAGGCCATGAGGTGCTTGGCAAAGATCTGGGGAGTCTTGGAGAAGGTGAGGCCTATGGTGCCGACATCGATCAGGGACCGTCGCCAACCGTTTCAGATGATAGATACGGTTGGCACAGCTGTACGAGAAGGAGAATGGCGGGGATCTGAAGATGCCACCGTTGTTCGAGTTTACGACGTGGTTCTTGAAAGGAGCAGATATGGATGAGTAAGCGCAGTATCCATGCATCTGATAACGAGTTGCTTTCATTTACATGTGACACTCACTCTCATTAAGCGAGTACGCAGACGGCCGCGCAATTGCCTACGGTGCCCTTTGTCGGATAATGTGGCGACGGCACGATCAGCCTTTCTTGGAGGATTACTATCCACATTTCTACCGGCTTCTGACTAAGGTAATGTTGCCATATCCAAGTACAGGTTGTCGGTCGGTCACTGATTCAAGCCTCCCAACGCTGCGGATGCAGGGATTGAGCAGCAGTGACCCACAAGTGATAACTGCCATCCTTTCGAACTCCCGAAAGCTTTTCGTGCTGGGCCTACCAGGAAGCTATATACTTGTCAAGCCTTTCCTTTGCTGCATAAGAAACATGGTATGTTGATCACAGGACATGTTGGCATTCGTGTGTGACACTGACGCCACATCTCTGGTTATGCTCAACAGTCTGGTACTTCATACACACCTGGTATCCTCAATCTCCCCGCTACCGTTCACCAAAACGCAATCACAATCCTTCAGTCCCTCATCTCGGTTCCGAATCATTACACGACCCCAACGCCCACAATCCGTCGGCCGGGAAGCGCCCCACCACACATGCAGTCCTCATCAAGCGCCTCTCCTCGGACCCTTGCGCCATCCCGAATGACGAAGGGAGAGGATTTGCAGGTCGGATCAGATTACTCCATAAATCGCGAACGCCATGGCATCCACAGATCCAGCCCAAAATCGATCGTCACCTCGAGCCTGGGTGTGCTACCACCGCCCTTGTTGACACCGTCACCAGCCAGTCTTGTGGCAGCAGCAAGGACATGTTCTTCGGAGATAAGCGCTCCTACTGCAAGGACCGCCAAGACATTTGCGGCCTCCATGACGCAATTGACCACCCGCGGGAAGTATGAAGATACTGCCAGATCACATCCTATCAGTTTGACCTCCGATGTGGCGGTTCAAGAAACACGGGGTGTCAGCCATCCTGACCTCACACTGGGTTTAACTTCAACGCCACACCGTACTACGGGTGGAACGCTGTTTGGCGTGCCAAGTATCGGTGACGCCGCTGAGCAATTGGAGAGCTATGTTCCGTCGGGGGGCAAAATCATTTCCTCGGAAGAAATGAAACTTGCTATCAAAGACACGCTTGTCTTCCTTTTATCGTCCTCGCCAGAAGATCGGGATATCACATCGCTGCAAATGCTCAACTGGTCTGTCGCGACAATGCTCTTTGACGAGATTGTCAATTCTGCAAACCCCAATAAAGCAGTACTGGATGACTGCTTGAGCGCTTTGTTGCGAAACCTCACGCACCGTGATGTCGCCGTCGTATATGCGGCGAGCGATGGATTGAGCTTGTTAGCCCAGAACCGAGATATTCTGGGAAAACTGGACAAGGTGAGTTACGCATTCACACGAAAGCACGCCCTAGCTCCTCTGTTCTGTAAGAAGGGCCCTTCCCTAAGAGCGCTCCTTTGAGCCATCAATAGCATATGCTGCAATTCGTCTTGGAAACCCTTGTGAACACCACGATGGATTTGCTGCTATTACAGCATGGACATTCCGGTAGTCAAGTGCGAGGTAAGCTCCACTTCGAGCAGCTTGTTGGGGAAACCTGCGATCGATATTCAAGTGTTATTATCCAGCGCTTTGCGTCTCTAGACTCCTGTACTGTCTCCTCGATTGGGTCATGATATTCCCGGACGATGTTCGCGATTACACCAAGCTCGCCGACATGATATTTGATGTCATCGAACAGGCTTTGAACGTTCCTTTGGAAGTCGATATATCAGTATCATCTGTAAGTTTGCAGTCATGAGGTTTCTTGGAATGTTCAGAGCCGCCGCAATGGAAGTTAATAGAGTCTTGGATTTGTAAGCAGGGCGACAGTGAACGAGGTCAACCGGTTCCTTTCAAGCGCGGCGGACGGACGAGTGTGTACGAAGGGAATATCTTTCAGCGTCACTCTTCCGATGGCGGTCGACCTGGGCCGGGCGATAAAGCAGATGCAGTTGCAGCGGCACCACTTAGCGCTGTAACCGGAGGAAAGGGCATGGAGGATGCGGCAGGCAATACAATGATCAAGGTGAGACGCCGTTGTTGTCGTTACTTGGGCTCGCGATGTGCGATATTAAACGGAACCCTTAGGATACAGCAGAAATCGTTCTGACACATATATTGAATCATGTACATAACTTCGCCCCACCATATGGGGCTGCAATGATGGGAAGGTACGACCGATAATCGAACGACACTGCCGTCTGAAGAGCATTTTTTGCTGATTTTAAAAATGTCCCTATCTTCCAGCCAAATCTTAGACCCCAGCCTGCAGGAGGAAGGGAGCCGACGGGAATCGGACAAGTATCTGTATTTCTCGTTTAACCGCACGACGCTGATCACGTTGGTCGAGATACCCGGACGGACGCCCCTAGGTACGTCGGGACATCCCGTGATGGATGCATGTCCTTGTCTAACCCTTCGATTTTGGTGCCTCCTCTGTTACTAGACACACGGGCCCGTCTGATCATTCGGGACATGAGTGGCCGGTACTGCTGGGACTCAAGCTTATTCTACGAGAGCCTGCATAACATGCGGAAACGACTGCATTCGGGCCGGAGCAACGTCTTCAATGACATTTCGAATCGTTTCGCCGCGGATCCGTGTCAATATCGCGGTGTTTCGCAGAGTTTGATCTTTCCGGAAGGGGTGGGATTGGAGAGTCACCCCAGAGAGTTGGAAGCGTGAGTTCATTGACTTACTGAGGATTGTTCAGCCCCTGGACAATCAGATACTGAATGCAAATGATTACAGAGATTCTGTTACATACCACCGAAATGAGGAAGATATGCCCATATTTCGAGCGGACGCCGGCGTCGAGTCTGCCGATATGCTTGACGAACTTCTACAGTTGTAAATGTTGGTGTGTTTCTGCCCCTAGCTGTGATTGTGCGCTTAATTGCCGTTCGATGTTTCAGCATCGGTCAAACCCATACAGACTGCCTCCTTGAACCCGACACACCGCTCAACGTCCCTTCCGATATCCATCCGCCCATGAAAGAAGCGGTTCAGGAAACATCCCGACTGATGCAACGCCAGCTGGATAACGAGGTTGACTGCACCCGGAACTTCCTTTCCAACACATCCTTCCGCAACCGCACATCCAGCATCGACACGAATCTTGCGAGATCCGATAGTGTGAACCAGCTCAGTATACCGTCGAGCGGGGGTGACGGCGCTCTGCGTCGTAGAGCAACTGTCGCCCACGTTCCAGTCGGGATAGGCAACCAATGGGATACTTTGCGGCGGACGCCATCTTCATTCGATACCCTGGAACTTCCACCTACGAAGGACTATCTCCATGTCACACCCTCCACGCATCTCAGAGTCACTCCACCGTTTCAACGGGCTAGGCTGCTGCTGAGCCATTTGGGCTTGATTGACTTTGACAGTCTGAGAGATGGTGAACTGTGCTTATTGGCTGAAACTCCGGCGCTATTCCGGGATGTCAAGGTTCTAGACCGGAAACATGGGTAGGCAGCAATAGTAATCCTCGGAGGTAGGGCAATTTTGCTAACGCACGCTTTCTAGCCGGGAGACCATCAAAGTTGCCGTCATCTATGTTGCCCCGGGGCAAGAGGACGAACATAGCATTTTCAGAAACGAGAGTGGAAGTGTCGAGTATGAAGCATTTGTTTCTAGCTTAGGATGGGATGTGCGTACAGCACTGCTTGTTCCTCGCCGTCCAACGTCAGCCGAACTCAATCATATCTCCTTCCTGACAGGTGGATTTGGGATCCCACCCTGGTTTCGTTGGTGGACTGGAACGGAGCCTCGCCAACGGCAAGACCGCGACGTACTTTTGCACATCCACATACGAGATCCTATTCCACGACGTGACCAAGATGCCCGTCGATCAACACGATGCTAAGCAGTTGAAGAAGGTAGGCCCGTTAAATGAGACTGCTTGGTCTGATCAGGTCCCTGTTCCGATACCTGCTTGCTCACATTCATTACCGGTACAGAAACGACACATTGGCAACGACCAAGTCCACATCGTGTGGAACGAGCACCACCGGGACTACCGCCGCAACACCATCGGCGGTGACTTTGGCAACGCTCAAATAATCGTCACGCCTCGCACGGATGGTCTCTATTCGATCGAGGTGCTTCGAGACGAGAAGGTGCCTTCCTTCGGACCCTTACATAACGTCACCGTGGTCAGTAAGAGCATTCTGGGGCCTCTCGTGAGACAGACGGCTCTAAACGCCTATCGCGCTACGCTGGCGATGGGGGACATGGCGGCTGCGACCACTATGCTTGTCGGAGGCAAACAAGGGGGCAAAGGCGCTGTGGGTGGCACCAGCCATACCGCATCCATATCATCTGCTACCTCAATATCATCCGCCCGCACGGCGCCATCATCACATGCTGTTCCGCTCCAGCCTCGTCATGCTTTCGCCGCTCGGCGCGAGGACATTGTTACCATCGCAGATCGCCACAAGTTGGGCAAATGGACATTTGAGAAGTTTATAGAGGCCGTATTTGCCACTGCGCCAGAGTTTAGCACCGGCCAGCAACGCCAAGAGTGCGTGTCCTCCTATGATTTCAATGAGAGTCCATCTCTCGGCAGTGGGGAGAGTAGCACCTCAGGGGCAAATGAGAGGAGCGGGCCAACAACATTGACGAGGATCGTGTCGGGATTGGTAGCATGAGATACCTCTGGACAGAGTTGCAGTTTCTGTTCATATGTACATTACGAAATCAAGTTGAATCGCAGGAAAGCCAGAGCGATTTCTTGTTCAATAAATGAAAATAAGTACAAGGCTAGTGGTATCTACAAATACAAAGCGTAACCCCTGTTACGCAAGTCACTCACTACGCCTGGGGTAAGGAGGGGAAAGAATACAATACAAGAAGCTGGAAAGCGAGACAGGTGGCCGACCCTAGGGGTTCCAGCGAAAACCACCCTATGTCGATGGAGGAACGTCCATGAGATTGGTTGAAAGGCTATCTGGAAAGAATGCGATACGTGAGGACCCGTGCTGGTCAACCGGGCACTGTTGACCATCGGAATCCTCGACCAAAGCATACATCGTTCATTCCTCGTCCATCACGACGTCCGCATCATCTTCATCGTCCTCCTCGAGGCCAGCCATGGTCTCATCTTGAGGGAGGTTGGCGAAGTCGATCTTCACGCCGCGGGTCCTTGAGTTTATGATGTTCGAGGCGTCGATTTCGACCAGGTCGTTCTCCTCTACAATCACGAAAGAAGAACATGATGAGCAAGATGATTCGACATGGGGCGAGGCGACTCCGTTAAACGTTCGTGAAGATGCGGAATACTTACCCATCTCAAGCTCAGCCTCATCGTCCTCTCCTTCGTCCATCTTCTCGTCATCCTCTTCGCTTTCGGCCTCGATGATGTCCTCTTCCACGGGGACGGGGAGGACTAAATAGTGGCGAAGAATGTAGTTTCGGTCAGCGCTACGATCCGATGGCTGTGCGACGTGGGCACTACAAGTGGGTTAGACTTACCGGCAGTGGTCTCGGTCGTCATGACGGTTGTCTTGAGGAACTCGCCTTCCTTGGTGCTAAAATAAAGTAAGGAAGTGAGCACTGAGCACTAAAAGATCCAAACTGGCGAAGCAGGCGTGTGATCTTCGCCATGGTTTCCCGTGGACGAAGGATCTTGGAAAAAGCGGAAACTTACGTCTGCTGAACCGTCTCGATGGCAACAACGGTAGCTTCTTCAGTGGTAGCGAGCATTTTGAGTGAGACTAAGTTTATAGGTGGGTTGAGTGAAGGGGAGTAGATTTGCAGTGGAGTTGGAAAGCGTGGGAAAAGAGCGTGGGAAAAAGAGGGAAGAGAGGGAAGGTGGCGAAGACGAGGGAGTCCGAGACACGTTGTCCGGACGGAAATAAACAATGCGGATTGATCACGTGCAGTCCTGTCTCATTTTAACCTCGAATGTGATACGGCGCCAACCTCCGTCAGTCGATTCCAACTTCCTTCAGAATCCCAGCAGCGCATCTGCAATTTGGGGCGCGAGAATAGGGACAAGCAACAGACCCGCCACACCTGAAGCACCCATTGCTGTCGACTCGCGTAAAACCACCCAACCCCATCCTTCCCTCCATCCTGCCCTCCATCACTCGCCAACGTCTACCATGTCGGGTGCACCAATAATCGTCACCTTCTTTCTTGTCCTCATCGCGGGCGCGGCAGCCTTCTACTACGTGCCAAAAAGCCAAGACCAAATGTAAGCTCGTCGTCTTGTCAGTCTGTAGTGGTCATTACCGTTCACACGCGCTCATGCATTTTCCCCTCTGTAGTTTATACCGAACGATGCTCGTCATAACGCTGACATGCACTTGGACAATGTACGTGGGAGTTTTCATATGTTACTGCAGTATCCAAATCTGCTCATCATTGTGTACTCATCCTTACCTCGCATCCTTCAGGTGGGCCATAACATATCTAGCGCAACTCAACCCGCTGATAGCACCGGAGCGAGCGTTCGGGCACAAATAAGCGATTCTCCGAATAATATGTATGCAATGTCCCCGCTCATGGGATTTGGCCGATATCTTGTATCCGTAATATCATGAGTATCCGTCTTTTGGAGGCACAGCGGCATGACGGTCACTTTGTGGCAATAAGTTATGGGATTTTTCATCCGGCATGCGGCGCACAGACGGATTCGAGCGATCTCTAGGTTTCTGGAGCTTCTGCTTTCGGCGCGCCAGGGGTTTTCCGAGGTAGAGGGTCTGATTTGGAGGGACATACGTGCCGGACTCTCACAGTCGTGGACTTGGTATTGGGCTGGTGACGATTGGATATGTGGGAGTAACGAGGAGGGAGAAGGCGGGTTTTCCCACGTCGCATCGAGGCCGGCTCAAGTATCCTTTTATGCTGTGGATATCGTGGAAACAATGCTCATGAGGAAAGGATATATTCTACAATGTAGTCTATTCTACCATCAAGCCACTCGGTTTCCACATATCCCTACGCCCGTTTCCAAAACTATGAATGGCTTCCCATTTGCTTGATGCTTTTCCCTCCACAAGCGCGTCCTCCTCAGCCCGACACCCCGACTGGTGGTAGGCTCGGCATTTTCGGGCTGCTTGCCCTACATACGATATTGAATTTGGCGTGCTGCGAGGCGGTACCTGCACAGGCTCTTCGTTTGCATCTTCAGTTCCATCCGGATTGCCGTCGACTTGCTACAAACCCGGTGTTGGACTTGCCGTGCTGCTTCGAGTCGAGTCTATAGCCTCTTCTCTTCTTTCACGTCCTGAACAGAATCCGTCCCATCTACAGCCTGTTCCTCCACATCCTGCGCCGGAACCGTCTCTATATCTGCAGTAGCGATGGATCGCTGCCAAGTACTTCCGCAGTTTCCACAGTAGGCGGTTCCTGCACACCCCCTTCCTTCGAGGCTTCGGTCGGATCGGAAGCGCTCTCTGTTTTCTCTAAATCCGGTTTCGGGCTCGAACCTCTGACATCCTCTTCCGCATCATGGACAGATTCCGTACCACCCGTAGCCTCCGCAGCGTTCTCCAGGTCTTGGGCCGGAGCCGTCTCCGGATCCGTTGTAGCGATTGGATCCGAAGTCCCTTCTTCTGAACCCTGAACGGAATCGGGAGTGCTGCTAACCGCGCTAGCGTCCTTTCCTTCACCGTCCATCTTCGCACTCTCCCCATCTCCGACGACAAACAGCGGATCCTTCACCTCACTAGGCACATCAACCTCCTCATAGAATTGCACAGTCTGGGGAGTAAACACATACGTCTGCGCAAACTCCTCCGCGGCCTTTGTGTCGTCCATCTTGTCGAACGCGAGAGCGATTGACTCGAGCATCATCGGGCTAGGAATGTAGACGCCCGCGGACGGGGTGGACACATGCCTGTACACGTCCAGCGCCTTTTGCGGCTCGCCCAGCGTCGCGAAGGCTTTGGCGAGGTAATCCCATGGGTCGGTCTTGAATACATGCGTCGCAGCGGATGGCATGCTTATGGAACTGCTGTTGTCCCACTTTTCGGAGTCGCGTAGCATGTCCTTGTGAACCTCCTCTAATCTTAGTAGAGCCTCTGGAATCAAAGCCTTTCGACTGGCTTCCTCCGCGACAGTCTCCGGTATCGCGGCGCACGCCTGTATTAGGATAGCGTATGTTTCCGGGGGAGTCGGCAGTAGCCTTTCAGGGAACTTCCCGACATTCTGGTGATAATGTCGGAGTACCGCGTAAGGTTTGGTGAGGTTCAACCAACACCTGAGCAGGGCCGCGAGGATATCCTTGTCCATGGGAACTCTAGCTTTTCGTAATTGATATGATAACCGATTGATGTGCCGTTCGTCTGGTTGTACCGAATGTGCGTCGAGCACTGCTGCGAAGGTCTGCGGGCGCCATGTTATGGTGTCGCTCATTCTCAACTTTTGCAGAACTTTGTTAAGAGATTCCGGAGCATTGAGGTGATGTGGGCCAAAGCCCTTCAACAAGAACTCGTAGGTTGCGACATTTGGCTGGGCTTGCGTGGATGCTTGAATGGCTGAAAAGAGACCCCACAAGGTACGCTTGTTGATGGCGGGGAGTGAAGTGCCTGGTACACCGCCGGATTTCAAGAGTTGATCCAAAATCACGTTGAAAGCAAACACAGGTAGCTGCTTTCTGTTCGCTGACTTCAGCTTATCGTAGAGAGGAATAGCAGCAGCTGGGTCATCTTTCAGGGCCAGAATATGCAATGCATTCGTTTGTGCCGTCGGAGTCAGTTCAAGGTCCTTCATGTCGCCGAGCAATTGCCCGACAAACTCCAGAGCAGAAGGCGAGAATGGAGCACCGCCAATTAAGGTATCAGCTGCAGCAGGGTTGACGAGATGCGAGAGCAGGTGATTATAATGCAAAACACTCAAGACCAGGCGCGACGCCGGAACGGCCAACAATGCCTTGTACAGAGTTTCGACCCAGGGAACCGGAAGAAGATGCCCTTCTTGCCAGGAGGCGAGTAGAGAAAGAAGATCATGTAGCGGCACGAGAGACGGATCACTCTGTAGCGAAGTGAGGGTGGCTTTGTATGTACTGTTGTCGAGAAAATCCGACGAAGGGGCGAGCAATTCACCTCCCACATCTCTCACATCGGAGTTCGACCGAGCAATCGACGAGGAAGAGAAGCAAGAGGAATTCAGAGGTCGGCTTCGTGTACATATTGCTTTCCAAGGAACGCTCCTCCGGTCCTTGATGTGATTATGGTGACCAGAACGACTCACAGCCGTTCTCGAAAATGGCTGTATGCAGACCGCTGCCTTCGACCTCGCTTCTTTTGAAACCAAGTGTGAACCCCGGCAGATCAAGTTCCGCACCGAGCACATTGTATGTGAACCCACTTAGTCGATTCGCACGACAGCTTCTTTGTCGAGTAGATAGCTTCTACTCGCACGTTCCCAGGTTTCTATCCTTCGTCTGCCAGCGTGCACAAGGGTGTCCTGTGTCGCTTCGTTGGCGTCGTGTGTTTCCAGCCCAAATTCACCCAGTGCGACTTGATGCAGTTATTCCCGCACGAGGGAATTTGCGAGTCCGAGTGGGAGAACACGAAGAGGCGGAATCGCACGTGTTCTCGCATCAACGCTCGCATCAAGGCTGCATCAACGCTCCACTCCTGCGTCATCGGGCCTGTCATCGCAAGTTCGGCCGTTTATGGCCTGCATTCGACTGAGAACGACCGGCATTGAAAGCCACATCACTATATAAACCCACTGCACCTCTCTAATACTTTACTTAACCTTTGAAGCCCCTGCAAGAACCATACCACACCTTAACTCACCATGGCGGACTCCCTGAGTGTCCCCGACATTGACCACCCGGTTAACGGTACCGTCAGCGATGCTGCCCAACAGAAGCCGGCTCTTGCTCCCTGGAAGCCGACAGACCCAAGCGACCCTCGCTTGCAAGTCGTAAACGAGAACCAGGAGTTCACGTAAGGGCTCTTCGCGTGGTCTTCCCCATAGCTGCCTGGATTCCACGGCGCTCACCTGTCTCCTGCGTTTCCCACCGTAGATCGGACCTATTGAAGTACATGAGGGACAAGTGGGACATCACCAAACGCGGATTCGACTATAACGTTGTAGCAGTCTTTGGGTCTCAGAGCACGGGAAAAAGTGAGACGCAGGACGTCGCTTCGAAACGTTTTCAAAGCCGCCATATTGACCTCTTCCCGCCACCTTTGATAGGCACACTTCTTAACAGGCTGTTCGGTACGAACTTTGACGTTATGAACGAGGTTTCTCGTCAGCAAACGACAAAAGGCATATGGGTCAGCAAAGCAGACGCAACGAACTTGTTGGTTATGGATGTTGAGGGAACGGATGGTCGTGAGCGTGGGGAAGACCAGGACTTTGAGAGGAAGAGCGCGTTGTTCTCCATCGCAATTGCCGAGGTTTTGATAGTCAACATGTGGGAAAACCAAGTCGGTCTATACAATGGAGCAAATATGGGACTCTTGAAAACCGTGTTTGAAGTCAACCTTCAGCTCTTCCAGCAGAAAGGGTACGTGCGCGTAGCATGTTGTTCCGCGAGTCGACCCTGCGCTGACCCTCCCATCCTGCCTTGCTGTACGCAGATCCCCAAAGACGTGTCTCTTTTTTGTTATCCGTGATTTCACTGGCGTCACACCCATCTCCAACCTTCAGACCAGCTTGATGAAGGATCTGGAGAGGATCTGGGCGGGCTTGATCAAGGTTGGTGTATATGTGACCATTGATGAAAAGTGGTGCCCAGGTTAATGAAACCAAACCTCTCTACAGCCTGCAGGGAAGGAAGATTCGCTGATTAGCGACTTCTTCGACTTCAACTTTGCGGGTTTACCGCACAAGATCTTTGCCGGTGAAAAGTTCGAAGTGGAAGCCAAAACTCTCAAATCGCGCTTCTACGACAAGGAAAACCCTACCTACGTTTTCCAGCCCAACTTCCATAAGCACATCCCTGCCGATGGGTTTCCTCAGTTCGCTGAAGCAATCTGGGAAAAGATCGTGACCAACCGCGACTTGGACCTTCCCACCCAGCAGCAGTTGCTAGCGCAATATCGCTGTGACGAGATCTCGCGTACGGCTTACGAGGAATTCCACACCCAGGTCAAAGGCTACCGCTCGCACCTAGAGAGCGGGAAAGTTCTTGAGGACCTCGGAAAGGAGGTCGTCCAGCATTACAACGCTGCGTTGGTCGCCTTCGACACAGACGGGAGCCGATACAACAAGGAAGTATACCAAAAGAAGAGGGGGGAACTCAAGGAGAAGATGGCGAGCGCTTTGCATGTATACTATGTGCAGCAGCTACGAAACCTTCATCAAAAAGCCATCGTACTCTTCAAAGACCGCCTATCCGAGAAGATGCGGGGGGACGACAGCAATTTCGCCCGCAAGCTGCGCGAGTCCCGGGAGGAAGCCGAGAACTACTACAACCGCATTGCGGAGGCAACAAAGCTGGAAGATGGCAACTGGAGTAGCGAGGAGTATTTCTCGCAGTTCGAACGGGATATCAGTCAAATTGCTTCCGAGAAGCGCGCCGAGGCGATGGCCCGTGTGGTCAAGAACCTCGATCGCTCTTTGCAGCAGGACATGGTTGAGCCGGTACAGGTTGTCCTCAATGATGGGCCGGCCGATGTGTGGAAGCAGATCTTTACCATCTTCAAATCGACATTGGTGGACGCCGACGCGACCCTTCGCAAACAGTTGGCCGGTTTCGACTCTTCCGAAGACGAGATCTCCACCTCCGTTCGTGAGATGAAGTATCAGGCTTGGGAGCTTCTGGGCAAAACCATCCACGACGAGTTTGAGGACGTGAAAGTTCTCGAGAGGTTGAGGCAACGGTTCTTGAACAAGTTCCGATACGACGAGACGGGGATTCCACGGGTCTGGCAGGCTGGCGATGATATCGATGGTCCGTTTGCGGAAGCTAGAGATGACGCCGATCAGCTGTGTGTGCTGTATTCGAAGATTGATGTTCCGCACGCCGAGCTGGATAAGGCCATCACAGAGGATGAGGTGGGTTTCAATCGTTCACCTAAACGTCATTGACAGCCCTCGTTCTTACCTTTTTGTATCTGCAGCGTTTCGAACCGTCTTCGTTCGTGGTGCTGTCACCGGCGAAGGTGCAAAGTCTACGGGATCGTTTCCGGAAGGAAGCCGATCTGTTGTTTGTGGAAGCAAAGCGTTCTATCGTCCAATCGCAGGTTGGACCAAGCAAGATCTTCTACCTTGCGACTTTAGCTTTGGGATGGAACGAGCTGTGGATGGTTTTGACCAACCCACTTCTCACGGTATTCACCGTCATGCTCTTGGGTGGTGAGTTCACAAGATTTATTGTCATGTGGTCTTTTCGCGGAAATCTTCCTGACTGTGAATCTTTGCAACAGTTGCCTACACCTTGTGGCGATCGGGACTCGCCGGTCCCCTAATCCAAGCTGCACGACACGCAGCTCACCAAGTGACACAGAACGCTGGAGACAACCCCAACATCGCCAATATTCTCAACCAAGCTCGTCCCTTCGTCAACAAGAACCTTACCAACCTTCAAGGCGGCCGGTCGGCTTCACAACCATCGTTATCGTCGCAGGGCCAGAGGAGGAGATGGAGGAATGATGAAGCTGACTCGGACTCGGACAGTGTTGAGCTGCAGCAACAGACAAGTCGGAGCACGTCGGAACTGTCTGGGAGGAGGAGCAACCTCAGGGATGACTAGATTGCGTTTTGCGCTCGATTACAATCTGCCACCTACCTCAGACATTCAAGAGACGCTCGGATTCCCTTGGAGGTCGTGGTCTCTGCAGATTCACGCCAACAGGGTCCAAGCCTTTCGTCGTCTTCCCCTCAGGCTTGTCTAGCCTGGTCCCACTCATACTTGCATTTTGCTCCCCCCTTAAATATGCTCTCTTTTGCGTCTTTGTGGCATAGCTCTGCCTGCGCTTGTGTACAGTACTGTGAATGACACATTTTCTCCTGTATATCTATGGTATTGTGTGTTTGCGGGTGTGGAGTTGCACCTCCTGCACCGAGTTGCGATGAGGTCATTTCGAAACCTCACGCGTCGTGAAGGGAATCCTGAACTTGTTTGTTGTGCAATTTGTCTTTTGCGAACATCTCCAGTCTGTCCGTTTGACCTTTGCAGCTTAGAACCTAGTTCTCCGCAGTTTCATCCAGTCCTTACGAGGCTCTTACTCAGTAATAGCTTCAAGTGCAGCATCCACTGGCATTCTGGTCTTTCCCTGGTTGTCACCCACAAGCGAAGAAGGCTACGTGACATTGCCGCAATTCCACCAACAAACAACCAACCCAATATGAGCTCAGTTCCAATCACCAGTGGAGAGAAACACGTCAGCGACGGCTTCGTCTCCACCCTCCTCGGTCCATCGTGCACCTCCCTAAACGACCCGGGCTGCCAGCTCCTCTTCCTTTCCAAAGTCATCGGCCTCGGCATCCTCGTCCTCGGCTCCGTCCTCAAACTCCCATCGGTCTTCCCCGTCCTGCGAACCCAATCCACGCGCGGGCTGCCCATCCTGGCCCTCCTCCTCGAAACGTTCGGGTTCACGGTCGGGATCGCGTCCAATATCCGCCAGGCGAACCCGTTCACGACGTGGGGCGAGGCGCCGTGTTTGCTTGCTGCCAACCTTGTCATGTTGCTGGTGCACTGGAAGAACCAGATGTTTAGGGTTATTGTGGGCGGGGCGCTCTACGCGTGGCTGTTCCGCAATCTGCTCTCGAGTGATAGAACCTCTGAGGCGACGATGCAGACGCTGTTGAGTGCGACGGTGCCGGCGTTCATGGGCGGGACGGTGCTGCAGATTCTTGCCAATTTTCGGGAGAAGCACATTGGGGCCATCTCTCCTGCTACGCTCACGATGGGGTTGATGTGTGGGCTGGGGCGGATGTTGACGACATTTGTGGAGGTGGAGGACCCTGTGATGAGACTGAGTAGCGCGCTGGGGACCTTCTTGGGGTTCGTGATGTGGGCGCAGATGATTGCTTACAGGGAAGGAACTCGCAAGTTCTTGTCGCAGGGTGCAAAGGCCCATTAGACCGGCTCGGCTGCTCCATAGTCGTGATTTATCTACTCGCATTACATCTCTATACGCACAGACATGTTTCCACTCCGTCAATATCATACCCTTCACGTTCAGATCATATGATGGACGGCCGGAATCCCGCCTTCACACGTTACCGCCATTTCCCCCATTTCCAGGTAGCAGAACTGAAAACACATATGATTTCCGTAAATGATGAACGCCTACATATAACTGAACTAAAGAAGCCTATTTACAATTCGGAGCATCAGCGAGCGCAAAGCTACAAATCCGCTCCCTCAATGCGTACGCCTTGGAGGCCCGCCACCACTCGCCCGCCTCCCTATTCCTGCACCCGATGCTTCATCTCCATGTATCGCCCCGCTGAACCCAAGCCCTGTGGGGTCAACGTTCAGTGACCCGGGCAAGTAAAGCTCAGTTGATGTCGGCTGCGCAAACATCGGGTGCATCTGTTGCGCCTGCTGCTGCTGTTGTTGTTGTGATGGCATGGTTCGATGGATATTCGACCCCGAAGTCGAGGAGCTTGCGGACGGTCTGCGTTCCCGTACTTGTTCGGGTGCATAATGCAACGGGTACTGAGTCTGCATATACATCGGCATGCCTCCCATTCCCATTGGCATTCCAGAACCTACTCCCGACGGTGTAGACATCATCGGCGCCGTCATGGGTAATGCCATGGGCATTGACATTGGCATTCGAATATCCATGGATAGGTTCATGCTCGTGGGTATTGGTGGCAGTGAGCCGGCCATGGCCATGGAGAAGCTAGGTAATGACGACGGCTGTTGAAGCGAGGCATTTGAAAAGTGCCTGAGGGAATCGGTCCCAGGTGTGAGGTTGGAACCGTAACCGGTTGCGACCGACTGCTGGGATTTCTTTCGCGTCGACGGTTCACCCATTGGCGCAGTATACCGCGATGACCCCGTAGACCGGCCGGTTCCACTTTGGCTTGCGTTATGAGATGAATTCAGCATGGAAATACCGTCGCCGGATGTCGATAAAGTGGGTGCGAAATCATTGAGGAAGTCCGTATACGATGATTGATAGACGTTTGCAAAATCATTATGGGCTTCCGCGGCGGGAGCCATTGGATACGGCTGTCGCGATGTGAAACCCGCGTATTGCAACTGCGTCGGTTGCGAGAGTGGTACGCCTCCGTCAGCGCGTCCCTTTCCGAATCCGGAAGGTTTCGAAAGTATGGGAGCTGTTGAGACGGTGTGTCCATACACCAAGTGCGTACTTGCATTCGCGTCGATGATGTCCATGTCGGCGTGGGTGGTATAGCCCCGAGAGTCAGAACTGCCCCTTCTAGACGCACTTTGCGAGGTGAATTGAGATCCTGATGAAGGACCTGTGACTGCTGCTGAGACATTTGTGGAAGTCCCCGCTATCATAGGCACCAAACCCGCGCCATTTGATACTCGATCTACACCCTGAATCTTCGAAGGGATCGGCGGGATATCTTCAGCGAGGTACTTTTCGGAAGCGGGTGAAGGCTTCCTAGTGGGCGCCGGGGTTATCAATGCCGCGGTTATCGATGACGAAAGCGAAGCGGCGGAAGAACGCGGCGTCGTTTCTGAGTGTGATGGTTGCAACTGCGTATGGGCGGAATTTGTTTGCAGAGCGTGTGATACACCGATTGGTGGCGCAACTGCAGATGGTGGATTTGGTTTCTGCGTCTCGGATGGGGCTGACTGGGCAGCGGGTGTTCGGCTAAGTCCCATCGATGTTGCAATCGTAGTCCCGGATGGGAGAGGGTCAGGAGCTGCTTGTTCAGAAACATTGGCTACAGACCCTGGGCGCGCCTGAGACTGCGGACTTGCATTTTCTGATGCAGTAGAATCTTTCGGTTTCGGAATTTCAGGGGTCGAACCATCCGCTGTCCGTGACACATGAGCCGAGGACAATGACCGCCGCCGACCAGATTCTCCGAAACCATATGCCTGTGATGCAGCTGGCCCAGCCAACGATGGTGACGTAAAGCTGCTGCTGATATTCGACGAGGCAGTGTTTTGCCTCTTCCGCTGCCTTGCCTGGGCTTCATCCTCCATGCGTCGGACTGTATCCGAAATAGCTGCCAGCTCATCTAGCGGATTGGGATCCCGCGCGATTGTGGTGTTGGAGGTGTTTGTGGAGGACACCATTGAAGATGACCGAGTGCGTGACGAAGGGTTATAATGTGTCGACGGGGGATGTTGAGAAGAGGGAATCATTGTGCCAGATATCCTTCGCTTCATACCGCCATTGCCGTGTATATGTGGCCGAGCCATTGTCGGTGAATCGACAGTCGCCACCGACATTGACGGAGGTGCACCACCCGTAGTGTGACGGATTCCACGCCCAGATGATGCCGAGCTTGCGGACAGGGGGGGCTTATTAAATTGTTCCATCCCTGGCAGGAAGGGTAACAAGGATGCCACGCTGCCCCCGCTCGCCACTACAGCCGCTCCCAGAGCAGCCGCCAGTTGCTCGAAAGTCAGGTTTCCGAAATCGATCTGACCAAGACCGGATGCACCATTTCCCAGTCCACTTTTCGCATCCTGCACAAGGTTCGAGTGATCGAAGAACTTATGGTCGTATTCGAAAAGCTTCGCATCGGTAGCGGTGAGGTCGTCCGACAACCTTTCACTTGTGTCATGCGGTAGTGACTCTACCCCACGAGATCTGTTGGCAATAGATTCCAGCGCCTTCGCCGCTGCTATCTCCTCATCCTCCACTACAACCGGTATGTCTTCCTCGTCCACGTCACCCAAAACGGACTCCTTCGCTCGTAAGAGAACAGTATGACACAAACTCGACAGGACATCCAATTTCGACATGTTTCGAAGTGCCTCCAGGCTGCTATCAATATTCTCGGAAGGCTCCTCATGCTGTTCGTATTTCTCCCTTTTTGTTGTTCCTATCCGTTGTCGTTCTTTCCGTTGAGAGTCCGCACACGTCGACTCGAGACCAAACTTGATACATCGCCCGCATGGTCGGCCGTTATCGCACTTTTTGCAAGCCTTTTGGCAGTTCACTGTTGGAGGAATGTTCTTTAGCTCTTGCCTAGGCGTGAGAATTTTCCCCACACGGCAGGACATTTACCACAAGCACGTTTGACCTGGGTTCGTTTCCTCGGTTCCTCTTCTTTTGCTGTCCGGTGGTGGGGGGCATATTCATGTGCCGAGAAACTATTATTGCGACGGTTTTCCCTTTCCGTATCGAACAGCATGGGGTTGGTGTTATCGGGTGACAGTGCAGGAGTTGGCAGTCCGTCGTCGTGGGTGACTCCTTCCATCGAGCGGACTTGCGAGTCAGTTCCCGAAGGAGGGGCCAAACGAGTGTTCTGTACTCTCGACTCTTTCAGTGAAGCGCTAGAGTTTGTGACTTCAGCCATAGTGGTCCTGGAGGCTGGTGGGAAAGAGTCGGACTGCTTCCGAGTCTGTTCCGTTGCTGCCTGAGCCTTTGCAGATAGGGGAAAGGGGGGGGAAGTTACATATGCACACGCAAGCCCACTTTGAATTCAGCAGCAAACGCGCCTCCTGTCAATTTCACACCGGTTGACGCAGTTCAGCAGTTTGGCGGCGGGACGTGAACGAAACGAGCTTCACACGGTACACCCCTGGGAAGTGCAGTAGGCGCAATCCTCTCGGCAAACGGAATGAACCACTCAACTCCAGAATGGACGTCACGCGCAGAGAATCCTTGGGGAGCACTGGCCAAGCCGGCGTTCACCTATAAGGATACCGAAACTTACATCGCGATCACTGTCTTCGTCCTTGTCTGGCTGCTGGTCGCTCGGAAATGGACTTTGTTTCCTGTAGGGAGGACGGCTGCCTCCCTGCTAGGCGCGGCCGTGCTAGTGCTCACAGGAGTGTTGAAGGTGCGAAGTCACACACGGCGTAGGCTGTCGGGTTTCTCCTTTGTCTACTAGAAGAACAAACTTAACCCCTTTCCGCTCCCGTTCAGCCACAAGAAGCTTATTCATATGTGTCCGGAAACACCCTCCTGCTACTTACGGGGCTAATGATTATATTGGCTAAGCTGGAAGAGAAGGTAAGTGGAAGCTTCTCAAACGCTCGTTGTTTTGAGACGTTTTTCTCAAGCAGATCTTCATGCAGGGGGCGATGACGTTCTTGATGCGCCTGCTCTTGTGGAATAACCCCTCACCCGTAATGCTCCTTATCCGAGTGTCTCTCCTGTCTACCTTTTTGGGTGCCACAATCATGAACGATGGCTCTGCCATCCTGCTCTCACCTCTTATCACAACCATTTGCGAACACGGCGGGCTTCCGATAGAGGGATTCGCGATGGCGATTGCCACATCGTCGAACCTGGGGTCTGCCGCCACCATCATCGGAAATCCCAAAAACATGATTGTGCATGATGCAATGCCAGACATCGACTTTTGGACCTTTTTCAAGCGCATGGGAGCTGTCGGTATCGTGACGGCCTTGACGAATACGTTCTTGCTTGTCATGTTCTACAAAAGTACAATGAAAGGAAAGAAAATGAAGCCGTTAGCGATGCTGTTGAATGGATCTCGGAATACTGGCGGCGACGATGATGAAGACCAAAGCGCGTTATTTGGAGATGGGGACGACGCGACGACTGTGTCGGGCACAGATGCACGAAGCTCAGACGTGAGTGACGACGAGGGCCAGGCGCTTCTGGACGAAGACGGGGATGAGGAGGATGAGGACGTGGAAACGCTGTTGAAAAAACCGCTACTCTCCGCTGCGCAACGTTCAATCGGAGAGCCAGATGATGCGATCGTAGTCGATATACCGAGACATGTGTTTGCAAAGGGAGAAAATCGCATCGGCAGACTGTCAGCGGAAGAGGAGCGTCTGAGGCATCGCAGATCCCGCCCTAAAAGCATCGAGCAACATACCAATGGAGTTATCGACGGACCGTTGCCGTGGCTTGTCCCGCCGGTGTCACCGGAATTCCCGACGCCGATGCATGCTACACCCGCGGTAACTTCTGCCTTTTCTCTAATCGGAGTTTATCGTCTCCGTAATTTACTCACCTGTTCTTGTCACATAGTATGTCTTCAAGCACCGTAAGCCGCTCAATCTGATTGATATTGTTGAGAGCTTACCGCCAGCCTCGCCATACCCAACAACACTACCCACTCTCCTCCGATTCAAGCTCGGGCTCTTCCTCGCCAGGGTGTCATGGGACGGGGTCTCAACCGGCCTGTACATCGCCGTACTATTTGGCATGTACATGCTCTTCTTCCTCCATTTCAGCCTAGGGTTCAGCTGCCTCGCCGGCGCTATGGCCCTGTTGGCGATCGACTCGACGATGGCCCGTATCAGCAGCAAATACAAAGTCTCGTCAACTAGCGAGCTCGCCACACCTGGCGCCGTGCTGAAACCCAAGCTGGCCGTCGATCCCACGTCGATCATATCGCAGGCGGTGAATTGGGGCCTCATTTGTTACCTCTTTGGGATATTCATCATTCTGGGAGGGATCCAGAAGACGCCGCTTCCGAATACGTTGTTCTCTTTCTTCGCGCCGTTGTTTTCGCATTCGGACGGATCGCCGCCACCGTCGCTTGCCTTTACGACAATAGTGTTTGCAGTCCTTTGCATCATCGTTTGCCTAATCTTCACTTCCATTCCTTCCGTGCTCCTCCTCGGACCCCATATCCACACCATCGCCAGGCACAACCCTCAGTTCGACAGCATCGGATGGTTCGTGCTTGCCTGGTGCGTCACAGCGTGTGGATGTCTGTTACCATTCGGGAGTGTCTCGGGCTTGATTGTCGCTGAGGTGTGCAGATCTGACGGGGACGAGAAAGCCACGAAAAAGGGAGACCGGTATATCGGGCGTATTGGGGTGTGGATGGAGTATTGCGCGTGGGCGGTCGTAGCGCTTACTGCCTTGGGTTTGGGAGTCTTGTTGCTTACGAGTCAGTGAGAAGCCTTTGTACATATCGTATCATAAGTAGCATCGCATCATCCTACACGGGTGGGTCTGTGTATATAGAAATCCTGCCTCACCAATCGGTCAGCGTATGCACATGGCATAGTAGATTACATTCCTTCCTTGGCGGGAGCCTCATTCAGGGGGCCCTTGATGATGCAAGAGTGCAAGTTCCTCGACTTCTTCATTTATGTCGCCAATCGACTGTGGAACGACACTAAACAAGGAATTGTGTGATCTTATGAAATGTGATTTCTTACAACAAAATGTAGAAATCCGTCAGGATATGAGCAATTCCTGCTAAGCCATAAGATCGGGGTATCAAGCGGGATCACGATCCCATGCAGTATTGCCGCTGGCTTCCGTTCTGCAGAGGGCGCAAAGCCACCTTCTGCGGCATCCTCCGGACCGCCGCCAAAGACATCCGGTATCAGGCGTCCCAGCACGTCATGTAGCGAGTACTCTTTGTCTGATAAGCAAGGCAGTTGAGTGCAGATTCTGTACCACTGAACTGCACCTTTGTACATGACTCACCAAGGTTATCATCCACAGAAGGCACAGGTTCCTGTATCACGGCTCGACCCAGTATATGAATGCGTAACGGTATGTACTTCGGTATACTATTCTCTTGAGTTACCAACTGCGAGTTGACGTCCCAAAATGCATTGTAGTTGTGTGATACGAGCGCGTCCCATAGTTGTGTCTGATCGTTCTTGGATAGCCCCATCACTCGCTTTATGGTTCCATTGCGAAGGTAGTCGGCCTGCAAGACTAATCAGCTGAATGTTGCCAAACGCGCAACCATGCGCGCCATGATTGGGAAAAGGCGCTGCTCCATGCTCACCTCCTTTACAAGTGACATGAAAGAGTCCCGTGCTGTTTCCAAGTGTTGCTTTGGCTGCATGCGAATGAGTTCAACGGTGGGAAAGTTGGAAAAGTGGACTGTGATATACCACGGCAATGGGACAGCGCCAGCGCCATTTGTTTCCGTGCCGAGATGATAATCACAAAGTAGTCCGACCGGGTGATGCCTACACGGGGGCCTCATTCGTAAGCGTCCATCCGAGGTACGTCGGTTTCGAGATGAGCTGCAGAAGCTCGGCAACCATCACACCTACCATTTCAGCGGCGTGCCTTTGTAGGAGTACCATATCTCCGCATCATCATGTTGTGCAATCAGTAGTCGAGCATTCCTCGCGAAGAATTGCCGAACAGTAGATGAAATTAGCGAGAGATAGCTGCAACGGTGCAACAGAAGCTTTATTGGACAAAAGGCGAAAGATCAGTCACGGGAAGAGAGCGCCAAACAGCACTCGAACCCCTAGTTGAAAAATAGTGCTCACATAATGACTGATGGATGGATTCGCAGAGCCCTGTCCGCCGAGAGAAGGTATTTCGTCTGGAGACAACGATATTTGCAGAGGTATTTGCGCTTCCCATATCCTATGAGTGACTGCTGTGTCCACTGCTGTTTCGTGATGTAGCTTCTCCATTCGAGACAAGGTTGATGTTTCGGCTGAGGAGGAGGAGTCTATCTCGTAATCTGTTCGCAGACGGGGCTTCCTAGTCTTCTTTCGTGATATCCCCTTATGTGATGGAGGTTTCGTTCTACGGAAGTGTTGAGCCCGGTTTCCAAGATGGCCGAGATCTCCCCAATTCACGAAAGTCCTGACGAGCCAGTGACCAGAGCCTAAAGACCCTTCAAAGACGTAGCAGTGAACCTCGTCTTTCTCTTCGGCGTGGGAGCTCTGCTATGGCTTCGATGTGCAAGTGTCTGGGTTGACTTTGGCGTTGGACGATGGAGACTGGAGAGCAGGTTGAAGACGACAGCAGGAAAGAGCTGGTGATGTGTCACAGCGCTCAATTGCCAAAACTCCCTCGTCACCGCTCAGCTCCACCGATACCCGAATTTGACTTTCGAGGAAGTGACGGAAACAACATACAATAGGACCTTAGTGTAGAAGGCACTTGCCGCTAGAACAGGAAGTGCCGACGGGGTAATATGTCGCTGTTCGACCAGTTTGAGAATGAAAGCACACAGCCGTCGCAATTCGCGGCAACAGCTCGACGGCAGTCGACAAACCCTCCTGCCCAACCCCTGATTGTGAGTTTATCTTACGCAGGCCCCAATCCTCAGTGGGCCACGGAGTCTCCCTTCAGGGCATTAGCAGAGTTTTCTAACGTGCGTTCAAGCTAGAGCAGGGATACGTCAGCATTCGGCCACAAACGCAACTCCTTCCCATCTTCTCTCTAGATCGCGTCCAATTTCCATTTCCCTTCGTCAACCTCGTTTCTTTGGCTGTTTCGAGCAACATTCTACTCCTTGTCGCTGAAAGTGGTTCGAATTCATCGCGAAAAGATGGTGCTGGGCAACGCTTGTATCGGATTGATCTTGGGAAGTCCGACGCGATTGATGGTAATGGATGCATGAGGCCAGAGAATATCGAAGATGGAGAGTTGTCGATAAGAGTGGATCGTTCTCACATCCTCGGTACTCTCACCCAGAAATCGAGCCCGGGCTAAGGCAGAGGAACGACAAGATACGCCGCGTCTTTCTGGATCCCACCGCGAAACATCTGTTGTTTTCAACGGAGATGGGGGATAACTACTACCTGTATCATCATTGGCGGAAGCCAAGGGTACTTAACAAGTTCAGAGTAAGTCGCAATTGTTCACAATGCACGCAAAGTCATAACTTATATTCGAACATCCACCGTTACAGGGTGTGCTGATCGAGTCTGTCGCTTGGGGCAAATCTGGAAGCGCAGGAGGTGTGCCCACGACAGGCGTGATCCTGGTGGGATCGAGGCAAGGGCATGTCTTTGAAGCAGAGCTCCAGCCGACGGATGAGTTTTTTAAGCGAGAAGAGAAGTACTTCCGTCAGGTATGTTGGATTCGGGTCGGCCGCGCCTCCTAGTCGCATTAAGATGCTCAAGTATCCATGCTTACATGTTTTCTGAAGGTGTACTCAATACCGGAGAACAATACACCAATCAATAGCATCCGCTTTGAACAGTTCCCCGCTGTACCCAACAAATACGTCGTATTCCTCTCCTCTCCGAGCAGACTGTATCAATTCATTGGGAATGTGACGGATATCGACTCCGGGAGCATGTTTACAGACTTGTTCCGGAAATATGATGGACCAGGCAACAGTAAGGGGCTTTTCGGAATGTGCACAGGATCGTGCCAGCGCTCTGATTTTTTTCGATGCATAGGCTTTCAGGAAATGCCGGGAGAATCATTGCGAGGGGAACTTCAATTTTGGTGCCAGTTTGTGCAAGCGACAGGATATCCTGGAGTACCAAAGGCGTTTGCCTGGCTTACTGGTGATCTCCGGATGGTCTCGGCGGTGAACATATGAAACAAATGCTAACGAGGTGGTTCGCAGGTTCGGGATTATATTGTGGCGATCTCGTATTTGGGAACCAATCGGGAGGTGATAGCATAGTCAACAATGCTCAGCTTCTGCCGTAGGTCTTGCGTTCAAGAAGGGCCGGATCAAATGCAATGTCTTATTATGGCTATCAGGTATCCGCGATCAAACGAGAGCAGCCGGTCGAACTCATCTACGGATGGACCGTACGCACCGGGGGAAGTTCCGATATCTGTGAACATCACCGAGTTTCACTTCTTGCTGCTGTACGAGAATTATTTCAAAGCTATCAACAACCTGACGAATCAAGTTGATCACGAGGAGCAAATACCTCTTGTAAGTGGTGATGAGCGACATCATTTGGTTTGCGACAATGCTAAGTCTTGCCCATAATTCCCAGGAATTTGGTGAATACGTCGTAGGTCTGTTCGTGGATCCGATCAAGAGCACATATTGGATTTCCACGAACCTTGCACTGTACGAGCTCATCATGACTGAGGAGGACCGCGATGTCTGGCGTATATACCTGGACCGGAAGAGTTTTGATACTGCGCTTTCGCATGCTAAGGTAAGTGTCACACTTCTGACGTCTCGCATGACACTTGACCACTTCCTAAAAGCAATGTTTCCCAGACTCCAGCACACAAAGATATCGTCATCACCGCTCAAGCCGAGTACTACTACTCGCAAAAGCGATACATGCTCTCCGCAACGTATTATGCCCAATGTGCAAGCCTTTCTTTTGAAGAGATTGTCCTCAAGTTCATTGATAAGGATGAAAGAGGCGCTCTGCACCAATATCTGTTACAGAAGCTCGGCCGCTTACGGCCGCAGGTACGCCCCAAGTACAGGAAAGACGGCCGGAATTTGATCTGTTTCTGCGGTCGAATCTCTCACACCATACCTTCATAGGACTCGACTCAAATCACTCTAATATCAACATGGTTGGTAGAGATTTTCATCAACAAGTTGAATATCCTGCACGATGAATTACGAGACGCGAGCGTTCTGGTGGACACGCTCTCCAAAGATGTCAACGTCGACGAAGCATCGGAACAAGCAAAGTCGGAAAGGAAACGTTTGGAGGAAGAGGAGGCGGTTGCGCTAGACGAATTCCGGCAGTTCCTGCAAAAGTACAAGGTTTGTGCTCAATCCGTATACTACGCTCATTCAGAAGTACTTTTCTCAAAGAACTGTCAGGCCCGACTGGATCTCGACACGACCTCGAATATCATCGCTAGTCATGGCCGGGTGCAGGAGCTGCTGTACTTTTTGGAACTGATGGGTAACTTTGAGAAAGTCGTTACGTACTGGATACAGGAGCAGGAATGGTTGAAGGCACTTGGTGCATTAGCGCGTCAGGTACATGTGTGTTACCTTTGTGATGCAGTGCGAGGTCGGTCGGTGGCTAAACCATTTTCAGCCATCATCGGACCTGTACTACAAATTCTCGCCCGTATTGATGGATCACGCCCCATATGAGACCGTCAACTCTTGGATACGGCAACCTAATCTGAATCCACGGAACTTGATACCAGCACTGTTACGGTATCAAGTGCGAGATCGCAATCAGGGGAAGCAAGGTGTTGAAGGCCAGGTAAGGAGTTGTATACTGTAGCGCAGAGTCGCCGCAAACTCAATGTCACACTTCTTTCTAGAATCAAGCAATCCGTTACCTCACATATGTGACGCAAAAGCTGCAAAACACGGATACTGCAGTGCATAATCTGCTATTGTCGCTCTACATATCGCAAGCAAAGCATAATGACGACCAAGAGCTGTTGCAGTATTTGAGCTCTCAGGTACAGTGTCAAGTTGATGTTCGGACTTTCATCAAAGTGCCACATTAATCAACCTTCGGAAACAGAGGGAAAATCCATATTACGACCAGCGTTATGCGCTGAGGCTTTGCAGCCAGCATGGACTGCCTCAGGCTTGCGTTGTATTATATGGCGCGATGGGCATGCATGAACAAGCTGTTGACTTGGCGTTACAGGTGCGTATCCATTTTGGGGCATGCTTTTCCATCTTATGCACCTTGCGAAAATTTTTGTGCCACAGTTGCATGATCTTGAGCTGGCTCAGATCAACGCTGACAAGCCGGAAGATGACGAGCTCCTTCGCAGGAAGTTGTGGCTGAAGATTGCCCGTCACGTTGTTGAAGAGAAGCGCGACATAAAACAGTAAGTAGCTTTCGAGCAGCACGTCACAAAGCAAGCCCCACATCTAATCTTACAACTTCATTAGGGCGCTAGCGTTCCTTACGCAAACGGCGGATCTTCTAAAGATCGAGGACATTCTCCCATTCTTCCCTGATTTTGTTCTCATTGATGATTTCAAGGAGGAGATCTGCGTCGCGCTCGAAAACTACAATGAGCATATCGAGGAACTAAAGGCCGAAATGGATGAGGCCACGAAGAGTGCGGAGAGCATCAGGCTGGACATCCGGGATTTGCGGAATAGGTAAGAGCCGTGGAAGCAGAGCAGAGGGTTTCCGGAAAGCAGCCATTGATCTATAAGAACGGAACAGGTATACGGCAATCCCTGTCACAGAGGAATGCAACATCTGTAATGCTGCACTGTTGACAAGGCAGTTCTATGTATATCCGTGCGAGCACGTGTTTCACGCGGATTGCCTTACGGATCAGGTATGCGATTTCCCCATCTTGAACCTGCATCGTACATCAAACTCAAAAGCGATACGAAACCATTCTATGACTCGCAAGACCATCAAAAACTCGAACCCAACGAAAGCCAAACGCGTCAAAGACCTGCAAAGACGCATCACGCAGGGAGTTGCCGCCCGTCGCGCCGGGCCAGCCACCGACGAAGGCGGAATCAACCTGGCGTCCGCCATGTTGGCGATGCGGCTGGGGAAACCTTACGAGGCGGCTATTGAGCCTGCCGCGGTCAAAACGGAAGTATTGAAGGTAAGTGTTGTATGAGACGAGAGCCTTACCTGGAGTTCATGTCACTCAGTGCTCAACTGTATCGTGTCTCTCGTAGGAGGAACTAGACGATCTGATCGCAGCGGAATGCCCCCTCTGTGGGGATTTGATGATCAAGAGTGTGGACAGACCATTCGTGGATGCGACGGAGATGGAGTTGATCCGTTCATGGGAGCTGTGAGCTCCCCCCCATTGGCGTACATATGGGGTCATGTGGCAATGGGGCCTCTATAGGCACGATAGATGGTGGCGGTATGTGTAGCTCCTAGTGTAGCATATGGAAGTCTCCTTTGAGTGTGCTCCGGTCTGTTCCTTTTGTATAATGGATCTACGTGTACAGCTGCCAAGCATATGAACATAGGACACTTTCATTGTATATGAGTGACTCGGTTGAAAAACCAAGCGAATACAGTTACAAAATTGGGCTTCCAAAAAGTTGTCTCTAAAACTGGTGCTCACCATACGATGGAAGAGTCACTCAAACCTGAAATCATTTCGTCGTAGCCTATAACGGGGCGAAGGGTCGCGACTGAAAAACGGTTCCATCAAATCCTGGCTTCCGTCTATCCACTTTTTCATTGTTGGTGTTTGTCAGATCGTGAGGGTTTTCTTGCGGACGGTATGCGAGGAGGCAGACCGGCCATCCCCCCGACCGCGCCTCCAAAGAGGCGTCGGCTTGATCCGTTTGGTGTGCCGGGAGACATATTCCGCGGTGTGAGCGGAGTCTCCGTGGCTGAATATCGTCTTGTGCGGGGCGTCATATCCATAGCAGCGGCTCGGAGTTGCGCCGTCCGCGTTGGTGTGCGTGGTGTTGAGGGAATGAAATGTGCTGTCGCAGCAGCCGACGTAGGAGTCGAAGGTGCCGGAGGTTGCGGCATCCGGACAGGATGGATGTCCACGGCGACGTGAGCGCTACTATTGATGTGCGCCGGTTGGGTAAGGGCGTGAAGGGCGTAGTTGTTGCCAGGTATACCGGTGTCCCCTTCTGACAAAGACATGAAGCCTCGCATGGTGCTCAGAAACACCGTATTGTAATATACTGTGAGGTCACCGGTTTCGCTAGGACCCAGGTAGATCTCAGTCAAAGTCTACGGGCAACGGATTGGAAAAAATATGAGAGGGTTAGCCTGGTTGTGGCGCGAGATGCACCCAGCAAAAGGCGACTTTACCTTATCAAGGAACTGCGGCTGGCGGCGATACATCTCCACGATGGTTTTGAACTTCATCGGACGTTTCTGAACGACGGCGGCTCCATACAAGCAACAGATCGCGTATACATCAACGTGTCGATTGTTGAGGTACCGATGCTCATGCTCGCGTTCTAGACCCCATTGCACAAGCTTAAGCGCTGTTGAATATGTTGATTCTGGGGTTCGTAGGTCGTCGCAAAGCTGTTTGAGGCGGCCCTGGATCATGGATTGTGTCCGACCAACTATCCCCTGTGGGGTTTGCAAGCATCGTGAGACAAGACGCAAATAGTTGGACAGCAAGCGGGAGTACGTACGGATATGCCGGCCATCTCTGGATTAGATCCCATGGGTTCGAGAGATCCAGCCCCGCAATGATGCTGATACAACGTCAAAATCGGAATAAGCGGTCCGTAATCGCCTGAAAGCCGATGTGTTCCATTTAGCGCCACACACACCGTGTGTAAATGAAAACATCCTACTCACCACTTTGATGCGCATGCGCATAAGCGGAGGCCCCGGCGAGTACGGAGAGCATCCGGTAAAATACGGGTTCTCTCCAAACCTGCGTCTCCATCATGCGTTCCTGCAGCTCCACTAAACGCTTACGAACCCAATCGGAAAACTGCGTCGGGAAAGGAGAAAAATGCGGGTTATCTTCAGTGAAGGTGCGGTTGAGAAAGCAGGTCACGAGTCTGTCCGAGATTACCCAGAAAGCCGTGGAGTTGACAATGTCGAGCATTGCTATCAGAGATATGCAGTCGGGGTTGATTTGCCGGAGCAACTCATCCGTCATTCCTTTTGTCCCTAACTGGTTTTCAACCGAGTTAATAAGCCAGGCCTGGATGATCTCCTCATCCTCCAGCTATCAAGCATATGTGAATAACCTCACCTTCCACGTGAATCGGACGATTTCGAAAACGATGAAAACAAGCGAGCGGATGAACGGTTTGTCATTCAGGATTTGGAAGTCCTAGTAATCAGGATGTGTCAAAACTGAGGATCATGTTACTCGCAACACGGTAGGCCTCGAAGGATGATACTGACCTTGGTCCTTTGGAGGTATGAACCAGTGATCTCGAGCATTATGTGATAATATAACGTCATCGTGTCCCTCCAACGATCACCTGCTGGATTTGGACATTTTCGGCGCAACTTCTCCGCCATACGTTCTGCGTAAGAGTGTTAGGAAATGGTTTCAAAACTGTTCTTTTGAGACACGGAAAGCATACCACACAGGCCGTTGACGTGATGCCGAAGGGTAGCGAGGACGGCTTGAGGAATAGTAAGGGACGCTGACAGCGCTTGCTGACGTGCGGGCTGAGGCGCGGATGCAATATATTGAGTACCCAGCACAGGGCATTTGAGAATCGTACGAGCCCGCTTGACTCACCTCCGTCGACATGAACTGTAGGAAACGCTGTTGAAACTCGGCGAGCTGAGGTCCACCTCTAGAGCCTCCCGGCGTTCGGGTGAACGAGGCATTGGAAGCACTTCGAGCCATAATGGGCGTTGCATGCATGGCAGTCTAGTCAACCCAGGTAATCAACCACGAAGAGGGAGCTGAGAAACTGGCTGGCCGCGGCTCATGAACTCAGGGAACTCACGTTGAACACGTTCGCACGTTCCAGAGATGCTCGCAGATTCCGAGAAACGGTGGATTTTGTTGTAGACATTCTGGGTGTTCGACAGAATCGCTTTGGTGTTGCTACAGTAAAGAGCCGTGATATTAATCCGCCGTTCTGGGGAAAACATGTGGGCTGAATTGAGCGTACCAAACGGCTTATTCACAGGTCGCAGAAGACGAGGATCAAACTCATAGTCCTTTTGCAACAGTATGAGGTCGAAGTGTCTGCCCATGTCTTCCAAGTTGCTATACAGCATACTGTCCACATCTAGAGCCCCTTGGTACAGGTGCCATGGGCACTCGGCATTGACCATTATGGGATGGTCTTGATATTGAAACTTCGGCCCTGGTGGTGTTTCCCGCAAAGTCTGCAACGACGTAAACCGTGAGACACCTGCTGATGTAGCCTCTTGTCGCTGGCACTACTCGTCTACCGACCTGTATGAGCTGCGCCATTGAAGAAGTTTCGAATTGGCGGAACCTCGTCATCTCAATGTTGAACTTTTCACACAGCCATTGACGAAGTGATGGAAAGTGCGCCACCCAATCAGATGCGGGGTCGATCTGCAGCTCGCGCAGCCTGAGGTCGGCCTCCTCCAAAGATACGTTCCCCCACAGGAATGCAAGGACTATCGGCGGACATAAGGTTTCCATTTCTGGCGGCGAGCCAATGCCTGCGGCGCTATCTTACCTTGTACCATCTTCCGCCGACGAGCAGCAGAAAGTTGCACACCAACAAATAGTACACAGTAAATGCACCATGTTTGAACGTCTGAGCTTTCCCATCCTTTTTGGCCTTCCCCTTCCGAAAAGTGCTGGTCTAAGGCGCGCGGCAAAGGTTTGATGAGGCGTCCGAGTGTTCGCAATGGACGCCTTGCTTACCTGCACCGATGAGGAACAACAACCATCCGAACCTCTCGACAGGGTCGTCATCCGTAATGCTTTCATCCACGCCGCGATACATGAAGATCCGAAAGAGGTCGTGATACACAGTGAACATTGTGGAAATCGCCGAGTGGCATTTGCGCCACTGTTGGATCTCGTGCATCATCTTCTCGGAGTACGGCGTGATCTGGGTTTCGATGGCTTTCGTGAAGGTCTCAAAAGTCTCAAATAGGGGGCCCATTGACAGCATGCCTATTGGCGCACCTCCGAGGCTGAGGAACACAATATCCCCGTCAGTCCCCTTATCCACAGCTTGATCCTTTGTCAGGGTCGGAGAGACTGACCTTCGCAAGTTTCCGCTCTCGACAAAGCGCGACATGGTCAACTGCATCCCTTCTCCTTTGAACTTTTCAATCTTTGACATGGCCCATATCGATGCGGCTGCCCATTGATTCAAGATTTCTGGAGGCTGTAAAGGTGATGGCCAGTTGAATAAGTTGATACTATGAGCACCGCCTTACGTGCCATCCTACGAGGGCAAAACCCACCATCGGATGCTGCTGCCTGATCGCAAATGCGATCATAACTGCCAATAGGGATCCGCTCTCCTCAATAATCGATGGCATCAATTCGAGGTTCCTTGTCCATTCTGTCAGAAACTCGCGCCCAAGATCGGTTGTCGTTTCCGGGACCACAGGCGTGCTTTGAAAACCTGCAGGTACCCCTGCGCCTGTGTTCGGTAGTGCATGAATCCGTCTTCGTTTGTTCCACTCATTTTCACTATCGTTGGTGAGTCCTTCATCGTCCTCGTGGGAGCGTTTCATTTCGCGGGATGATCTTCTGACTGCACCCACTTCTCCGCTCCCAGATGTGACAGCCAAATGCGATAAGCGGTAGGTACGATCCGCGACTCCACCGATAAAAGCTCCACTGACGCTCTACAGGGGCCACTCCTCGAAGTTCGTACGGCACAAATATCGAATAGAACTCGAGGAGCATGGAAGTGAAGGTGGAGAGAGCAGGTCCAAAGCAGAAGCCCAGCAGCCCTACGCGTAACGCGTCCACAAAAATCCACAATTTCACAGTGCACTGCACACCCTCGCGCGGCCACGCCTCCGTCGTACTCCGTCAGTTTAAGCAGACGGATGGCGAAGAAGTTCAACGTGTGACAGATCGGTGAATCACGAGCATCGGAAGCTGCGCAAGCAGCTTGACGATGACGATGTCTTGCTGACATCGAAACGGACATGGAGCACATACTTTGTGAATTCCAGAAGTACTCGAGAGGATCAACAGGCCGTTGCTATAAGGCCCGCAGCGAGAGAGACTCGAATGGGGAGGATGCGACATTAGCAACAGCAGCGGCACCCAAAACTGTTCAAAGCGCCCGTGAGCGAGCCCGGTATGCATATCCCACAACGAAAGACCAGCAGTTCGAAGAGGCCGACACCCTAGTGGAGATTTGACAAAGAAAGCGCCGGAAATTATGAGAGGATACGAGAGGTGGCGTATAGCCTCAGACAATGTAGATGAGCACCTCACAATTACTTTGTAGGCGCTTTCTAGATATGAGCGCAGGTTTGGGTGAGGGAAGCGAGCCACAATTGGTCTTCCAGCGACAGCGTGTTACATGTATGTGCGTAGTCTCCCGGCAGCGCCAAACTGGCGAAGTCGGCGCCTTCGCGGGCGGAGATTAGTTTTCGCAGTTCCCGCGAGCGAGGTCGGCGAGTGCCCCAACGCGGGGGGAGAGCATCAAGCGTCAAACATCATGCATCAAGCAAGAGGCAGGGCAAAATAAGGGCAGGAAAGGCAAATAGTCTACTGTAAACATTGTGACAGTGAGATCTATCAACGTCGAAATCAAGAATGTGATAGGTCTGGACAGTGGACAGCATCCCCAGCGCATGCAAGTCGCGTACGAAAGACAGAAAAATTCAATTCATAAAATCTGAGGGGAATAGTGTCTAGATCTAGAAGACAGGAATGAAGCGTATAAAGGGAAACAGCGACGGGGAGCACAAAAAAACAAAGCGTCGGCGTCGGAAAAAGAAAGGACAGTGAAGAAACAGACCAAAATCGTGATCCATAAATAACGAAGTGGGGTCGCAACAAGCGGGCGTGTGAGTTGCAGCACAGTCGCTACTCCACGACCACTCGCTTCTTGGCCTCCCTCTCGTCATGAGCTTTGGCGGCCTGGTTGTACAGCATCCTGTACTCGTCCGGCCCAGTCTGCTTGAGTAAGGCGTGGAAATCGCCATTTTCGTTGTCTAGCAGTTTCTTGGGTTCGTCGAATTCGAGGATTTTGCCTGCGTCCAGCACAAGGACTCGATCCGACTCGATGATCGTGTTCAATCTGGGTGAGAAAGTATTCCGGAAAGGGAGCGATTGTAAGGATAGAGTCGCAAGAACCTACGACCGATCCCGCCTGGGAGAAGAACCTTGGTCTATAAACGCTACATACCTGTGAGCAATCGTCAACACGGTCAAATCGGCAAATGAGGACTTGATAGTCTCTTGCAACATCGCGTCAGTCCGTGAATCGATGGCAGCGGTCGCCTCGTCCAGCACGAGAATCTTTGACTTGGATAGGATGGCCCTGGCGATACAGACACATTGTCGGAGACCCAATGAGAAATTCTTTCCATTTTCGATGACTTCGCTGTCAAGCTTTGCCGGCATGTCGCGAATCTTGTCGCCGAGTTGAACAGAGTCCAGTGCCTTCCAAATCTCGTCATCGGAACACTTGCCAAACGGATCAAGGTTGGAGCGAATTGTTCCGACAAACAGGACTGAACGAGGGTGAAAAGGGATGGAGACATTATCAGCGCCTCAACGAGGAAAAATCACGCATCAAGTACAAACAAGCATACCTGGCTCTTGCGGAATACTGCGTGGCATGGTAAGGATAGAGGGATGAGGCGTGACGATCAGTATGCTGAACTTGATTGCACGAATCCAAAGCTGCCATCTGCATATGCCGTCGCAACTTACATAGCAATGTTCGATCTCAGCTCTGCCAAGCCTAGCTTACTCAGATCTACGCCGTCAATCACAATCTTTCCTTTGCAAATCTCGACGATTCTGAGCAAAGCGGTCAACAGCGTGGATTTGCCACTTCCCGTTCTGTTAGTATGGAGTGCGGAACGTTTAGAAAAATAGGTGCCTTATGACAGAGGAACGAAAAATTGCGAGTCACTTGCCTGCCGACGATACCAATCTTCTCGGTACTTTTGATTTCGAGATTGACGTCCTTGAGAACATCCACTCCATCTTCCTTGTACCTCAACACCACGTCTTTGAAGACGATGTTCCCCTCGGATGGCCAACCTTTCGGGATCGGATTCTCAGGAACATACGCTGGTGCTTCAGGTTTGACCCCGGCGTAGTAGACCAACTGTCCAACAGAAGACATCTGCGATTGAACTTCGCCGACCATACGTACTGTCCACTGCACGAAAACAAGCATTTGCAGGGCGTTGGAGAGGGCGAGTCCGGTGATCGATGGGAGGTCGGGATTGTTCCCACGAGCGACGACCAAAAGAAGGGCGGTGAAGTAAACCACGAAGGAGGAAAGGAAATCGAGGTATAATGCCTGGAAAGATCGCACATTCATTGCAGCCATCATGGCACCATGGTTGTTGTCAAGTTTCTCCAGGTTCATGTCGTCGAACCGCTTCTCGGCATGGTAAGCGCGGATGGAGAAAAGTCCTTCCAAGGTGGCTGTAAGATGGTTGAAAATCGGGGGCTTCGTAACGGCTTCAAGCGCTTTGGTCTTGATTTCCGCCGGAGTGGAGAGCTTGAGGACCACTGCCCCGATGACGACAAGCCCAATGCAGGGAGCCCAGTTCCAAGGAACGATAATCGCGCAAAGGAGAAGCGCACCTAGGCCCAACGGCGCATATTGGAGACCTTGCATTGCAGCGTCAGGTAAGGTATCGTCGACGTGCAACTGATGTTTCGAGAATGCGGAGAGGATACGGCCCAACGGCGTAGCGTCGAAAAACGACATGGGCGCGCGGATGACGGCTCCAAAAATATTATCGTGCAGGTCGGCTGCTTTACGGGTGGCGAGGAAGGCAAAGAGCAGACCACGAGTCAGCACTCCTGTCGCAAAGATACCAGTGAATACTCCATACACTCCAAGGTACACTGCGTCCGTGAAGTTTCCGGTTCTCGGCACCCACAGTCGTAGCCAATAGTCCGAGCCGATACGAACACCGTGGACGACAAAGAAGAAGGCCATGACCAGAAGGGTAGTCTTCGGACCTGCTCCGCTATGCTTCGCTGCTCGGCCGTATTTTGCGAAATCCGCGAAACCGGTGGAGGCCGCAGACGTGTCTTCCTGTACCAACTGCCCCTTGCGCTCGTTCATCATGTCCTCCAGCTCCTCGACTTCCGACGTGCTGTACACTGACATCTCGTTCCGCCTAACTGCATCCGCGAGATTGTGGCCCGTTCCCATGGACCTGATAGTAGTCCCGGCGTCTTTCTCAAGCTCAGCTCGGATTGTCTGTTCGTTCAGATCTTTGAATTTCACCGAAAGCTGATTCCTTGACATCACGGAGAGCTGGTTCAACTCGATCATGGTCTTTGCATCCTTGCCGAGACGCTTCATACCGAGACTGGTGTCGTTGACGTGACTAGGAACTTCATCTTCTTCTTCCTCTTCGTCTTCGATGGCATACTTGCGGTCGTTATCCTCTTCGTCTGACTCGGCAGCGATCTCGAAGGCCTCCTTGTTGTCAGGTACAAAAGGTTCGTCGTCCACACCCTCAGTTGACGAGGGGACAGCAACTTGCTTACTTCATTGTGATGAGAAACAAGAGAGGGAAGTTGCGTTAGAAAAATGACAAAAGTCAAGAGCGGGCGCAGAGCATAGCAGAATGATTACCAGAATTCAGTGAACTCAGCATGGTTGGCAAGGAGGTAGTCGAAAGTGCCTTGCATAGCAATCTGCCCTTCCTTCATGACGATGATGTAGTCCATGCGAGGCAAGTATTGAAGCTGGTTCATCGACACCACGACGGTCTTTTCCTTCAAATACCCCATGAAACATTCTTCGAAAATGTGCACACCGACGTGTTGATCCACGGCCGAAAGAGGGTCATCCAAAAGGAGAATTTCGGCATCGTAGTAGACCGTTCGAGCCAGACTTACTCTCTGGCGTTGGCCACCACTTAAATTAGCACCACGCTCGGCAATCTCGGTCTTGTCTCCAGCGATGAGAAGGGTCAAATCTCGTTGAAGAGCGGCGACTCGCACGACCTCCTGGTACCGCTTGCGGTCAAAGTTCTTACCGAACAAGATGTTTTCGCGGAGTGTTACATTCAGCAACCACGCCTCCTGAGACATGTAGGCAGTCGTTCCATATATCTTCATGCCATCACCGCGCACGAGGCGAATCTGCCCGAGCAAGGCGGCGATCAAGGAAGATTTACCAGATCCGACGTCACCAATCACTGCAACTTTCGCCCCCTTCTTGATCTCCAGAGATACATTCTGCAGGGTGGGCTTCGGTACTTCAATGCCGTCCCATTTGAAGTCGCTGTTCTTGACCTCAAATGCAAGGTCGCGGCCTTTCGGCGGTGGTTGGGGCTTCAACTCTTCGACTTCAGCAAGGGTAAGGAATTCGTTCAAACGACCGAGCGAAGTCATGGCACCAGCTGTTGATCGGACGGCTAGCGGCAACATCAGGAATGGGTAACGCAGAGTGTTGTACACTGAGAGAACAGTGAAAGAGATCGAAGCCGTGAGGGTGTTTCCCAGCGCGACCTTGTACATGCCCAATGACGCCAGGGCGACAAAGACGGGAACAGCAAAGACAACAGTGAAGTTGATGGCTTTGACTATCATGCCGCGTCGGATCAGCGTGATTTCGCGGTGTCGGATGTCCTCAATCTTGTCGGTGAAGGGTGCTTCCCACGCATAGAACTTGATAAGCTTGATCGCCGTGAGTATTTCGGACATGATGTGCACTCGACCTTGAACACGATTAGGTTAGAATGAGAACGTCAGCTACACCTGATTGCACCACATCTTACCTGTTGTGACAGCCGTCTGATCTCGGTTCAAAGAACTGATCTTGCTCCCTAGGTACATCTGCACGGGCAGCAGCATTATAACGAAAGCGAGGCAAGGGATAGCCGAGATGCCAACTTCGAAGAAGGCTATCACGACGATGGCCGTAGCCTCGAGGAAAGCCGACCACAGGAAGTGGAAGTTTGTAACTGCATCCACCAGTCGCGAGATATCTGTAGAATAAATGTTGATGACCTCCCCGGCGCCTCCACGGACCACAGATAAGCGCAACGACTTTCGGAACACAAGAGCCGTGCAGGCAGCGCGGACCTGTATCCCGACTCGGTTACATTCTCCATAGAGCTGATGAATGCTGATCGAGCTGAAAATCGACGCCAGTAGAAGTGCCACAGCGTATAGATGTCCATCTTTGGTCGGAACTTTATCCGGAGTCGCTCCCACAAATTCGATGATCTTTTTCACTGTCAGCGGAGGTGGTGAGAAGACATGTCACCCAAGAAGTTACTAAGCAAATCCACCAACTCCTTACATAGCCAGTAAGCGGAGAGCCAGGTGAAGATTCCCCAGGTGATTTTGTAAAGTCCGATAGCTGCATAAGTCTTTCCGTATACTCTCCTCAAAGCCCTCAGGATAGATCTTTGACTAGAAAACCACCGTATGAGAAACACGCTGTCAGTTATTGGCGTGGGAAATCCAGAAGCACTCGAACGTACTTTTCCGGCAAGCTTGATTCTTGGGCCCAGCTAGCTTGCAAAGCGTCGGCATTCTCCCTAGCGGACTCTTGCGGCCTCAATCGAAAGGCAAGCTTGTTGAAGGGAACCTTCGGGGCTCGAGCAAGGATAGGGAGAATCCAGAGGTAAAGCCAATTCGACAGGAACACAGAGGACCAAAGGTCAAGGGCCTTGGCGCCACGGCGACCGCCGTGCTGGCGGCGCTGAGGGTTCAGCTGGGCGGTGGAACCGGCGACGTTGTTGGCGACCGGCATTGTTTGAAGACCCGTGGGAAATTTGACAGCGAACTGGTGGGGAAAAAGAGTGCCGCGCCCGAATCGAGAGAACGCCCCCAGACAGCAGCCTCCAAGGTTCGACCGAGTACTTTGTCTGACGAAGAGGACGGCGGCGGTGATCCTCTATGAATGAAATTACAGATCTTCCGATTCCAGTTGGCGGTGAGAAATGGAATTCAAGTTGGCTAAGTCGGATAAGGTTGGCTAAGGTCGGATAAGGTTGGATGAAGTCATATACCGGAGACGCGTTTCCCAGGTTCTGCACCCGTTTCTCAAAATCAGAGGTTTATGAGTGGATTCTACATATATATGCAAATGTGAAGTAGCTAAAAGGACCATCTAACCGAAGATTTGACTATAGACATAGGAAGCGAAGCAGGACCCTTTCAGGAAGAAAGCGATGCATTCCAGACCGACCTCGGAATCGCGCTCAGTGGTGGAACAACCTCCACTCCGTGAACGCGTAAGCAATACCCTTATCATCAGCCTCCTTCACAACAGCATCATCCATGACACTGCCGCCAGGGGCAGCAACGTACTTGACTCCACTCCTGGCGGCGCGCTGCACGTTGTCCGAGAATGGGAAGAACGCATCAGAGCTGAGCACGACATCAGTCAGCTTGGACTTCCATTCGGCGCGCTGCTCGGCGGTCAAGGGAGTGGGAACGGTCTCGAAAAGGGCTTCCCAGGAGGCCTGGTCGTCGATCTGGTCGGTGACGAAGAGGTCGATGGCGTTCGCCTTGTCGGCGCGTTTCGTTGAGGGTTTGAACTTGAAGGAGAGGATGGAGGGGTGGTGGCGCATCCACCAGTTGTCGGCCTTGTCGCCCGCTAACCGTGTACTGTGGGAGAAGAAGTGATAGATGAGATGGAATACTAAAGGAGTTGCAGCATGGGAGTATACTTGATCTCCTACCAGTGAATGCGAGACTGCTGTCCAGCTCCGAGTCCAACAACCTGTCCGTTCTTAGCGTAGCACACAGAGTTCGATTGGGTGTACTTCAAGGCAATGGTAGCAACTATCAAGTCCCTGACGGCACTCTCCGGCAACGATGTGATCTTCTTGGTGACGACGTTCTTGAACACATCCTTGGTGATGAGGAGATCATTCCTCTTCTGTTGTAAGTGCAACCCGTAGACCTGACGAGTCTCGGTGGAATCCGGGTCGAACTTGGGGTCCATTTCGAGAACGGTGTACTTGCCACCCTTCTTCTTCTTCAAAGTCTCCAAAGCACCTGCGGTGTAGCCAGGGGCAATGATACCGTCGGAAACTTCACGGGAGATGATCTTTGCAGTGGCTTCATCGCAGACGTCGGAAAGCGCGATCCAGTCACCGAAGGACGACATGCGGTCAGCACCGCGAGCACGGGCGTATGCGGCTGCAATGGGTGTCAGCTCTACGTCCTCAACGGCATAGACCTTCTTTTCCTCTTCGCTCAGGGGAATGCCGACAGCAGCGCCTGCTGGAGAGACATGTTTGAAGGAGGCGGCTGCAGGGAGACCCAGAGCTTGCTTGAGCTCCTTAACCAGCGGCCATGCGTTCAAAGCGTCCAACAGGTTGATGTAACCAGGAGAACCAGCGAGAACTACAGCAGCGTACTGTCAATGATAGACCGAACACGGTACGAAAATGCTTCAAATTTTCTCGCTCATACCCTTGAACGGCAGGTCCCCGTGCTTGGTGAAGACCTGGGCAGGCTTCTGATGCGGGTTTGCACCATACCTCAGGGTCAGTTGCTGGGTGCCATTGCCCGCATACTGCTGCCTGAAGTATCCAGAGATAGCCGTGTCGTAGTCCGCGGTCTGTGTGAACGCCTTCAAGGCGAACTTCTGACGGTTACCTTCGGAGACGGTGGCAGCGCCAGTTTCTTTAAAGCTCTTCTGCAACTCGGCGATGAGCGCAGGGTAATCCGTGGGGTCCGAGACGATCGTCACGCGAGCGTGGTTCTTCGCGGCAGCGCGAAGGAGTGTCACACCGCCTATGGATGGAGGACGAGGGGTCAAACACGGGATTCCTAGCCCTAACGAAAGTCTTTCGGAGACTGACCAATGTCGACTTCCTCGACAGCCTCCGGGATGGTGACACCCGCTTTGGCAACAGTCTTCTCAAAAGGGTACAGGTTGCAAACAACGAAGTCGATCTTGTCATATCCACGGGCTTTCATGTCCGCGTTGTCCTGATCGATGTCGCGAGCCAGGATACCTTGAAGTCGACGCAAGGACACAAGTGCGTAAGCTGACTGGTGCCTCCTAAAACCTTCGCCGCTTCCAAACATGGTAGATAGACGAAGCGTACCTCCGTGAACAGCGGGATGCAGTGTCTTCACACGGCCTCCAAGCATCTCAGGGGCCTTTGTGATATCAGCCACGTCTCTGCGCAAGCAAAAGTAAGCCACAGCTCGGAAGTGCTGTTTAACGTGCCTCCGTCTGACAACTTACTCGACGGGAAGCCCAGCATCGCGAATGGCCTTTGCAGTCCCTCCGGAGGCAACAAGCTTGACGTCCACGCCGTGAAGCGCTTTGGCGAGGTCGAGGAGCCCCGTTTTATCGGATACCGAGAGCAAGGCTGCAAAGAAGGTATTCCGACGTGTGAGAACCAGATGACTCTGTACAGACAGTCGACAAAAGAAAGCCTGCTCGCTGGACCTACCGATTTTCGCAGCCATATTTGTTGTTTCGGTAGATTGTTTGAGGTGGGGGTTTACCGATGGGGAGAACACAGGAACCGACCTGCGACCCTGCGACTTGCAAAAAGCTAAAGTGACACTGGGGCCTCTGGCACGCGCTCCTCGCGTTCACATCTTACATCTTGATCTGCAAGTTCCAGTCATCCGAGACTGCTCCTCGTGCTCCTCGTGCTCCCGACGGGCCAAAGTCATCGGGTGCAGATTGCCTGTATACGTAAATACGGCTCATAGAGTTTTACCCTCCCTCTCGCCGCCGCCTACCATGCTCCAGGGAGAATACAACGACGCGGACGGGGTCAAGCTGATTACCCTCGACGAGGTGAGAAAGGCCCCTTTGTGACAGCTGCACTTGACCTGAGCATCGCTAACAAATTTCACTTCAAAGATTCCTGTATATGAGGTTGGTTTGCAAACATGGTAGTTCCTAAACAGAGTCCGTTGGACTTTCAGTGACTTATTACCGTCATCCTGAAAGATGGTAGTGAACGGAGTCAGTGTTTTCCGGCGTGTTTCCGACGGTTTTGTGGTAAGCATACTGATCGGCGGAGGTTGAAAATACCAAGCGGTATAACGGCTGGCTGACCCTAGCTCCTTGCTGTAGAGTGCTTCACAAATTATCAAGGTATAACGTGGCTACTGGACGACACTGGTGTCAGAGGGGGACTGGACGGTGAAACGTGCGTATTTACGAAGCCTGTTGAACAGGCCGCGCTCTCAGAGCCTCACCCGAACCCAGAGGAGCTAGCGTTCATGTCAGAAGTATGGTGCACGATACAGAAGGATGACCGGAACTGGGGTGCATGGTGAGCTGTTACCTTGATGAATCCACTCATCTTGTTCTTGTACGCCTCATACTTTCTACCTCACAAATTGCGAACAGGGTGCCTCTTGAAACTGCGAGATTGATTGCACGAGATCACGGCATAGAAGACACCCTGTCTCCCTTGATTGACTCTAACCCAGTGAACGTGAGCCAACCGCCAAGCGAGCTTGAACAACAGGAACCGCTGTCTTTCACGCAGTCAGTACCTTTCGAGCACGCTAAGGCGTTACATGAAGCCATTTCAACCTCATGGCTCGATGATTGGGATATAGAAGCGGATATCAAAGCGCTCTTGTTGGGACCCTCGGAACCTGCGGAGATCGAGGCGCTGGAGGAACCCAGTTTACGGGACGATCAGCGGGTCGTGCTGATGCACATATATACCACGGACGACGGCGAGGAACTTTTGGATATTTTGGCGTCGTTCCAGCCCGCGTTCGTAGACAGCATCCTGAATCTCGTGCTGGATCTTGAGGGAAATACCTGTCTGCATTGGGCAGCTCAAATGGGCCAAGCGAAAACGGTCGAGGCGCTGATAGATGCAGGCGCTGATTGGAATGTGCGAAATCTGCATGGAGGAACGCCTTTGATGAGAGCGGTGGCACAGACGAACTGCTACGAGAACGATTCATTTGGAGACATTTTCAATACGCTGGGGCCTCTCGCGCGGTGTGTCGATACACAAGGCCGGACGTTTTTACACCATCTTGCACTCTCATCTCGAGACAAAGCACGCCGGCCAGCGGCTCGGTGTTACTTGAACTGTGTCTTCGAGGCATGTGCGAAAGGGACTGCCACCCTCGATCGGACTTTCGTCACTTGTCCAGACGCGGCAGGGAATACGGCCTTGACGATCGCGAAAACATGTGACGACCTTCATCTGTATAGCGCTCTCATCGATTATTTGTACAGGGCTAACACCAGTCAGGCATGCAATCCCCTTGATGTTCTTATCGCCGGCATAGAAGCTGGGCAAAGTTCACGTTCAAACACGGCCCCCTTTCCGGACTTTCCTCGAGGCCTCGAACCGGTGCAATCGGCCCACTCTGAATCTGGAGGCCAGGAGCCGGGATCGGAAGATCCGTTTTCATGGCAAGAGACGCTGAACTTTGTGAATGGGGAGCTTGCAAAGGCAAAGCTCGAGTCTCACGCGTTGCAGACTGGGTTTTCGGCAGCAAAGGAGATGGTGGAGAGTCGTGTGCGGGACCTGGAGAAGATAGCTCTGCGTCGAATTAGTCCGGCGGGACGCCTTCCGCGATATAGAAGCTGATAGTTGGGATTACCACCACAGAGTCTCGGGGACATCACCGGGTAGATCTCGCAAAACATGTATGACATGTTGCCAAAAATGATTTTGCCTCGTCGCGTCCGTTCGGCCGCTCATCAGCCGCTTCTTGCCACATTTTCAGAATTCCCTCCCAACTCCGATGAAACATGCATATGTACAGTACATGCCTTGCCAAGACACCGATGACATAAACATTACAACAGTGATATATCTGGATACAAACGATTGTGTGCGGCATGCGCAAATAGCCCGCATTCCTCTCTCAAATTTTCCCTTCCCCAAAAAATAAGCGACGACCGAGAATAGCGCCCCCTTCCAAAAAAGAATGTAGGATGGACCAGAGAGAGAAGGCTGGTTTTCAAGCCTAGGATTTCTTCTCATTTCTCTGCTGTTACTTATCCCCCACCGTCACAGCCGCCGCCGCCCCACGATCCCTCCTCGCAGGCGTCGTCCTCGCCGTCCTCGCCATCCCACTCCCGCTCGCCTCCTTGACCGGAGGCACGACCGCCACCGTCTGCGTCCCCCCTCCCATCCCACCTACCCTCCACCCGATCTCCTGCTGCTGCTGATGCGGGACATTCACACCCAGCCCCAACCCCCTCGCCACCCTGCCCCACAACATCCCGCCCACAGATGTGAGGTAAGGGTAGGTTGCACCGACGCGGTTATGGATCCCATACTGTTCGGCACCCTTGCGGAGTTTGCGGACGAGGAAGAAGATGAGGGCTAATTTGGCGGCTTGGTGGGTCCATATGCGGTGCTTTGACGCGATTTGGAGGGTTCGTGATGGTGGTGGTGGGGAATACGACGAGTGGGACGACGTCAACGATGATAGTGAAGAGGTGGAGGAGGAGGAGGTGAGGGATGCAGAGGAGGGCAGGGACGGGAACCAGAAGCGAAGTTGTTGGAGGAGGACTTCTACGCCGGCTTTTAGGGGCATTTGCACGAGGGTTGTGTTGGAGATCCAGATGCAGAGGAGGAAGATGCCCGAGTCGAGGATGAAGTCTTGGTTGAAGCGGGATTTGTAGAGTTGCTGTGAGGGGAGAGGGAGGGGGGAGAGTCAATGAGCATGTGCAAGTAATGAATGATTTGGAGAGTTGAGATAGCCGCAACTCACCCCTATTGCGGATGATTGTTTGCGAAGAACCTCTTGTTGGCGTCCCATCTCATGTCGGTACTCAACGATAGTACTCTCCAACAAACTCCGCGTGCTATCCAACGCACACTTCAACCTCCCCACCGTCTGCCTCTGCACATCGGCCTCCACCGTCAACAAATCCACCCCATCCTCCAATGACGCCACGGTGCGCTGCAGCTCCAACACCTGTTTCTGTCCCTGCGCCACAGCCTGTTGCAGTTGCCGATTTCGGGAGAAATTCGCCAGGTTCACAAGATAATTCACAGAGATGAGCTTGGCGTTCATCTTGTTGATCCCTTTTTGCTGACGGAACGCATCGGACAGTTTGGTGACCAATGTATCGTAGGAGGGCGTGCGGCCGTCGTCTTCGAGGAGGGTGATTTCGCTGTCTTCCTCCATAACCGTGCGGAGTTGCAGGACAATATCCTTGGCGTGGTCGAGCAATGCGCGGATTTGCGTGCTGCTGCCCCCGAGCGACGAAGATGTTAGCGCCGCGGAGGAGTCGGCGGCGACCATGAGACCAGCGGCCCAGTCGGAGGTTTTGCCGAGGTCGGTAGTGATGGAGTCGAGCTTGGCGAGGGCGGCGGCTGAGGAGCGGCGGGTGGAGTGGAGGTCGGTTGGGCGTTTGGAGAGTGCGCCTGGGGGGCCGGGGGAGAGGGTGGAGTCCATATTTCGGATGTTGTTTGGTGTGGGAGCGGGTAGTAGGTGCAACTTTTGACGTTGCTTTGTCGTTCCTGGGGTTCTGCCTGGGGTTGTCTATTGTATGGTGGGTCTGAAGGTGGTTGGTTGCTGGGTGGGATGGTTGCGTGGGAATGTCGGTGCCTTTTGTCTCTCTCTCTCTCTCTCTCTCTCTCTCCCTGCGAGCTGCCCTGCGAGTTCTCTCTCTCTCTCGCTCTCTCGCATTCCGTCCCTCCTCCCCCCCCCGTAGATTCTTTGTTCGCTTACCACATTTTCAGAATTCACTTCCCCCGTGACTGTTGTGTTGTCGCTGCCACCTGCTCTGTGAGCTTTACTTCCCTCTTATATAGAAGCAAGGAAGCTCTGTTTCGTCGCCTCGTGCTCCCGTCTGTGGTAACCTGTAATAGCCTGACGAGCTCGTGCAGCGAGTTCTGCGACGTTTCGACCCACCAGACAACCAGTTCGCTCCTCAGCTACGGCTCCAGCAATGACGTTCGTTGTTTCTTTCAGTAGCGGGATACCCGCTCGAGTCACACGGCTGCCTTTCAACAGATTGATAATGCGCGGCTTGTTCGTTACCGTCGTCCTTGGCGTCTTCTTCTTGTTGCTGCCAATGACGACTAGGCAAGAAGCCAGGAGGAGGAAAGGGGAGTTGCCCCCGCTGATCAAGGAAAGGCTGCCTTTTGTGGAAGGGAAAGGAGGAAGTAAGTCCTAAGCGTGCGACCTTGGCTCTACAGTACTGCACTGGAGCTCTCATGCTGACCTCAAACTATCAAAGGCTGGCGATTACCTCCTTCGTGGCTGGCGGACCTCGCAACAATGCCACTGCCCTCGAACATTACACTAAACCCATCCAACATAAGGGAAGCAGTGTCGCTGGCCGTCTTCCTCTCTAGCGGCAAACCAGAGCGCCACATACCTCACACCGATATCCCACTTATAGTGCATCAGACCTGGAAGACAACAAAGCCGGAAACCTGGCCCAGCAACATGCTCGAATGTGTAGAGGCGTGGTTGTGGGCCGCGGAGCCGCCAGCAACCAATGCCCATGAGTGGCCCAACCTGAGGGTGAAGGATAGCCCGTGGGATTGGTCCGATGGCGTGGATACGGCGTTCTTTTTGTGGGATGACGATGGGATGGAGGAGACGGTTACGAGCTTGTGGCCGGAGGGGCTGGAGATGTACAAGACTCTGCCGGCAAACGTGATGAGGGCAGACACTTTCCGGGTTCTGGTGGTCAGACTTTTTGGAGGAGTAGTAAGTTCGTTCTATGATCTGTAATTGTTTCAATGTGCACACCGCTGATTCTGCAATGACAGTATGCCGACACCGATACCAAACCTTTGCGGCGGCCTTCGCGCTGGGTCAGCGAAACGGATATCACTCCTTGGACTGATGACGTGGGTCAGGCACATGCAGGGTTGGGTGACAACCGAATCAGGTTACTGGTCGGGATCGAGGCGGACACACCGCCGGACTCCGATGCATATTGGCGCATGGGTTACGGGCACCCTGTCGAGCTTCTACAATGGGCATTAGCAGGCGCAGCGGGCCATCCAAGCTTGATCGAGATGGTAGAGAGCATTCGACTTGCGGCGGGAGAAATGGCGAAGGAGGGCACATTGGCCAAAGCGGATGCGTTGCAGTTGACGGGACCGTTCCGATGGACGGACGTTGTGCAGGGTTACTTGGCGCAGGAACCGGGTTTCGAATGGAACTCGCTTACTGGGTTGAAGGACGGAGGACGGTCGAAGGTGGTCCGTGATGTCCTGGTGTTGCCAGTTACGGGATTCAGGTATGCGTGTACAAGGTCACTTGTGGGATAACTGATCACTTTGCTAAAAAAAAGATCCGTTTCTCCTCCCAGTCCTGGCCGGTCTTCTGTTTTCGGCAATATGGGCAGCAAACCAGTGAGCGACCCTGACGCTCGATTGCTCCATCAAGCGCAAGGAACGTGGAAGCACACGTCTGCCAAAGTAGAAGTCGGCAAGCTCTGCAGAACACTGCTTGGCCTATGCAGAGACTGGCCCACAGTTGCATGATCATTCTCTTTCCGGCGCTCTGTTGCAAAGGTGAACAAACCCGTCGAGACCTTCCATTATATATACACCTGGTGTGAATCTGCCTCCAATTTTGGATAATATAAACCCTTTCATGACCAAACCTGGAGTGCCTGTCCCCTCCCGTCGTCATTCCTGTGAGCAGATGATCAATTGAGGATATTTTCTCGTCGGCAACCCGCCCACATAGCCTTCCCCACATCCATCTTCCCTTCACCACTTCCATCACCGCTCAAGGTTGATGCTGTTCCCAAATTTCTTATACAGAAGCACCTTGAGCTTATTCATATCCTCCGCCAGGCTGTCAATCTTTGTGCTATATCCCTCCAACTCTTCCGTCAACGTCTTTTGCTCGTTCTTTAAGCGTTCCTGGCATGCAGGTAGCGAGAGCGACACAAATGCGTCGCCAATTCGGTATCTAAGAAGTTGGATTGGTGAGACGTGCGACACGGATTTTGCGAAGAATAAATATACATACTTGACTGGCTCGTCCTCGTCCGCTAATTCCAGCTCCGAAGACAGATCGTCGAGGTACTCTTTCTCTTTCTGTTCATCCACCGCAGGTATCGGTTAGTCCAAGAGCTGACAGAATCACCCACTGCAGCTCTGCGCCTGGTGGATCTGGTGGATCACACGGCCCCCCGACCTTTGCTCTCCTACTCCCCCCGTCCCTCCTCCTCTACAAATACTTCCTCACCTTCTTTTCCTCGTAAAGAGCTTCAAGATCTTGCACGCGCATGTGCAGTCTGCTGAAAGCGTTGATGTTCTGCTGATCTTCCCATGTCACTTCCGTGTCAGCCTCTTCTTCTTGTTCGAGCTGGTAACAAGAAGTGTGAGTGAGCTTTCAGAATGAGTAGTGGCGGTGGCGGGGACGCTTACCATCTTCATGTTTGTAGGGAGGGTGCGTGTGGGGGAGGTGTCCGGGCTTTTTGTGCGTGTAGATGCTTCGAAGCTAGGAGCGAAGTTTCAAAACCTCGAAATGCAGTCGAAATGCAGCCAGAAATGCTGCAAACCTCATCATAGACAGTAGACGTAGAGAAGACCGTGACACCAAAGAGACCAAAGCGCGTTCGCCGTTTTCCCCTTCGCCTTCGAGCCTCCTTGGCCGAAGCGTCCTTCCATCTTCTCACGTCACCATCTTCGCAGTAACTCTCGAAATTACCCCCGGAAAGGACAGACCAGGACACTTTCCAGGCATCTAGCGCATTACGGTGTCTGGCCTGTTCGGTGCTCAGGCCATTGGACTAAAGTCAAAGAAGCGACGAAGCTCCTAGAGATCGCAGGTGGGCCGTCCGGCGCGTCACTCTGACCCAGCAAGCTATGCTACTATCGGAACCGTACCGTATCTGAACCTTCGAAAACAGGTTCATAAACGGGAAAGAAGCACTCAATGGCGCCGCCACCACCGCGTCCTAGCCGTCCGGGAAAGAAGGAGATTTCTGTTGTTCGAGCTCTATACGATTACGCAGCTCAACGCCCAGACGAACTCAGCTTTCAAGAGGGTGATGTCCTTTACGTGTTGAACAAAGACGAGGAGCACTGGTGGAAGTGTCGGTGCAATGACAAGGAGGGATTTGTGCCAAAGAACTATGTGAGCGCTATGTTTCATTTGCAGTTGGTTCAACAGGGGACGGATGGACGGACCTGGGGCTGACGTGTTTTCCTTCAAAATGTATCCAGGTGGGCGAGAACACGGCTGAAATCGACAATCCTCTGCACGAGGCTGCCAAAAGGGGAAATCTGGGGTTTGCCAAGGAGCTGCTGAGCGCTGGAGTCTCCGTAAATGGTTTGTCTTCCGGGGTCTGACGGCGAGTCCATCATGGCGGGCTCAACACTCATGTCGCTTCATGCTGGCGCGCTGCCTTTGTCATACTACAGCCCTCGACAAAGCTGGGAACTCGCCTTTGCATTGGGCTAGTAGAGGCGGCCACGCGGATGTTGTGCGTTGCTTGTTGGATTACAAGCCGGCCATCAACGCGCAGAACAAATTGGGCGACAGTCCCTTACATCTTGCGTCGTGGGGTGAGTGCAAACGCCATTCATTCTTGGGCTCCACGATATGCCTGTGAACAGCGCAGTGCTCAACATCATTCATTGCGAACTCTCTCAGGTGGTCATACAGCGGTGGTGCAGCTATTGATCTCACAGCCTACCATTGACACTCGACTGAAAAACAACGACGGCAAAACCTCTGTCGATCTGGCCAAATCTGATGAGACGGCTGCGTTCTTGATGCAGGCGATCGGCGCCGGTTATGCGTCGGGAATGGTGGAGGATGAGGAGGACGAGGACGATTGAGCTTCCCAGCGTACTTTCTCTGGAAGACAGCTCCGTGCGAGTCAAGTTTTGTAGGGTAGGGCGTTTTCAATGAGCTCAACATGTAGTTAGCATCTTCAGATAGATCGCCCGGGTCAATGGAAGGTGATAATGGACGCGTTCGCTGCTGGCGAGTTCTCCCAATGGATCCGAGGGCTCGAGGAAGCCATCTTGTATCAGAAAGTTGGAACGCTACATATGCAACGGGCCGGCCATTGTCGAGGCTCGAGCGTGCTCACAGCACGTATGATTATGACAATTGAGGAAGCAACCCTGCTAGATGATCGAGCTACGTATGAAGTCTATATATATATCTATTCGAGGGAGCCTCAGCCTTCATCGTTCGTCTGCCCACATGAAGAATCTACATTTTACGCCGCTTTTTGGGCATGTGAAGAACTCACGTCCTGGACGCCACACCATTTCAGCTTTCCGTCCACGTATTCACCCTATGAGATATCTCTTACCTTGGTTCTCATTCTCTTTGCGAGATGTCTTGAGTGTCGATGTCAGGTTACAATCGCATTTGGGATTGGGGCCTGAGTCTGGCCGTCGAACATAGTCGGACTATGATCCGGTGTGCGGACGAAGCTTTTGTCAGTGGGCGATCCTCAACTCCGCTGCTGCGTCTCGCACGCTACTCACGGATCCATTCCGGCCATTCCGTGCTCCCGATGCAGATGATCTGTTACTCTCTCCAAAAGATTCGGCGGTGCGTCCACGAGTACTTGCAGATCCTGACCCTGCGCCTCGCCGTTGGCCACGCGTCTTTCGCTGTGCGGGGCCGTCGACGGTCTTCTTCGCCCGAGGGTTCGCCGCAGGTTTCCGGATGGCGCGTCCACCACCCCCACCCCCACCCCCACCCCCACCACCACCGCCTGGCTCAGGGAAGTCGTAGAAGTCATCATCCGCAGCATTATTGACCGGTTGCCGTGGCTGCATTTCGAAGTAAGGTAAGGATAATGCTCTTGTAAACTGCTAAACCAGCATACGGGTGCATACCTGAGCAAGGTCTGGATCGCTCAAATAACGTCCACAAATCTAACAAGCAAAAGTTAGTCCATCCTGCCTGTCAACGCATTCCTAGTTATCTCTGACACCGTTTACGCAAGCAAGCGAACCTGTATGAGCAGCTGTTTCTGCGAGTTTGTTTTCATATATGCTTCTCGATACATCTCCTTGGTTTCCTCTACAACCTCATCTTTTGTCCGGGTTCCGTCGCAGATCCGTTTCATGTTCGATTCCATCTGAGAGATGCCTATCAGATAGGAGCCTTCAAGGAGACAGTCCTAATGACGGATTTCTCACCAGACTCCGCAAGTATGGCTTGTGAAGGGACAGATCGACTGACAGCTCCTCATATGTACATATTAGGGCCATGCCCAGAATGGACGGAACGAAATATTGCCCCTCCTTATTTGCATAATCTCGATCTTGTACCGTTTTGATGTGCTGATGAATAGTAGCGTCCGTGCCTGAGGCACGTGTCAATGCGGTTCGACAGTTCTCATAACAGTCCTCGCCCATACCAATGCCACTTTTCTCCATCAGCCCGATCAAGTCAGCCTCAGTCAGTAGATCGGGAGCTGTAGTTTTCCCGGCAGTCATCTTCAACTCGGCGGGCATGATTCGCTCTCCTTGGACAAAGTTTGGAATGGTATGATCTGACCATTTATCGTATGGATAAACCTCGAGATAGTTCCGTTCCAGAATGCTCAGTCCTTTCAAAACAATAAATCAACAATCGGGATCAAAACCCAAATGTCCCTTCCGCTCGTACCTTTTGCCGTGAACCGTTCGTTTGCAACATCTACCGTGACTACGGTCTCATGGCCTGTAGCTGCTTTCGAACAGCAAGCCAGGAATCGCCTCGTAATGAACTCATACAAGCGTTTTTCATCTCCTTGCAGATCCGCCGCCCCTTTTACGGGGTGGATTGGAGGATGGGCTTTATCGTCAGATCGCCCCTTTCGCGGCCGAACGAATTTGCCAGCAACAAGCCTGGAGCGACCTGAGTAAGCGTGTGTGAACAACTAGATCCCCTCTAATGTTGAACGTACCCTCGTGCATAGTTCCCCCACGTGGGATCGTTCGTTTGAGCTTGCACAAGAGGCTCTAGTTCAAAGTTGTCCGCAAATATATCCGTTTCGGTACGAGGATAACTGAGTATACCACGCTGGTAGAGACCCTCTGCGAGCTGCGAGAATATCAGGGCAAGCTTAGCTTTCGGGTGCAAAAGCTTTGAGCTTACCGACATAACCCTGTCCGAGTTGATGCGCAGAAACCGTGAAGCCGCTTTCTGCATCTCCACCGTTGTTAACGGTAAAGGAGCCCTGATCATGGTGCATTAGTTGACTGAAGCTACCCTTACCAATTTGATTCCTTACCATTTTGATTTTGGCTGCGACAAGACGTTTACTACGGTTGCCATCGGATTGTCCATGCATAGCTCGTATAGCACCAGTGTGAGGTGCTGATCGAAAAGACGGTCTCTTGTCCACTCGAATTTGGCCACACTCCCTTCCTTGGCGATAGACAGATTGATTTTCCAAAAATCCTCCGGGATGAAACGTTGGAACTTCATGTATCGTTCTACAATGAATGCCAATGTAGGCACCTGACATGGGCCTGTATTGATGTTAGTACCATCCGAAAACCGACTAGAAGTCGTTTGATGGGTCATACCATAACTGATGACACGTTGCTCTCGCAGAGAAGCAAAGGCCGCTTTCAGCGTGAGCGTCTGAAATCTGCTGAAGACAGCTCCAACGCGCAGGTCCAGTTCTGATCTCGCATCCACTGCGGCGGACAACCTCATGTTGAGGGGCACCAGGTTGTTCCAAGCCTGGTAGATCTCCCTATGTTCATGCAGGATGATCAACTGAATGCATGTCACCCACGGATCACCGTCCGGCGGACAAACCTCTCCTGAATGACAGAGAACCGCGCTCGTTTCACCTGAATCCGGGGGTTCCCTGATTGCGCAATCTCCATCACCTCCGCACCAATGTTTTCGCCCTCCAGATCGCAATCTGTCCATATCACAAGCATTTGAGCGTATCGGGCTTCCTTGCGAATGTTATTGGCAACCTCCTTATGCTCCTGTCATACAAATCGATCCGAGTCAATGCAAAATGAATGCATAATACCTGCTTGCAAGGCACGCACGGACGAACGTACGTTCTTGACCACCTTTGTTGTCTCGGCATCGAATAAGTGCATTATCGGCGTTGCGGTCCAGTTCTTGAATTGCACCTCGTCACGAAACTGTGTTTCCTTGATATGCCCCATGACCGCGGTCATAACGACTTGACACCGCTGTCCCCCCATCGTCTGCTCGAAGCAATAGTTCTTGATATATTGGTTTCCGGTGTTGCGCTGGGAAAGCACAAGATAGTGAATTCCCTTAGAGAGCACGTGGGAACATTTTCGGCAAAACTACGTTACCACATTGCAGCGTTCGTTGGACAGAAGGTTGGAAACACCTTTGGATATTGAGGGCTTTTCCGCAACGCATAGCACCTAACAAGCGAACCTGTCGTGAGAAACAACGAGGCTGGCGGGCCAGTCGCCACATAGGGACTTGATCGCGTGTGTCCTTCCCATCACGGCAAGACATACCTTCATGCTCTGAGCCCGAAATACGACGGTAAACCACTCCTGGCTATGCTGGCCGACCGCGAGGCACCAGCGTGTCTACTATATGTGTACCGTACGGAGGAGCTGGCGCTTTATACTACAACAGACTGGCGCAATTTCGCCATTTGGGCAAACTGGTCGAAAACGCGGACATGCGCTGCATGCGTCCAGGCATGCGTCCGACATCTGGCGCGTCCAGTTGTCCGGCCCTGCTTCCCTCACTTCTGCAGTTTCGTGCGCTCGCCATCGAGGACCACAACGAGCGTTTGACCAACCAGCATTTCGTTAGTCTAGAGCGCAGTGAAGGACACACGAAGAGGGAGACAGAACACTTCAACACATAGCGCAACGCAAAAGACTTCAACATAAAGTTATGTCTACCGGATACCTATCCAGCAGGAGGGCGAACGACTCCGACCCCGAGCTGTCCGACGATGATGACGCTCTCTTTGCCGCGCTCGAGCGGGACGACGACGACCTCTCGGCTGATATTCGCGAGCGAAGAGTGGACGAGTTGAAGCGTGAGTGAGTGCACAAACAGTCGTTCCTGCTAAAAGATGCGTCTCAAGATCATAGTGCTAACTGCTGTGCTTGCACTCTGGGCTTTCCCACGTATTCAGTATGGCAAGACAGATGGAACTGAAAAATTGCGCATATGGAACATACGATGTCATCGCAACCGAGATGGAGGTGCTGAATATCACGACAACAATTAAGAACTGCGTTGTACACTTCGCGCACAAAAACTTCAGACGTTGTCAGCTTATGGATGGTCACCTTGAGGTGTGGGAGGCTGACCGGGCGAAGGGGGGGTCAGCGCTGGATTGCTGACAGATTGATCAATACTTTGCAGGCATTATCAAGAAAGCACCTCAAGACTCGTTTCATACGGGTGGATGTCGAAAACGCCCCATTCCTTGTCGAACGGCTGAAAGTAAAGGTTCTGCCATGCGTCGTGGCTTTCATTGATGGAAAGTCTGTTGACAGGTATGTGCATTTTGATCTTCCACCTTGCTCGTGAGATTGCGGCTGACGACTTACCCCATCCGCTTTCCAGACTGATAGGATTTGAGGCGGTGGGAGATGCTGATAATGTGCCAACATCGAACGTTGAGTCGTGGTTGCGGAAAGCTGGTAGGTTTTATTGAGCTTTGTCCTATAATCATCGCCCACTTTGAGTGCATCCTAACATCGGCGCACAGGGGTTTTGACTGCTGAGCCTGTCCAAAGTAACCCGCAAAGCATTTTTGGATTTCCCAGTGCTCAGGACTCTGATGACGACTATTAGTCTTGTAATGTACCGTAACAATAACAATACATGTCTCACCAAAGAGTCCGTCTGCGGCCTTACCTTACTAACATGCTGATCCGCCGGCATGCGAGCATACTCTTGAGATTCAGCCTGCTCTAATACTGTGGGAATCACAGTGTTGGTAACTGTCTGATATGGTAAGAAACGCACGGGAACGTTTGTCACCTCTGCCCTCGCCTCTGCCTCCGTCGTGTCGTCTACAAGGCTTTCTGAAGGTTTGTTGCTTTTCCCCGTCCGACTTCGGCGCAACATCGCCAATGCCCAGCGCCCAAACTCGAGACGGCCTACTCAATGGGGGTTCCACCCCTGACTTCCGCGGCAGCGAGTCTGATGTCGGGTCGCACTCACCTATCCCTCCTTCCCCGTTGCCAGAGAACCCCATTTCGTCATCGTCGGCTTCGCTCTCTCAAATAGTAACGCAAGGAGCATCCGCTCGCACAGTCGAACCACCGGCCCCAGCTAGGACGGACTCGCTCTCTGGGTACGAACGAGTTGACCACCTGAACAGACTCAGCATTCCCTCTCAGCGACCGGCGTCCCCAATGTCAGTGTCCTCAATGCCAACGCAGCTACCCTCGCACAACTCCCCACACCTTCCTTTTCGAAGTGCAGCACACCCACCGCACTCGGCCACGCCGTTGGCCCACCACCAACTACACCAATTCCCGTTCCCGGATACCACAACGACAGCAACTTCCACGACCCTCACCGCACCTTCCTCGTCTTCCCAAAACGAACACCACGTATATAGGAACCACACCCCAGGCGGTTTTAACTCACTACTTACGGTTTCGGAAACGGGCTCCTTACGGAGCAGAGTCTCCATTCATCCCGATGACAAAAAGAGGCAGGACGGCCGATCAACTGAGTTGTCGAGTTTGAGTGTGGAGGCGGGTCAGGGCGGAAGTGGGAGGGACGGCCATCGTGAGCATGATGGGCATGAGCATAATGAGGACCGTCGCCCGGCGGCGAGGGGGAATAGCGTTGATCAGGCGGCGCGGAGGAAGAGTGGGACGCATTTGCTGCTGTATACAAGAGCGGTGCCGTTACCCAAACGACTGGAGACTGCGACTGAGTACCGTTTCCTCATGCGATTGACGCAGATGTTCATGGCCGGGGGTTAGTTTGCGGCTTTCGAGTGTGCATGAGCCGAGTGGCGTTCTGATTCTGCTCCCATTTTGCAGCTGCGTTTGCTAGTCTTGCCACCGCCTCGTTCAATGTCAACTACACTTCCTCAGTGTTGGCCGTTTCTGGCATAAATCTCATGTGCTTCACTTCCATCTCGTCTCTGGTACGCTAGCTCCTGGATGTCTAGTGCGGGCTACGTGTGTCACATTTCTTACCCTATTCCGGTGTTTCCGCACAGTTCGTCTCGTTCGGAAGCATTCTAGTCTACTGCTTCCCCGCGTTCATCGGCGTCCCACCACACCGGCATCCTCGCTTCAGCCGAGTCGAAGTCGGCGTCGACATCCTCTATTTCGGATTCTGGGTAGCCGCCCCAATCGTTCTCTTGAAATACGGCCGTTGCCCCAGACTGACCTTCGGGTTATCCCCCGAATCGATATCCTGTCTGCCATGGAGCATGTGCACCGCCTTTGGATTCGCCTGTGCGGCACTGTTTCTTGGGACTGTTGTGATGGGCATCAGGGATCTGAAGCGGTATGGGGTGTGGAACGCCGGCCGTGGGAATGGTGTCATGTGGGCGAGGGGTAGCTGGAAGGAGTGGGCCGAGTCGACGCATAGAGTTACGTCGTAGCGATATCCGCACGCCTATGTAATATAGTGTTGAATTCATTATTTTTTGGTGGACGCTCTATGAGGAGTCGAGCTTTTGAACTTCGAATCCCTTCATGACTTCGTTTTATGAGGTGTATGTATATTGGCGCTGCAAAAATCTCTAGACGTTTAACCTAAAATCGCCTACGAACTCCCGATGACTCCGAATTCATGGATGGAAAAGCTCGGGCGGCAGCTCTGTCCTCTAGTGTGCTTTTTTCACGTTCGCTTCGTCCTCTGCGCAGGCAGCAAACGCGCTCTTCGACGATCTTCTTGAACAGCAAGCCTCGCACGTTGGGCTTACTCCATGGTTCGCTCTACCACATATTCAAGCAGGATATCCGGCCAGAGTGGGAAGATGCTTACGCTTCTCCTACGATCTTCTTGAACTTTCCACCTCCAATGCATGACTCCTTTCATTTCTCTGCGGAGGAACTGCTGGCAATCGCCTGCTGCCTGGGCTGCGCGGATGATTGTGCAGCGTTGACGCGGTCGCAATGCCAGGAAACAAGGCCGGGAACATGAGGGTGTTCTCGACACCAGCCTGCTGATGACCGACGACAGCATCATTCAGCCCGCTCGTCGGTCTCGCATGTCCTCCTCGCCGTGGTCCTGGCGACCTGGTATTTGGTCGGCGCGATGGAGGAGGTGCGGGAAAAAGGCCATGTGTGAGTCCATGGGCTTGATGTGTTGGAAGATGTTGTGGGATGTGGGTGTTGTTGGGGTTTTGAGAGTAAAGGAAGTTCCTTGCTGATGGCTGTAATGGCGGCAGGTATAATGCGGTGTTTGCTTTTGTCGTTGGTTCACTCGGTCTTGGGGACTCTGCGTGGTATGAAGATGCTTCTTTGTGTGTGCTATGCTGATAATGTGCGTGATGATCTCGGATGTTTTGAATCTGGCGTAGGGGTGTGCCTGGTGGTTGCTGATGTATGGTGCTTGGCGAATGGGTATGCGTAATATGCGGTAGCTTTTCTGTTGGAACGGGGCTAGAAGATGTAGATGTGACATCTAGATCCCCTCCACCATTTGTATCATTTTGTCTTCTAGTATCTGGCGGATGTTCTTGACGAGTTTGGTGTAATCGAATTAACATCGATGCTTGTGGTAGTGGTGGGAAGCTACCGCTGGAGTTGTGTGAGTTATGCGTATGTCGGAATGCTGCTACTGGGGTAGTGAAAATCCCATTTCCTTGGCCATTATTCTGATAGAGAGAGTGCTGGCTTTGGTCTGGTCCAACGGCGATAATTTGCGGTAGTTTGAACGAGGGTTGGTGGTCGGGTCGCGAATTGGAAGAAGCGCCAGGGTGCTGTGAGTATTGTTGCCGAAGATGCCGGCCATGAACCGACCTGCCGTGCAGTTGTAGCTGAGATGCGAGGAAGTTGGCGGGAGGCACGCTTCGTTCATTCCCGGTTCCCTCGTCGACGGCCGATGCGGCTGACGAGGTCGATACTCGCCGCGACTTTGACCCCAATTGATATTTCGTGCCAGCAGCGGGAGTCCAAAATGAGTCGTCGTTTTCCCGGCTATACACCGCTCTGCTCCTTCGGTGCCCGCCAGCCGACCTCGGCTGTGAAGGGCGCCCAATGCTCTGGCTATACTCGTCGATGCTATCTCGACTATTCTTCCTGCTACAACCAGAAACTCTACCATCTACATCCCCCAGTCGCGGGAGCACGCCTGCAGTTGCCATCCCTCCAGAGTGCATTGAAGAAGCACCTCCCGCGGCCATTGATTGTTGCATGAAGAGGGTATGCATTTCGGTAAAGTTCCTGCAAATCTTTCGTACACTTTCCTCGGTACTGAGGATAGTAAGAGGTTGCCAGAGGAGTAGTTGTTTGGTGTTGTCTATGCGTCTTTCGATGAACAAACTTGGATCCCGCCGTCGAGATGAAGATGCAATGGAAATCGAAAAGCTCGGCGAAGGATTTCCTTTCCTCGCTATGTGTTTTTCGAGAGGGATGGATTCCGTGGGGATTGTTTGTCGCTAATGTGACAATATCGACAGCGCGTATGTCATCAGCGCGTCTCCAGACTGAGTCACTCACGTTCATGTATCAATCCCCCTCCGCAAGACCAAGACCTCGTTGGCTACTTCCGATCTAGTGTTCAGCGTGAGTTTTTCCACATTGCACAGGTTCCAACTTCCCCGCGAACTAACTTACTAGATTTAGGGTTACAGCCGTCCGCGCGAAATAACAGGCCTGTTGGCAATGGCAGACGGCGGATACTAGGGAATATTACAGTCGATACACACGCTGTCAACTTATCCTGACTCCGCCCTGTGTGTAGGCTTCCCTCTTGCCCGGATTGATGCAGCTAAGTGGAATCACTTGGAATCATATGGTGTACTGTATGGTGTACAGTATGTATGTCATCAGCGCGTCAGGAGACATCAATCCCCCTCCTGGAAATCGCTTTTGTCCTCCGCACAGCACCAAGAACAAGCAAGGTTCCTTCCATTCCAGCAGTACGAGCGACGCATCTACGCCTCGTTCTTCAACCGTCCCTCCTTCTCCAGATCCCGCAGCCGGGCTGCCACGAAGCTCTTCGCCTTGTCGCGTAACGAGTTTTTACTGACTCCTTCTAGTGGGTGTGTCTTCCTGCCCTGCGCTTGCAGGTTCCATTCTGAATGAGTTACGGCAACTCGTCTCCATTTCCGAGCAACTCACCGCATGGCCAATATCAACCGCCACGCTTCGATGAAGATCCCGGCGCAGACGAGTCTGATGATGACGCACCGCCCCCGGAATTTCTACACGAGGGGGTCAGCGTCGACAATGAATCGCTCTATGAAGATCAGCACCTGACGGCCGCCCCGCATGAGTTTGCACCAAGCGCAGGCCCCAGTACCTACTTTAGACCTCCCATCAATGCCCATGTGAACTTTCAACAGCCTTTACAGCAGCAACAGCAGCAGCAGCGAGTAGACTTGAGAAGCGGGTATCAACCGCCCGAAATTCTGTTCGATGCCGGCGAAGACGACGACGATGACGACGAATCGGACAATGGGGAAGCCCCGGCGTCCATACGATTTGAGATGGAGCCGCTGAATAGTAATCGAAGGTCATCTCAATTTCCGCCTCGTGGTCTTGACCGTCTTGGAATATCCCGCCGTCCACTGCGAGAGCGCACCTCGTCCTTTCCGGGTTTGAGCGGAAACCTCGGCAGTAGCATTGGCCTGGGACGGCCCTCGAATCCAAAAGACCGAGCATTGAGATTTTGGACGCAAGCCGATAATATGGACAAAGTTCTGATATCCATATATCAATACTTTGAAGGAAAGGGGATCTATTCCATCGTGCTATCGCGAGTGATAAAGACCTTGTAAGTCGCAAAATACCTTTTTTCACCGGAGTATCTCAGCTCAGTGTTCAGGGCTTGCCAAGTATAGGATGAAGGCGTTCCTGGTCATCTTCTCGACATTTCTGTTCTTCTGCATCGACTACTCTTTGATCCATCAGAAGAATATGCTATCGGAGATCGTCAGACCAAGCTGCATGTCTTTCTCGTAGGTACCGGCGCTACGTAGTTGTTGTTAAGCACTCATTGACTTACCCCGCACTTCCAGTGGATCGGGACTGCAGTCCCTTATCATTCTTGGTATCTTTGCGTGGTTTGCCACGGAGTTTGTGCTTCTCCTCAAAGAAGTTCCTCGCCTTGTGGAGTTGTCCAATTTCTATACTCACGTCCTGGGCATTCCGGAGGTTCGCTCAATGCACTCAGTGGGCTACCGTTCACAACAATGCTGACGGCGATCTATGCTTCAGGGTAACATCCAGACAAGCACATGGGCGGACGTGACTGCAGTTTTGACGACCCTTCCATATCGTCGCGGGACTCTAAATGCTCACACGGTTGCGAACCGGATCATGCGGAGGGACAACTACATGATCGCGCTATTCAACAAAGATCTCTTGAACTTCACACTCCCCGTACCATATTTCCGTGGGCATCAGTTCCTCACACGCATCACGGAGTTTATCCTCTTGTGGTGCTTGTGGGGTATCGTTTTTGACCGAAATTGGCGCATCAAGAAGAAAGTGCTGGAAGGGAATCGGAGGGAAGCTCTGGTAACAGAGTATGTTGAGGAACGCTGCAGATGGCTCCCGTACTCGTGGGATGCATAGCACGGTTTAGCATCAGACTGACTTTCTGCGCGCAGATTGAACACGCGATTCGCCCAAGTAGCGCTTGTAGCCCTCTTATGCTCGCCTTTCTTGCTAGTATGGCTTCTTATGTTCTTCTTCTTCCGGTACACCGAGGTGAGTGTCTTTTGTCACTGTCAAGCCGTGGTACAACAACTTGCCTAATCAATCAATCGTCTTCAGGAATTTCATAAAAATCCATCGTCGCTTGGCACACGGCAGTACTCTCCTCTTGCAAAGTGGAAATTCCGCGAATTCAACGAATTGCCTCATCTGTTTCAAAAGCGTCTGAACCGGAGTTACCGACTCGCCAACAAGTACATGAACCAGTTTCCAAATTCCAAAGTCACTTCTGTTGCAAAGTACGTAGATTCCTCGATATTCCCTAGTTCCCTTCGTTCCATACTTACCGCATCGTTTGATGACGTTATCTGCAGTTTCGTATCGTTCGTCACGGGCTCCTTCCTGTCTGTGCTCATCATCGCGACTCTGCTATCCGAAGACCTCCAACATCGATTTGAAATAACACCCGCGCGGTCGGTTTTCTTCTACATCGGGATCTTTGCGACTATCACCGCTGTGGCAAGGGGCATGGTACCAGACGAGAATGAAGTGTTTGAACCCGCATTGCTTCTTCGAAACGTCATTGAAGAAGTGCGATATATCCCGGACACTTGGCGGGATAAGCTCCACACGAACGAGGTACGCTATCACGGTTGCGTTCATTTTTGAAGGAATGAATCATGATCAACGGACTTCTGCTCTTCTCAGGTCCGCGGAGAGTTCGGCGCGCTATTACCATTCAAGTTACTACTCTTCTTGGAAGAGGTTGCCTCGGTTGCATTCGCACCAATCATATTCTTCTACTCCTTACCTACATGTGCTGGCGAGATCATCGATTTCTTTCGGGAGTTCACCGTTCACGTTGATGGGATCGGATATGTCTGCTCATTTGCGGTCTGGGACTTTAGGAAATTTGGGAATGCGAAGGTGGGTGGTGTGCAGGTTCGAATGTAAGCGACCCTTCGATGCTTACTTTGTGGCCTTCTAGTATGGAGCTCCAACCCAAGGACGTAACGACTACTACTCCTCGAAGGGTGGCAAAATGGAGCAATCTTTCCTCAATTTCAAGGTACGTCTCGCCGAACGCCGCTTACCTTCATGTTTCATGTACACTGAGAGTGACTTCAACTTTCCAGGCGAACAATCCCGATTGGGATCCCGGAGAAGAGGGCTCGCAATACCTCAATGCTATCCTTGCTCGTGCGGGGAACGCCGAGAGTGGGAATCAGCAAGCATCTGGGCTTTACTACCCTGGTGCACCTGGAGATCCCGGCGTATCCTCTAGTCTGCTGATCCATTCGCTCCTGCGACCAAAGGTGCGTCCCCTGTGATCTTGTTTGGACGGTCGTACCGCGCCAATTGTGGCAAGTGTGCTTACTGCACGGTTTCCAGCGATCTGTCAAGTTCGACGGCCAAAGCACTCGCCAACCGCAAATGTCTCCTCCACGTGGACAGGGTGCTCATTTGCAAGTACCCCACCCCAGCGATCGATCGCCTCACCCGCTCGCGCAGAGCGCCGTCTCTAGCGGCTTCCGGCAAACGTCGCAACAGGACTCGATGATGTTGTCCGAGTCTGTGCTTGGGGGAGATGAGAAGGGAACGGTTGGCAGAACGCTTTTTGCGTTGCTGGAGAAGATTTATCAGGAGAACCGAACACCTTTTTGAGGAGTCCCCTTCTAGCCATTTGTTCTGCCATTCATGTCCATTTCTTTTGGCTCGTTTGGAGCATTTTTTTGTTGTAGATATGTTTGTATATAGCATTTTGAGTCCCGTAGTCTGGTCTTCGGGTAGGAAATGCGTAATAGCCATCTACGTACAGTATGTAACTCTTGTGGGATAGGCCATGGCGGCCAGAAAGGACGCGTCGGAGTCATGAGGAAAGCAACCCATGGCAGACCCCTGGCAATGGCGGCAGGCATTTCTTGAGCTCCCACTGGGTTCCTAACTCCACGTCAACCTCCACGTCGGCTAACCACCACACAGCACAATGTCCACCCCATCACCCACCCCTCCAACCTGGACGGCACCACCGCCCGACCTCCCCAACCAATCCTTCCTAACAGTCTCTATCATCCCGGCAGGATATCTCGACCTCTTCGAAGAAGACTTCTTCGCCGATCAAGCCGGGAACCAGAGCACGCGCTCAGTGCCCTCATTGGCGTTCTTGTTGCGGAATGATACCACGGGGGAGAATGTGATGTTTGATTTGGGTTTGAGGAAGGTGCGTTGGGGTGGGGAAACGTGCGGCGACGGGATGAGAGTCGAGTACGGAATGGCTCTCGGATGAGGGTTGCTAAATGAGAAGCTGCAAAAATGCGTGTACAGGAATCGGCGTTCCCGGAAGACATGCAGAAATGGCTGCCGCAGGTCAACCTCAAAGTGGAGAAGGATGCGGCGGACGTTTTGCGGACGGGTGATGTGAAGCCTGAAGATGTGCAAAAGATCGTGTTCAGGTAACCAAGCCACCAGACAGCCGGAATAAGATATCGAAAACATATGCCTCCCGAGGAATGACGCTCACTATCATTCATCCACCCCAGCCACCTACACTGGGACCACGTCGGCGACGTCAGCAGCTTCCCGCAAGCCCACCTTTACATTGGCCCCGGCGCCAGCCCCCGCCTCAAACCCAACTTCCCCTTCCCCTCCCACCCATCCCCCATCACGGAACTCACCATCCCCCCCTCGCCCTTCGGCGCCTTCACCCACAGCCTCGACCTCTTTTCCAACGGCACGCTCTACATCCTCGACGCTCCCGGCCATTTCCCGGGTCACATCGTCGCAGCCGCGCGCGTGGGGCCGGGAACGTTTGTACTGTTGGGCGGGGATTGTTGTCATTGTCGGGAGAGTTACACGACGAGTGTGAGGCAGATTCCGGAGTGCAATCATGAGGATGTTGTAGTCGCGAGGGAGACATTGGGGAGGGTGAGGGAGCATGGGAAGAGGGGATGGTGTGCTCTGTTGGCGCATGAGACGGAGCGGTTGGGAGAGTGTCCGATTTATCCAGAGGTTTTGAGGGAGTTCTCGGCGGTCAACCTCGCTTGAAGGAGTACTCTTAAATGCGGTTGGGACAATTTGGAGCGCTGAAGGGACGAACTGTGAGATGTCACTGCGGCATTGTTGTGGGCGATGTACTGTGAGCATGACCTTTGCAGAATACCGGCCATGCTGTACCGCCCGGTGTGCGATTACTTTGATTGTAGTTAGAATAGCATTTTTGCTTTGGTACCCATCAATCTAGTAGTACTCCCAGGAACGTATGTACGTAGTTCCAGCAAATTGAGTAGATGTTCATAGAAAGAGCCATCTTCTATTTCAGAAAAAGTACAAATGGAGCCTAATTTTTGACATAAGGTATCTTCCTGTGTGGTTTGTTTTCAAAACGGTAGGAGTGGGAAAGGATGGGGAATCTGCGGTCATCTTTATAGCTGGGCAGACGCGGCTTGACTTTGTCGCTGTGCGTGGAAAGCGTCGATCTTCCTCTCGATTTCGGGGCGGAAGTGGCGGATAAGACCTTGGACTGGCCACGCGGCGGCGTCACCCTGGAAGAGGAGTGGTGTAAGCGCATTTATTCGCGGCACGTATCAAAGAAAAGTAAGGATGACATACCAAAGCGCAAATAGTGTGTCCCTCAATCTGCCTACTCAGTTCCTCAATCATATCAATCTCCGCCTTCTTTGCGTTTCCAGACTCGAAGCGCTTCATCATGTTGGCCAACCATCCAGTTCCCTCCCTGCACGGTGTGCACTGTCCACAACTCTCATGCTGGTAGAATGCACTGAGGCGGGAAATGGCGCGGACAATGTCGGTGCTTTTGTCCATGACGATGACGGCGGCGGTTCCCAGACCCGATTGGGCGTCCCGGAGGGAGTCGAAGTCCATCAAGACTTCCTCGCAGATGTGCTTTGGCAGGACTGGGACGGAAGAACCGCCTGGAATGATGCCGAGTAGGTTGTCCCATCCACCCCGTACTCCTCCACAGTGCTTCTCGATGAGATCCTTCAAGGGGATCGACATCTCCTCTTCGACTGTGCAAGGCTTGTTGACGTGCCCGGAAATACAGAACAGCTTTGTACCGCTGTTACGCTCCCGTCCAAGGCCAGCAAACCACTTTCCACCACGGCGGAGAATGGTAGGCGCGACCGCTACCGTCTCGACGTTCGCGACGGTCGTAGGGCAACCGAAGAGACCGACATCGGCAGGGAATGGGGGCTTCAATCTAGGCTTTCCCTGCTTTCCCTCGATCGACTCGATCAACGAGGTCTCCTCTCCGCAAATGTATGCTCCAGCCCCACGGTGAACGTACACGTCAAAGTCGTAACCAGACCCGCAGGCGTTCTTGCCAATAAGCCCGTTCTTGTACGCTTCGTTGACCGCTTCCTGGAGGTTAGACGCCTCGAGGTAGAATTCACCACGGATGTAGATGTATGCAGCGTTAGCGTTCATGGCACGGCCGGCGAGAAGACATCCCTCGACCAGCTTGTGTGGATCGTGACGCATGATTTCGCGGTCTTTGCATGTGCCCGGTTCGCCTTCGTCAGCGTTGACGACCAGATATCGAGGACGGCCGTCGGGACCTCCTGGCTTGTTCATGAACGACCACTTCATCCCTGAGGGGAACCCAGCACCACCTCGACCGCGCAGACCCGAGGCCTTCATTTCATCGATAATCCACTGGTCGCCCTTGTGGATGATTTCCTTCGTCTTGTACCAATCTCCACGCTTCTTGGCGCCGGCGAGTTTCCAGTCATGCTTGCCGTACAAGTTGGTGAATATCCTGTCTTCGTCGCTCAGGTTGCCGTATGTGCGGGTGGGTTTGGCTGTCGGGGCTACGGTGGCCAAACTGGCGGTCTGCTGCAGTGGACGTCGAAATGCGGCGGCCACTGCGCCCTGCCTCAGCGAAGAAGAGGCAGCGGCGAGTGTTCTCGAGGCCAAGTGCATCGTGCTATGCTCTTATAGAACGTAGGTGTGCTGCAGGTGGTTTCGTCGCCCGCTTGCGATGCCTGCGATTGGGAAGCGGGTGGGAGAATTGCCGAGTTCAAGCTGTTCAAGCGAGAAAATCCGCACCGCGCTCGCTGGCCAGATCGGACAACCCTAACCCAGACCCTAACCGCAGACCTCCTTACGGACTGAGAGAGAAGCAAGGAGATTCGGTGCCCGTTCGCAGACATCCCACATACATACTAAAACGCAAGTTCACTAAGTGCAACGAGGGAAGCTTTCCGAGAGTCTCCACTCACCGAAAAGGTCGCGCCAATGTTCAGAAAGCAAGTATTGTGCTTCATTCGCCCGAAGCTGCAACCAAATTCTAACCCCGCCTGCCCACCCCCACCTTGGGACGCTATGCAATCCCAACCAATAACAGGTTCAACCCCCGGGAGGACATATCCGGAAAGTCAAAGGTCAAGTCGTCCGTACAGCGTGCCATCCGGTCAAAGATCCTGGAACAGTATCCAGCACTCAACCCATACGCGGACGAGCTGTTGCCGAAGAAGGAGCCGCTGATACTGATCAAGTGGTATGGGTTGTGAGAGCGGGAAGTTGGGAGGCATATCTGGAGAGACGACACAGTGGAGACTGATGGGCTGGCTTATATTTCAGCCATGACCGGGTCAACATTGTAATGCAGAATGATGAAGTGCTGTTCTTCAACCACCACGACGGGCCGTACTACCCAACACTGAAGCTGCTGCACAAATGTAAGGATCCCAGCTTCATCACCTACGATCTCTTCCACTTATCGCAACTACATCACACCCACAGACCCAGACATCATGACAAAGGTACAAATAGACCGAGGCGCCATCAAATTCGTCCTATCGGGAGCAAACATCATGTGCCCGGGTTTAACGTCAAAGGGAGGGCGGTTAGGAGACGATCTGGAGGTGGATGCGCCTGTGGCTGTTTTGGCGGAGGGAAAGGAGCATGCTCTGGCGTTGGGGGTGATGAAGATGAGTTCTAAGGAGATGTGAGTTCTGTTAGCTGTACCCTTGATACTGCTTCTCGAGTGGGTCGCTGACATGCGTGCTGATTAATGAAACAGAAAATCGGTGAATAAGGGCCATGGAATCGATCTGGTGCATTATCTCAACGATGGGTTGTGGAAGAACCGCGTTGAGCCGTAGACTATTGGGTGGACGGACGAGAGTTTTGTGTCTTAAGTTCGCGCTAAATGAAGACATATGCCAGACTGCCTACTAGCTACTTTGCGTGAACCCACGCAAAGACCAGATGGACGTATTTGTACGTACTGTATACTAAACGTATGGATTTTCCACAGTTTCTATACGGAGCGATCTGCCAATGAATATGGCGTGGAACACGAAGGGTGGACGACGGACGCATCAGATCTATTGCTATTAAAGTACTACATCGATGAGGCGCACGATTGAGCTAAACGTAAAAGTACGACACCTCAAATAGACGCCCGCCTCCCATGCCGTCCCCACGCAGCCGTCTCCTCCTCCGGCACGCCAAACCGTTTCCTCAACGTCCCGTCCATCTGCCACTTCGCCACCTGCTCCTTCCCATACTTATACCCCACCTGGAAGATCTCCGTAAACGATCCAAACTGGAGCGTCCCGTACTTTTGCACCGGCGGGTTAAGGTAATAGCATCCTTCCAGCTGCTTGGCGTCTTCCAGTTGCTTGACGCTCGACACATATGTTAAGCGGGACTGGATATCGGCCATCAGCGGGATATTCCCGTATTTCCGCGTCACATAGCCGCCAAACACGGGCACATAGCGCTGCGCGAGGGCCCACCACCCAGACAGCGAGTCGCCGTACATGACGGGGCTGGTGTCGTCCACGGACCCGACATCCACGGCAATGATGGTTTCCGCGCCGTGGTTGCGCATGATGTCTGCCGGCAGGTTGTTGATGTATCCGCCGTCGAGGAGCATGTTGCCGTTGTCGCAGAGTGGGGGGAAATAGCCGGAGAGGGACATGGAGGCGCGGACGTAGCGCCACATGTAGCCCGTCTGGTGGATTTCCATGCGGGACCAGGTGATGTTAGTTGTTACGGCAAAATAGGGGAGCCAGCAGTCTTCGATTTGGGTGTTTGCGAAGCACTGCGGGGAATGATGAAGCACGTGAGCATCACGAGCGGACATTCCTTTCCACAACCAAGGCGTGGTACGACTTTTACGATGTGACGTACCTTCCACACAGCACGATTAAACTCATGCCCCGTAAACATAGCTGTGACCGGGTACGTCAAATCCAGCACCTGCCTCCACTTCGAAACCATCCTCCCGGCAAACATCTTCGCCCGTCCATACACACTCACATGATCATTCTCACGCGCATACAAACCGCCCACAAAACTGCCTATACTAGTTCCTCCAACCATGTCCACGGGTATCCCCGCCTCCTCGAGTGCGCGGATGACGCCAATGTGCGAGATACCGCGCGCGCCGCCGCCGCCCAGGACAAGCCCGACGGATTTGGACAGTAGGCGACGAGCCAACCGCGCGAAATCGGAGCGGATGCCCGTATGCAGATGCAGGGTTGAAGATTGCGTGTCGAGATGGGGTACGTTCAACTGGTTTATGCTCTGGAAGTGGCCGCGGATATTGGACACGGTGTTGGTTCTCGCTGATTCGGCGAGCAGTCGCGGGGCGTTGAGTTGCATTTGGACGTGGTGGTGCGCATGCACCCATGACCGGCTCTTCAGCCACTGAGCTGTGCTGCCTGTCCGACAGAACCGGGCGCTGTGCACCAAGACAAGCTCCTTGCGCGCGGTGGTCTTCATCCCAATCAAGACGCGTTCGTGGTCTCCAATCTCCGGATCGTCGTCGCCGATGCCGACGAGGAGGACGCAATCGGCTTGTCGGACGCACCGCTGCGTCCATGGCGAGTTGGCTGCGCCGTCAGCGACGTAGATGACCATGCGATGGCTTTCCTCCTGGTCCGCTAGCCAGCTGGTCAACTTTAACCTGCCGATTCGCGTGAAGGCGTGCTTGCCTAATGCTGTCATAACGCTGCCCGTGTTCAGGACAGTGACGGTAGCCCCAACGTGGTCCATGGCGGTTTGCAGCTCTCTCGCAAAGTCGGTGATGGGCACCAGACCGTTTACTGGCAAGATGGCGACAGTGCGCATGTTGACGTTCACCGGATTCTTTTTGCTGATTGGGCGTGATATTCCATCCGAACCGCGGTATGATCGGTCATGGATTAACGAGCTGCGGGACCGAGATGCTATTAGACGCGAGATGGCGATGGTGATTTCCGGGTGACGCAGGGCCAAGGCGTTGAAGAACGTGTTCGGCATCACCGCGATTTCCGTGTCACGGATAGCGTGGACGGTGGCCGGTCGTCTTCCGTCGGTCAAGACTTCCATCTCTCCTACAGACTCGCCTTGGCCATATTCCGCAAGGATCTCGAACGAGGCCTGTTCGCCTTTCCCCTCCTTTGTTCGCTCGACTATACTTCGCAAACGCCCATTCAGCACAATGTAGATGGAGTCCGCAGGCTCGCCTTCTCTGCACAGAATATGACCGGCGTTCACTTGATCCCAACCCAATGCGGCATCGATGTGGAACACTAGTGGTGACAGTTGCGAAATCAGCCGCTTTGCGAGAGATAGGAGCACGTTCGGATGTCTGTCGATGTAGCGTTCCAGGACCGGTTTTGGCAAGAATCCAACATACACATCGGTCTTGGCGCGGATGCTGACAAACGATATGTATCCTGCGCAAAGGGCAATGAGTTCTCGGTTGTATGTCCCCTGCCGAAATTGCCCACTTACCTGTCACTGCAGCAAGGTATCCAGCCAATCCTCCCGGCTTAATCAAAAACAAGCTACGCGGATGCGACCGATGATCCGCACCCACCGACTCATCCCCAGGAAACCTCTCACTCTGCCCCGCATTTCTTGCCGGATCAATGGACGACATGACCGACGCCTCCAGCGTTCCATCAATGACAAAGTACAACCCCGCGTTCCGCTCTCCTTCTTTGATCAGCGTCGTGCCTCGTTCGTAGAACAGGATATGCACGTCGGAACTTCCTGGATCGCTCGCGTTAGATGCGACGGACATTCTTGAAGACGTTGAAGCTGTGTCGTCGAAATCGTTGGTAGAGCTACCAGGGGATGGGCGTTGCTGGTCTGTGAAATGACGGTTCCGTGATAGATAGCCTCCTAGAGTGCTTGAAGAAGAGCGATAACCTGCAGCCATGGGAGAAGCGGTAGCCGATGCATTGCTCGGGCTGCTTTCGTAAGGTAGCATCCCAATAATCTCTGCAATGCAAGCAAAAATGGCCTCTTTCATATCAGCGTCTTCGCCTTCGTGGGTCAGAAGGTGACCAAAGCTCTTTTCTTCCTTGTTTGGCGAGTTCGGGATTGGCGATGTCGGTGATGCCGTATATGGTTTCCTTTCCCGATCGGAGTCTTCCACGTCCCCCTCATAATCGTCCGTGAGTCCTGCTTTCGGGTTTGATGACCTTCTCAAACGCGATGGAATCTTGACCCGCTCCGGCGTCTTTCGGCTACCTCGTCTCTGTGCAACGTTCGGGCGCGTCCCTGCATCCGAGTACGATGGCTCTGAAGTTCGTCGGATCGCGTCTGCCCTCTCACGCAATCGTTGAAAGTCCGCCAAGCTGAACAGACTCTCTGGCAGACCAGAGCCAGCAATCTCGTTCACGCGCTTCTCTATCTTCAGAAGCTCTTTCGATAGCCCCAAGTACCGATACAGCGTCATGAAGGTGACACGCTGGAAACGCGTCAAAATGACCTGCACCATATGTGCAGCTGCTTTTGGGAACTTTTCGGTAAGATGTTGGAATGCGTGAGCGGGAATCACAGCAAGTGTTGTGTCACGAGCGGCACGCGCGGCGATATTTGCTTGAAGGTGTCGAGGAGTCCGGCATTCTGTCGTGACGATCTGTGGTAAATTCGTGTTGCCTCGTTTCCCATCCGCAGCGTCACGGGCAGCATGTGGGTCGAAATAATGCTGGGCCTCTTCTGGCCGGTTCAGACTGAACCCATCGTCGGGAACGTGTGTGCTGTCCAGCTTGAATGCTTTGAGTCCGGGAGATTCCCGTAAACTTCCCTGTGCGCGCTGAAGCGGCGACAAATTGGCCTGAAGGTGGGGGGAAGCCGACGCGCCTCTCATTTTGGGAGACTCGTTACTTCGAAGACCAGGAAACACGTCCTGCGAGCTTGGATTGATCTGATCCTTCAGATTGGTGGGGTGGGATTGCCGCGTAGAGCTCCGTTCAGCTGGACTATCCACCTTGTCCGTGAAGACGGAAAGGATGTTGAAAAGACTGGAAACGGTCCCTCCAGCTTTGACGACGTTCAAAAGATGATGCCCAGACCAGTCACGCCCGACCGACTCAAAGTCCTCGTCATCTTCCGGGTCCTGATGCGTCAGTTCGTCATCCTTCGTGTCCGCTCCTTTGACGAAGACCTGTATAGCCCCATCAACGACGACGAAGAAGTCGCGCACGTCATCGTCGTGACGAAACAGGATCTCTCCGGCTTTCAGCTTTCTCGTTCGCAGATGTCTGGCAAGCTCGTGAAAGACCGCTCTCTCCAGGTAGCCAAAGATTTTGATGGAGGACAAGAACGCCCCCATGAGCTCGTCGGGATAGTTCCCACCGGCTGGGTCATCGTGGAACGCGGTATCCGGATGCAAGTCGAACGGAACGGACCCAGCTTTGTTTGTGTTTGTCTCGACGGCTGGCAGTCTCGAGTATATCGTGAGAACACGGTAGCGCAAGATGAGGTAGCCGATGAGACCGAGGAGCACGGCGAAGATGAGCAGCGTCCAGTAGTTCAAGGTGACTGTGGCAGTGAACGAGAAAGACGACGGTCGGAGATATTTGAATGGCCATGGTATCAGCGAGCCAGCAGCAGCGAGGAGTCGAGCTGGCCATGTCATCGGTGCGGTTTCGTTGGCTGCGAGTAGGACTGACGTTGTGGTATTGGAGGCGACGTCGGGCAGCACTTGGCTGGAGATGTTGCCAGCGACGTCCATTGCTAGTGGGGCGGCTGTGACGGAAGCAAACAGAAGAGCGAGGCCCTAGGGCAGAACGAAGGCTGAGAGGGTCTGGGGGGTCTTATGGATATCTCCAAGGATATCGGAATCCATCCTGTCAGTCTGCCCCTTCAAGACTTTCAAGTTGGGGAACTTCTCATACAGTACAATACGTAGGTGGCCAAAGCCTCAAAGCCTCCGGTTTTCTTTCTTGCTTCTCTCACTTCTGGATGATTGAAACCGCGGCTTTTGATTAGGACGTTGATTAAGGCCAGGACGATTTTTCGAGTACCTGGTTGATGCCGATAAGGTCCACAAATCCAGCACGAAGATGACCTCAGACGCACATGTTTTGTGGTCCTCGCTGGCGATACTACTGAAGAACACCCGGAAAGCCACACTTCTCTCCTGTTCTTGTTCAAAACGCGTGGACGACGCGACGCGTTCGACCGGGACGTTCGCAAAAGCGCCAGCTTCCCTCCGTTCAATGTGAGGACTGCCGACAAGCCACGATGAGGCAAAGCCCGATCTCATCTATCGATGTCTCATCTGAGAGCGACGACGACGAGATAGCCAACAGTCCAGGAAAGGCACCGCAGCATGGCCAAATTGACCAGTACTCAACCGATTTCGAGGGCAGCGCATCGGTGTCCGCCTCGCAGGCCCCAGACGTTCTCATCACTTCCACCGAAGACGAGTTTGATGAAGAGGATGAGGAGCTGTCACTCGATGGTTCTGAGACCGAGGAGGAGCATGGGAGTGGGGTGGTTGCGGGTACGGTGCGCTCATCCGACGAGGATGATGAGATATCGCTGGGTGAAGTGGTGGACGGACAAGTTGAGAAGGCGGCGGTTGACGGACGGAAACACCCACTTGTGGTTCCGGACGTCTCAGAGAAGAGTCTATATATGCCTGAACGAAACACCGGCGTGCGCGCTAGTATTGGACCTGAGGTGCTTGCAGTTTCATCGGAGCCAGTGCTTATCTTCCCTGGTTCATGGCGGGACAGCCATGCGGATGCATATTCGCTTGAAGCAAATAAAGTATCAGCGGTACCTGCTCCAGCCGGGTCAAAAGAAAAGCCTGATGTGGTACCCGGCATAGACGATTCACTATCTGAGGACGACATCTCCCACATGTTAACTGAACAGTCGTCAATAATAGAAGAGTCAATGGAAGAGTCGAGAGGAGGCCAAAGCGACGTCGATGAAGAAGGCTCGGTTCCGAATGTGTTGCTACCGCGGACTACCGTCGCAAAAAGTTCGGATTCCGAAACCTCACTGATCTCAGAATCAGAGTCCGGACGGAGCCGAAGCGATGATGGCGCAGAGGCCCCGAGCCTCAGGGTATCCCTACCTCGAACAATCGTCGCAGAAGGGTCAGATATCGAATCATCTCAATCGTCAGCACATGATTCGAGAGGAGGCCAAAGTAAAAGCTACGCTGAGGTAGAAGCTTCAAGTCCGACAGCATCACCACCTCAGACGACCGTCGCTGAGGATTCAGATCTCGAACCATCTGAGACCTCAGGGGAAGATTCGGAAGGAGCTCAAAACGAATTTAATGGCGCTTCGAGTCCGAGTGCATCACCGTCTCGAACATCTGCCGCAGAACAGTGTGGACCAGACCCAACACAACGATCAACGCAGAATCCTAAAGGAGGCCATAGCGACGTCAACGTCAATGCCTCACAACCCTCCCTACCAAATGCATCACCCCCTCGGACACCCATCGCCGCCGAGTCCCAGATCAGAGACTCCCAAACATCAGAGCATGCATCCCCTCCGTCACCATACAGCGAAGACTTCACAAGCATCTCCCTAACCCAAGATGAAAAAAATGCCGAAGATGCATATTCCGTCGATTTCGAAAGTGATAATCCTCTCTCAGAGTCAATGCTGGACGGGGAAATGACGCCGAAACAAGCACAACCTCAACCGGATCCCAGCCCCGGCGAAGACCATGGCGATCCTTCGTCTGGAAGCCGGATGCCGGGGAAGAGTCCATCGGCTGGCGTTGAAGCAGAGGGGATCAATCCGCTGCTGGTTCCGAGTAGGGACGCGCAATCGGACTCGGAGGCGAAGTCTTCAGAGGACGAGGTCTCACTCTCCGACGTCGATGACGAAAGCGGATGCGAATCCGCCAGCGGCGAAGACGTGGAAGCGTTCATGAGGGAGATTGGCGGGGTGCGGGGTGAGGATCTCGTTGATGTGGGCGAATTGGAGGAGGAAGAGAGCGCGGACGTGGAGTGGGATGCTGATGATGGTCATGTGGCTGGGCTGGCAATGGCTGAAGCTGAGGGAGGTCGTGAGACGGAAGTCTTGCAGCAGCCTGATACACGGAAGCTAGCAGTGGCGGACCACCCTTCTGACACAATGCAGCAGAATGCATCGGATGCTGTTTCGCAACAGCATCCAGCCGAAGCGAATTCACTCCCAAATCCCACTCATGCACATCACCATAAACCCGCCGAAGTCCCGTGCGCCAGAACCACCCCCTCAACCACCGACACCTCCGAACTACTCCCGCCGCCTAACACCACACACGACCTCCGCTCCCCACCCGACACCTCCTCCTCCTCCTCCGCTCCCCCCAATGTAATCGTACCGGTCTTGCGAATTCGACCCGAGGGAGCACATAAGCCGCCGCAGGAACCCAAAAGCCCTCCGATTGAGTTGTTACTCTCGGCGAATGAGGCGGTTTCGAGAGTTACGGTCGACTCGTCTGCGTCGTATTACTTGATGACGCCAAGTGATGGAGTGTCGGAGTTGGGCAATGAGCACAGCGAGGATGAGGAAAATGTCGTTAGGATTGAGATGCCTAGCGAAGAAACATCGGACTACGTCCTCGACGACCCTAGCGACGCTACGGATTCGATTGATGTCGAGATCGTAAGTCACATTGTGGTCCCATACGCTCCAACAGATTTGTGTTCTCGACCATAGACCTCTCCCCCAATAGCAAACCTCCCAATCCCTCAGGTCAGCCCTCTTCGCCCGTCTCCGCCAGAAAGTCCTCCACAACACCCACCCTCCACCCACATCCGCCCCCACCAAGCGATCAACACACACCCCGGCACTGGCCACCCTCTGCACACGCGTGGACGCCCACACGCGAGCGGCTGCCGCCAGGGACCCGGTAGTGCGGCCTGTGCCGTCGAAGTGGGTGCAGCGGGTCAGGTGGAAGACCCTGATGAAGTCGATGGAGGAGCCGATGGAGTCGGGTGAGGAGGGTGATATGTGAGTTCACGGAGCCCATGGATTGTTAAGGGGTTATTGCAGTTAATTATTAACAACGCAGATTCTTGGTGTACCCTTATAGAGCATATACCGGACCACGCAGTTACGATACCATCCCGCGTACCCGAGCCCGCGATGCTTTCAAGCAAGAGATGCTCGACCGGTAAGATCTACGCTCCCGATCTCTGTCATGGGTCAGAAATCCTGGCTGCCTTCTGACCATCTCACACCAACAGAACTCCCAATCTCTCCCATCACAGCACATCGGCATATACCGTGAGATACATGCCAGCATACACGTCTACGCATACACCGTCATACACCGCGAACCCGCGATTGCAAGCGCTCTTTTCCAAAAGAACGATTGATATATGCGAGGCGATGGCGGAGATCGAGGCCGGGGCGCCCGCGCTGGATCTGGACGCTTACAGGGCGGCTATCGCGTCGTCGTGATGTGTGTGTTCGGCTCAGGGTTCGGTTTGCTTTCGGCGCGTTTAGGGAGTGTTACGCGTGAAAGATGGGCTCTCTTGCATGCCACGCTGGACACGAACTTCCTTTCCATTCTCCGCTCATATAGCCGTATCGCCGGATTTTTCGTCATTCCACGCGCTGCATCCTATCACTTTGGATGATTGAGAATCCACGATCGGGTTCTTTGAAAAGGAACGTAAGCCGGCCTCACTGCACACCAATTTCAGCGAATGCGTGATTATAGCGCTATATTGTATCTATTCTTGGTAATTCATATGCGATCCGTCGTGATTCCACTACAAACCGCCCCCTACACGGCCTACGTTCTCCGTTTCGACAGCTTCACAGCGGCTTTAGTAGTCGCCAGCCCAATCTCCTGATCCACCTCCAACAGCTGGGTATCCACCGCCAGCTTCTCCATCTTCCTTTGCAACGCCGTCACCGCTACCGGATCCTTCGCAAACGGTTCAAACGCGGCGCGGAAATTCCTGGCCGATTCCTTCAATTGCAACTGTGTCATGGAATCCAGCTCCGATACCAGCTGGGTCAGGGTGCGCCCGTCATCTTCGCTCGGGAACAGTATGGGCCCGAGTTGAGCCATGGCAATCGTGCTTACTACAAAAAGCTGTCGTAGCATCTCAATATGCTCGTGGGTCGTTCGCCATGGGATCAATGTCCGCAGGATCGTGTTGGGGACGGACGTGCTGGGGCTCAACAGGATGCGCGATTCGAAGCAGCCCATTGCCAAGACGCCTACGAAGCGCCAGTAACGACCTCCGCCAAGACCTCCAAACATACCCATGAGGAGCATAACGACACCTGTGCCAACGTAGAACGTCACGACGCCTGGTAAGGCATTTAAGACGTAATCCCGCTCGGTGACACAGCGGGGGCATGTATCCATGTTCGTGCCAAATTTGTCTGCAGACACCTGTTTTAGCATCGGGCCCTAAGGCCGGCCTGCGACGTCCTTCCGCCGTGACGTACCATATGCCGTCCGTTTTACGGGATCCTTCAGAACATCATATGCTTGGCGCATTAGCAAATATCGCCCTTCCATAAACTCCTGCTCCTGTGGTTCCAGCTAGATTGCAAACAAAGCTGATCAGCCAAGCTGATTGCTCTTCGTTGTGTGCCCCTGCGACCCCATGAAGATCCCCAAGCGTACCGATGATATCTTATCCTGTGAATGCCACAAGATGTCCGCACACGTTAGTTGCCGAGGTTTAGAAGAGATGGTACAGCGACGATCATCAACATACCGGATGAAACAGCAAGGTTAGCTGACGGTATTGCGACTTGATCGTCCTCGCGTCACTGTTTCTCCCCACGCCGAGATAGTCGTAATGTGTCAATGGTAGCGCCCGTTCCACCTACAGGCGCGGAGGCAAAACACACAAAGTAAGGACAAAGCAATGGAATCAGGGACGCCCTGTCTTCAAAGGGAATCGTCTCCCGATAGCTTACGGTGATGAATGTGTACAGCAGGTATCCCACGACAAAAACGACATAGATGATGCTATAATGTCGTTTGGCTTCCGCGGGCGTTGGTGGTCTTCTCGACTTGCGGACGTACGCGTAATACTGCTTCTGGATGAACTTTGTCGCCATGCTCTGCAATTTGTTGGCAATGAGAAGGTCAGGATATCCGCCTCGTAGCAGCCCCAGTACTAGCGTACTGCTAAGCCGACGGCGCAAGCAAGTGACCACCGCCGGAGGAACGTCCTTACCGGGACAAAAGCCCAAAACAGCATCTGCGAAAGCAAGGTGGTTAGCCAATGAGCAGTGAAATTCAAACTCTCACTGACTGCTTCTTGCTCACCGATTGCGCAAACTCCCAGTCGATCATCGTTGCCTTGTCTTTCCGTCTATTAGCTGATCTCTTGGTCGCTGAAGCTTGACAAAATACGGCCGTTTATGGATGTCGTTAAAGTGAATGACTTCACACCGCTTGCTGGAGTAGCTGCCTCGGTGGTTTGCCTTTTTTTAAGGGCAAGGCAGGACCGTAGAAAGGAGAACCAGGGGAAGGGGAACTTGCATTGTCAAAGCAGGGAAACCTTTACGGAGCGACGCCGAGCGTCAACGCGTTGAGTTTTCCCAACGTATCGAAGTCCACCCGAGTTCTTGCGGATGGATCGTTGGCCTATCCAGCGTCTCCACACATCTTTTGCACTGCCCCAATTCTCATGCAAGCGTCATGTTGAACCGTGCGTAAGGCATCATACAGAACCTCTTCTGCAAGCGAGAGTGGTGAAAGACGTAGTATCATGAATAGACTCGATGATTCGTATGACTTTTACATGTCCCAAAAACAATACATAACATGAAAATGATAACGGACATGATTACAACTGGAAGGCGTAAAAACACCTCACGTCTCCCTTCGGACGCCACCAGGACGGATTTTACGATATCCAAACATGCTTCCCGGTTCCAGCTCGATGACTGACATATCGGCGCGCTCAGCGTTGACAACCTAGAATCCAGACCGAACGTAGACTGACGTCTATTGCTCATCCTTCTTGCCGATGGTCGGCAAGGCCAGGTCCCTCTTGAGGTCGGCGTTGGGGTTTCCAGCAAGCTTGTCATCGGGGCTAATTCCCATCCTGCGAACTCCTACACCGTGCTTGTAAACGAGGTGACCGCCGAGGTACAAGCTGGCAATGATTCCCGCAAGACCAACGCCAGAAAGGAGGACGTTGAATCGGTAAGGCTGGAAGTCAACGGCCTTGCGCTTGGCGAGGAAGTTGAAAAGAGCGATACCGCCTGGAAGTAAAGATCATGATGGTAAGCGCACGGCAATGACATGTGCACACGATCGATCCAGTACGTACTTGCAACAACATTCAATCCACTGTGCCACCTTGCCGTCTTCTGGGCGGCAGGGTTCCTCACTCCATCGATGGCAAAGTATTCTGCGAGTCCAGTGATGGCGGTTGGGATAGTCGCAACAAGAGCAGCGGCAGTGGCGTAGTAACTGAAGGCGTAAAGGCCGCGGGAAGTGGCATATTGGCGGAGGGCAGTCATGGGAAACCTAAGGATGGACGGGACTCGGTGAGCTTCAGCTGATTTGCATGGCCATCAGGTATCTAAAAGGCGCCTTTACTTCTCCATGGCAAGGCCTATGATGTCAGCTGCAAAAGCGAAAGGATACAGAGTTGCCGGAACCTAGTAATCGAGGGGAAACAGTTCGTTAGGATGAGTCTCTCTCTTTGGAAACAGAACTCGCTTGACTGAACTCACATGCACCAAAGCAGCGTGTATTGGGGAGGCGTTGCCTGCAACGTTGCCAAGCAATAGACTCCAAGTGTATTTCGTTACGGACGGCATCGTTCAGAGAGCCTGGGGACTGTATGCGAGAGAGCTATCAGCAGTTTGCTTGAGCCAGCGGCGAAGGATGGAAGTTCTAAAGTTTTCTGCAGCAGGGGACGGACGACTGTTCGCTCGCTGGGCTTTTATACCAAGCCTTGCTTGCCCTTACTCATCATGCATGCCCTCGGAGCCCTTGGATCTGGAGAGCCCGTCATTATATTGGGCAGGAAAGAGACACACAGCGTGTCACCCAGCAACGTCAAGAGTGATGTCATTCAGATTCGCGATTTAGACCTATTATCTGTCATGTGACACGTATTAAACACGTCAAAAGCGGCCAACGCGCTGTCGAAGTCCCCCGCCCACAAGTCCGACATTTGTGGATAGGCTTAAATCCAAGTTGCTTTCTCGCCGCCGTTGCTCCAACACCAACACGTACCGCTTCGCCTTTTGCTCGCCAGAGCAGACGCGTTTGGGCTCCTCACGTTCAGACCCCGAAGTGCAATCAGGAAAGAAAAATGGATTGGCCACCACCGCCCATCGGCCGACATGCGTCGACGAGTACGGGGGGATCCAAAAAGCAGGATTCGGAACTTGCATTCGATGATGCCGATCTGGATGATTTGCTATTAAGTAGCAGTGATGACGAAAAGAATGTCAAGTCGAAAGGTACTCGCTAGTAGTTGGCTGAGTTGCGGCTGTACAGATCTTGACTGATGGTTGAACTTAATGATTTTCGACGCATCAGAAGCAGAGAAGCCGGTAAGATTCATAACTGAACACCAGGTCTCCAGCCGAGCTCGTTCATAGACTGCCCTCATTCTTAGAAATCAGCACCGACCCCAATCCCCACCGTCCGCCCGACTACTGCCGCATCAGGCGCAAAATCTACCTTCGCGACACCAGCCCCGGCAACTCGTCAGTTTCAAGCGCCACCTACGCCGGCATCCGCCGAAAAGCCTGCTCCTGCAATCTTGCCACCCACACCCGTTGCAGCGTCCGCACATGGGAAAAACAATGTAGATGATATCTTGAAAGGGTTAGAAGACTTGGATGACTTAGATGGTGGACTCTTTGGAGGGATTGGTGCTGGCACCAAGAAAGGAGGTATGATTAACTTAACAAGACGAACGACCAAGCTCAATGTCGTACTCATGCGACCTCTATCATCCTCACAACAGCGGCGGCAGCGGGACCTGCCTCTATCCAAAACAGTCCGGCGAAGCCCAGTCCCACAATACCTACCGCGGCAACAAGCACTACCCCCGCTGTACTACCCTCAACACTGCCAAAGACTTTGGCAGCCCCAAAACCATTTGCTTCATCAGCTCCAAACACACCAGTGACATCCGCAAAGCCCCTCATGCCCTGGGAAAAGCGGGTGACGGAAGACACCATGCCGTCCCCAGACAAACCGTCGCCGAGCTTAGCGGGACGCGATAGATCTGCAAGTATGGGCTCCTCGCAGACGAGCGCGGGACCAAATATTGCCCGTGCACAGAAGCCACTGATGCCGTGGGAGAAACGGACGGATACTGTTCCGAGTGCTTCGAGTGCTCCCAGTGTTCCAGCGCCAGTAGCTGATACGGCAGCGTTAAGAACCGCCGCGGATGATACGTCGCTGTTCATGGGTTCGTCTTTCTGCCACGTCGAGGCTAACGTTCTGTTGTGCATATGCCTAACCTGAGATGGCACATATCAGGATCGTCCACCCGGACTCGGAATAGAAGTCCATCAGCCAAATCCAACACAACTCAATTCACATCAGAGGCAGACGATGATGATGATATCCTCGGCTTGTTGAGCTTCGATGGGCCAAGTAAGAATGCCGGACGGCCGAGGTCCAGGACCACATCTGCCATCCCAGCTGCTGGGGGACTGTTTGGAAGTGCACCGCTCGGTCAGAGGTATGATCCAAGGTTGAGCTACTGGGATTCTTGTGCAGGCATTCTAACTCGCTCTGATTTTCCTTGCCAGTGATGCCAAACCCGCCTTAGCGTCGCCAGCACGGTAAGTTGTTCTCATTTGCGACTCGTGTGTGAGCAACGACTCAAAGCACTCTCTAGCCCTTTCACAGCACCCGCATCAAGCCCCGCACCTTTCTCATCATCAACGCCCTTCACACCCACACCTATGACCGCCGCGCCCGCCACCACCACCACAGCCAACCCGTTCCTCTTCCCTCCCACAACCACAAAACCAGCCGCAACACCCGCGCCAGGGTCACCAGCGAAGAGCTTCCTCCCTTCAAGCGCAAGCGTATCGACCATGGGCACGTTGCGGACGTTGGAGCTGCCGCGGACGTCGGCGAAGGAGGATGATGAGTTTGTGCCGTCATTTTTGTTTGAGACCTCGGGGAGGGCAAGGGGTGGACGGCCACGGATGGGTGGGTTCGGATGTGGGGGGCTTGTATCGGGTGGGATGTGGGTTTAGAACTGACTCTTGAGATGTGGTCTAGCGGAAGCAACTCCTGGCATCGAGCCTCCAGGTGAGAGGTTTGAACGGAGAGTTGGAAGGTTGCCAGGAGACTACGCTCATACGCACTATTTCCAGCTTTGAAGCATACGCCGATAATCAGCTTGCCATGTAAGTCCGGGACGGATTAGAAAGCATCAGCGCTGTGAGCACTCATCGTCGGGTACTCTAGTTTTGGATAGCAAGCCCAAAATGACGCCGAAACCGGAGCCCGTGAAAGCAGCAGGTGGGTCTATGGCATGTGAACGTCTCATGTGGTGAATTCCATGTGACGTTGGTCCCCTTTTAGTGCCGGTATCCCTTCCGCCCGCCGCTGCAGAGCCTGCAAGTACGTCATGCTACTGACTTGCCTCTTTGCATTCACGATGATCTTGGCTGAATGACTCTGCTGCATTCAGAGCCGACAGAGAAAGCGAAAGGGGCGACCACAACACTTCCTAGTGCTTATGTGACGAAAGCCGATGGCCAGAAGGTAGGGCTGATACCTGATCCTTGTGTTCATCTCGGGCCTCGCACTCACATCTCCCCAGCAACGGCAGCAACAACAACAACAAACAAAAACCATCCTATCCCTCCCAGCCGGCGACCCCATCGCAACCAAGCCCCGCGACACCACCAACCCGTCCCCCACGTCCAACGACGAAGACGGCGAAGACGACGAAAGCGACCTGCAAGATATCGGGTTAAGCGATCTCGAACTGTCCCCGAGTTCCGGCGATGAGGAGGACAATCCGCTGCCGAAGCGGCGACGGCGTTCGAGCGTGAGTTCCGTTAGGTCGAGTCGGAGGAGTTCGGTTCGAGGCAGTCGGAGGGGGTCGAAGGCGGGTGAGTTTCGGTTTGCGTTGTATCGATGATGGGGAAAGACATAATCTTACTTGCGGGGTGATTTTTAGTGCTCGTCGACACTGCACAGGTTAAAGAACTGCAACAGAAACTGGAAACGGCTGAGAAAGACGAAAAGGAGATGCAGGATTTCGTGGAGACATTGAAGAAAGAGAAAGCAGAATTGAAGGCAGATTTGGACAAGGTGAAGAAGAACGTGCAGGAAGTGGAACAGAAAGCGAAGAAGATCGAGGAGGATTCGGCCGCCGCTCTCACGAAGTTGAAGGACGCTCATGAGGAGGAGATTGAGCATTTGAAGAAGAGACATGAGGATGAGGTAAGACGGCTTTGATATATGAGCAGATCCGCTGGATCCGCTGGCCATTGGAGCTGTCGCTCACAAAGGATGCATTGATTCGTAGCTCGCACGCCAACACGAAACCCTAACCGCAACCCACAAAGAAGCAACAAAACACCTAGCAGAAGCCCATGCAGCCGAACTCGTCACCGTCCTCTCCCGCACCAACGAGCTCACAACTCTCGCCACCCAGATCCAATCCCGCGACCAAGCCGTCACCGACCTCCAGAAGAAAGTCGAGACCGACCACGCCTACAGCATCAAAGAGCGCGAGCTGGCATTCCAGAACCGCGAGAAGCAGATCTCGGAGATGCAGCGGCATTTCCTCGATCAGCAGAAGGAGCTGGATGAGGAGCGGGTGAAGATCCAGGAATTGGTGCGGACGATGGATGAGAACATGCATGCCGCGCAACGACAGCAGTCCGAGGCGTATAAGCGGTTGATGAACGATAAGACGCGGCTGCAGGAGCAGATGCAGGATATGCAGGCGGAGAAACACACGTTGCTCGCGCATCTTCACACCGACCGTGTGGAATTGCTCAAGCAGAAGGAGGAATGGGCGCTGGAGAAGCGGCGGCAGACTCAGCAGCTGGACGGGGAGAGGACCGCGCTTGCGTTGGAGAGATCTGAGCTGGAGTCGTTGAAGCATACATTGCAAGTCCTGCAATCTGATCTCGCGACGCACAAACTGCGTGAGGAGGCCCAGCTGCATGCCGATAGGATCGTGTTTGAGCGGGACCAGCAGGCGCTTGTGAATAAGGCCGCCGTCGTGCATCGGGAGATGGCGCAGTTGAGGAGCGAGAGGTGTCTTCTGGAGGCTGAGAAGGGGAAGCTGGGCGTGGAGAGGGAGGTTTTCGAGGTCGGGAGGGAGGAGGCGGAGAGGGTTGTCAGGGAAGTCGGCAAGGTTGGGGAGGTTGCTGGTAAGTTTTCAGAGACGAACGACGGCGACGTCTTCCCAATTTCTGCTGATAAGTGTCGTTCACAGTCACGGAGCGACACAAAGCCGAAGAGCTTCTTTCATCCACAGTCGAAACGCAGCAGTCATTGGAAGCCGCGTTGGCCAAGGTACTTTCGCCCTCAGCACGAAGGCCACACATCTTCCATCCTAACCATGCGCTGCAACCCTAGATCCGCAGCGACCAAGCCGCACTCCTCGCACAACAAACAGAAGTCAGGAAAGAGCGACTGGCACTCGCCCATGAGCGGTACAAAGCGGGCCCGGCAAAATCCCATCAGCAGCAGGCCATTGGGGAGAAAGATGAGCCGACACTGGTCTTACCTGTTGCGGCGGATGCATACGGGCATAGACATGTAAGCAACGCCCCAAGAAAGCAGCACTCACCCTGCTTGATGCTTACAAGAAACTGCTTCTCCATCTAGCTCACACCAAATGCCCGAGAGGATAAGCACCAGCCCGCAACACCCGCATATGTCTGGGGAATCACACCATCATCCGCGCTGTACACGCTTCCGAAACCGCAAAACCTGCATGTCATCGCAGCTCGCGACTTGTTCCGCAAGTTGGATAGATTCGTTGGCGGACTGAAGCAGGTGCGAACTTCCTCCTGGATTTTTTCTTTTGGTTGATTGTGCGACTGAAATGACCAATCCACATTGTGCAGTCCGAGACGTCGCTCGATAGACAGCTGGCGTATCTGACGACGGCGAGGCAGGCTCATCCACATGTATATTGAAGGCGAGAGTGTATATATGAATATGGAGTGAAGGACGCAGCGCATCCATGGTATAATACTTTGGGTTGATTCGGTCCGATGATGATATGTATGGATGCTTGAGAACGGCGGGTGGAGCCCCATGTACGCCCAAAACGCTCCATCATGTCGACCTCCTTTCATCAGCCATCAGCATCTCCTTATGCCTCTCCTGCGCAAAGAACTTCCCATGATCCGGATTATGCTCCTTCAACAGCTGCCTGGTCACACGATACAGCCCCGACTTCTTATCCTCCACATCCAGGAAACACTGTATACACTGCCTCGCAGCTAGTTTGCTGCTATAGTAGGTGCTCGCAAACGCACCGCCTGTTATCGCTGCAACGCCCCATAGTGTGATCCAAAGCGGTTGCACCGGTCGAGTTCGAGACGCTGCCTTTATCGCGGCGGCTTTTGCGCTGTTTGCGATGGTCTGCGCTGCGGCTTGAGCGCCATTTGGAGCAGCGGATGCGGGTGGTGGTGGCGTACTCAGCTTCTTCGTCACGGCGGCGGCGGTGTCCTGCTGGGCCATGGCAAGCTGATCCCTGGTTGCGAAGAATGCCCGGAAGTCGAGGGTGTAGTAGGCGAGACTTCCCCACATGACAAAGTTGGCGAGCCCATAGGCGAGGGGTGCCGAGTCATACACTTTGATACATCGAGCTTCCTCGGGGCTTGGCCGGTAGTTCTGCGATCGTATGAAGTAGCCGATGTGGTCGAGAATTTGTTTCTCCACGTAGGTCATTGTTCTGGATGGGGTTCCCTGAGCTGAAACTCGGTCAGTTTTGAGAGACCAGGCGAATATGCTCTGCGAGGGCTGTGGGGTGTTGATATGATGGCCTTTCGTAGAGAGCGAGCTTGGGAAAGTCGCAATGGCTCGGCTTGGCCGGTCGGAAGAAACCAGGAGGCAGGAGAAGAAAGGACCGACAAGCCCGAGACTTCCTTTTGATGAGCGCGCGCGTTTTGGGCCAGTCGCAACTCGCAATTTGTTTCCAGCCGCCGCGACAAAACACAAGATGCCGCCGACGTTCGGAGGAGCTCCCAACTGCCCCCGCTGCGGGAAGGCAGTCTACATGGCTGAGCAGGTAAGCCTCCTCGCTCCCCGGCTCCATAGTCTCATTTCAACTCCTCAACTCGAAAAACGCGTTGAAAACACCGCTTACCTTCCGCTGACTGTGCAGGTTACGGGGCCTGGTGGACAGTGGCACAAGACATGTCTGACTTGCAAGGTAAGAACAGGCGCGGTATTGGGATGTGCACTATGTTGCGGGGAGGAAGAAGTGGCTCTCTCGGACTTTGCCCCGCCACCTACGGGTGTCTTACACTTTCGTGTTTCATAGGAGTGCAACAAGCGGCTGGATAGCACCTCGTTAACGGAACGCGAAAAGGAAGCCTATTGCAAAACCTGCTACGGAAAGATGTTTGGTCCGAAAGGTGTGGTCTACAAATGCTCTGCCACGTCCCGCTATTACATTTCCAATGATATGTTCTTGGATCCGGCAGGCTACGGCTTTGGCGTCCTGAACACCGACACAACAATCACAGACGCACAGCGCTTCTCTCCCAGCCCGTCACCCGGTGGATCTCGGGCGGGCTCTCAAACGAGTCTTGGGTCGTCAGGCGGAGGCTCTGCAGGCAACCTCAACCGTACTGGTAGTGGAAACATTACAGCTGGGTCTGGGGCGGGCACAGCTCCAACGATTGGAAAGCCGAAGTTTGGAGGCGCTGACAACTGTCCCAGATGCGGGAAGGCTGTATACTTTGCGGAGCAGGTTGGCCGAATCGATCATCTTTCCGAGAGGTCTTCAGAAGTCTTCTCCCGTACTAAAGCGCTTCGTCTTGAGGTCATGGGACCACAAGGGATTAAATATCACAAACTGTGCTTCAAATGCAGCGATTGCAACAAAACCCTGGACTCGACTACTTTGGCAGACAGGGAGGGTGTCATATATTGCAAGACGTGCCATGGCAAAAAGTTTGGACCGAAGGTATGGATAATTCAAATGGCTTAGCTTCGATGCGGGTCATTGTTCTGATCCTGCAACATCTAGGGCTTTGGTTTCGCCAGTGGCGCTGCGGGACTCACCACTTAGTCGCCGGGTGTTGTCGAACTCGCATGTTTGGGATATTGGGAAGATTACATATGCATACAATCATTATTGGACTGCTACTTCATTGCGTTCTGTGTAGAATAAGCTATAAGCCTTCAGATGAGACGTTCTACAGTATGACTGCCGCCATGTGAATAGGGGGGATACGCTCCTTCCGCGTAGGCGCTGAATTAATCCCGATGATGCGAGAGAAGGCGCATCTGCGCGAGTGAAGCTGCTGTCTCCGCCGCAGGTCCTTCTTCCGTTTGTCCGCAACATGACGGTAGCGTCTTGGAAGGTAATCGCCGGCGTGTGCAAGGACGGTGTGCAAACCCCGCCGGGTCGCTCGTCGCATTCCGCGACTGTGGTAAAAGGCAGCTTACTAGTCTTCAGCGATGCGCCGGACGGGAAGAGGCCTGCTGGTCGGGGTTGGTTTCCAGTTGGGATTTGGAAGGAGACGGTCGTGATACATGGAGGGTTTACGGGCACGGCGAGAGATGACGGCGTCTATATCCTGAACATTGACTAGATATAGTAGAGACACATGCATGTAGAATCTCAAAGTTCATATTGAAAAGCTGGGGCCTTTTCCCATGTGGTTCTCAAAAATAAAAGTGCTGAGGAGGAGGAACTTCTCGAAATGGACTGTGGAACATTCGCACTGGTGTGACCGTGGTGAGATGACTCACGAGATAAACTGCCGGAACTCGGTATCGCTGCGTACCGAGTTCCCAGCCGCCCGCTGGGCCGACCCGCGTCCAGCTCCGTGCGTGTTACAGCGCAATTTCTCATTCGCAGATCGCTCGCTGCGGCCAACTGACCAGAACTGGCCTGCCTATGGTTTGTCCAGCGCTGCGGGTGCAGACATAAAGACCGTCGGCAGTTCTTCGCCGCCATCCCCTTGACACCCATCCTCATTCCCGTACATCAGCCCCCGCCCACAACCCACAGCAATGCGTCTCGCGGCCACCTCCACCCTCGCCCTATGGGCCCTCGGCAGCACCTCCACCGTCCTGGCACAGATCCCCGTAGCAAGCCCCGCCGTCTCAGTCCCCCCGGTCGGCCTCCCGGCACCCACCCCAGCCCCCGCTCCGATTTCGCCAGCAACAGGAGGCAGCGTAACAACCCCCTTCGCCGCCGGCCCCGTCGCAACAGTGACCCGCCCAGCGACGATCGCCAACCCTTCCACAGTACCCGCTGCACCTGCCGGTGCGACCTGCGGATCTAACGCCTGGACCTACGTCAACTCCACCGCCGGCCTCCGCTCTGCCATCCCTGCCGGCTGCACGACCTTCCTCGGCTCCCTCTCTCTCTCCGGCGCGGGCATCACCGACCTCTCCGCCCTCTCCACCATCCAGAGCATCCAGCTCTCTGTCGACATCGCCTCCACGGGCCTGACCGACCTCACCGGCCTCACCGGCCTCAAAACCATCGGCGAGAACTTCTTCGTCCACGACAACCCCAACCTCATCAACGTCGGCGGCGTCTCCTCCCTCACTACAGTCGGCGGCGGTATCCTGATCTACCAGAACCCCAAACTCGTCTCCGTCTCCGGCCTCGCATCCCTGAAAGGCATCAACCCGGACCGCAGCCCTAAATACCAGTTCGGAATCTCCATCTACGGAAACCCGCTCCTCGCCTCCCTGGATGGCCTGCAATCCCTCTCGTCGGTGGGCAACTACCTTGACCTGCACAACAATACCCGCATGACATCAATCAAATCCCTCCCGACATCCGGCTCCTTCCCTGTGCCTTTTCTCCGCGTCTCCGCCCTGCCCGCACTGGACTCCCTCGCCCCGTTGTCCGTCTACACGTCCACGGCGAACGGATCTGCGGTCGACATCTCCATGAACGACCAGATCACCACTTTGGCTGGATTAGCGGGGTTCACGAAGATCTCCAACCTCACCATCGCGCACAACGCTATGCTTGCGGATGTGACCGCCTTGGGTAACTCTACCATCACCGGCCCTGTGTTGGTTGATGATAACACCAAGCTTTGCGATCTATCTGCGATCAAGGCGACGGCCGGTGTCAAAGCCACGTGCGGTCAGAAGCAGCAGGTTACTGGGAGCGGTCAGGGGTCGGCTGGTGGCAACAACGCGTTGGCCCAGAATGCCGCGACTTCCCTCTCGGGTCTCCCGGTGGCGGTCGCTGCTGTTTTGGGCGCTGCGGCGGCTATTTTGCCGTTCTGAGGAGAATTGTACATGTCACGTTTTTTCAAGTGACAGCCGACTGTGCTGTCGCCCTCAACCACCCATACACAATAAACCATAAAGATTAGAGATATACTCCGATTGACGGCTTCTTACGCCGGTATAATCATGTAAATAGAAGATAATGCTAGACATTTCACCTTAGAGCAACATGAAACCACTTCTCAGTTCCATCGTATTTGATACGCACAATACAGCACATTAGAACAATCAGCAGAATTTTCCCGCGAAGAGTAGTTTCCTGCCTGCTGCTTCTTCAAACCCATATCTTTTGAGAACAGTTACAGTTTTCCAAACATGCTCGACTGAGCTACTCGGAGTGGTAATTGTTTCGCCCACTAGGTCCATACGCGCATCACTCATCGACCGCCCAACGCGGCACTTTTCCATTCCTCTCCCCGAACTAAATCAATATCGCCGGCGGTAGTCTTCACGACGGGAATCACGTCGATCATTTCTACAAAGCACAAAGCAACGATAGAGAGGTCATGTCAGCTATCGCCAGCGCAAACCGGGTCCAGGAAGCTAACAATTACATACCGGTCATCATCATCATACTTGATATTCGAATAATCGTCCTCCCGAGATCTATGGCTGCCATGAGAGGAGCGATAATCCCGGCCCGGACTCCTACTGTGTCTCCGATAACCTGGGTCTCGTCTATCGTTACAATCGTATGGAGCCGCACGGGCGTCGTACCTACGGTCTGCGAGTTGAGGAAGAAATGCTCAGTTTGAGATCACGTCAATTTACAAGAACGAGAGAGGCTTACCTGGGCGATCATAGCCCCTGTCAGGGCCTTGGTCTCGGTTATAGTCTCGGCCATTGCGGGGTCCCGAGTCGTAGTATGGCCGCCCGGGATTCTCGTTGCGATGATAGTCCACTGCATTGCGATTGCCATTGAATCCTCTGTTGAAAGGGAAAGTGTGAGTATAGGCGAGTCTCCGTACTCAGAATCTGATCCATGTCCCATACCTAGCCGGAGGAGCCTCTTCGCGGACGGGTTCCGCACCCACTGGTGGGTGCTCCTTAAGTTTCTTTTCCAACTCTCTGGCAATTGGCACAGGAATGCGAGGAAGAATGGTGCCGATCCATTTATTTTCCGTCAACAGATCTCGACACAAACGACCGATTGTCCTACAAGGGATGAACAGATACGTTTATTATCAAAGGTCAAACGATAATGCTCGCGTGATGTCCACTCACATTGACCGCGGGTGCAGCCCAGCTTCGACCAACAATTCTTCTTCGTCATCAAGATACGGTCCGAACCAGTCCCAGAGATCCGCAGGCTTACAAACATAGCGAAGGTAAAGGAAACCAAGCGCACGGATGTGCCTAAATGAGAAATGGAACGACATTAGCCATAGCTCTCCCCTCGTAGCAATGATATGGAGCGATCTCTCCAAATTCTTACGGCGAATCTTTGTGGGTGATAAGGCCCTGGACCTGTTTCACAGTCAATTTCAATGTCCACAACTTGAACAGCAGACAGAAGGCAGTAGAGGCGTTGTTACCCTTGAAAAAGGGTTCTGTTCAAGTAGAAAGTAGCGATATGGATTGTCGTTTGGGAAGAGAGAACGTGGAGCAGACCGGTTAGCTTTAAAGGTGTCGACGGAATCAATGCAGAAGCGAAATTTTTACCCAGCGTTGGCCGCAAGTAATGCTAGCGGGGGAAGCTGTTTTGGTTTCCTCAGATTACTCACCAAGTGATTTCACTTGATGAGATAACCGAAAAAGGGGAAGACGGTCAGATGGTCGACCTATGGATTCCGTGGGAAAATCACCCTTGACGCTCACCTGATTCATAGATTTCGTCAATGACTTCGTGATACGACTTGATTTCATACAAGCCTTTGAAGTACGGAGACGATATGATGTTCTGATACAAGATATTGTGCAGGTTCATCGTATCCTTGTTGCCGACAGTGTCGAGCTTTTTGGATCGCTTTGATTCCTCTTCAGTCATGGTTGCTTGCTTGAACGGTTGAAGAAGGATGGTATTTCTGGCAAGGATGTGTGCGAAGGGGAAACTGCACTGTGAAACTGCTCTCCAACGTGAAGGGGTAGACTGGACCTTCTGGCCGGGGGGCAAATCGAGCCTGTGTCTGTCCTGGGTCGAGTCCCAATGATGCGCTGTGAGCAGAATCGCCTGTTGCCCTGGCTGTTGCCCAGCTTTCGAGTGATCCAGTCCATGTCCAGAAGGAAGTCATCGCCCAGGACCTCATGGACGCGAGGGGGTCGGGGGGCCGATGAGATCGCGGGAGCCTCTTTTGCGCGGTGGGTGCGAAACACGTCCGATCCTGAGCAGAGAGAAAAGAGGGGCCTCTCGCAAGAGCGCTTCTCTTTTTTTCTCTTTCCGGCACACCAAGCCGGCGCAACTACTCCTCGCAAGCGTCCACCGTCAAGCACAACAACCCCTTCACAACACATAGGTCGCCCCCTCACCTCTGAGCGACGACTCATATCTTCATAGCCGTCTTGTGTATTGCGACCAACGGACAGAAATGAAGTACATTCTGGTAACCGGTGGTGTCATCTCTGGTATCGGCAAGGGCGTGATCGCCTCGTCGACCGGGCTTCTGCTCAGGACCCGAGGACTGAGAGTCACCAGTATCAAAATTGACCCTTACCTCAACATTGACGCTGGAACCCTGTCACCTCTTGACCACGGTACGTTTTTGAAGGGAAGGTGCGCGGGAATGTGGAGAAGCGTTCCTGGCGTGCGTTAGGGTTGGCAAGGGCGGAAGGGAATGGATAGTGCCCAACACATTTGGTTACCCAAACTGTGTACTGAACAAAGCTTTACCTCCTCACTATAGGTGAGGTCTTTGTGCTTGACGACGGTGGTGAGGTCGACCTTGATCTTGGAAACTACGAGCGTTTCCTCGACATCACCCTGACCCGGGAGAACAACATCACTACGGGAAAGATCTATAAGAGCGTTATTGAACGTGAACGTCGCGGAGACTATCTTGGCAAAACCGTCCAGGTTGTTCCCCATATCACGGATGCTATCCAGGAGTGGGTCGAGCGTGTTGCCAGGGTGCCCGTTGATGACTCGGGAGAGGAGCCCGACGTATGCATCATTGAGCTGGGAGGAACCGTCGGTGACATCGAGTCGGCTCCTTTCGTAGAAGCTATGCGCCAATTCCATTTCCGTGTCGGACACAGCAATTTCTGCTTGATCCACGTCTCACTGATCCCCGTGGTTGGGTCCGTCGGTGAGCAGAAGACAAAGCCCACGCAAGCTAGCGTGCGTGATCTGCGTGGTCTGGGTCTGTCTCCCGACCTGGTAAGTTGCTGATTTTCTGGTTTCCGTGACATGTCAAAAGGCATCCGGGACTAAGTTTGCTTTCGACTAGATTGCATGCCGTAGCAGCAAGCAGCTGGATGAGGATGTCAAGGAAAAAATTGCCATGTTCTGTCATGTAGAGAAGGAACATGTGATGGCCGTGCATGACTGCCAGTCCGTCTACCACGTTCCATTGCTGCTGGATAGCCAAGGGTTGGTGACAGTTCTGGAGAAACGCCTCAACCTTCAGCCAAGGCGGGATAGCAGGTCTACCCACCTTCACTCCAAATGGAAGGAACTCACCGTGAGGTAAGGTTGACGATATGTCGATCTGCGGCAATGCGAGCAGAGACGCCTAACCTTCGGCTCACCAGACACGACCGATTGTTCGACGTTGTGAAGATCGTCCTTGTTGGAAAGTACACCCACTTGAAGGACTCTTACATCTCAGTCGTGAAAGCTCTGGAGCACGCTGCCCTCGCATGCAGCCGAAAGCTGAAAATCGAGTGGGTCGAAGCATCAGAGCTGGAGCCTGCAGCCCTCTCTGTCGACCCCATCAAGTACCACGAGGCCTGGAAGGTTCTTGTCGGAGCGAGCGGAATTTTGGTTCCGGGAGGATTCGGGGAGCGCGGATCAGAGGGCAAGATCGCGGCCGCGAAGTGGGCTCGTGAGAACAAGGTGCCTTACCTCGGCATCTGCCTCGGCATGCAAATTGCCGTCATTGAGTTTGCCCGCAATGTCTGCGGTCTGACTGGAGCCAACTCTGCGGAACTGGACAAGGATACTCCTCACCCTGTCGTCATCAACATGCCCGAGATCTCGGCAACCGTCATGGGCGGCACTATGCGTCTTGGGGACCGCACGACCAACTTCACGAAGGACAGCACGGATTCCATTACTCGTAGACTGTACGGTGGTGCCAACACCATTCATGAGAGGCATCGTCACCGATACGAGATCAACCCCGAATACATAAACCAGATTGAGAAGGCTGGCTTGGACTTCATCGGCAAGGATGAGAAGGGCGAACGGATGATCATGATTGAGCTCAAAGGTATGACGCTTGGAAGATTGGCCAGACCGACTTGGACCGTCTAGCTCATCCTATTTCCGCGCTTTAGACCACCCATTCTTTGTCGGCACGCAATATCACCCCGAATACAAGACCCGCCCTCTCAAGCCCACCCCCGTCTTCCTCGGCTTCATCCTCGCGGCCGCCGGCCTCCTCCCCGAGTACCTCGCCAACATCGACACCCCCGAGAACCGCTCCTTGGGCCGGTATCCTAGCGTCCACGACAACCTCGATGCGGCTGCTGGCCCTGAGGCGACTGCGGACGCGTCGCTGGCAAGGAAGGGGGAGGCTGTTAACGGCATTGCGCCTGAAGTGGTCGCGACGGGAATCTCGATTGAGAAGGATGGAAAGAAGGTTTGAGAGCAGCTTATCAAGGAAAAAGTTTGTAAAATGCCCTTCTGGGCATCGAGAAAGAAGCCAGGTCCAGGCGTTTCGTCGTAGATGGGATCTCTTGATTTTCCCTACAGTACAGCATTGCCCTTCCTTTTACCTATCGTGATTAGCGCTGAAAGGTCTCTTCGAGTTTGCATAGTCATCCCGAATTATTTAGATTGCAATTTTCCTACTGTGCATGTCGGTCCCTCCGACTCTCTTGTATCCAGCAATTAGATATTTATACAAACGCCATGTTCGCATTTTACACCGCATCGTTCTTTGGGTCACTGGGGTGTGTCGTTCAACGGTCTTCTGACGGTCTTTGGAAAAGGTGTCGTGAGCGCTGAGGAAGTGCGCAGACATCGGAACGACGCGTTGAGCTAGTAATCTCGAAAACTTCCCCTTCAAGATCATCACCTTCCCACGTCTCTCCGTCGCTGCAGTCCTCGCCGCCGGTCAAATGGTCTTCGCCGGTGATCTTTACTGGTATGCTCGTCTTGAACTTATGATATGGCTTGATGCAAATCAAAAGACCTCATGTTTCGTGCACAACGAGTTCCCCACCTTCACCCGCCGCAAACCCGCCGGGAAGGAATTCGCCCTCGCGCACGGCATGCCGCTCGCGGACGTCGCGTCGGTGCCAGTGTCGACGCCGTTGCAGAATGCAAGGTTCGATGATGTTGTTGAGGTGATTTGTGCTTTGGGGGCTGGCGGTGGGAAAGTCGTGGGAACGGTGAAAGGTTGGGCGTGGAGGCAGATGATGTTGAAGGGTCGGTGCGTCTTGCTATTGCGTACGACGTCCTCGGTGGACGACGGAGAAGGGCAGAAGGTTCCACTTCGGGAACATCACAGCGAACTTCCTTCCCGTGCCAACTATGCACGGAAGTCCTACCGGACATCAGGGAGCTTATGGATCATCTGAAAGTGCATATCGAGCAAGAGAGCCGAGATGACGCCCGCGGTTCAGACACCCAAGGCAGCGGCGAAAGCCGGGGAGCATGTATGCGGTATATGTGAGAAGGTGTTTACGTCTGGGTGCCCATAAGGGGCATCATACGAGGAGGAACTAGGTAGAGCCGGTAACGGCGAAGAGAAGGTGATGGATGGATTGTCTGTGGAGATAGACAAAGGGGACGGACGATGGAGCCTTTCATATTTCGGACAAGGGGATGTAGATTCAGCAAAATCACGGTGTTCTATAGACGCCTGACAAGTACAAACAGAGGGAGAAACGATTATGCAAAATGAATAACAGATTCAGTTCTACGCGTGCTATGTGGCACCTTGGCCCCCGCAGACCTGGTTGAATGAGACTGAATCGCGCCCTCTAATACTACGATGATATGTACGAATAACGGTAGACCCGTGCATGCTGCTATATATGAATGCCCATCTCGTATATAAATACCGCAACTGTGTGGGCGAGATGAATCGACTCGATGGTGGGGCTGTCTCTAAATATCTCCAAAATCAGGGCGGCCCTTCCGTGTTTGGGCTTTGCGCTTGGTTGAATCCAGTTCCTTTTTACGGGTTCGGATGGTGGATGGTGTGATCTCGATCACTTCGTCGTCTGTGCGGGATGAACAGATGGTTTTTAACGACGGCGACGAGTGAGGCCCCATGTGGAAGTACGCCTAGACCATACCTTGGACGTAAGCAATCATTTTCTCCAGCCCAAACTGCTCAACTGGCGACAATCGAATGGCCTCATCCTTCGCGACCGTCCTAATATTCGTCAACTGCTTTGCCTTCGACGGGTTAACCTCCAGGTCGTGTTCACGGTTATGTTCTCCGATAATCATTCCGGGGTACACCTTGACACCAGGCCCGACGAAGAGCTTGCCTCGGGGCTCGATGGATGCGAGGGCGTAGCCGGTGGTTTCGCCGAGGGCGGTGGAGATGATGGAGCCTTTCCGTGTCTTTTCGAGAGCGCCGCGGTAGGGCTCGTAGCCGCGGAGCATGTAGTTGATGGTTCCTTGTCCGTGTGTCTTTTGGAGGAACAATGTCGGTGAAACCTATTTTTCATACTTTACTGTGCTGGCACACGGAACTTACGTCGTTCTTGAACTCGGCAGGGTATCCCAACAACCCACGTGTTGGAATCTCGAAAATGAGCCTGGCCTTATCCCCACTCTCCGTGTAACTCTTCATATCTCCTTTCCGCTTCGTGATCTTCTCAATCACAGTGCCAGCATGCTCATGCTCAACGTCGATGGTCAGTTCCTCGATGGGCTCCAACACCTGCTTGTTCTTGCCTTCGCCTTCCGTGCGGTAAATGACACGCGGTGGAGAGACGGAGATCTCGAACCCTTCTCTGCGCATAGTCTCGATGAGCACGCCCATTTGCAGCTCGCCACGACCCTTGACTTCGTAAGCTTCCCCGTGCTCGACGACTTCCAGCGCAACATTGGTTTCTGTCTCCTTCAGAAGACGTTCACGGATCACCTGCGACGTCAGGAGCTTGCCCTCCTTGCCACCCAACGGCGAGTCGTTCACATAGAAGAACATAGAAATCGTCGGTGGGTCGACTTTGGTGAAAGGCAGGGGTGTGTCCACAACATGCTCGCAGATGGTGTGATTCACGTATGCTCCATCGATACCAGCGACGGACACAATGTCACCTGCTCCAGCGACCTCGGTAGGAACCTGCTCGAGCCCCTGTCGCAGAAGCAGCTTGGTAACTTTGCCCTCAACAGCAACCTTTCCCTCCGTGTTCAGCGACTTGATCTTGTCGCCTACACGGATAGTCCCAGACTGGACTTTCCCCATGTAACATTTGCCGACGTAAGGGTCGCTTTCGATTTGTGTGACGAGCATGGAGAAGGGTGCAGTGCGGTCGACTGATGGCGGGGGGACCTTCTCCAAGATCTGATCGAGTAATGGGAGGATGTTGTCTCTGCTGCCATCGACCTCAGTTGTCGCCCATCCGTCCTTTGCTGATGCATAGATGATAGGGTAGTCCAATTGCTCATCGGTAGCGTCCATACCAATGAAAAGCTCAAGAAGCTCTGAAAAGCGGTAAGAGCAGGTTAGCTCTGTGCATCGCCAAAGTAAGCTGATGCGATCGGCTCGTACCATCCTCGACCTGATCAGGCCGCGCCGTCGGCCTATCGACCTTGTTCATGACCACCAAAGGCTTCAAGTTCTTCTCCAAAGCCTTCGACAGCACAAATTTTGTCTGCGTCATCGGCCCTTCGGTCGCACACACAACCAGGCACACACCATCCACCATCGACAACACCCGTTCCACTTCGCCTCCGAAATCCGCGTGTCCTGGCGTATCGACGATGTTGATACGGTGCCCTTTATACGTGATTCCGGTGCTCTTTGACAGGATAGTAATGCCCCGCTCCTTTTCGAGGTCATTGGAATCCATGACTCGTGCCCCAGACTCCATCTTCGCCGCGCCTAGTGAAATATATGTGAGACTGTGCGTCCTGTCGGAAGGTCAGCATTCGAAAGGGTAACAGCACACCCACCTGACTGGCGCAACAGCTGGTCAACCAGCGTTGTCTTGCCGTGATCGACGTGAGCAATAATGGCCAGCTGACAGAAAGAAAGAACCGACGTAAATTCGAAACTCCGACAGCTATCTCTCATACTCTCGACAACTCACATTCCGAATTTGCTTCACGTCAACGCATCCGTCGTCGTTAATGAATTCAGGAGCAACTTCAGCTAAAGAAGCCGACGCATACCGCCGCCGAGCCTGGGCCCTGGCCGCTACACGCGCGAGTGGGACCGCTGCCGACCCAAGAGAGGCACGCAGCGAGTGGAAGTGCCGACCGGATATTATCCGAGGCGCGCCGTATGCTCTTGGGACGACCTGGCGCAATGCGGAAGCCGACCTCCGGGCGACTGACTTTGCGAGGAAGGACATTGTTGCTGTGCTGGGGTTGGCGGCTTCTCTTGCGAAATCGAGGTCGCCGGCTGTGCGAATGGGTACAGTACAGGGGTTAGCAGGAATTTTTCCAACGAGGTGATTTTCCTGCGCGTCCTGCTTTTTCCGACAGGCGCGTTTTCTTCGCCAAAAGCGCATTTCGACAACTATCGACGGCTGGCGGACTTGCTGGAAATATCCTTCCAAACGGCAATATTCATCAGCTACGTACAATATGAGAGAAGCTAGGAGGTTATGACTCAAAGACGGACGGACCATATGCACACATTTCTGGTTGTTCCAAAACAGGTAGAAACACCCGCTTACCCGTTGAGTTTGCAGAATGGGAAGTGCAGCGGAATCGCAACCAGGAAGGAACAGGGGTGTCAGGAGTCACCAGGCAAAAAAAACACCAACTTTGTTAAGGCGAGGGAAAAGGTGAAAGGGGGTATTTGTAATAGACACCATGCGAACTAATCGTGCAAGACATGATCAGCGCAATATCACAAATGCATGTGTGGTGGATTGCGCAAGTGAGGGGCGAGTATGGGTGTCATAGCAGGAGGGCCGTGGGGATGTGGGATATGTGTGTGGGGAAAAGAGGTGCGTCTTGCACGTCCTATGACACTATAATGCGTGCTGGCCACCCTCCGTCACCCAAAATCCACCGTCAATGAATGAAAGGGGATGAACGATGGATACCCTAGCCGCAGAAATGTCCACACGAGATGATTTGTTGAAATGACGAGTGATGTTGCAGGTGAAATGGCGCCAGAAATAAATCGATCGACATGCTGAAAGATGCAAGTCGTCGAATACATGCTTGTGGTGATGAATGTTGGTTGGTATATTGAAGAGAAGACCCGCGTGGCTGTCGGATGCGATCTATCCCATCCGCATCCTTTTTGGCTTGTAATCGTCGCGGCCAGCCGAAGCGGCGCCCAGAGGGAAGGGAGGCGGCGGCAAAGGCATGTCCCATTGTGACAACGGCATCATCGGCATCCCATTGATCTGCGGGCCAGGCATCATATGCATGGCCCCGCCCATCATGTTCATGGGAACGGGCGGCGTAGGGCCCACGGGCTGCATCCCACCGGCAAGGTATCGACCGTCAATGGTATCAAAGTAATTGCCGACGTTTTCTGGGCAGACGATCACTGCGTGATTGCCAAGGCACCGGAGGCATTGATGACGACGCTCGCAGGTCGGGCCACTGTGGCAGTTTCGGGACGAGTTCCAGGTCAGGCAATACTCGATGCCGGGTTCCGAGGGCGGCGGGATGTCACAGTCGAGCCAGCGATGGTCACCGGCGGCGCAACGAAGGCATCGATGCTCGCGATGGCATTGCTGCCCACACTCTTCGTTGTTGAAGCGAAAGCAGCTGGTGCGTTTGTTATTGCACGCATGGAAAGGATGGTGCCCGCCGCATGCGACGCAAAGGTGGCGAAAGGTACAGCCTTGACTTCTGCACTCCGAGCGATTGTAGTCATAGCATATATTGCTGGGACCGGATCCTTGTCGAGAGTGGCTGAACGGTCCGACCCGAGGGTCATACCCTGCCGGAGGCACGGTGCTCGGGCGACGTTCGACGCGAACGTCGCGGTCGTTGTCGGGCGACCTCGCGCGCTTATTAGGGATCGCCGCGGCGTGGGGTACTACGGCATGCTGCTTTTCGGCAGCACCGGCCAGCTCAGTTCGTGGAGGTTCCACCGAGGCTGGAGATGTGCGGGCGCGCTCCTCTGTGGAAGCGTCGCTCGTCTTGCGTAAAGGGATCCGTCTCGAGGCGGGAGTCACAGCCGATTGCTTCTCTTTCTGCGGAAGATGGCTGGCGGCCTTAGGGGCATCGACTGCGGGTGCCGACGGTGCAGAGACCGGTGTCTGATCCGGCTTCTCAAGGGGCTTCAAACGGTCCGGTCCGAAAGGTCGCTCCATCAGCAACTTTTCATAGGCCAAGGCGCTCTCGTACTCTTTGTCCGAAATTTCAACCCTAAGCTCGACGTACTTCCGGATGCCATTCATCTCATGGATTCCGCCTTGCTTACGAGCAAGTGCCGCTTCTTTTTTGTCAAGTTGTTCACGCAACACCTTGATATCTTCCTTCAACCTTTCAATATCCTTCTCGATCTCGGCCTTTTGTCGGTCGACGATAGCGAGCTCGCTTTCCTCACTCTTTCGATCATACCGCATTCGTCTCATAACCGCCCTGTGAGTCTCCAGTGCGACATCCACGATGGGGATCGGGCCGGGTTTCCATGACGACTTGTCGCCGTTGGGAAGGGTTAAGTGCGCTGGCTCTAAGCCTGGAGGGTATATGGGGGAGGTGGCTGAAGGTTCCTTGGACTGGGTTTTTTGATTCGCCGCAAAAGGCACCGAGACGCAGGAAGATTCGCGTCGAGGAGACGATTGGGACTTGCCGGGCGAGACCGTGCTTGAGCTCCAGGGAGCAGAGGAGTCAATCGACGGACTGGTGGTTCGTTCGCGCGAAGCTCGGGCGTCACGGACGGAATGCTGACGGCCACGTAACTCACGCGAAGCTGCTTGGTGGGGCACTTGGTCGCTTTCGGCAATATCGACATCCATTGGCTCAACTTTGATACGAAGGAGACCATCATCGGTGCTCTTGGCTGCTGCTTCATGTGGAGTTACGAGCTCCTTCCGGATTGTAGGAACAATGGAGGTAGAATCAGCGGAAGCTGAAGATCCGGGAGAGGTGCGAGTACCGTTCTCCACGGCTTGCGCATAGGTCTTGCCACCGGCGGTAGTCTGCTTGCCTGCAGGATCGGTTTCATCACGCATGCGCGACACTTGGGCTCGCGCGCTCGCATTCAATCGTTCCAAGATGGCTCCAATCGTTTTCTCGTCCATTAAGTGGCCAGTGTGATTGAAGTCGGTCGGAGTGTACGCGCGTGATTTTGGTGAATAGCTGGGGGTTATGGGTTCGCACGAACCTTGGCCTTCCAGTTGGGCACCTGGCTGGTTGGCTTCCAAGACAGCAGGTGCTTGACGGATTGTGTCAGTCATGACTGAAGAGTAACAAAAATCTGAACCGAGGAAAGGGCTCTGTCTCTACGAGAAACAGTGTCCCACAGCGCAAGAAACGACACTGCGTGGTTTCTCAAAGTTTCACAGTAATTTCGTCTTGAAGCCGCCGGCCGTTCTCGTTTCGCTACTGCATGAGGACAGTTTACCTGTGAGTGTCAAGCGGACTCTCGGAAAAAGTAACAACTTGCAAACAAAACTCACACTGCGAAATACTCACACTCGCCGAAGTGAATATGCCGAATTTTTGCCTCTTCTTCGACAGAGGTGGATTTGAAATACTTTCGGGTTCGCAAGCGATAGGTCGGTAACCTGGATGTCGGCAACTGTTGTTCTCAGTAGTACTCCGCTCGTTTGCGATAGAAAGTTGGAGTGTTCTGAAGGCAAGTAAAGTCGATGGGGATTGCGCCTCTTACGACAGCGAGTAGATTGCCATTGTTTACAGTCCGAGCCGCTACTTGGGTATAAGCGCAACCTTGTTTGCGTTTGCTTACGGCTGGCTGGGTTCGGAGGGATTGATGGAAGGTTGTAAGGAAACTTGATAACTTGACAAGCGGGACTCGAGAGACTTGCGCTTGCCTACTGTAATTGACACTTTCTTCAGCGAGTTTGACGGGCATTCCCTCGCTCCACTGATTAGCGCTCTGATTGGCAAACGAGCCCAGTTCTAACCTGCGATGATCAGGATCCGTTCAATGTGCGCTCAGAAACGGCTAAAGACCTGGGTGTGTCACGGTGAGCAATTCGCGGCAGTCATGTCAGGCGCACGTCCCGAGAGCTTGCTACCCCTCAAAAACTCCATATCAAACTGGCAAACCAACCCAAGTCTCACCAGACTATTGTCAACCATTACAAACACTTCCCATCGGGGTGCTATACTTCTTCGTCCGTACGTCTCCTCCTCCTCTTTAAACGAGATCATCCCGTTTCTCTTTCGTCGCTCAATCGTCCAGCGATCATCACCTTCATATCACGACTGAGACGTGTTCGTTCCCCACGATGAACATCGGCCGAAAGTCGAACAACGAGCTCTTGTTCATCAACTTCAACCAGGATTTCAGGTACGGGAAAGCTCTCACGGCGGCGGATTATTCCCATTTCATCTTGGTTCGTCTCCCTGTGGAAGACGTCTGACTCGTTCGGTGCTGACGGCCCGGTCTCTCTTCGCTTTACTAGTTGTGTGTCGGTTGGTACCCGTCATGGGTACAGAATCTATAACTGTGATCCGATAGGAAAATGCTATGGGCAAAGTATGTGGTAGTCGGTGACAATCCAGAGCTCGTACGGGACATGGCGATGGGACCTAACACCTCCTCTCGACATTATGTCTCTCCAGCTCAGGGTGGAATAGGGATCGTAGAAATGTTGTTTTGCACCAGTCTAGTAGCGCTGGTGGGCGCAGGGGAGCAACCGGCGTTCTCCCCTCGTCGTTTGCACATCACAAACACTAAGGTGGGTGAGTTCATCGCATCGTTTCCAAAACAAGGTACCATGTTAGCTCACTTTATCGGTCCGACGTACTTCTAGCGACAATCAACGATATGCGAGCTGACATTCGTCACCGCAATACTGGCCGTCAAGCTGAACCGGAAACGTCTGGTGGTTATTCTGGAAGAGCACATCTACATATACGACATCAGCAATATGAGGTTGCTTAGGACGATAGATACCAGCCCGAATCCCAATGGTGGGTGGTGGGCACGTCTTTCGGCAGATATGGACTGAGCTGACGGCAAAACATGTTTTTCAAGCTCTCTGCGCCTTGTCGCCATCATCTGATAACTGCTATCTCGCATACCCACCAAACGCATCGGGAGCAGCCGGCGAGCTTCTGCTATTCGACGCCATAAATCTGCAAGCCATTCATATCTTGCAAGCTCATAAAAGTCCTCTGAGCTGCATTGCCTTCAACTACGATGGAACAATGGTGGCAACGGCCAGCGATAAGGTGAGGAGTTCATGTGTCAAACACCAAAGAGTGCGAAATGGAGAACTGACGCTATACGATACGTCAGGGAACAATAATCCGAGTCTTTTCGGTGCCGACAGGAGACAAAGTCTTCCAATTTCGTCGCGGGACCTACCCTGCCCGTATCTACTCGATATCGTTCAACCTCGAAGCGACTCTGCTATGTGTGTCAAGTGCGACGGATACGGTGCATGTGTTCAAACTGATCACGGAGCAAGAACAGGCGGCCGCTGCCGAGGCAAAACAACGAAGAAGCAGTGGGTCGGGTTCGGGTTCGAGGAAGAATAGCGTTATTAATTCATTGTGAGTAAGCAATGTGACGCAAATCCATAGCACAGTCACTGACAAATCTTCTGATTGCAGAAAATCCCCCTTAGTCAGTGCCGCCGGCTCAGTCGGCTCCTACTTCCTCCCCGACATGCTGACCGAAATGTGGGAACCATCACGCGACTTCTGTTTCGCCAAACTTCCCTCAGGCAGCAAAGGGTCGCCCAACATCTGCGCCATCAGCAGCTTAACGCCTGCGACCCTGGCGGTGGTGACCGCCGAGGGGTGGTTTTACCAGTATGCGGTGGACCTGGAGAACGGCGGCGAGTGTAATCTGGTGAAGGAGTTTCCGATTTTAGAGAATGAGGCGGGGCAAGCTGGGCCTGCGAATACCGAGGGAAGTGCATAGCAGTCGCTAGCCTACCCATCGTGTTGAGTTTAGGCTGGGAGAATTCTGGAGCGACAGCCACTGGTTTGGCGAAAAGCAAGTGTTTTGGAATATAGGGTTTATGTACATACTTTTTTGTAGCTTTTCTCTTTGAGTTATCGTCGAGGGGCGCATCTACGTAGTTTCCAGAATAATCAATTGTGATGAATCTGAAGGGTCGGGATTGCGTACGCCTATTGGCATTTCGCTATTTCGAGACGGGTATTCACATCGCACTTAATTGAAGCCCAGCTCACTCGGGACACACTCGTGAAACGTTACCAAAAAACTGTGCTGAAGCGAGGGCAGCCACAGTTTTTACGCCCGATAGAGAAACCCTTCTGCTCTTTAACCTGTCCGCATCAGCGCTTCCGGCCCCTCCTGATCATCCTCCCTAAATCCACTCGATCACAGATATCCCTGTACATTTCCAGCTCTGCGGTCTGCGTCCGATAGTTGTCCTCTCACAACCATCTGCCACCAGCGCATCCGATCCGCATCGAAGAGTCCCCAGGCCCAAAAAAGTTACTCCCAATCCCTAGTCGCCCTGTCCAGCTGGATCCCTAGGAAGACATTTTGTTCTGCTCATAACCACTTCCGCGCTAACGCCTTCACCTTCGCGTCGAACATTGGGGATGTGATGGGCGCGTTTATTTCGGTGAATGGGTTCAACAAGGTCTGGTGACGGGTATAGATGAGTCGGCCGATTCGGTGGCACAGGCGGTCGATACTGAAAACCCTGACCTACCTTGATATACAGCTCATGCGTGTCCTGGAAGAAATTCCGGATACCGTCGATGTTTGATGTTTCGTGGAGGAGCATGAACTTTGCGCCTGTGAGAGGGTTTTGTTAGTGGTGTTTCGAGCGAACAACTTCAACCAAGAGACACATACCGCTCGCTGTCACGTATGCCGAGATGTACCACTCGTTGAACTTGTCTACTATCTTTAAGTACCTGCAACCGATATGCAAGACGGTCAGACTCCCGAGTCCACTTTCTAGAAATCGCCCTACCACACACCCATTGAACCCGCCACATTTCATCCGCAACCATCCCCAAACTCACATAGAAGTCGACCCCCACATCAGCTCCTCCACAACATCCAGCGCCGCGTGTACAATGAACTGGTTCAAATGCTTATGCTCCTCCTTCCTGTTCTGGCCGCCCTGGGCATCTCCGGCTGTGTTGCGCGTCTGGGGCCCCCACTCGGCTTCGTAGAGGGGGTTGTCGCGTGTGCCGACGAGGGCGAAGTAGGAGTTTGAGGACATGCGGTGGTTGGTTGAGGTGGCAGGGGACTTCAAGAGGCTTGGCGAGGTCGTCGTATGCTTCAGTGACTTTGAAGATGGCGGAACCGCAGGGGAGGAACTGGGAGGAAGTGCCTTCACCTCCTTCACTGTTCAGTCACTAGTGCCAGCGTGAGGCTTGCTTCTCATTTCGCACTTTTCGCTGCTTCTCAATTGCGCCGCGAGAACCACCCATCGTGCCCTGCAAACTCATATGGTGGGGGCCATATTCCCACGGCAAGCTTCCGCTCACTTCCTCCGTCTTACGACCACCGCTGCGAAGCCAACAACTCGGGCCTCTCGGTCGTCTCCGTTCTCACACGTCACTTCTGCACGAGACAACAGGTTCATGGCGTCCGTCACTCACGATACCGCCGCGGCCGTCAAGCTGGCCGACGAGCTCGTTGCCGAAGGTTAGTGTGAATAAGGAGAAAGCGTGCTCGGGAAAGGTGAATGTGCATCGCGGAGGTTTGTGTATAACGTGCTCCGCCCTACTGTTTTTCTCATAGCAAAGCGCAAAGCATCGTACGCTGCAATCGACGAGCATGTCAATGCTAGCACTCGGGTTATTGGCATAGGTAGGACATATCTTGAGGAAATTTACGAAAACGGCCACTCGCTCACTTCGTGCCCAAGGATCTGGCAGCACCGTCGTCTTCTGCGTCGACCGGCTCCGGGAACGTTATACCTCCGAGTCCCTCCCTCTTCTCGCCTGCATCCCCACCTCCTTCCAATCAAGGCAACTGATCATTGAAGCCGGTCTCCCGCTGTCGGAACTCAACCAGTTCCCAGAGATTGACGTCGCGTTTGATGGCGCGGATGAGGTGGATGCGGCGTTGAACTGCATAAAGGGCGGTGGCGCGTGCCAGCTGCAGGAGAAGTTGGTAGCTAATGCTGCCAGGAAGTTTGTGGTGGTGGCGGATTACAGGAAGGATTCGAGGGTGTTGGGGACGCAGGTTTGTCATCTAGTCCCGTTCTTGGCGCCAAACTCTACCCGGGCATGAGAGCAGACCGTTGATGCCGGATGACTTCCCCATCGCAGTGGAAGTTGGGAGTCCCCCTCGAAGTGATCCCAATGGCCTACGTGCCAATCCTCGCCAAGCTCAAATCCCTCGGCGGAAAGCCAACGCTCCGTATGGCGATGCGGAAAGCCGGGCCGGTGGTCACCGACAATGGGAACTTTGTGATTGACGCGGAATTCGGAGAAATCACGGATCCAGTTAAGCTGGAGCGGGAGCTGATCACGATACCGGGGATTGTGGAGACGGGGCTGTTCTGTGGGATGGCAAAATGGGCGTATTTCGGGGGTCAGGATGGGTAAGTTGGTCTCTCATTGCGCTTTGGCGGTCGCTGGTTGACGACGGTGAGCTGGGTCGGGTTCCTCCCAACTGATAGACGATTCATCTGTAGGAAAGTGATCACGCGCAAAGTTTGAAGAATAATGAGAAGAGGCATGATGCGTATGTAGAGAGATAGCATTTTTCAAATAGCAGTGAGATTTCAACAGATGTACAGGAAACATCTTACGCCGTATGGAACTCAACCAACTCTATCTACGTCTACGGAGAGAAGAGGTTTACAGCACTTGCACCAAAGCCCCTGCGCGAATCGCATCTTCGTCTAGTTTGGACAATGCATCATGCAAAGAGACCTTGAAGCTGCCCGGTCCATCAACCTTTCCACTCTTCACCGCATTCTGTGCAGCTAAGCCCATGCACACCAAACCGCCAACAGCCGAGACCAATGGGGTAGCTTTCACGCCAGCAAAGCACGCCACGAGAGTCGATGTCGAGCAACCTGTTCCGGTCAGTGTGCCCAACCACTCGTTCCCGTTGAACACCTTCACGACCTTGGTACCGTCCGAGATGTTGTCCACAGGCCCAGACATGGCCACACATGTGCCCTGTAGCCGCGACGCCAGTTGCGAAACGAGCTTCTCCGGCTCGCTAACAAACCCAACGCTTTCCACACCACGCATCTCGATGCCCTCCAGCCCCGCAATTGCGCCGATTTCTCCCGCGTTACCTTTCACAACTGTCATCTTCACCTTCTCTATCAGGTCCAAACACGTTTGTTTACGGAAAGGCGTCGCCCCTGCGCCCACAGGGTCGAGGATGACGGGGACGTTCAGCTCATTGGCTTTGGAACCTGCGATGTGCATTGCTTCGATCCATTGCGGGGACAGGGTGCCGATATTGATGACCAAAGCCTGGGAAACGGCGGTGATATCGGCGACTTCGTTGGTGGCATGGGCCATGACCGGCAGACCGCCGAGTTGGAGGATGGTGTTGGCCGTGTCGTTCATGACGACGTAGTTGGTAATATTGTGGATAAGGGGTTTGTTGGATTTGATGAGGCGGAAGGCGGATATGACATCGTCTACTAGCGATGTGGCGGCGGGATCCCTGATCAAAGATGTTCCCACGGACAATGTTGTTGATGCGGATATCGCTGAGCGGACTTTGGCAGCCAATTCGGCAGCTGCCCCTTTGGGATCTGTCTGCGAAATGATCGCAGATACGACCGCAACCCCTTGCAACGTCGTCTGCGGTCCCTTATCGTCCGCCGGCACAACCGTACTCTTCAGAATCTCCTCCACGTTCCCCTTGTTGATGCCCCCAATCGTACACACCGGGATATGGAATGGCCTCACAGTCCTCAGAATCTCCTTCACCCCCTCGAATCCCAGCGGCGCAAACCCCGTTGGGTGCTTTTTGGTGTTTGTGGGGAAAATCGCAGCCGTGCCGATATAATCCGCCCCTTCACTGACCGCAATCAATGCCTGTTGCGGTGTCTCCACCGTCGCCCCAATGATTTTCCCCGGCCCAAGAATGCGCCTCGCTATCGATAAAGGCATATCACCCTGTCCAATATGAATCCCATCCGCTTCCACAGCCAGGGCGACATCCAGCCGGTCGTTGATGAGGAGTGGGACATTTGCAGCGCGGCAGATTTGGAGGAGTCGACGGGCGACGGCGACGAAGGCTTTTGTGTCGAGTTTCTTTTCGCGCAGTTGGACGAGGGTAACGCCGCCGGCGATGGCTTGCTGGACGACTTCGATGAGGTCGCGGCCGGCGAGGAGGTCTTGGTCGGTGACTAGGTAGAGGCTCAAGTCGAAGGACGGCATCTTCAGAGCTGAGGTAAGACGACGAGACAAGTTGGGAAGGGAACAAGGAGTCAAGGACCCTTGTGTTGTGAGATGGTCTGGGTGTTGTTGGTGTGCTGAGGCAGAGCAGGGCTGGCGAAAAAGGACTTACCGTCTCTCTCCTGGGCCCCTGTAAGAGAAAGCTCAATGAGGTATATTGTCAACGTCTCAAGCTCTATTATGGATGAAGACTAAAAAGGGGAAAAGGACCAGCGTACTCCGACAAGTAGGGAAGAAAACAATAAACTAGAGTGGGGTCACGTGGACGCATGCTTCTCTCACACCCCCCCTAAAACTCGAAGAGTTTTACAGAGAAGCATAGAGGATGGGGTTGGGAATGGGGAAGTCGGTGGTGACGGTGGTGATGCCTAAACTTCCGAGGAAGTGGGGACGGCAGAGGACCGGTGTCTCATTGTTGGTCGCTTGCGGTGGATGCGTCGTCGGCGGTTGGGGTCGGCGGAAGGGGGTCGTGCTGGTGGACGGTAGTTCGGATCGGCCAGTTATTTTGGTAGGCGGCGAAGGCGACGGACTTAGCCACGGCGTGGAGGGGTACCCAGTCTGCGGTGTACGGGGATTCGCCTGACCGGCGTGCGAGGTAAAACATCCGCCCGTACGTCTTGCGTTCCCGGAGGATTTCTGCATATGGATGGCCGTCGGCGCTGATTGTATACAGTGGTGGCTTCTCTGCGGTGTAGAGTCGGAGCACGTCGCAGTGAAATACGGGATGCTGTCGCTGGAGGATTGGGGGTAGTTGGACTTCGTAGGTATTGGGTTGAGGACCGACCCTGAGGACCGGGTACGGGCCCAGAAATTGGGGCAGAATTTTGAGGTTGGCGTTGGGGAGATTTCTGTACTCGGGGACGGTGATGGCGTCGCGGTGGATAAGTACGTGGGAGCCGGGGCCGAGGCGGGGATCTTGAGGAACTCGGCGTGCGTCGGCGTAGGCTGCGAATCGGTCTTGGGCTTCACGGATACGCTCTTTGAGGAGCATCACAATGTCTCCCATTCGCCCGGCCCATGTGGTCTGCTCTATGGGCTGGAGATTGGTTGTGCCCATGCTGCGCGGTGTCAGGGGGTGAAAGCCGAGATCTGCCTCGAACGGGGTCATTCCGGTGGACGCATTGATGGAGTCGTTGTAGGCGAATTCGAGGGCGGCCAGGTATCTTGACCAGTTTCGCCCGGTGAGGTCAGGAGTGGCGGCGAGCATGTCCTTGAGCGTTTGGACCGCCCGCTCCGTTTGTCCATCGGTCTGTTGATGCGCGGCGGTCGCGATGGCTGTTTCGAAGCCGAGGTATGTTGAGATGGTGCGCCAGACCGCAGCCGTGAACTTGGTGTCGCGATCAGTGACGAGGGTGGATGGGATGCCATGGAGCTTGATGATATTCTCGCAGAAGAGCTCCCCAATCTCCTCGGCCGTGACTTCTCGATGCGTCGGAATCAAGTGGACTCGCTTTGTCAGGCGGTCTACTACGATCATCAGGAGGTCCCGTCCTTTTGCGTCTTTGGGTAAGAATGCGAAATCCAGTGTGACGTCTGACCATCGTGCGCTCGGAATAGGTAAGGGTTGGAGGAGTCCGTGCCGGCGTCGACCTGTTTTGGCTCTCAAGCAGCTGTCGCAACCGGTGACATATGATTTGACTGAGCGCTCCATTCTTGGCCAATAGAACTGGCGAACAAGCTTCTCCCAGGTTCGAAACCAGCCTGGGTGCCCGGCGGCGCCTGCGGTGTGGGCATCGTGGAGGAGTTGCAGTCGCAGCGGGATGTCGGGTACATATAAGCGATGTTCATAGAACAGGAGGCCGTCATCTTCAACGTAGCGCCGCTCTTTTTGGCTACGGGCGGTGACTGGCCGCTTGAGGGCAGCTCGTATGTTGTCTGCGAGGGGGTCCTTGGCTAGTGCGGCGCGTACAATCTCGTGCAGATCGGTGGATGTGGTGACGATGGTTGAGACTTCGGCAATGTTGGAGCATTTGGAGCATTTTGGGGCGTAGTCTGCGCGTCTCGATAGCAGATCGGCCAAGGTATTCGCTTCACCGGGGATGTATTGGATGTTGATTTCGTACTCTTGCAGTGTCTCGATCCACGCGGCCTGTCGACGGGAGATGTGGGGTTGGGTTTCGAGCCAGGTAAGAGCCTTGTGGTCCGTGAGGGCGTAGAAGCGCTGTCCCCGGAGGTATGGAGATAGAGCCTTGATCGCCTCTACGAGTCCCAGGAGCTCCCTTTCGTGCACCCCGTATCTCGTTTGGTATGGAAGTAACTTGCGGCTCCAATACGCGACGGGTCGCATCTCGGGCAGGAGTGTCTTCCAGTCGGCCTGGGCGACGTTGATGTGTTTATCGGGCGGTGGCTGGCTCAGACATGCGCCGATCGCAAACCCGCTGGCGTCGATCTGGAGGAAGATGGGGCGCTTCGAGTCGTACCACTGAAGTACAGGGCTAGTCGAGATTGCTTCCTTGAGATCGGCGAAGGCCGCTGCGGCGTCGGCAGTCCACAGGTAGGGTACGGTCTTGCTGAGGAGGTTGGTCAAAGGTAAGGCCCGGTTGGCGTAGTTGCGCACGTTCCCGGCCAAGTAGTTGGTGAACCCCAAGAAGGCCCTCAGTTCGGCGCGGTCGATGGGTGTTGGCCATTCCCGGACGGCTAGCGTTTTGGCCGGGTCAAGGGCGAGACCGTCTTTGGAGACTAGGAAGCCGCAGAAAAGTGCAGATGGCTGGAAGAACTTGCACTTGGGCAGTTTCGCGGATAAGCCGTTAGCTGCCAATCTTGAGAGCACGATGTGGAGGATCCGCCGGTGTTCTGCATCATCATTGGTGTATATGAGCAGGTCGTCCATATAGATGATCAAGCCTTTGTCGATGAGATCGGCGAACATAGAGTTCATACAACGAGTCCAGGTCGCTGGCGCGGAGGTGAGGCCCATGGGCAGGACTGTCCACTCGAAGTGGCCGAATCTTGTCCGAAACGCCGTCTTGTGCATATCCTTGGGATGAAGTGCGATCTTGTGGTACGCATCGAGGATATCGATAGTGGTGAATTTTGTGGCGCCCGAGAGCCGGTCTCTGAGCTCCGAGAGGTGTGGAATTGGGGTACGATCGGGGACTGTTACTCGGTTGAGAGCCCGGTAATCGACGCAGAATCTGAGCCCGCCATCTTTCTTGGCTACGAAGAGGACGGCCGCTCCCCAAGGGGACGAAGAGGGCTTGATCCACCCCCGCTGGAGTAGTAGTGTGATGCGGCGCTGCAATTCCTCTAACTCTGCCGGCGCCATGTGGTGAACTCGCGCAAAGGCTGGTTTGGCGCCGGGTTGCGTTGGAATGGAATGTTCTACGTTGGGTACGACTTTGTCATTGATGCGGAAGACTTCCTCGTGGCTTGCGACAATGTCGCGGACTTGTGCAGGAACAGTCTCGAGATTCGTGGCGAAGTCCGTCTTGTCGGGATCCTTGAGGGGCTTGACCGTGATCGCCCCAACCACAACTCCTCCCTTGCGGAGCACGCGGCGTGCTTGGTGATGGGAGAGTGGTACGTCGTCGGACTCGTAGCCGGAGTCGTGCCCGTTGGTCTCCAACGGGGCGACGGTTGGTGCGCGGGGTCTGGTGAAGGGTTTGCGGCGTCGTGGTAGGTCACTGAGAGCGTCGGTGGGCAAAAGGTGGCGGGCACTCGTGTCGGGGTCTGTGATCGCTAACGAGACGCGGGGTCCGCTTGTGATGAAGGCGGGGCTGAAGGCCAAGAACCATGGAAGTCCGATGATCGCGTCGTACCGGATATTGGCGACAATCCAAGGAAGTTTTTCGGCGTAGTCGTTGATGGTGATATCTGCGACTGTGTAGGAAGATGACGAGCCCCGGGAGTCCCGCGCCGCGTATTCGAGATGGATATGGGATTCTCGACGGCGAAGGCGATGGCGTTTGACAAACTGGTCGCTTATCACATAGGTGGAACACCCGGTGTCGAGCAGGACTGTCGCTGGGTGGCCGTGAATGGTGGCTTGGGCTGTAAGCCGGGCGTCGGTTACGAGGGGTCCGTTTTGGCAGTTCCGGGAATGTACGCAGAGCTCCGCGAGGAGGGCTTGTTCTTGTCGAGCGTCTAGGGTGCCGCCAACGGACTTCAGTCTTCGTTTGATGTGGATTAGAGCTTGCGAGGTATTTGAGTCCGGCGCAACGGCCACGGGGGTGGTCTTGGGGGGTTTCCGAGGAGGTCTGGGATCTAGGGTCACCGTTGCGGCCAACGGGCTCAGTGTCGTGGTCACCGTCGAGGACGGGGTCTTTGGTCTTGGGTCACCATCGCGAACGATGGGGGTAGTGTCCTGGTCACCGTGGAGCACGGGGGCGGGGTTTGCCAAACTTATCACCGTTGGAGTATCTTGGTCACTGTCGAAGACAGGGATGTATGTGGTGTTCAGGGTAGGGGGTCCGCTCAGTGAGTGTCGGAACGCTGCGGGATCTACGGAGCGTCTCGTGTGGAGGACCGGCTGCACTGGCGTACGGTCCTTCCTGGCCTTGAGGGGAATACGGTTGGCATCGGATAGAGCGGAAGGTTTTTGGACGTGCGTTGTGTCGGTGAAGAAACGAACCCGACGTCGTTTCCTGGGGGCGGTTGCTTCGCCGTCGCCGGGTGTCGGATCAGGGGGTCGACCAAGGTTAGGTCCCGAGAGCGTGGTCGCCGCTCTGGGACGCTTTAAAAACCCGTCGGGATCTGGCGGTCCGGATGGGTCATGTCTCTCTCCGGCGAGCGATCGTCTGGGGCGTCGGAGGTTTCGAGGTTTTGGATCGCGACTGGCCGAGGGGGCATGTTGGGGCAGAGGTATCCGACGTGGCCGTGTTGGCGGCACCGGAGGCAGAGCCCTTCTCGAAGGCAACGGGCTCGCTCTTCAGGGGTCAAGCGTTCCAGCTTCGCGGCTGGCCAGCTGGCAAAGCGGCTCTTCTTGGCATCGGCTTGAGCCACAGCCGCACCTTGCGGAAACGCGCGTTTCCCGGGCCAGTTGGCTGTGGGCGTGCTGCTCGAAGCGAAGGGGTTGGCGCGGAGGTCCTGGTCTTGTTTGGCTTTCTTGACGAGGAAGGAGCGGTAACTGGCGCGATCGAGCCGGTCCGCGATGTCATAGACCTCATCCACAGAGAGTGTCTTGACGTTCGATTGGGCGAGAATGTGTTCCGCGATTCGGTCCTTGAGGCCTCGGATGAAGTATCTTGTGGCGTCGGCCTCGGTGACTTGCGGGCAGGATAAGTGAAGCTTTTGAAATTCCTTGTAGTAGGCGTCAACCGAGGTTAACTGCTTCAGGGTCTCGAGTGCATCACGGGCTTGATCGGTGGCACCGCTGGGAACGAAGCGATTTCGAACGGCAGCTGCAAAATCCTGCCAAGTGACGACTACGCGACAGCCGACCTGGTCAAACCATGTGGCGGCGAGACCGTCTAAGCGGCCCGCGGCCATTTCGATCTTGCCCACGTCGGTCATCGGCGGAGCGGCGCGGAAGTAGCGTTCGAAGGCCGAGAGGAATTGATTGCATTTGGCAATGTCTCGAGTGCCGTCGTAGCGGTGAAGGCTCTTGCGCAAATCTTTAGCGACAGCGGTTTCCGGGATGATCAACGCCTCAGGGGTGATGGGCGACGGAAGTTGGCTCTGAGGGTCGATGCGCAGGGTGCGGTTCGGGTAGGGGCCCGTGGCGCGTGGAGCAAAGGCCACCGGGGCTGGTCCGGGTGTAATCTTGGCGTCCGCGGTCTGGCGTCGGAGGAGGGCCATGATCTCCTGGTTCTGCTGAAAGAGGCGCTTGGAGAGTTGAGCGAGTTCAGCGCGGGTGGGAAGTTCCGGGTCATTCCCGTCGGCGTCGTCGTCGGTGGCCTGATCGTCCGGCGGGGTGGGCGGGCCCTCAACTTCGGTTTCCTCCTGCTGTGTCTCTTGCTCGTCCGCTAGTTCCTGGTGGTCAATGTCGTCGTGTGCCTGGTCCTCCTCCCGGATGGCCTGGTCCGTACGCTCGACCTCCTCTTGTACTCGTTCCAACGTGCGCCCATCGGAGGCTTCGCTGCGGACCACAACGGTGCGGGACCTGGTCTTGCCGATCTTCGTCATTCCTGCTGCGCGATGAAGCTGGTGGATGGATGGATGGATGGATGGAAAGTCGTCACCGGGGTTTGCCGCGAAAACCTATGAAAGTAACTAAGACTGCGCGGGACGTCGTGGGAATCGACAAAACGGCTGGGGAAAGATCGGTTCGTTGATTGCGACGGTTGCAGTGGTCCTCTCAGTTGAACTTGGTGGATGCTACCATGTAAGAGAAAGCTCAATGAGGTATATTGTCAACGTCTCAAGCTCTATTATGGATGAAGACTAAAAAGGGGAAAAGGACCAGCGTACTCCGACAAGTAGGGAAGAAAACAATAAACTAGAGTGGGGTCACGTGGACGCATGCTTCTCTCACAGCCCCTCTGATTGATCACCCATTGACGCACAGATTGACGCACGGCGAGGAAGCGCGTCGGGATCGCCCAGTCAAACGACGGCTGAAGCGGTCACCACACGAACGAAAGTGCCGAACACGACGTAAATCTTTCCCCACTGTACTGCAATCTCTCCGGACTTGCTGGCTCGGTTGACTGGGGGAGCGTCCTGAGCTAGCGAAGCCGTGATGGCCACCGTCCCATGCTTCGTTACATGATAGCCAAGTTACATGGTTTTGGTTTCTGTACGCACGGATGCCATCGTATTTGCTAACAGCGTTGACGTCGTCGCAGAAGTCCTGACGCCGCAGCGCTGATACCGAATGAGGAAGATCAAGAGTTGTTAACGGATGGAACGGCTTCCGTCCGGTCGCTCAGCAGCTCCTTTAATCGTCCTAATGCTATCCGCATGAATCCCGGGTTTAAAGCAATGTCACAAATGACATGCAGCTGAGGCGGCAGTCCGCAGAAGACAATGCTTCTTTATTTTTTTCTCAAGGCGCAAGCGTTTTTCGAATGCTGAACGAATAGGTCATTTGGTGGGCGATGAACTGAACAGTGGACGCCGCACCACCTGGATTCTGGACTGCAACCAGGCCAGGCCGGCCAGCATGTGCTACTCACAGCACCGTACAGCACAAGTGATCCAAGCGGTCAGGAAGACATGTCTTTCTCCGTTTGCATGTATGTATTTGTTGTTAGAAAGATTGACAACCAGAATACTGTCGAAAAGCAAAATGCCTATGTAATCAAACGCGCGTTGGTCGGAGTTTTTCTCGATGATTCCCTCGTACGAAGACCGCGCCCGCTTATGGCCCAAGTAGCCTGGCCAGGGCACATGGACAACTCTCCCGCACAAGGTCCCGGCTGGCCGAATATATAACAAGCATCCTGCCTTCACAGTTCGTTCCCACAAACCGGCGCACTCGCAACATTCCTTCTCTCGCTGAGATCATTCGCATCCACACTGTTTCGCCCCATACTCTCAGATCTGAACCTCTTGTGCACAAGTCACCGCTGGAAGTCGCGTATCCGGTCGGTTAGATCGCTATTGGGCGTGTACGCGAGAGTCAGGTCACTATTTCCTCCAATCGCTTCCCATCGCTCCATTTATTATTCTGTTGGCCGAAGCTCACATTTAATAGCTCCATTTAAAACCGGCCTGCACAAGTCCCTACTTCCATGCCGCCACATCTCAAGCACGCAAGCGCCTTCGGATTTTCCTCCCATTCGTCTTCCATGCTCCATCCATTCAATTCCCTGATCATTACATCGACTTCACTCTTCGCGCTAACTTTCGATTGCAATCATCGACCATACACTTTTCGCTTTGATTTTCGTACCACGCATACTCGTGAGCAACGGCGAACATTATCCGCATTCGCTAACCTCCGAATTCTATTGCCTTGTTGATATCCTCATCCTGTAGCCGCTTCGTTGCGCTCGCCTTCCGTCATCCAGAACTACCTCAGAGTATGCAGCACCACTGTGTCCGGTTTTCGCCGATTTATATTCGCCAATCCGAGAACTGTGGAGACCTGATTCCTCCCGTTTCGACCCTCGCCATGGGGAGGATAAGTACGCAGCGCCTTTGGGCGTCCGGACGTCTACAACGTAGCCTTCGACGTCACGATCCTCCCGACTTTCGCGCGCGACATCTCGTCGCATGACACCAATCCGCCGCATTCGTCAATTCCAGCACTACTGAGACCCCCCATCCTTGGATTGTGGAGGCATAGGTAGGCGGCACCCTGTAGGGATGTCCGGTCTTCAACAATTCACCAGCTCGGCCAGTCCCTTGCGTTCGGTCAGCGACGACCCGCTGTCGGTATTCTTCCCTTCGCTCTCTCCTCTGATCATCATACACTGACACCGGTCCTAATTTTTCTTTCTTCTTGGATTTAGCGGCAAGGGACGCTTGGATGCGGGCTCACAAGGATACACTTGTATGCCGTCTCTGTTTACGTCGCCGTATGCTAATCAACATCTCTTTTTGTCTCTTCGGTAGCTTGGCGGCAAGTATTGAACGGAGGTACGTCCTATCTTTAGGTCCTATCTTACCAGCTTATCCTTTCCAGCTTGCCGGCGACGAGGCGATTTCAGATGCGTCCGGAGTCGTACTACAGGGCAGCCTGCTGATCTCCTCTTTACCCGCAGATCACGGAAGTTTCACATCCCAGGTATGTACACTTTCACGCTGCGCGGTAGCACGAGCTTCCATTTCTCTTTCCTCCAGAGATGATGGCATGACTCGGAAGGTAAGTCCTCTCTCTCCAAATTCCCACTCTCGATGAAGTTTTTTTTTCTTTCCCTTGCCCATATCAGACCGTCTTTGGACCCCGGTGCCAACGTTGACGCCACTCATGCAAGCGTTCTACCACCACTTAAACCGCACGTTCCTCTCAAGCCGCTCGCAATCCCGGAGATCGCTGCAAAGGACGTGTCTTACACACCGCCTCATGATTCCCGCCATCTTTCCCGGCAGCGAAATGAGATGGGCGTCAAGGCACTCGCGGTCTCGCATCTTCCCATCGACTCTTTGATCCTCTCACACTCCATGTCTTCAAAAGGTACGTTGCGCTCCCATTGTTTCCCCCCAGTGCATCTAGGTACTTCAACCAGGCGAACGAGATCGCTAGAATAGCAACGAGGTACGTAGCGTTTCATGTCATCTCCGTTGCTTTGCTCCTACGATAGGCTGGACGCGCAACTGAAGGACAAGTAGGATGTGCCCAGGTACATGCGATATTCTCTCAACAGATGCCTCTCGTTTCTCGCTTCGTTGGACGCGGGGTGGATGCCATCGATCAGCGAGTTTCGTAGTTCGTACATGACTGGAGCGATTCCGCTCACGCAAGTTCCGCGGACGCGGATGAAGCGAGGTAAGTGCGCATGGAATCTCCGCGGATCCCACTTTATAAGGATTGATGGCCGTGAATGTATGATGATGGAAGCATGGAGGCGGAGAAGATAAGCTTATATCCTGCGAGGTGAATGCCCTCGGCAACATTAGCGGTCAAACTTTCCACTGACCGTTGCCTTTGAACAACGGGTGTGAATCAAGGAAGTGTATCGATGATAAGCGTTCACCCGTTCTGATCGTCCATGTACTAGGAACCCGCCCGCAGAAGAGATGAGAAACGTCGATGTGTGTAGTACCGACAGACATTCATTCGGAGGCGGATGCATTTGGGAGGTGGGAGCAGCACGAAATGGTGGGCGTTAACGCTCTTCTTTGTGGGTAAGGCCAGAAATCGGACCTGTCCTTGGAAGAGGAAAGGGTGCGGCAACAGTCCAGCTCTGCCACATTGAGCTTCGAATAGCAGTGAAGATTTTCGATCGGAGATATTATCAAACGTCAGGCTGCACGAGGCAAAGGGTATTATTCTAAGATAATCGAGTACATACAAATTATGGTCGTCCCGAGTTCGACGCAAACATCGTGTTTATGACACAGCGGCATGAGGCGCTATCGTGACCGGATTCCTCCTAAAATGACGAGCAACAGCCGAAATCCTCTCAATCGCAATCTGCCGTGCTTTCGCCGCCCTGACCCCCAACGTTGCCAAGAACCCGCCCTGCGCCAACGCGTGCGCGTAACTAGCCTCCATAGCCGCCTCCTTCTCTTCTTCCGCGTCGGCTGTTTCTATGGAACGGATGCTCTGGCTGTCGGTTTCGCGTTGTAGCGATGGTGATGGTGATGGTATCGTGCGTGTATTGATGAGCGGAAGTGGCGACAGTTGCATTGCTGTTGTCGTCCGGGTGATCCTACTATCCACGCTGGCTTTTCGAACCACCCCACCAGTACACCAATCGTCCCAATCCGCCTCGTTTGAGAGTCGTCTCCCGCGTGCCTTTCGTCCTCTCCAACGTCCATCCGATACTTCTTCGGACTCTTCCATCATGGCTAGCTCGTAGGCGTTGGGTAGTGGTAAGTCTTGCGGGAGCGATGGGACGGAAAGCGATGTGGACGGTTGGCATGACTGTGATAATGCAGAGAAGCTGGGTATGGAGGGCGTGGGAAACCGATATTGTGTTGAGCTGGTGGTCGCTGTTGAGGAAGCAGGTGGGAAATATGGAGCTGCCGATGAAGAAGAGCCCACATTTGGGCGGCGAGCTCGGGTTGCGCAAGACACGGCGGATATGCTTCGTTGTGCCATGGTATCGTTGTCAAGCACTTTCCCAGGACACCAAGATTGGCAGCAAGAAATAACGAAATGCCGCTGCAGCTGTGCCTCCTGCTATATGGCCCGTTAACTTATAACGACCTTCTGTTGTGATGTGAGTATGCAGCAGCGCCTCCACGGATATAGCGTCTCATGTTTGTTGTTCAGCCAGACGTGCTGAAGAAAGCTTCCTTGTGTGTCTCCTTTGCGCCTTGCCCTTTGCCCTTTCTTTGCTCACGGGGAAGAAAGCGGAAGGAGAAGCGGAGGAGCCTTGCAAGAGCCCTGGGAAAAGCAAGTCGGCGCGCAGAGCGCACACTCCGACAGCTGGGAACACGGTCACGCGGGCAGGCGACGCGCGGGTTCATCCGTGCCGCAATCTCGGACATATGTCCCACGCCGCGCGCTCACATGTGAAAATTCATCCCCGTCTAAAAACTGATCTTGGCGCGTTCCTCTCTTGAGTGCGTGCCCATCGCCAGCGCGTACTATGTCTCAGAGAATCGACAGCTTTCTCCAGCCAAACCGGGGCATCAAGGATGGAAAGCTCTTCTGCATTTTCCGAAAAGCCAACATGACAGTCAGGCGAATAGCATTTCTCCCGACACCGATTATGTGTGTATACATCCTTGGGTGTTGCTGGGTTTCCCCTGACCGATGATGCAGCAGCGGCTCGAGACCCCACGGATAAGTGCTTGCCGTATTGCATGTCATGTGCCGCGTCCAATGCATGCTACAAGACGGAATATTCACAACGCCGAGCGACGTTTCTGGTTTCGCAGAGGAACTGGGATATGTTGGGATTTTGTACCACATTGACCACCCCAGGGAACTAGGGAATGAAACGACCTTGCCATTTATGCCAGAGATGAACTGCAAAACCTGAAGGTCTAGTTCATCTCATTGCGTGCCTGCCACCGACCTCCGCTTAGCCAATGGGTTGCGCCGCGAAGGCGATGATTTCGTTGCAGACCGCGTGGGCGTTGTTGAAGGCGACGATCGAAGCAAGCTACTTGACGCCATCGGGGTTGACCTTTGATGGAGATACAGGAGCGTCGCCTTTGTCTTATTTATTACCCTCGCGGCTCGTCAGGGTAGCACACATGTGAACCAATTTCAGGTGTTGTTGGCTTGAGGGCGGCTCCCGCCGACGAGCACACAGTGGGTCAAGGCCGGATGGGAAATATGGTGCCGGGGATTTCAGGTGCATCCTAGATTTGAAACCCTGTAGCAGCTAATCAGCCCACGGCCGGGTGGAACAACTTACATTGCTCGTCTGAGTGATCTTCAAAGCATCAGTTGGTTGTGCTTTCAGAGCGTGAATATGTACATATTAGGTTCTTTCAAATGGTCAGAGGACCCGTCGGTGATAGACCCCACCTCCGTTCCCATCAAACGCCATTTGAGGGCGAAGAATTGAAGAGAGCATCCCAGACGACATCAGCAAGCACACCCAATTCGTCATCGAGTTCCTTGCGCAGTTCCGGTCCGTCGGTCGGTCCATGCCCAGTTGCGGTCCGTTCCTCGATAATGTTGCGGTAGTATTTTATTGCGATATCCTGTGGAATGGATTGCCAACCCTATGTTAGTATGCCACACCCGGGTGCATGCGCAAGGCGTTTTGAACGTGTACATACCACCGCGACCTCCCGACACTTGATCGCCTCCATTCTCCTTATGGCCTGCGGCACTGTCCCACCTTCCTCCATCTCATTAACCACCGCCTCCGTCAACTCGCCGATCATCCCCAGTTTCTTCTTCAGCACAATCCGCACTGCCTCGTCTCCCAGAGCCGCTAGACCGACGAAGCCACCATACCGTTGCGCGAAGCTTCTTGCGGGGTCGACGATGGCTTTGTAGAGCGTCTTGGAGACACGTGGTTGCAGACTCTGGTAAGTTCCGCCGTAGGTGACGCAAATGTAGGAGGCGAGCTGGGAGGCGTATCTGCGGAGAGCCCAGTGGTCTTCGGTTGCTGGATCTTCGCAGAGGCGTTTGCCCACGATGCAGGACAGGATGTTGGGTATCAGTTGATGGAGCTAGGGAGGGGACAGAAGCGAAGGTCAGCTTCCATCATATGCAATACTGGCTCCCTGGCGACAAAGGGTATCAAAGTACGCAGTCACGTACGTATGGTTCAATAAATAGGTTGGCATTGTCGAGGAGGGCTCGGGCAAGGCGCATCATGGCGAAAGACATTGGCAACTTCTTCGTGTTCTCAGCAATCTGACAACAGGCGGAAATGAGTAAGAATTTACAGAGCAAAGCTCATTCGAAGGAAGCTGAGATCCTTACCTGATCCCCGATGAACTGCACAAAGTAGGGGATCAAAGGCTGGATTCCGGGGTCTTTTGCAACACTTTGCAGCGACAGCGCTCTTAATTCCTCTGATTCACCCACAACTGCCTCTGTAACCTTCTCATAGTACAATTGCAGCTCCTTGGTAAGCACTGTCTTGACCAGAGGTTCGCGATGTGGTTGTGACGCTCTGCCTGCTTTCTGCACAAGGGCTGGATGCCGTGCTATTGAACGGAAAGGGTTAGTCTCAATGATGAGACAGATTTCCATGGATGTTCCAACCTTCGCTTTCCTTACCTGGCGGTGTAGGATTATGTACGGTTGCCGGTTGCACTCCATCGATGGCCAACCAATGTGACGTGTAGGTCACATCCAACGGTACAGGTGGTAGCGCTCTATTTAATATTTCCTCCAGGTCGACTTCTTGATCTTCCACATAAAAAAACGGCTGTGCCCCTTGCCCTATCATCTTGAATGTTGATGATTTGCCGGACGTCCACCCATACAACGGCTGCAATCGTAGGTACAAGCTCAGTTCAAAGTTCCATCAATCCCTCCATGAACGTGAATCATGCCCTCACCTCGACGTTGCGGACCCGTAACGCATGATTGACGTCCTCCGGATGCAGCTTATTCCTCTTCGCATGTCTCATAAACTTTCGTGCCTCCTACGCTCCAACAGTAAGATCATCCTCTGTCGTCGCTAGACCGGGGTCGCAGGATCCACCCCAAACGCAGTAGATACCTACATGAACGACTTCTCGTAATCTATATTCGACATCCTGGACAAGGGCGACAGCTACGTCGTCTTTGATGGTTATGCCCGCCGAGTCTGCTATGGCCTGCGGACGTTGCAATGAGAATGTGGGAACCATGCTGAAGTCGAACGTCGCGTACCTGAATAGACTCCTTCGGAAAGATGCTCATTGCTGCTCAACAGCGTCGCTGTCGTTGAGAACGTTTCCTTGACGCTCTTGCTCGTCAAGTCAAAAAAGGTGTTGCTGTCCTTCGTTTGGAGACGGCCGAAACCACCGCCAGAGCCGCCAGTCTGCACAGTGCAGAGCCAATTGTCGAGGTGAACGCGGACTCGAGGCCCAGCACTATGTCCGGCTGCTAATGGGCCTTACAAAGTTCTACGCAACACCGTGCTTCAGTCCCTTGCTATTTCGACGCCGCTGTCTAGTACCTTCCGGCAGGAGCTCGTCGACTGCTGTGTTTTGGAACCGCCGGCGAATGTTTAACCTCACAACACCAGGGAAGTGGGAATCACTGCGCGTCACCCCAGCCGATCTCCGCCTGGATACGACGTTGAACTGTGGACAAAGTTTTCGATGGGTCAAAACGGGAGAAGAAGAGTGGACCAGTGTATTGAAGGGCAAGATTGTCTCCTTGAGGCAGGAAGGTAGGTGTCGAGATTCCCAAGGATGCCCGCCTTGTACGCCTTGTTCACTTGCGATTTTACGATCACAGAGAGCGATATCCTCTTCAAACTACATGAACAAACCGCAGGAGATGAATTTGCCACCACGGCTCCACTCGAATCCCAGGAGGCCTTTCGCCCAGTTCTGGAGGACTACTTCCAGCTGAACGTGGACTTGAAAGGGCTTTACGAGAAGTGGAAGATGGATTTGAACTTCAAGAAGAAAGCTTCCTTCTTTGCGGGAATCAGGATTCTAAGGTGGGCCGCTCAATATATGAGGATCCGATTCGATGCTTAAGGATCTGAACAACGATGCTGCTACCGACGATAGGCAAGATCCGACTGAAAATGTATTCACGTTCATATGCTCGAGCTGCAATAATATACCACGGATCACTTCGATGGTAGGATGTCAAATGTTACTGGAAATGTTAGACTCCTATCTGACCGAAATGCGTCGCAGGTCAACAACCTCTGCATCAACTATGGTCCTTACATCGGGACTGTGCCCGGACATCCACACCCATACCACGGCTTTCCAAGCGTAGCACGACTGGCGGGCGATGGCATGGAATCTGAACTTCGGAAGTTGGGATTTGGATATCGGGCAAAGTATATCATGAAGGCGGCGCAATACATAATGGAAAAAGAAACTGCTTTGAAGACGGATGCTGGGGATTCAAATGGCGGATGGCTAGAGAATTTAAGACACCTCCCCTATGAAGAGTGTCGAGCTGAACTTATCAAACTGGCCGGAGGTTCGTGGAACTTGGCAGCCTCTCCGGATGGGAATATGAAGGAAGCAACAGCGTTGACGCATGGTCTCCCGAATGACAAACAGTCGGACCGAAGGTGGCGGATTGCATCTGCCTGATGAGCATGGATAAACCCGGCGCTATCCCCGTCGATACCCATGTCTGGCAGGTACGTTGCCCGAGAGACGCCTTACGGTTTTCCCCAAGGAATAAATGCGCGAAAGGCGATGTCCTGACCTCACTCACGTTTTCTTGCAGATTGCCCAACGAGATTACAAGATGAAATTCCAAACTAGAGCAAAAACAAAATCATTAACGCCAAAACACTATGTCGCCATCGGTGACTTTTTCCGTGACACCTTCGGCCCATTCGCGGGCTGGGCCCATTCAATTCTGTTCACCGCAGATCTAAACCAATTTGCACAGCATGGACGTATTGAGAAGAAGGTGGCAATTCTTGATGAGATCCGGACCGAAGGCGAGGAGAAAATAAGTATAAAAGTAGAGGCAGCACAAGTAATCGGAAACGTGGAGGTCCCCGGAGACATGAAACGTGACCCTGACGTTACGGCAAGCAAGAAGTCCGAAGTCCACTTTGAGCCACCCAGCCATGTGTTTGCCGTCAAAACGGAGACGATGATGAATATACATAGAGCCGTATAGACCCAAGGTCATGTAGCTAGGATAGACAGTCTGCGCTAGACTTAAGTCACATTCATGACATGATAGCCGGTGGAAACCCTTTGGTGACTGCCAACGGCTTCAAGGACAGCCTATCGGGCTTCTTCACCTCCTTGCCCATGTTCTTGCCGCTAGGGGAAGACGCTGGCTTTGGGTCTCTCGCTTTGATCTTGTTCGTTTGTTTCCGGTTGGTTGTCGCATAGTTAGCAGGATTAGCTTGCTTGACTGTCACTGCTCGTCTAACGTTGAGTGAGGCCCGATTCGGTCGCGCATTTGATTGTGCATGATGAGTTTGTCGGCGAGCAATTGCAGAAGACCGCTTGTTTCGCAAGGGGAAGCCTGCCCCATCGGCGTCTAGATCGAGGGTAGAGCTTTGCTCCCTGATGTCCTCATCGCTGTCATCCTCGTTCCCTGAGTGCCGTCGATGATCATCGTCACTATCTGATTCCTCCTCAATTTCCTCTTCCCAGAGACCATCTTCAAGTAAAGCCATTTTCCTCCTGGTCCTCTTTCGACTCCGTGATCTTCTTGGCAGTGGCATTTCTACAAATGAGATGCGCGGTATCTCGTCGAGCTTCGCAGCTGTTTCTGCATCCGTAAACGTCACCCGGTCGAAAAGATCATGAATGAAGCGCCGCGCAGATAAGCGGAAGTGGTAGATAGACAGCATCGGAATGACGTGTCGGGTATATAGCGATGTCGACAAGAAGACATTGGGCGAGTCAGTCCGCAGCCTGGAGTTTTGAGATTGATATCGTTAGCTGCAGAAGACGTGTTTGACGAATGGCGTTCTACGTACTTTGATAGTGCTTTAGACGCCGCGTTGGCGAGAATGTGATTGCTCATGTTGCCGATGCAAGTTAATATCCCTTGCTCGTCTGCGTCCAGCGCGTCGAAGGCATGCTGAGGGTCGACTGTATACTCTGGCCAAGCCCCTTTGAAATCCCAGGTTGGCACAGCCAACAGAGCTGACGGGCTTTTAGGTACGCATAAGCCCTCAAACGTCCCGTTCGGCCGAAGTACCGTCTCCCATCCAAAATCCTCCAGCACTTCCACCCCATGAGCCGTTTTCGCAATCAGACCGAGAACATAATAGCAAGTGCCCCGCAGTGTTATGACCGGCGATGTCCGTGCCAGTTCGACGATTTGGCGAATGACATCAAACTCGAGCAGAAATGGGAGGCCTGTTTTGACGGAGCCGATGTTGCCCTACGAGTTTCGAAGATTGCACAAATTCCCAGATGATCAGCCAATCATTAGATTTTTGTGCCTCAAGCGAAAATCAAAGGGGAAATCTTACCACAGCCCATAGAACCCCTTTGAGTTGCAGGAGCTCAGCAAAGTCCGCATGCACCAGTGCCTTCCGTATCGAATCTGCAAATTTGGCAAAATGGCCCTTCCGGCGCAAGAGTAGACTACCTTCCGGTGTACTAGCTAGTTCACCGTAGAAATGGGGCGGAGCTGTACCGTCAACCTCCACACTGTTGCGAGGGATATCCGCGTCAGACCTTCTGCGGGCCAGGGATGATAAAAAAAAATACTTACTTCGATTTCGCATCGCGATCGTTTTGGGTAGGTAGTGGCGGTGCTTTCGCACCGCCGGATTTCCGATTGGGGAAGAATGCTCGATGTACAGACAGTTCCAGTCGAACGGCATACTGAATGTTCCCTTCCTAGCAAGAACTAATTGGTTGGTCTGCAATCCACATTTTTCCCCAGCGAATCGCCTTACCAACCTCAAACCAATAGTCCACCTCGCTCTCGATGAACCCAAGCTCCTGCAGGTATGTGAATCCTACGGATGATGACAGAAATCTGCACTCTGTCGGTCAATCCTATACCATCGACAATGTGCGCAAACAGAAACGCGAGACGAACCTCAACAGCAAAGGATTGCCGGCCTCCCCAAGATGGTCTAGGGATGGTCGCAAATTCACTGCCGATTCAAGATTTTGCGGGTCATTGCAGGCGATGTCCAGTAATTCCACTGCTGTCTCGCACACTTCGATCGAGGGATCATATAACTGGTGGCATGCCCAGAGGTAACATACGAGAATTGAATTTCGGTACAATGCTTCTACCACCCTTATGCGAAGACGTCTTCCACATCTGGCAACGAACCTGCGTCACTAGGAGTTGGATTCCCCAACCCGAGAAATCTGGTATATCCATTTCCAGTATCGTGCGCAGATGATTAGTTGCTGCCAGTCGCACGCTCTATATAAGCGAGTTAGAAATACAATCAAAACGATTCGTGAGATGGACTTCAGGTTAGACACTCACCCTGTTACCCGATGTCATCAGCTTTGAAAGCAGGACACGAGCATGGTTCTCTCTTCAAATTTCATGGATGATATTAGTGCATAAATGGGCCGGAGCATTGGAAGTTGAGATTGGACTTACGTAGTGTAATCCATGCTGCGGATCAAAGCCATTACAAGGTCATAACGACTTCGAAGCTCCGTGAGCCGATAGAACAAACTGAACATTCGAAACTTCTCAAAGATCCTGCGTAGGCAAAATATAAGTCATTCAGAGTCAACAACTCTCAGAGGTATGGCGAAATATGGGTCGTACCGAATGCCCTCTACTGATAGCATACAGACTCCGAGCAATGTGAAGTATTCTCCAGTCATGGTGTCCTCCATCCTTTCCTGCGAGAAAATCACGTCGGCTTGTGGAGTGCTTTGCCCCGGATCGAGTTGGCCCAGGCAATCGGCAATCTCCGGCAAGAATTTGCTCTCGGTTAAGAAGCGAACACCGTCTGCATGCGAGAGCAATGTTTTCAGAAGCTCGCAACCGACGCGGAGGTACTTGTTATTGGCTTTACTCCGCCGGATATCCGAGAACTGCCGATTTAATGGGCGATAGAAGGACATGAGTCGCTTGACCACCTTGCTGTTCTTCACGGCCTCGTCGAAACGCTTGGGATTTCTTAGCGGCCCTTGAATGAGCTCCAATATTGTTTCCCAATTCCATTTCGTATGCTCCTTGAGACTCAGAACTTTCTCTAAATCGGCGATGAGGATCTTGAAATGTGCTTCATCCATCTGCATTCCCATGCGAGCTTTGACGCTTTCGACTTGGCGCTGAATAGCTGCCTGTGCTCCGTTTGTGGATACACGGTCGAGCACGCTCTCATTTCTGGGACCTTGTGGTTCGCCCTTTCCCTTGCTCCTTCGCAGCGAATCGATATATGTCAACGCAACTGTGCCTTGGTGCCGCTTATTCTCATCTTGGAAATCGGCTGCAACGCGGAATAGGGTTGATAGGCTCTGCAGTTTCGTCCCATATGTGCTGGGTAGTAAGCAGCTGCATAGATTCAGCAGCTCCGCGATTAGAATTGTAACTCGCGTAGTGATATATTTGTTTTCGTGTTGCAGGAGCTCAATCAAGACCTCGACTAGCCCGACATCGACAAAGATGATGAGGACCATGCTCAAATAGTGATCCACCAGGTTCTTGCCCTTCACGGACCGCCTTTGCAGGATCGCGGCTTCTGCTTCCGAAATCTCGCCGGTGGTTAATATTGACCCGCGCCGTGCAAGATGCGTCCGTGCCGAGATGAAGTCTGGATACCAGTTGGGAACTTCTATGTGGAAGATGTCGAAAAGCATCTCCAGCAAGATTTTCCTATTTTCATCATACGGCAAGCGTAGAGATTCGACAATCGACCGGATGGCTCGCTTGTCGTCCAAGCACAGATATATTATTCCCGTCCAAGACTTGAACAGTAATGTTACTGCTTTGGCGCATGCCAGAAGCTTCCCTTCGTTTGCGGACCCTCGACTGTAGGCGTCGGTGAATTGTGAAATGATCATCTCCAGCTCCACCGACGGCCGCATGTAAGTACGCGTTTTTTGTGAATCTAGCATATACAGCACGGTCTTTACAACGACCTCCAGGAGCTCTGGCGTGACCTCGAGGAGTGCGCCGAAGACGACGGAAGTGCCGCCAGCTAAGGTGAGGAGAGGCATGTTGCGTATCGCCAATTCGCATAGTGTCTCTAAGCACACGCCCCGAAACTTGTCGTCCGCAGACTCTGCGAGAGACACCAACGATCGAACAAGACTCTGTGGCAGAATATCTGCCCCTCCGTTCATGTCCAAAAACGAGCGAACAAGCTTGAGAGCTTGTTCTTTCTCCACCTCGTATCTCTGATCTCGCGTCAACGTCCTCATTATGAAGACATCCACATGCGCTTTGACGATCGAATCCAAAAACTCGTGCGTTGTGGCCGTATGTCGCAAGACTCGATAGGCAGTGGCCCGCACATCTTTCGATGAACTTGCGCAACAAGTTCGAAGACTTTGCACCACCGCATCTGTTGTGAAGTGCTCATAGAAGTCTGGTGCGGCCTTGATCACTTTCGCCAAACTAGTCATCGCTTCCATTCTCGTGGAAGCTGTTTCACTTTCGTTGGACACGCGGCCCAGTATTGATGCCACAGACTGGGGATTGACTCCTTTACTAGGCCGCGTATCCGATCGTCGTGCTTCCGACTGAAATCCCGCATTGGCGTGAGGCCGCCTGTCTTCATCCAGCACCAGTGATGACTTCCCCGATTTGAGATCATCTATGCTGCGAAAGGCGTGTGCTTTGCTCACAGGCTGGTCAGGGATGCTTTTGTAGAGATCCAGCTGTTGTTGCAGGGTCGCAATCTTTTTCTTCGTGGCAGCAAGTTGGGCCTCCACTTGTTCCCTTGCGATAGTGGAGCCTTTCTGCGAATCCTCGGACACCTGCAACATTGTTTCTGCCCCTACGAGAACAATGTATGAGGCACCTCATCGAGCTGCCGCCTTCGAGAGATGCCCACAAACCTGTCTTCATTTTGAACTCGATGACTACAAGCGCCAGAGATCACCATCCGCGTGAGAATTGAGCGAGTTCAAAACGCTTGAGCTGCAAAACATACTCAACTGGTCCTGCAGTTTAGGCATCTACATTTCAAGCATTGTTGAGAACACCTGGTAGTAGCAGGACACAAATAAGAGTGCTGGACGACCAGACTCTGGTACCCACCATCACTGGCTTCTCCGCCCGCAGCTTTTCAATGTCGGAAACGGAAAGGCCCTCCATCTTGGCTATCCGGGCGAAGTATTCTACGTGGTCTTCGTGTTTAACGCTTCCAGCTGGGCTGACGCACTGCCTGAACGCAACGCTCCGTAGTCGCTCGGAAGCTAAGACTCCCACAGAAGAATGGCTGAGGAAAAGGCTGACGCGTGAGGGAAGAGCGGTTGGACAATGGTTTGTTGTTCTTGATAGGCGTGGAGCAGGTGGGAAAGGTGGGAACCGCGTAAGCAGACCGCAGTGATGACATGACAGGAATGCACGCCGCAACATTTCACAACCTTACACATGCAACCAAAATCTGCCGTCCAGATCATACGACACCCAAAGCTTCGACGTGAAACACCGATACTTTCATTCCAATTTACATCTACTGCCCAGGCAGTTGGTTACATCTTGGGTTATACTAATGTACATAGCTACGGAATCGATGTTCGGAACACCATGACTTCCACCTCTCAAATCCTTTCCGACCACGGGAATGGTTTCATATTCTAAGCTAATATTCTTGGCTCTGGGAACCAGCCTTCTCGGCTCCCTTTCCGGTCTTGGATTTCTTGGGGAGCAGGATGTTGTGGATGTTCTGATTGAAACAAGGAATGAAACCAGTGAGTCGAAAGACAAGCCTAATCGACGTTTGCTCAATGAGACTTACGGGCAAAACACCACCCTGCGCAATGGTGACATTTCCAAGAAGTTTGTTCAGCTCCTCGTCATTGCGAATAGCAAGCTGCAAGTGACGGGGAATGATACGAGACTTCTTGTTGTCGCGGGCGGCATTGCCAGCCAACTCGAGAATTTCTGAGCGGCGAGAGTGTGCATGAGTGGGGAGGAAGGTCAAGTGAATAGAATCTGGTTAAGACATTGAGTCTTGTTGACATACCAGCACCAAGGTACTCGAGGACGGCAGCCATGTACACAGGGGCACCTGAGGTATGAGCGGTTAGCCACAGGGGCAATCACTTGACAAAGAAGTGCTAGCTTGAACTTACCGGCGCCAACACGCTGAGCATAGTTGCCCTTGCGGAGAAGACGGTGAATACGTCCAACTGGGAACTGCAGACCAGCACGTCCGGAACGAGACTTGGAGTTCGTGTCACCCTTGGTGGCCTCCTTGCCAGATTTGCCTTTTCCACCTAGAAAGTACGAGAGGGTAGAAGAGTGAGTTGAGTGAACGAGTGACGACGAGGTTGTGATGGAACTTTAAGGAACAAGGGCGAGAACCGGCTGTGCAGAAAGTAGATCTGCGCAGTGTCGAGGGACTTGCCGAGGCCATTCCGAATGACGGCACCAGAGGCAACAGACGCAACGATGACTGAGACGAGGCTATGTTCTTACCAGCCATTGTGTTTGATTTTTGCTTGAAAGTGAGCGAAGTGTGAAGGTAAGTAGATCGCTGTAGATTAGATCTGATGAATTGCAGTGGGTTGGGCTGATGGGAGAGAGTGCAAGTTGAGCAAACGCAAGTGAGTTTGCAGGAGATCCGAGTGCCATGTCCGATTGTCATTCAAGTCACGTGACTTGCCTCGCATTGTATCTATTGTATTCTCTTACATTGCGTGCTGCAGCACATTGACACTTCTGGCTGACTTCTGGAGACCTCTGGCACTTTGGCACTTTTGGCACAGACAATTGAGGTTGAAATTGTCTGGGGACTGTCGGACTGCTAGCTGCAGTATATATATACCTCGCTTGCGACACAGCGCAACTAGTTTCGGCATCTTAAAAAGGATTCAGTTGGGAGTTTCCGAAGCACTACGACGCAATGGGAATCACGGAGAAGATCGGTATGGTAGTTTACAATTAGCTGTTCAGAGTCCAGGCATCGGTTCTAACCTGGCTCTCGTCTCCTTGGAATTTGCTTCTATCAGCGGATATCGAGAAGGAGGTATGTTGACCCCACTGCCTTCCCTTGAAGACAAACAAAAGGTGTGTCACGCTTAACTGACACAACCTGGTTTTCCTTAGATCGCTCGGACGCAGAAGAACAAAGCGACCGAGTACCATCTTGGCCTGCTGAAAGCGAAATTGGCACGATATCGTGTTATGCTATTGGAGCCCACTGGGAAAGCCGGACCAAAAGGAGTCGGATTTGACGTCGTCAGGAGCGGAGATGCGCGTGTGGCGATGATAGGTTTCCCTTCCGTGGGCAAATCGACGCTACTTTCGAAGACGACGGAAACCAAATCAGAAGCAGCAAACTACGAGTTTACAACGCTCACCTGTATTCCGGGGAAGATCAACTATAATGGGGCGCAGATCCAGTTACTGGATCTCCCAGGAATCATCGAAGGTGCCTCACAGGGCAAAGGACGGGGTCGGCAAGTCATTGCAGTGGCAAAGACGGCAGATTTGATCCTTATGATGCTCGATGCGACAAAGCCGTTGCGGCAGCGAGAACTCCTGGAGGCAGAACTGGAAGCCGTAGGAATCCGCGTCAATACTCACAAGCCGAATATCTACTTCAAAGTCAAGAAGGGAGGAGGCATTTCCTTCAATGCCACCTGCAAGCTGACGCATCTGAACGAAAGGATGGTTTACCAGATTTTGCACGATTACAAGGTGAGTTGCAGTTCTCCACCAGATTGGACCGTCAACGCAAACTGACCGCTGTCCCCGCAGATACACAACGCGGAAGTACTCGTCCGCGAAGATGCGACGGTGGATCAATTCATCGACGTGATTTTGGGAAACCGGAAATACATCAACTGCCTGTACTGCTACAACAAAATCGATGCCATCTCGATCGAAGAGATGAACAGGCTCGCGAGGGAACCACACACCGTGGTTGCGTCTTGCGAATCCGATCTGAATCTGGATTATCTGGTAGATCAGATGTGGCATCATCTGGGACTCATGAGGGTGTATACGAAGAAAAGGGGCGAGTTCCCCGACTTCGGCGGGGGTCTGATTTTGAAGCGGGCATCGACGGTTGAGGGCGTGTGTAGAGCTCTGCACAAGACGTTGGTGGACGAATTCAATGTATGTTTGTTTCCACTGGCAAGCGCAGGGTGCTGGGTGCACTAACGTCAGTTCCTTATAACGTAGTACGCTCTGGTCTGGGGCACATCCACGAAACACAGCCCACAAAGAGTTGGTTTACATCACGTTCTGGAAGATGAAGACGTTGTACAGGTAAGCATTGCCCCATCTATGCCTTCTGGACATCGCGTGGGTTGCTCATTTTCCCATCTCTCATCTCAGGTCGTCAAAAAGAAGTGAGATTCTTTGTAACCTTCATCCGCAACGTGTCGATCAATTTCATTCCTCCCCGAAGACACGGTGTGGTCCAGCCGCCCTGCAGCGAGTTGTACAGTCGGGAACCTAACTAGTCGGCTAAGAGATCGCCTTGCCGGTGCAGATCACATCGTCACTTGTATATAGATCCGCCATTTCAATTAGAATCCCTCGCAGATATACGAGGGGCAACATCGCACCCACGAGATCCACTTTACATATCCCATTATACGCCAATGCTGAGAGCACGGCACCGTCCTCCATATATACCTTCAGAGTCAACTCACAAGAATGCGGAAAAAGTATTGCACCTATGTTTGGGGAGAGGTGGGGGCTCAGTGCCTTACTGGTGAACGTGCCGCTCATACAAAACGGAGCAGTTAGTGCGTACCTCAAGTGGCCCATCCTCCTCGAGATCCGTACAATGCACTGCGTTCTGAGCCTTGTCTATTCCGTATTTCGCTCGCAACGTTTGTGGGCGAACCTGTTTCCCTAGTTCAGGATCCTATACGAGGGAGAGATTGAGTTTTGTTAGGAAGTCGAACATGCAAACCTTGACCGTTGGGCATACCGTTGGGCCACAGAAATCTCGGAAAATGTTCACGATGTCATCTTTCCCTGCCACCTCCCTGAAGACGCTGTTAGCTGCCAACCACCTGTGTGCGTGTCGAAACGAGACAATGCCATTTTTGTACATACAGAGCAATGACAGGTCCTGATGTCAGCTGCGTCAACATAGACTGCAAGATAACGTAACGTTAACCGGTCCGTTGATCTTTGGATATACTCAAGAGATGCCCGTGTGGTGACTTACATGATACTCTGGAATGACACCTTTGTACACTTCCAAGAACTCCTCCGCGTCGGCTAGTTGCAGCCGGAAGAGCTCAGCGTTGTTTATCACGAACCCTGCTTGCAAAATGTCGTTGATGATTTTGCCCGTTTGCCCTGCATGGATGGTCCGCATGAGCCATGACGCAAAAAATCATAAGAATCAACGAAGAACATGCCCACCAGAAAGTACTGCATGTGGCCGTATCAGTCCCAACGTGGAATTCTGCAGATCGGACGGGCGTTGTGACGATGGGTCGAAGATGACTCTGGCGCACTGCATTCGAAGACCATACGCTCAGCGAAATGCGCTCGGAGGATACGAGTCCCGGCCCAAAGCTGACACCTGGCATGCGTCAGTAAACCTACCTGCCGAGCTGCCTCATGGCTTTTGGTGACGAAGATATCATCCTGGCCATCCGTTTGAAAATGACGAAGAAGGTCGCCAACTGCATTCGCCTTCAAAACTTCCACCGCTAACACTCTAGCTTGATCTATCCCACTGAGTACACTCATCAGCATCGCTCCACCGCTTGTCCTCCCCGTCCATTCATTGACGCCGTACCTCTTCGTTCCCGAGAACCTGACTATCTCTTCGCATTGCCGCCTTGACGGCTGTACCATCCTCATCTGACATATATTGAACCCTTTTCTTAGCACCTCGTCCAGTATTTGTCCCGCCTGCGAAAATGATGAGTGTTTGATGACCAGGAGGGACCTGCAGCGGCGGTAGGAAATTTTAATATGCCTTTCCCACGGTCTCATAGTGCGGCAATTGCTTCCCCTGTAACGTCTCTGCACAGGCAAACTCGATGCATACAGACGACACAAACCTCTCCAGCTGCTCCTCCAGTGCTTTTCGAGTGTATTCGTCCGCATAGCCCTGTATGAGCAGCTGCCTGCTGTTCACGGTCACCGTCGCGCCAATGTACAGGTCGTGCAATTTCAACGGAATGTGGGTCCTTTTCAGGAACGTCCTTCTCTGTTTGACATCATACTGGTTGGGCGACAGCGGTTCAGAAGGGTGAAAGGCATGGCTTGAGCACAGACTGTAAGGTGGCGTTCTGCTAGCTCAAGCCGGTGGATGAACACACTTCTGGGAAACCTTCCCGTACCATACCATTTCGACTGTCTGGTCGTTCGGATAGAAGAGTAGCTGGAAGGGCCGGCACAGCGCCGCTTGGTCGTCGAACCAGTCGACGCGGAAGCAATAGCGGTCATCCTCTGGTGCTGTCGTTGTTGACGCCATCGTGGGTCTCGGCGATGCGTCCAAGATGGTGAGGGAAGCGCACTTTTGCAGCTCATCGCCGAAGTCGGCTCTCACGCGTCGACGCGTTCTGGGCGCTATCGTCCAGACGGCAAGCAAGATAGGGAGTTATGCACTTTCAGGTGTTTCTTATGGACAAGTGAGACACTATCACGCTAAGGGCACGCTATGGGCAAACTAAAGGGGTATCCGGTTCTCCTTCGCATACTGAGATTGAAGGAAGGGGCTATGAGTACACGTGTAGGGAAAAAGAGTCCCGGCCCAACGGCTATATCCGCACCTTCTTCATGACCCTGATGATGTACTCCACTTGGGGATTCGCGGTATTCCTCAGCATCGTGATGGCATCCCGCAGCATCTCTTTCGGCTCATCTCCATGAGTAATCTGTTTGAATAGTCCGATACATGCCCCGCGTTTGCCGTCCCAGTATTCTGGATTTGGGTCCAGGCGTTCGAGCACGTCGAAGGCTTTTGCGGAGTAGAAATACTGTTGCATCTGAGAGGAGTGGTCAGGAATCAATGCATCACGCGATCCAAGCGGGCAAGAGCATCACGGAGGTCCACCACTTACCTTGTAGCAATCATTTGCGATCAGCTGTAGAAGACTGAACGACTCGCCCGATGTCTCCATTTTGAGGTAAAGCTCCCAAGCCAGCCTGGGCTTCTTGTTCATGATATCTGGGGATCCAATCGTGAGCGAACGTCGCCATTCAAGGCCCCATCCTTTCGCTCAACTCACAGCAGCGTGCCAGATGGCTGAGATACGCGTAGTCATGCTTGAATTTCTCATTTTGAAGCGCGAGAAGGACCTCCTCCGCCTCTTCGAATGCCCCTGTCGCAGCTTTCGCTTGTGCATAGTTGTAGTTGAACGTGTCGTCGTTGTAAAAGTAGCCCTAGCGTCTCACCAGGTCAGCCAAATTTTCAGCTTCAATAGTTCCAAAAGATGCGGGCTCACCTTGATCGAGTTCAAGTATATAAGGACATCGTCAAACTGCTTCAGGAGGAAGAAACATGACGCCATGCACTGGCGTCCAGGAATCGTATCACATTCACTCGCGGACCCGCCGACCAGCTGAAAGTACTGTTGCGCAATCTTCAGATGCTCTCTTGACTCCTGCTCCTGTCCTAACGCTGCATTGACGATCCCTTTGAGAATGTATTCTTGAGGTGTTGATGGCTCGACATCCTTCATCAGGTTGAAAGCCGACACGATATCATCGTTCCGCAGGTGATAGATGACCAAGTTCAAGCGTGCTTCTGGAATCACGTCCAATAGCGGCGGGAAAACTTGCATCGCGCCTTCTCCGTTACGAAACACCACCTGCAGCGTGATTCTTCTATAAGCACAGATTCAGTGAGTTTGGAAAGAAACGGAAACTTACCAAGTTGTGCTTGATCAGGTCCTCGGCGAAATGAAAGTGTGGCGAATTCTTCTCCATCATTACCTTGAACTCCTGCTCTGCAGCTTTTCCATTGTAAAGTCGAAAGTGGTTGCAAGCTTTCAAGTTGGTTGCCACTACACTGTCAGGGAAATGTTGCAGATACACCGACACCACTTCCTGCGAGACATCGTAGTAGTCGAGCTTGTAGTAACACATGGCCACATAGACGTTGATAGCGAGGTACTCGCGGTTGTCCACCAGAATGCGCTTATAAATATCGATTGCTTCTTGATAGTGACTTCGAAGGTAGTGTATCGATGCGAGGCTCAGCTGATCTGGAAGTCAGCGATCGCTCTGCCGGTGACACAACGGCGATAGATCTCACCTGATCTTCAATGACATCTTGAAGATTCTGATGATACCCCATCAAGCGCTTCTCATCGTTGAACTTGTGAGACAGATGAAAGAGAAGCCGGTTTTGTAGTTTGCATGATGGGCCTGGAAATGTGAATGAATGAACAAAAACGTTCCCCATGTCTCGCTGCGCAAAACTTTCCTCACCTTTTTGCGCTTCCTCATCTGCTTCCCGATATAGCCCCAAAAAGAAATAGCAACATGCCAGGTACACATGAAAGACAGGATCAACTTTCGGTGCCTCCAGCGCTTTCTGATACATCTTACTTGCGAGACATCAACGGGTTACGAGAGCCCAGTGAGGTTTGAGATGCGGCTGTATCGGAACCTCACCTCCATAGCTTTCTTATGGTCGCTCAGATGGAAAGCGGCGTATGCTATCCATGCCAGTGCGTCAGGGTCTTCCTTTCCTGCAGCAGCATTGAACTATGGTGGCGAACTGATAGCTCAGACATAGCTTCGCTACAAAATCGTCTGATACAGCATACCTCGAGAAGTGTGATAGCGCCGGTGAAGTCTCGCTTTTCGATAAACTCTTCCAATGAAGGTACTGCCTTTTTTGCGGGTCGATTGGGCACTTCGATGTTTGTCCCTTTCGGCCCAGCGTTCAGTGCGGGCTTTGCTCTAGAAAGCATCTGCGGTTGAACCATTAGATCATTCGCGTCAGGCAGAGTGCGTTTAAAGTAATTTAGAACGGGAAGTCATACCATCTTGGGCGTAGGTCCGGTTTCAAACAAAAAAAATGTACGATGGGCCTGTGGTATGGCTCAAGGATATCACCTTCGAAAGTCGAGGATGCCGGTTGACTTCGGATGCGCGACTTCATCTTACGCGCTGTCGAAAGTCATTTGCGGACGCGTACTGTAGTCACCCTCGGCACACCCTCTGCACACCCTTTGCGTTGGGCAAAGGTCTCATATCAACAAAAACCCGAACTGTGCAGTAACTCAGACGCATCCAATTATGACAAGGTCACTAACCCTGGATAACGAGCTTCAGCCGGCGAAGAATAATTGCAACCGAAAAAAATCTATAGAATAATTACAGCATCGACATAACATCAAGGAGGGCTAAAGTTTTGACGGAAGATGCCAGAAGATATGAGCCCCCAACCGTTGCTGACCCCTTCCGATACACCTGGTTATCTCCGTCTTCTCTGCGTAGAGATCTTCAGAATTCCCAGTAATGCGACTTGCCAGTCCACGGGGCGTCATCAAATAAAATTGCGGCGAACTTATTCGAATCGTCTTATTGAAGTAGGCGGAGATGTTGTAGTATGCGAAGTAACCAGATGCGAAGATGATTCCAAGCTGGGTGCTGTCGGAAAAGTTTTCTTTGGGGGCACCGAAATGTTGAGGTAAGCAACGTAACCGGATGCGATGGTACTTCCGAGCTGGGTGCTCTTCTCAAAGAAGACTTTGGCGACAGTGCAGGAGTTGGCGGTTCAGCTACAGGACGAAGGTGGTGAGTCGACCGGTTAGCTCTTGCTATTCAGACCGACCATACCTTGCCATCGCTTGATGAGGATTCGCTACGCCTGCGTAGGATATTGAGTATGTGATTTCTTTAGATGCAACACGAAATGCTGCGAACCATCTCTCGAACTTACCAACCGACTTGCCCAGATTGAGCATCGCCGTGCGGCCATTACGACTTCCAGTGCATCGATAGTCTTCAATCTGCTTTCCAGCCAAACTTCTTGTGGTGCTGGGAGCGGTGGTGGTGGAGAGCCGGTGGCCCGAGGGTTGGCGGAGGGCGGGTCGAGGAAGTCCGCCTTGTGGTGACGGCGGCGCGCAAAGGCCACAGCGCACTGCCCCCATCCCGTCGCCACTCGCCATCATGGAACCTGCCCATATGAGGTCCAAGTTCCCAAGCAAGCACCAACGCTATACATATGCGCATAGATGAACATGACAACATAAGATACAAGGAATGTGAGCTTGAAGGCCCACGTAAGACAGCCACAAAGCAGCAGAATAATTACCGATTTGGTCTTGGCTTTCAATTTTCGCCTCGACCATCAACAAACCGGCGTTCCTCTGATTGATGTACTTCCTTTCTTGCGCGACCCCCGCAGGCAAACAGGGGACGGCGACGTGTCGCGACGCCCTGATACAAATCTGCGAGACGTGCGAAAATCCCTGGTGTGGAGTCGGCAGCGTGAAGGTCCTTGCGGAAGCTCGTTTGAAACGCCGGTATGCGGTACCCATGGCACTCGTACGTTACGTCTCGTAAACCTTCACGGCAGCATTTGCCAAGCGGTACATCCTCGTCGTCCGATCTTTCCCCAGGCTGCGTCTGGGAGAGGAAGCTGCTCAGTCATTTCATGCTGTCGGCAGTGCACTATTTTGCAAATGTCAGCGCACTACTTCAAGAAAGCTGTCCGGTTGGAAGGACTGGTTGCTGAAGTTCCCTGGAATGGGAAAAGCCGGGTAGTAGATTGACACGGCGCTCTTCAGGATCCGGGCGCATTCCTCTGGCGTACGGCAGCTGAATTCAGTGTAGCCAAGAGCATCTCGTACCGGTGCAACCAGCCCTCCGCGGTGTGTTCGTTGCGACTTGGTCCAGATCTGCGGTCGCTGCCGTCGTCCGCGGCTATCTTTCCAAGATGATAACGGACACCTTGCTAGGTGTTTGAAAATTGCAGGTTTCGAAGAGGTACTAACGGAGAAGCGACGGACCACGTTGAGGATGAATCTTCCAGGAGAAGATCGAGAAATCGGCTTCAGCGGCAAGAAGAGCGGAAGGGTAACTTTAGGGAAGCTCGGAAGCGCAAATCTTCGGATTCATCTTGCCACTATAGCTGATTTGTCGTCCATGCTGGTAAACGCAAATGTTGACCCCCCCCCCCCCCCCCCAAGATGGACCTGCCAGAGCCGTCTTTCCGATGCAGCGGACAATATTTCGGAGAAGACGTTCCATATACCACGTCACGAGGTTCTCCTGATTGTTAACCAAGTTGCCGAAACCCCTTCTATTTGTATTCTTTGAGACAGAAGACGATCAAAGCGTAGTCCAAGTCGTACACTCTTTGACCAATGTCTGCGCCCACCTGCGGATGAGGGAGGATACGGGTGGGCGGAGACATCGGTCACAGATTGGACATCGTTGACCGCAAACTATCCCAGGGATTCGACATTTCTGCGATGCCTGCAACATTTGCGACGTTGATGTCGTCCAACTGTAGAGGTAAGAGATCACCTAAAACAACGTGAACAGCCAAACCAAGGCGAGACACGTTTCTTCCCACGTCTACCTCATAGCGAAGATACTTCTGGTTCCAAGGTGCGCAACATGTGATCCCACTTACCAAACCGCTTTCAACGGAAATGCCAAGCGGAAGCTTATCAGGGCGTCACTGCGAATTGCCGACCAGTCGCCACCGTCGTCAGAGTTGCTGCTCTGTGCTTCCGGTTCTCGCTCGCCAACTCTTGAGAAACCTCATGCCTCGGGCTTGGGTCAACTCGCCCCTCTCGCCCAGCCTCTCGCCCGCCGTCGACACAATCGACGCGTTTCGAAGTTTCGAAGTTTTGGGGACAAGCCTGGGACAAGCCAGCTCTCAAGTTGAGTCTCAACCTTCCCGCAACTTCGCCATAATGAAAACCCAGAGAATTCAGTCTTCAGAAGCGTTCGACGCTACCGTCAAGGAGACCGTCGCCAATGCCCCCGGACGGGTATTTATTTTATTGTTTGGTGCGTAGTGGAGGCGGGAAGCTGAGGGTTCGACAATGGCCGGCACCAATCACTTTCGTTCCGTTCTCATCGGCGTTGATATTATCGCTACAGGCACGGAGGACGAGAAAACGGGAGAGTCATGGTGCCCCGACTGCGTTATCGCAGACCCGTTAGTCCGCAAACACGTCAGGCAGGTGGCCGACTCGACTTTGCTTGAAGTGCCCGTCGGCGCTCGTTCTGCGTGAGTGGCGCTTCCTTATCTTCGCGGGGTGCGCTAACTGCGAAAAGGGAGTGGACTCACAGCGCAACTGTTTGAACTAGTTGGAGGAGTCCGGACAACTTTTACCGCTCCCATCCCCAGCTGAAACTGACAGCTGTCCCTACCCTGTTCGAATGGGGCAAGGTGAGGAAAAATGCAATGCGACCGGCGTGTGCGCGGAAGCACGTCGAGAACTGATCCATCATGCCAATTCCGATCATCAGGACGGGCCCATCAAGAGTCTGGTGGAGGATGATGTGAACAACGTCGAGTTGCTTGAGAGATTCTTGGCGTAGGGAGCTTCATGCATTGAATTCGGAGGAAGAAGGGCATGGGTTGCATTCGCCCACCGCACACAAGCAGATTGCGAGGGCGTCAGAACAGACTAGTTAGCTTGAGAACTAGTCTCGTCATCGCGCACGCATTCGAACCCTTCTCACTACAACGGCGTGTATAAGGTTCACACAACCAAGTTGCTAGAATAAGCAAGGGTGGATTCCCTCATATGCACATTGCAACAACTCAGATCAGATAAGAACTCCAACGTTTGAATACATGTACATTCAAACACGTTCGTATCTTGTTTAGTAGAAGTATAGTGCACAAATGGCAGTTAGGTGTGCGGGTGCGGGTGTGTGGTGGGTATATGTCCAAAATGTGTATGTTTCATCAGGCAACTTGATCTTTCATGCCGCTCACACGGCGCTGGCTATGCAACATAGCATCATGCTGGTGCGACGTCTTATTCGAAGAGTGGCCGAGATTGGTTTCCGACTTCCGCGGAGCGAGCGGCGGTGAGGTCGGCGTGGGGAAGTACTGTCCGTTGATACTGCCTTTCACTGCGGAGGTGTGGGCCGAGTGCGGGCTTGCCGGCAGATCTGGCGGAATCACACTCGCGGGATGCGGGTTGTGATCAGTTCCCCTCGGCCCCAGATCTGATCTTGTCAAGCTCTTGCTCCTCCGTTTCGTCAGTACCGGTTGACCAACCGACGCACCCTCGCTCTTCACACTCCGCACACCCTTCCGCCGTTTCTTGCGATCCTCGGGACGGCGGTGACTCCTATGCGTCCCGCTACTCGTTGTGTCGCTTACGGTATGCGCCGCGTTGGGGTATACATCCAGGCTCTGTGCTCCTCGATATCCCATTTCGGCCATGCGTTGGTCAAGGCCTGGACTGAGCAGACCTTGTGGGATGTTGACGCCGGGTGGAAGTTTGAGTTTGATGACGTTCCGGGTACGCCAGGACCTTGTGCTGTTCGTGTAATTGGATGCAGGTGACGTCGAGTTCGATGGGAAGCCGTTGAGGTAAGCCAGAGGGGGTGGGGATGTGGCAATCGAGGTAGGTTCTGTACCGGCAACCACAGTAGTAGAGCCATGGCTCGCTGTCCGAGACATAGCAATTGGTCGGCTATGATGCTCTGCGGCTTTTAACTTGTCTTTTACGGCAGCAGGTTGCGATGAAGCGTCCTGCGCTCTTCGTTTCCCTTTTGAGAATGGGAAGCGAATTGGATGTGCGCGGAACGCAAGGTGGCTGATGTCCTCACTCTGCGTATGTGGGGTCAGCGTGAGATTTGAACTCATCAAATTAGCGAGATGAGCTGCACGGGGGTTGTCTGTGGGCCGGAGGACAATGCCGGCAGGGATTGCCGTGATCACTGGCAGATGAGGATGCTGATGGGACGTAGGCGATGTCCCAGGATCTGAGAAGGCGGATAAGGTATCGAAGTGTGCATCGTCCCCGAAGTCGGAATGGGCACCATCATCAGGAGAGATGAAAGCACCGTTATGGTGAACTTGATGCCGGCTGTCGTCCTCATCGTAAGCGAGGTACGAGGGATCAGTCATGGGTGATACTTGGCAGTGCTTTTGTCGGGAATTCGGGAGATTGAGCGTAAGGCCGTATTTCCGATCATGACCACAGTTCCTATCATCACCGCCGCCATGGAAGTCGGAAGCCCAGTCGGTTCCAAAGTCTGTATTCAGACTCATTGAGCTCATCGCTCTTAGTGGTATCCTTGGTCGTGTGGAAAGATTCTGGTAACCGGCGTACCCTGCGCGGACCGACTCGGCTGGATTCGACGCGGCGGCACGCATCGTGTGGTTGGTACTCGCCGTGAACCTCGTACTCGCCGTGTCATGGCTTGATATGCTAGCTTGCCGGAAAAGCGGCGGCCTGCCGTCGTGCGAGTTATATAGACTGCGGGAATCCACTAAGGTAGAATCACCCTCGCTTCCATATTTTTCCCACAACTGCACCCGCGTGACGGCGAGTGCACCGATGGATAGGCCTGGGACAAACAGGTTTCTCAATCCCATATCGGTCGCGCCGCAAGAAACGCTTAGGTTACGGTAGAAATAGTACCCATGGACCCAGGCATCGTCATCATCGTCATCGGACACGTCGTTCCCCACCCATTTCTGACGATGCTGTCGCGTCTGATCATGATTGAATGCCCTCGTCAAGGTCGGGGTAGTTACGAAAGAATCGTCTCCATGATAGCCGCTATCTAGCGACAGCAGATCTTCGTCCTTATGATTTCCGCTTCGATCTGGGTACCCAGAACTATGGCTCGCAAAACCGGAGGTTTCTGGTGCGTTGTTCTTTTGGCTGAGATAGACAAGCGACAGGTTATGTATCAGAGCCGGTAGGTCTTCTTGAAACATCTTTCGTAGTAGCGTTTCGATCTGCGACTGGAGAAATCGGCGGATGTTGGGTATGTTGTCGAACGTCGAATTCACATCGACCTTCTCCAGAGGATCATTCTTGAAGACCAGGGTGACGCCCTTGTGCTTATCTACAACGAGCACAATAATCCCCCTTAAGAGAAGATTGCTGATCTTAAGTCGCATCGGCACCACCAGCGGCCAGTTCGCCGCTAATACCGACGGGCCACGGTTCTCATTTATTTTCAATCCTGCTTTTGGCGCTTTCAACGGGTTCGCCTGTACGCTGGTCATGAGCTCCAGGTAGGCGTCCCCGTTGTATCCCATTTTGAAGATCCCCCTAAAACGGTCCTCCTGCAATTCGCCTATTTCGAGAATCTCCAAATCTGGCGGCTTTGTTCCCATGTTCAGCTCGTGAACAACGATCTGCCCAGCAATTTTCTCCGGCTTTTCGCCTTTGTTCAGGGCGGTGGTGAGCTGCTGCTTTGCCTTCTCCATGAACTCGGGAGAGAACGACGGCCAGTTGAGCTTGAATGACATGATGAAAGTCCGAGCGGCAGGTGAGATGAAAGAACCCGAGGTTGTCGGCCGGGCATATGAGATGTTCGGCCGTCAGCGACGCTCTGCGGTTACTCGCCCTCCACGTTGCAAGTATTCCTAAGGAGCAAGTAATTGGTTTCGAACTCGAGTCCCCGCCGGTGGTTTGAAATGCTCTACTTTGGGAGTCCCTCGTCAAGCCGTCGAAACGTTTGGGCAGAACAACTATGCGAACTATGTGACAATAAAGGCTAATGACGAGTACTCTCCCAAAGAAACTGCCTTGTGCTTAACACCGATGATGTTCGATGTGAGTTTGGCACTTATGTAGCACGCTAGCGGAGAGTGTGTCCAGTATCGTACCGACGGTTAATGTGGGAAAAAAGCCCAGAACCCAAAGAACAGAAAGAACGCGGTAACAACCTCACTCGACGGAAACCAACAGCAGACCAACCTGCCTGATGAAACACCGACGAGCTCGACAACGTCATTGGCCCAAAAGACGCCTACCCGATTTTGGCGGTAACCCCCAACAACCTTCTACAAGCCCTGCGCCGAGCTTCGCAGAGTAAACGGGTGGATATAGAGCGACACGGACGGCCGACAAGGAAACTGAGCCAGCCAAAGGAAAACTCTTGGCGAAATGAGCTCCGTCCACGCTAGTAGTCTTGAAGCTGTAGCAAAAGCTTCTGAAGTGCCTTCTGGGGTGTATCACGATGACTATGTTTTTCCCAAAACGAAGCTAGCACTAGGTTTGCCTTTCTCCTCTGAAGTCCATGTCCTGCAGGATAAACGAAGGTGCTCACACGGCACATATTTAGATCAGCCGGAAACCTCCCCGGGAAAGACCCCGTTGGTTGCTATAGCTTGTGGCTCGTTTTCGCCTGTAACGAACCTTCATCTGAGAATTTTCGGTACTTTCTGAGTGACAATCGAAGTGGGCGTGATTACTGAGGGCAGCGGTTCTCAAATCCACATTCTCCAAATAGAAATGGCGAAGGACCACTTCGCAGACCACGACCACTACTATTTATGCGGCGGCTACATGTCACCCGTATCCGACGCCTACAACAAAGCTGGGCTCGTTGGATGGGAGGATCGCGTGCAGATGTGCGAAGCGGCGCTAAATGACAGCGATTGGATCATGGTCGATCCGTGGGAAAGTCGGCAAAAGGAATGGCAACGGACAGCGTGGGTGTTGGATCACTTCGATGTCATGATAAACGGGAAGGATAAACGGGGGCATTTGCTGCCAGATGGTTAGTCGGGTTGGCAATCCACTGAGCGGGGCATAGTTCGCGGGGGGCTCATCATCTCAACGCAGGAACCCGACGCAAAGTGCACATCATGCTGCTGGCAGGGAGTGATGTGATACAATCGTTTACCGTGCCAAAGCTGTGGCGTGAGGAAGATGTAAGTACGATGCCAAAGTCGTGGCGTGAGGAAGTTGTAAGCTCCTTTGCCTATGTTCTCGCAAGTGAACGCGGGGTCTCATCTCGTTGCTCACTACAGCTGCACCATATTGTGGGGCACTTTGGATGCATCATCATCGAGAGACAAGGAGCGGACGTTGGGGAGTTCCTTTTGAAGGACGATATTCTCTATCAGCACAGGGTCGGTTGCACAATGCCACTTAGGGAAAGAAGCTTGCATATTTCTCAATCAAGTGCGTCTTTGCAGAAAATGATCCATCTCATCAAGCAATATATTTCAAATGACATCTCTTCGACAAAGATTAGGTAGATTGGGCCAGGCCATTTGTATGCATCTTCTACCGGTTCTAATACGCTAACGGCTATGATTTTTTAGACTGCTCGTGAAACGCAAGCGTTCCATCAAGTACCTTCTGCCAGATGCAGTGATAGATCATATTTTTAAGAACGGGCTATGGGGTGCAGAACCCAAGAAACGGCGCGCGACAGACACAGAAGTTGACATGATCCCGTCAGTCATGGATGGCGTGAAGAAGCGGAGGAGAGGATGATTACATTCGGGCGTAGGCAGCAATTTTTTCAACTCGGTAGATGCATATTTCTCGACAGAATGCTAGAACGACACAGTATGGAGAATGGGGCTACATAGCTACATATTCACAAGAAACGGGCGAACGAGCGCAGGATTTAGAACGCGTGTCGGCGTGCAAGGACCTCTTCTTCGCCGCTGTTGAGCGTATCGGCCATGCCGAACGTATCAGTGCTGCAAAGCAATAGCCGAGGGGACCGTTAGTAGGAGAAGCCATCACGCAGAGGTGTTTTATTCAGTTTATGAGGGTTCGCTAACATACCGCAGCTTCCCACGAATACTGTCGTCCTCCGCCGGAGCAGCTCGCGTACCATGGGGGGGTCGCTCAACATCCGCCGTGTTCGCGTATTCACTGCGTCGCAAATCGCGGTCCTCAGCTTCCGGCACGAACGTGGAGGGCTTCTCGGTAATGGGCCTCACATTCTGAGGCACGGGCTGCTCCTCCACGTGCTCTTCCAGCTGTTGCTCCATCAGCTTCTACCCTCACTAAAGCTCATGCAGAACAGCTATCCAGGCACTCACGTGAGCATAAGTTTTCTGGGTAAGCGGATGCTTCTCCTTCATACGTTCCGCATAGTACCTTCGTTCTTCTTCGGAGATCTCTTGCTGCTTTCGAGGAGACAGATCCATGAACTCGCGGATGTCGTTGCGGACGTTGGACGAGGGCGGTGTGATGTAGCGTTGGTATTCGGATTCGCCGGGGGCGCTCATGGCTGGATGCTATTGGTTTGAAGATGCTGAGTTTTGGGTTTTTTCTGACAGGCTCTTGATATCGTATTTTGACTCTGCTGCTTGAGCTACGAAGCTATAAACTGCGTTACGTATATTGTCACCCCACAGCTTTTACACTCGTCGACTTGTCGGGCAGTGGGCTCGCCTCTCGCAGTGACGCAACGGATACGCGCTGTCGAGTTTTGTTACTTCGTCCGCCTTTTGTCGGCGGGAAGAGTGCTCATACACTCACCGGAGTGGCAATAACCGTTGAATACATACTACCAGCAGAGTTCTGTTCATGAAAATGAACTGGTCTTCCTCCTTTTCTTGGTCAGATTGCTTCTATGATCTGTTTCTAAGGCAAGATTAGGGACTTGTCAATCTCCGGGATAGTTCGAAGGAGGTCTTTGCGAATCGATATGTGTTGTGGAAGGATGAGATGACTGGAAACGAATGCGAGATCGGAAGCTTTTGGCTGCGTCTTGTGAGCGGGTAGTGAGGTTGGGACTTTCTTGAGGACTTGCGACTTGTGAGGATACTTTTCCAACTACCGGTTTAAGCCCGGTTTAGAGAGAAACCGGCCTTAAACCGATCATTAGAAATTAACAGAAACTGGTTGTTTTCCACGGGGCCTACGAAAAAAAAACTGGAAGCTGCTTTAGCCCCATGTTGCAAAACCGGCAATTCCAGTAAAACCCGGGACCAGACCAGGCAGGATGATGGCCATGCAAAGAAAATGACGGGTGACGCGCTGTCGTATTTGATAGTTCAAACGGCATCATTTAGGGTGCCCGTTGTAGGTGCGATTTACGACACACCCGGAAGACGCAGACGATTCTGGCTTTCAATGAGAGTTTCTTACTACGGATCATGCACCCTTTTTGGTTATATCACAGGAACTTTACATTATGAGAGCACCCATCTGATTCGTCATCCCACGTAACATCGTCCCTTTCTTTGCCAAATTCGCCAGTAAAGGAAACCTCTTCTGCAATATAAGCATCTACCCCACTATCGATTTACTGCCCCACTCGCCGAGTATCCCGTCCCGCGCAAGCGACATGTTCGGCGACGGGCCCTCGAATCGGAAGCCGACCCCATCTCGCAGCCGCGCCCCCGTTCAGCAAAGCACTACTACGAAGATGCAACCGTCCACATAGTTGTCGAAGACACAGTGTTCGCTGTGCAACAAGTCCTTGCTGAAGAAGGATTCCAGCTACTTTGATACGATGTTTACGGGACCGTGGCGTGAGGCACAAGACGCTGCAGGCCCGCAGGCATGCCTGATCGAGCCACGTCGGATGCGTGAGGTGCATTTCAAAAGTCTTAAACAGCGGGACTTCAACGTGTTCCTGGACCTCATTTAAGAGTGGGATGGGACGATATCGTTGCTCGGCATCTCTCAGCTTCCTGGGCTGCTCTGCACGTCGGAGTATCTGCAAGCAAATTATTTTCAAACACCAGCGACGAATGCTCTTCCGACACTCGCAAAGCAGGATTCAACCGCATTCGCCCGCGCCATAGTCGAAGCTCCTGCTCTCCTGAGCATGGAACTTGTCCGCAATGAGTTTCTCGCTTTCCTCAAGTCAGCGCCGCACGAGATGCGGCTTGTGCTTCTAGCCATTGCGGAGCAGTTTGGACTTCAAAAGCTATTCGCCGATGATTTCAAGGCGATGTGGCCACGCAAGCCCTACTTAAATCCCGTTTTTAGTAATCTCTCCATGGAGCTGCGCTACCGTCTTCTAATCCACATGACAGACTGCACTTGCCGCGAAAGATACACGGGCGTCCAAGCATATATAATCAAATCGGTCACCACGTATCGCGGGTACTTCCACATCTACCTGCCTAGCATTGTGATAGTTACTGTACGTAGTTCGCTATTTGCAATTCCGTATTGAGTGGGGAAGAGAAAGAAGAGGTCTCGTATCATTTTGGCTGATTGCGTGTCTCTATCCAGCAGTGATGATGAATGAACATCCTATTCTGGCAGTTGCGTGATACAGAACAAATTACACAGATTCAAAAATGGATAGAAGGGGATAGTGCGACTACTAGTTGAAATGAACTGAAGTGATGCAACAGAAATGACATGAGATGTCACTGAAAATGTAAAGAGGATTCTCTCAGTCCTGTAGAGACGCGATGGTCCAAGTATTCATAGGATCAGAAATCCGTGTACGGTCTGAACTCGCTCCAGACCTCCGCCTTCTCCTTCATCCAATCTTTTTCAAATGAGTCTACGCCGTTCCAGATCTTACTCAACCTCTCCTGCTTATACTCCGTCCAGCTCTCGTCAGCAGGAACTCCGCGTCTCGCAAACGTGGTCCATTCACAACGCATGCGGTCGGAAAGGCGACGGTATTGGCCGCCGAAACTGAGTGCAATGGCTGCGTAGCTCATTAGGTTCGAGTTGTAGGTGCCGAATACGAATGGAATTTCAGTTGCGTGCGTGGCACTGCGTTTGAGTAAACGTTCAAGGGTTAGATCGAGCGAAATAAGAAACAGACTTTTCTGGCTTTGAAGTCGGTCATACCCCATCCCAGTCCACCGTAGAACAACTGGCGCGTAATCGAATCGGTACATGTAAGTGGGGCCAGATTTCGTATGGCCTTCAGCGAAACGCTGCGTGGGGATGCAGAACGCGATATCGCTGGCCAATCGTAGACGGGCGGGCAAAGCCGGGAAGCCCGGGTACGCGGCTTGGATTTGAGCGCCCGCTTGCGTGTTGGAAGAGAAGTAGCGCTCGATTTGCAGCTCGGTGAGCGGAACCGCGGGATGTTTTGGATCCATCGTGTGGAAGAGGTTGGCTTCGTCCTTGTTGACGCCTAGCATGAGCGGTATATCCTTTGCATATCCGTTTCGGATTGCGGCGAGAGGATCCTGTGGTATGATATTGCCATCGACGATGGGGCTGAAGGGCATCACTCCTGGTCGTTCCAGGACCATTTTGTGGAAAACGGCACGAGCAGCTGAAACCAACTCGTCGGCAGGCACCGCTCTCAGCGCCGAAGCGTCCGGCTTAGAGAGACCCAGCTCCCTCAAGACGTTATTGCCAACCATAAGGGCTTCCGAACGACTATGGACCGATGTCGGCAAAGGACTCTGAGCGATGGCACGATGAAACAGCCCTTTGGCAGACGGCATTGCCATCAAGGTGGTGACAGCGTTTCCACCAGCGGACTCTCCAAAGATCGTGACGCAGCTGGGATCGCCACCAAATGCTTCGATGTTGTTCTTTACCCAGCGCAAAGCAGCAACCTGGTCTTGCATTCCCAAGTTTGTCTCGATGTCTGGGATGTCCACATATAGGAATCCAAAGGAGCTCAAGCGATAATTGATCGTCACAATCACCACGTCTCCAGTTCGAACCAAATGCTCGCCATTGTACGCCGGCGTACTTCCCGAACCCGTCATATAAGCGCCTCCGTGGATCCAAACCATAACAGGCTTCTTGGCATCTGCTGGCAGACTGCTCGGCGCCCATACATTCAAGTAGAGGCAGTCCTCATCCTGCTCTGCTCCCTGCGAGACATATTTGTTCAAGCCCCAGTATCCCTGCGGGGATACCGTTCCGAAGTTCTTTGCGGAACGCACTCCCTCCCAGCCGTTGGGTCCCTGGGGCGGTCGAAATCGCAGATCACCAATGGGCGGCTTTGCAAAAGGGACGCCGCGCCAGACCGCGACGTCGCCGGTCGAATCCACCGGAACCCCTTCCACCTTGCCATACTGCGTTTCGACGATGAAAGGACTTGTTTTGAGCTGCATGTTGTGTGGGGGCAGTGGGCGATGGCGATGGCTTGTGAGAGGGAGTAAGCACCGTTAACACAGCTCTCAAGCGCGTGACGCACCTTTAGTAAAAGCGTTGAAGCGGCGCCTCATCAAGTCACGCATCCAACCTTGCAATGGTTGATTGATTCCAGAGCAAACGGGGACCATGATCCAAGCGAAGACAGTTCTGCCCGCCACTCACTATGCTGCTACCAGAAGTCCCAGGCACGAAAGCAACCTCCATCGGGCAGTGCATTCCGCCACAGAGCCATGGAATTCTGTGTCTGGAAACTGGAACAGCTTCCGAGTGTGGTGCAAGGACAGTTGAACGCGTCTGTTGATCATCGAGATGTGGCTTACGCGTGCGGTGTGACTTGAAATTGAGGCACCAGAGGCACCCTTGGCTCACGTCTCCGGCACCGCACCGCATTAAAACCGGTCTCCACAATGTGATCTACTGTACATCGGTATCCGAGGGTGTTGCTCTTTCAGTCCAGCGCATCGCACCTATTTTTTACTGCGGAAACAGTCGCTGGTCGACCTAATATCTCGCTTAGCATGGCCGAGAAATCCACCGCCAACGCTCTCGAGACCTGCGAGGGCAACAATCTCGTCCGCGACACCGCCCGGTTCGATTTCACCACGCTCTTGTCGCTGAGCACCGCACCGCGAGCCTTCCGCTTCTGGTTAATCGCCTTCATCTGCGCTCTCCTCGCCACCCTCATCACCTTCTACTCCATCTTCACCCACCTGCGCCGCTGGGTCAGGCCAAGCGAGCAGAAACATGTCGTCCGCATCCTCCTCCTCGTGCCTATCTACGCTTGCATCAGCTGGGCGGGATTCTACTGGTACCGCGATGTCGTGTACTTTGATGTCATTGAGCATGTGTATGAGGCCGTCGTGATCTACTCGTTCTTGTCGTTGATCCTTGTCTACCTCGGCGAGAACATCAATGCCCAGCGGCTCCTGCTAAAGGACAAGGCCCAAATGAAATATCCGTTCCCGTTCCGGTTCTGGACGTACGACCCTACCTCAGCGTCGTTTCTGCTTGATATCAAGGTCATGATCTTGCAGTATGTCGTCGTCCGCCCGCTCTTGGCTGTCGTCGCTGTTGTGCTGCAGAGCCACCACAAGTTCTGTATGGAGAGCATGGCGCCTACGTACGGCCACTTTTCCTTCGTCGTCATCAACTTCATCTCAGTAACCTTTGCTCTGTTTGGGTTGTTGACGCTGTACATGACTGTGCGTCACGATGTTGCTCATCGCAAGGTCACAGCAAAGGTAATGTTCCACTTTTACCTCAAAGCCGTCTTACCTCTCATACATCCTAACACTGCATCAATCTTCCCCACCCTAGTTTCTCGCAATCAAAGCTGTCATCTTTCTCACCTTCCTCCAACAAACCGTTCTCTCCCTGCTAGCACACAAGGACGTGATCCCCGCCCTTGTCTACTGGACACCCTTCAACATCGCAAGCGGAAGCAACGCCTTCCTCGTCTGCGTCGAAATGGCCCTCGCAAGTATTGTCCATTTCAAGGTCTTCTCTGTCAAGGAGTACGACAACGAGAATCTTGGCCTCACCGTGGCTGGGGTCCCGGATGCGGAGAGGGCGACCTGGCCGGAGACGCAGCATCGCATTGGAGCATTTACGGCTCTTGGGCAGGCGCTCAACCCTATGGATATCCTCAGGGATGTATGGAGCGCGATGAAGTATATGGGGTTGTGGATGAAGCATGGGCTGAAGCCGGAGCATTGGGAGAAGTGAGATGAATACTAGTAGTTGATGTCAGTGTGTATTTTATACCCGGCGTACCGGCATAAGCTACTAGACAGCAAGAAGACTTCAATCCCTACTCCATAATGTGTGTACATACATGCTACCAATGCAATATTATCCCTTTCTGACTGGAAACACCATCGCATTGCTCCATCGAAGGGTGATTACGAAAAGTCGGATGACGCTTTGACCATCGCAGAGGAAACAAACGTTGTTGCTTGCTTTTATTTCTATTTACATTTAAAATACATGGAATGATCCGGTGCTAGGCGAACTTCCACTTGCATTCGTCGTTCGCGGTATTAGGAAGGCCTTCCCGCGCATGCGATTAACGGCTTGACCCTTATCTCCGCGTAGCTTCGAGAGTGAATGGACAGATAAAGCAAAGGCAGGGCGGAACGCACGGCAGTTCATGTTAAAGAGTCGAACGTAGTTATTGGCGCAAGGGATGGTGGTGCGGGCAGAGGTCCGTTTCGAAAGGTGGGACAAAAGACTTCCGTCCGTGATATTTGGTATCGCAGGCTCGTAGAAACATGCTTCATCTTCTCCCTCCCAATCGTATCGTATCGCATCGTCTCGCAGAAGCTGCCTATCCGCATTCCATATCTCCCCCATTCCTCATATCCCCCGTTCCCACACTCTGATCTCCCACCATCCTCACCCTACGACGACCCCGTGACCGACGCCCTCCTTGAACCCGCAGGCGATACCCCTCCGAAACCAGGGTGTACGACGGCCTTCTTGCCCCGAGCGTCAATGTAGTGGTATACGACGATGAGTGTGAACACGAGCCCGCCGAGCGTGTTGACTGCGGCCATTAGTTGATCGTCTGTCATCATTTTGAGTGCGTGTTTTTTTGATGAACGTAAGGGCGAGGGTGGTGATGGGTATGACGGCTCGGGCGGAGGCCAGTGGGTGGCTGTTTCCGAAGGTAATGTGCGCTGTCAACGCTTTGTGCGGTTGTTGATGTTGGCTGCTGAGGTTGTGGAATTCGCGGAAGGAATGCCGGAAGCGGTCGCGGACTTGGATCTGGAGAGTCAACGCGTCTCGTCGACAGCACGCCCGCTTTCTCACCAAGTAGGTGCTTCCTTTGTCGAAGCCTTCTTCAGACATCATATGTTAGGCCGTCCAAATAATTGAGCGGTTCCTCCCATGACAATCATAATGTTATCGACTTAAGCCGCATCTATTAATATGATGTGAAAACCTACGTCTTGTGGGTATCTGTAAAACTCTAATGTCTCAACACCCCAAAACTGTTCCGTCTATCACGACCGAGCCCCCGCGACCGAATAAAGGGTGGCCCTCAGCATACGCATAAAAACCGTTCCTAAGTACTGGATAGGCGAGACCCAAGCACGTGGGATGTTGCGTTCGACCCGAGAAGATAGGTAAACGGGCGCCACATCCACATCAATCCACGCCTCCCATTCGAAGGCTTCCAGAAGTCCCATTCCAAAATCTTGCTAAACAGGTTCCAAGCCTCCTCCGCCACTCCGCCCCCTCTCATCGTCGCAGTCCGCGAACAATCGTGACGACGCGCTGCATTGACCGTTGATTTCAGCCCCTCGCTTCATTAGCGACGGAGACACCAGCGTCGGAAATGGGGACGTGTCATCATCCTCAAACACTGATGGAGGAGCGCGTGACGATGGAGCTAGAAGCGCGATATTTCTCGTAGACGATTGTTGGCCCATCCCAATAAAGCGACCGCTCCTGCCACCCTCGTGTGCGGCGGAGAACCCCTGCTGATGGCTGTTCTGCGAGGATGATTTAGAGGACGTGCCCGAGGTCACTGGTTTTCGTAACGTGGTTGAAGCTCCTGCTGCTGTTGAGACACGGGTCTCGGATGACCCTTTGTTGGAGCGGTTGCGTTGCAGTCCTACTTGGATGCCGTAAACCCATATGGCTGTGAGTTGCGACAGAAGGAAGCTCAGTTAGGTCTCAAGAGGAGGTCCGATCACGGTACTCTGGTCGTTCGGATACATTACTTGCAAAAATCACCGGACAGATGAGTAAGGAACGCATCGACAGCAAGAAGCTGATGCCACCCATGGATTCTGGAGAGCGGACAGCCACCGTCCATATTATAACGGCAAATTGCGTCATTGGGACGCTGTATCCGGAAAACCTTGCGGTTTGCCGGGATACTTGGACCTGGCGGAATATCAAGCATCAGAGGCGAGCACCGAAAAGTGTTGTCAAATCACGATCGTTTGTACTCACCACTTGAATCACACGTCGGACATCCTCACGGGGACCACTGGCATGTTCCTCGGCCGCAGGCCCTGCCAGGTTGCACAACGGCTCATTAACTGTAGAGCTGCGGAGCCTCTGAATTTTCGTCCCTATTGACAGAGCCAGTGAGAGAGAGTTTTGCATGGGATAATGAAGTCGCCCCTAGACGCTTACCGGTGACTGCAGAATCGTTTACAAAATCCGCAGCTTCTTCCAAGTGCGCTAGCATCTGATTCATAGAAGTCCGCGCACAATTTTGAAGCACGGCGGTGCAAATTAAAGAGCTCGTAGTGAACACGGCAAAAAAGAGAAATGCCTTCGCTGCATCACGCTTCTGCAGGTAGAAGGCCCATCCGATGGACATGGATGCAATGAAAGTGTGGCAACACCCGAGAATTATGAGCAGCCGCCGCTCGATTTGCGAGTTCATAAGATCGAAACGGGCTTGAGCGGTGGGCGAAAACTCCTTTTGCTGCAGAAGGTCTCGAATTGGATCCGCCCACAGTTTTGCAATGCACACCTGTAAAATATGTGTCCGAAGTCAGCATTGCCTCTTGTCACGTACGCCTGCGCTTTACGGGCTGTCTAGCACCGTGAGGAACTCCCACCTGATAGAAGTTTGCAGCCAGCCCTGTCCCATACCACAATAGCACGGCAGTCCCTGGCGGAGCATCGAACAGGAGGGCCAGGTACGTACCCGTATAACCTACAAGGTACGGGGTTACCGACTGAAGACAGTGCATGCAGCTCCCTAAACCCAAACGACTTGGACCGGCTGACCTTACGCACTGACCTAATGAGATTCCGACAGCAGTCAAGACAGGCTTCGCCAGAGCTGTAGAAGACCAATCGCGTTTTCTTCTCAGGAGCACGAAGATGCTGATGATGCCGAGAAACAAGCCTGTTCCATAGAGCACAAGGTTCAAGGCAAAGATAAACACAAGCGCAGGCGACAAGATACAAGCAGAGGTAATAACGAAGCCATTATCGAGAGACTGAGACTGATAATCGCGAAGGTTCAGAGGGTGACAAGTTGCCATGCTAGTTCGAAAAAAAGGAGGTTGATTTGATAATGAGAAGGGCTTTTGGAGTGGAAAGTCCAGGGTCCTGCTGGCATATCAAGGAAGCCCTGGAGGGACCCTGGACTTTCCACTCGCAAGCGGACAAGCGTCTGCATCCGTAGAGTCCAAAAAAGGGTTGGTTGCTTGAAATGGACACTCGATGGCGCAGCTGTGAATCCAGGAATTCGCGAGACCGGGAGCTCGGTGCTCAAACTCCTACAAGAAGCAAGCCAGGACAAAGGTCGTCAGACACCCGTCGGCATGGTGTGTAACAGCCTTTCTGGCTGCAGTGGGCCGTAGTGTTTCGCTTCTTTGTCGGAAGTCCTACCACCATATACACGTCTCCCTCCCAAAGTGCTCAGCCTGTTGGTCTCTTGGTCAGCTTCTGGAGTTCGAGTAACTGACTCTTTCAACACGTCCCACCGCTGAAGCGGGGCTTTAACAGATATTCTTCGACTCGCTATGTACAACGACGATGTAGACACAACGGTATCTTGAATCTTGGGTATCTCATCATTCATATACAGTTCAGGCTGTTCTGCGTTGGTCAAGTCGGCCGAAAACGGATACGGGACCACGCATAATCAAACATTTAAGCGAGCCCGAAAGCACGCGCCGGCGAACCCCGACTCACAGTATCCACAATACGAACCCCACTCATTACCGCCCTAGCAAGGCGCGAACAGTCGATTCCTGCTCCACCTCAACAAAGCCCGAGAGCTCTCGTTTCAACTCAGCAGAGACAACCTGTGCGTCGTACAGCTCCGAGAAACCGGTCGCAACCAACTCAATCACACTACGGCATACGCTCTAGGCCTCTCTCCTTGATGAATGTAAACGTTTACTATCTTCATCATCGCAAGGATGGAAATGTTGTCGCGGTTGTAGTCACACATAAGTGTGTTGGCACCGGATCCAGCGACGGTCCGTCCCTGAGCTTCAAACAATCTCGGTTGGTACAATCGGCCAGGCCACGAAACTTCTCGTGATATCCTCTTGCCCGCATCCTGCGGTGAAGAGGGTGCTCATTTGCACCCGCTCTTGAGGCGATTTTCACATAAGGTAATAGAGGTGGTGGTGGGACAGTTTGCTTCAGTCGTGGGCCCCGCATCTTAAACATCCTACTTCAGAAATTTGAGTGTCCCACAATGCATTCTAAACATTGCCTTCCTGTCCCGCGACCACCTCTAGTACCATAAAGCAAAGTGATGATGTGCGGAACTCGTCTGGTAAGATGCCCTTTATCTTCGTGCGCTTAAATATCTTGCGGAAACCCGTCGTCTTGGGTGAGATTTGGAACTTCATTGTCCGCCCGGCCTCGTTCCAGTTGCCCAGAACCACGACAACACCCATTCCAAACAACGCTTTCATTTGATTGATGACATCGGCCGCGGAACTTTTTGGCAGGGAGTAAGCTCGCAGGCGGAGTCGCCTCCACGTCTTCTCGCGGTAGACCTCTTTGAACTGTGCGGCGTTGAGATGCTGTATATGCAAGTATTGATCGAAGAGTGCGGAATCGGTTCCTTTAGCCGAAGGGAGATTGGACTCCAGAGGTGCTATCCCTTCTCGCATTCGAGTTCGCTGGCGCCGGAAGTCTTTGGCTTTCGTTTCTTTACAGCATTGCATCCAGAACGTCGTAGAATGTTATCGCTGAGTTGCAGTTGCAGAATCCCGACGCAACGCCCGATTGCGCTGAAAAACAACTTCAGGGCTCCGTCATCTTGGCCTGCGGTAACGGCGAAAGCGCGCACGCTTGTTATCAAGTTTTGATTGGCGTTCAGAATGGGGGACAGCTCCTTCAAGCCCAACTCCAGTCGGTTGGGTCCCACGTCTATTGTGCGAAGTTGACGGCAGCTGTCGCTATCTGTGAGGCCCCATGCGATGGTGCGGAGGGCACCTTCTGATAGGCCGGCGTTATGAAGGTTGAGCGTTTGAAGGGCGACACACTTTTCCAGGATTGAGCTCAAGGTGTCTACGAGTTCAGATTCCAAAGCGTTGTTCGACAGGTCGAGGCCGGTAATGGCCCAACAAAAGGTGCCAGTATTCAGAGCCAAAAGGTTTGATGGGCCTCAGCGCTTCGGAGGCATCCGGACTCCGGACATGATTTGAAAAAAGGCAGGCATTTTGGCTCCCATGCGAAGATATCATGTGGGAGGTGGGGGCATTGCAAATCGGATCGGCCCTGAATCTCACTGATAAGGCCAGCATATTGTGGCGATGCACATGGTGCGTGCTTATCCTTCACGCTTGGGAGTACCGGGTGTCGATGATGGATCCCAGGTCGATGGCTCTCAGGTTCGGTATGGCGTTGATGCCGATGATAAGCAAATCGGCGAGATCTGGTATGATGATCGTCTCGCGGAGAACGAGAGCAGTGATGGGTGGTGTGGCCCGGAAAGAGTTCCATGAACTTTCACCAATTCCCCTTCCCATATTCCCGGGAGTTCCGCCAAATCGCGGAAGCTTGGGAAGTTTTGAAAGACGGTACGGACTTTGCACATACCCGGCCTCCCTCACCGGCCACATCGTCTCTAACTCATCCGGTGCACCGTGCCTACCTATTACATCCCCATCCTCTGTGGGTCAGATGGCAGGCGATGGGAGGCGAGCAGGTCAGGGCTCTTGCTCTCTTTCATGGCCGCTCGAATCTGCCTTCTGCTATTATAGGTACCCGTTCACGGGATTCATCGAGCACTATCTCGCTAGAGTGCCGATGTGGACGTTTTGTCGTGACCCAGTCGTGACCTCGCTTCGTGGAGCGAAGGTGACGCAACTTCCAGGGGCTATATCTCCCGGGGCTTGCAAGGTTGACAACACTGTGTTCCAAATAACTTTGACCGGCAATTCCTCCAGGCCGTTTATTATGCTTTATTGTTCGGAGTCGATGGCCGATAAGATTAACTCTGACTTTCGCAAACGGCCGGCCTCACTGGCGGCGGAGCACACCATGGTGAATAGAGAATCTCCGAAAGGAAAGAGCTAAAGCCCTTAGCTTTGCGATTTGGGGTCGCATTGGAGTCAGAGTACGTTAACAGCTCGAGCTTCGCGTTCGTGGAAAGCGGTACCCGTAGGTGACCTATCATACTCGCAAACTAGTTGTGTCTCGGCACTTCAGAAAGGTGGGTTGATTAGAGTGTTTCCGGTACTGTCCAAAGCTGCTAACTTTTTCCCCCTATACTAAGATGGTGTCCGCAACCGAGGCAGAACGCCAAATTGAAGACTGCATAAGAAGCGAGGCTGAAAACGCCAGAACAGCTGGAAGTCGTCTTCCGCCAGAGATCCTTTTTCTCATTTTTGAGAAAGTCCGTCAGAGGGCCGCGGCGCCTGTCATCCACCAAACCACATTTGCGGCATGCACGCTGGTTTGTCGACATTGGTATGAGCCAGCACGACAATCGCTCTGGATGGCGCCCTTGATGTCTTCGAAAGAGAGAACGATGCGTTTTCTCAAACGGCATTTGATCGAGATGGAGCACGGACCTGGCGCCCCAGGTACATTTGGCGCACGGACGGACAATGCTGACACACCATCAACCCATCATCTTGTTCGTGAGCTTGACCTCACGCGTGTCCGCTTCGAAGAGCCGGACGACACGGATTTCCTGCACCGCCTGGTGGTTGGCTGTCGAAATCTTCAGTCTCTGAAGATGTTTTGCGATCCTTTAGACCCGCGCACACTGGCGCTGCTCATGGAAGCGTGCCCCAACATCAGGTCATTGACCCTCACAGGTTCTTGCGGTACCGGTGGCCACCATCGATTCTACTATCAACTCCCCTCCGTGCTGGACATGGACGAAAGGAGTATCAAGAAGCTTCAGACAAGGATTGCCACACTGCATACCCTTGATTTAGCGAATATGGATTTCACGCGCGGAGACGGCGTCTACCTTGCTGCCATTCTAGTTAGCGGGCTCGGCGATCGTCTCGAAGCGTTTGCACCTCCAATGGTCACAGGACCTGCTACTTCACCATTTCAATCTTTACGCGATGACACAATCGTTGCGCAGATAGCGAGACAATGCCCTAGGCTGACGCATCTCTGCTTGCGGGGCAAATACGTGACGGACCGCGCATTGCATGCGCTTGCGACATGGTGCCCCAGGTTGCGCGCACTCGACCTGCGGTACTGTCCGGCGGTGACGAGCGCTGGAGTGTTACTCTTGCTGACTGCCTGCCAGTGTCTCACGGACGTGCGAGTCGGAGGCTCACGAGCAAATGACTATGTAGTGAAGACGGTGCTGAATCGGGCGGATTTGTTGAGGATGTTGACAAGAGGAAGACGCAGAGGAAGTGTCTTTTCGCCGTGACGCGGACGTTGGATATGGGAAGAAGCGTTCTATCATTTTCATTAGCGCCACAGTATGGCCAAGCAGCATAGCCATGTTAACGACACCGCTGTCCATCCGACAGTCTAATGCACATCATATGCAATATGTATATCAGTTTTGTTTCGTGTGGGCTGAAATGATAGCTGGACCGGAATCGAACAGGTCTCGATGTCTTTTGGCCTTTGCGAGCGATTGTTACACAGCCAGCGCGTCGCTTGCCATCATGTCTATCATGTCGCAGCTGTAATAAATCGCAGTTTTCCCAGAGCGCATTCTCCCACGGACTCTGCAAACTTGACATTCAGACTGAGGAGCTCTTTTGGCGGTCCTCTCGTTCTGGTACTGTTACTGTGCTCTCTCCCACGACCTCTTAACTGTAATACCTCTCCGCCTTGCAAGTTTGTCAGGGACTTCTGTTGGCAATTTCGACGTACTCGGCAGTTTTCCTGGTGTTCCCACCTCTTGCATTCTCCTATCAGTCAACACGAGCTTCCGGGCTCCACAACGGAAAGCGTATAAGACAGAGGCCATCCGGGAAAGCTTTCTAAAAACATCAGCAAAGTTCTCGACTGGCGGAAATACGTCATTTCGGCGGCACGCCTTGTTTACATTTCGCGAGCAGACGACGTTCCTCAGCACAGGGTTCTGACACCACGACTTGCTATCGGCATATACACCCATAACACTCGACAATATGACTAACGGCGAACCATTCACGGGGGAGCGTACTTGGGAACAAGTTGGTGTTGGTACGTGTTGTGTGCCATTGACGTACCTTCGTCATGAGACGGGAGCAGGATGGGAAACGGCAGAGGAACGGAGGATAAATTAAGCTTGGAGGAGGAGACTTGCGTACGCTTGTCTGACAGCACCTCCCTGGTTGAAATCAAATTGTTAAGTGGAGATGGTTCATTGACCTGTTCCCCTTGGATTTTAGATGTCACGGGCTTCGTTTACTGCCCTCCAGGCTGGGACGAACAGCGACTCCGAGCGGGGCCGGACGCAGAGGCGATTGGGTATGTCGGTTGAGAGGTTGCACTATGATCGCATGGCTTCATGGACTGATATCTTGCTTTTGTAGCAAAATTGCTATGGACACTTACACCGATATCAGCTACATAAAAGAGAAGAACGCCATTCAGATCTCTGGCGAGACTCATGACGATGTCTACAAAGCGTATGCATTTGTGAGAATGTACTGAGATTGTTTAGAACTGCATCACTAATGTACTTCCCTCTTCCTTCACAGTCAGAACCAACTCAATGAGCTTTTCTTCCCCGTTATCGTCAAATCAAAACGCCAATGGGCCCGCCCCGATCGACCTGGCGTGTGGGGCCAGCGTCGCGATGTCGCAGCATCCGCGGGAGGACGACAGGGTGGAGGCCTAAGGAAGATGAAATCTGAGTCCGCTTTGCAGGCCTCTCGACCGGCTTTCCATCACAACGCTGGTGGAGCCGGTACCGCCTCTCCTTACCAACAACACTATAATCAACAGCAGCAGCCGCAGTATGGCCAGCAGCAACAGCAACAGCAGTTCAGGGCCCAGCCTTTGCCCCAACCATCGGCAGCACCTCGGAACTATTATGAGATTCCAGCGTCCTCAAACTTTGCGCAGTGGCGTTAATGGACTCTCACCCTGAGAATGCTAGATCTCGACACTGACATTTCTCTGAGACACTCAAGAGGCGTATGCGAGCGTTCATCTTCGATCTCGCCCTTATATAGTATAGCAGAAATCCTCATAGCTTCACGACATGAAGCCCGCGTAACTTCCGCACCTCATAGCATACTCACAAGTTACCTCTCTGAGACCTTGATAGCGTTCATATCTCCTGTATGATTAGCTATTCCTTTCCGTACCATTCTCCTTCGTTTATAGTCTACTTACGGTTGAACCGGCGCTGCCGCTCATGTACTTAATAACAATAATGCAGATCTGTCCTAGCACTCCTCTATGGTACCACCACTGTGCTTCCTCTCAAACTTATTGCAAGCCTTCCAGATGTTACAAAATATTTCGAAAGTCAAGTTACGGAAAGGTATTAGATCAACGTCACGGCAATGCGGTGCATATTGACGACTACAAACTACATCATAATCTTTAAACGACTGCGAACCTCTCTCGCTACTTCTTCCACCGGCACAACAGCAAACTCCCCACGCACCGACAGGCGATGCCAGGGCAGTCCATACAGCTTCGTGCACTCCTCCGCCTTGATCAGTAATCCCCTCGCAGTATCCGCCGCCAGTACCTCCCCATCCTGCGCCGCCCCGTATGACCTTCCCCGCTGCCACCCATCGAATCCCCACTTCCGACTAGCAAGGCACCCAGCCCACGGTCCCAGAGGGTCATTGAACGCCGCGTCGAGCAATACCAGCACAGAATCCACACCTACCCGCCTTCCCACCCGATCGGCGGCCATCACGGCCTGGAAGCCTCTGTCGATCACTGCCCACAGACATCCCACGATTCGCGATGAATCCAAACAGGCCACAAGCATCCCTGGCTGGTCTGCTCTGACGGCAATCTCCGCAGATGCGGTCAGTGTGCCCACCACACCACCGCCATTGATGCTTGATTCCTCCATGCCTCCCAAATCACTGAGAGGCGGCAGATTGAACGCGTGGCCGTGCATGCATGCTTGGCGGTAAAGTTCGCCGTTGAGCCGGAGCCAGATGGAGTCTTTCGCGGTGGATGCGGGCAAGGTGGGTAAGAGGCGGGTCGGAAGGTTCAGCAGATTGTCGAGCGATTGGCCGTCTGCGCCTAAACCAAGACCGCCGTCCGTTTTGTTACGACGTTCCGTACATCCCGAGCGGACGCTGGCACCATCCGCCATGTCGCGTTCGGAATGGACGTCGTCGGGGATGTCCAGCCTTGTCCCCAAAGCCGTGACATCGTTGTTAGGACTGCTGGGAGTGCCCATACTGGACCCGGCGGTTGCCGCCAGACTATACTGCAGCCTGTTTTTGACCACAAACTCCCTCAGCACCCCCACAGTAGCCCAGCACCCTTCCTCATAGTTGTCCAGCGCGGCCCGGAAGGCCGTGAACAACAACTTCTGCATAGCCGCCTCCCGCTTCACCACCGTACCCGTGCGAGCCAATGTCCCGCCTGAAGTAGCATTAACTCCCCGTTTCACATCATCGTCGCCGACGCTCTCCAACGCGGTGTCCCCGCCCCGGTTGAGATCATTGGTCAACTCATCCGACTCGTCGTCGTCATCCTCATCACCGAGCTCGCTGATGCCGCCGACTTCGGAGGACTCGATGCGCAAGGCGTTGCCCGCGGCACCGTTGGTGCCTTGGATTTTGAGCGAGGTGCCAGTGCCGTAGAGACGCGGCGCATAGTACTTTTGGAGAATATTGCGGAGGGCTAGTGGGTCTAGAAAAAGAAGGTCCGACAGGGTCGGCGCGCTGCAAGAGTATCAGTTAGGAGCTGATGCTGGTGAAACGCACAAAACCTTCACGACTCAACCGACAGGAAACCTCGGAAACACTCACCGATGACCCCAGCACTCAGCCTCCTCAACGCTTTCCTGAAACCGCTTGCATTTTTTCCCCACATACCTATCCACCGCCGCTCTGCATCCCCGTGAAACATTCCTCACTTTCGCCAACTCCGGCGCACATGCCTGCAGCACTCTATCCAACAACGCTGTCGGGAGAGTCTCCAGCGTGCCCAGTGTGCTGCCGACGGCGACCGTAAGCGGAGCGGCCACCTGGGCAACGGGCGTACTGGTGGAGGAGACTGCGGTGGATGTTTTGCGGGAGAGGCGCAGGAAAGGAGATTTAGAGGCCGTCTCGGTGGTCGGCGTGGCGGTGGGGGTTACTGGAGCCATGCCGGTTTGAGGGGGATCGCGCATCTTTCTGGTTTTCCTTGGTGGAGAAAAGGTGCCGAATGGGAAATACGTGGCCAGCAGGAAAGTGAAATGTCCTGGTGTCTCCTGCTGCTTTTTGCACCGGCGATGGAGTTCACCGAAGGTTTCTGCCGAGGCTCGGAATCCCGGTGTGCCGCGCGTATTGCATTATGCTTAATCGTTCTTGGACCCACACGTGCCCCTCTTCTTGGACGAAAGTGACAAGGAGCGCCAAATGACCCTTGGAATCAGTTCATAGAGTTGATGGAATGTCCAAAAAGCGCATAGATCCACAGAGCTCTATAAAATCCGGTCGTTAGCTTTGCCATGAGGTCGGAGACAAAATCGCTGCCACTTGTCAATTTCGACAGCGCGACTGATGCTAGTTGGCGAAAAAGCGAACGATTATGTCGTTTCGCGCTTGCAAGCTGAGCTGGAGGCTGAAATTCCGGCTTGGTTCCCAAAATGTCGATTCCGAGCGCACTGCACATGTATGGGTGTGCGATCGATCTCGGTTTGAAGGGTTAGCCACCGAAGATCAAGAATTTGAGATGTGGGCAGGCCCTATGCCAGCCCACCTTTCCCACACTGTTATTTAGTCCCATATCAAGTCGCAGGCGGTCATCAATGGGGCGTAGCCACATTGGCAAGCTCGGCTAGCGAAGGGATGAAGCCGTCTCGGCGATTCTGGAATATCACTTGTAAGAATCTGGGTGGAACCTCATATCTACATACAGTCACGTCGAAGGAACGTCCTACTATGGGGACGCGTAACGAGGCTTTCGGACAAGTCGGACGCGTGAAAAGTGGGAGGCCTACTTTGAACGACGTTTTCCCACGTACTCCATATCACCTGTGTTTTCGTACGTCCCCCAAAGCTTCAAATTCAGTACCAGTTGCGTAAAACAAACATGGCTACCATTCAAAAGGGAAAAAACATCACTCTGCGGGGCTCGGCACAGATCGTCATTGAATTCTTCAGTAAGTTGGTTGAGTTTACAGAGACCAATCTTGGACAATCCTGACTTACGAGCCTCCGAATTTCAGGCTATGGAATCAACAGGTAAGGACCTCTGAAAGCAGCTACGGCGGGATAGCGCTTCCTCGTGGCAAGTTCGACTGTCCCGGAGTTGCTGACACTCGGTTTCCCGTAGCATTCTGTTCCAACGCGGGTTGTATCCACCAGAAGGTAAGAGCATATGTGCGTTGGGCCGATATTGTATATGTATCCGTCCAGGACACTAACCCACGCCCCCCATCTCCCACGGAAAGATTTTCGGATGGAGAAGAAGTACGGCTTGAATCTACTCGTCAGTTCGCATGATGGCGTTCAGGCATACCTGAAAGCTATCCTTTCCCAGCTCGACAGTATGTTCGCTTTGTCACTCGCATTCACCTGGACAGCTTCATGAGGACGTTTCTTGTGCTGACTGCGGATGTCTTACAGAGTGGATAATAGCCAAGAAAGTTAGCAAGCTTGTCATGGTAGTGAGCTCAAAAGCGACGCGTGAGGTGCTGGAAAGGTGGTCCTTCGACATCCAGTTGGATAAGACGGATGATGTGAAGGAGAATGCTGGGAGGTACGTGATGCATCAGAGTATTAATATGCGTGCGGGTAGCTCTTCTGCCACGAAGCAGCAGACTGACGCATCGGACCGAACGACAGAGCACCAAAGACAGAAAAGCAAACCAACAGCGAGATCGCAGCCGTGATGCGCCAGATCACAGCGAGCGTCTCCTTCTTACCCATGCTGGACGAACCATGTACGCCCGTTTTGAACTCGGAACAATTGATCCCATACCACAGGCTAAACGCACAATCCACACTCGCAGGTACATTCAACATTCTAGCCTACACCGACAAGGACGCTGAAGTGCCCGCAGAATGGATAGATTCGGACCCACGACTGATCACCAAGAACGCTGAGCAGGTCAAGTTGAGGAGTTTCTCGACAAGCGTCCATAGGGTGGACGGACTTGTTGCGTATCGGATGGGCGATGATCAATGAGTGGTCTATCGTACATGGACTGATCCCTCTATTGAGCAGCACGCCGTATGTCCCTCTACACACACATCCATGTACTCGTTATCCCTGGCTATTGCGTACCGGGCTCATATCGCAGTTTGCAGACGCCTATAACTTCGATTGCTCGTTCAATAGCTGTGAGACAACCGAATTTTAGTAATGAGACTCAAAAGCCTCACCCATAGCAATCTATAACTCGTATTTACAAAGCCGATTGAAGCTCAGAAGCTTAACGAAGCTCAGAAGCTTAACGAGCTCCTCGAAGTGATATTCTGATTGTGATTCTGAACCTTGCCCCATGCTCAACCCCAGTCTCCGTCTCCCCTCACAATAGCTCTCCGTCTCCATCGACCTTCCTTCAAAATTTCAATCTACAAAAAGAGACACGCGCTTGGTGACAGGTGCGCCATAAATAATCTGCCATTTCCGTTCCTTCTAAAGTCACGCTCGTCATGTTTTCGGGGGCTGAGAATGCGGCGCGCTGAAATAATGCATCTGCTGCTGTGTCGGCATCTGTCCCACGGGCAACCCCGTAACCTGCCCTGGCCGCACCATGAATTGCTGCTGCTGCTGTAACGGCAACCCCATTACTCCCGGATGATGCGCCATTGCGGCCTGTTGAGCAGCTGCTGCGGCATACATCTGTTCGGCGGAGAGCGGTGGCAACATTTGTGGATGCTGATGTAATTGCTGTTGTGGTGGTAATCCCTGCTGGAGATGATACGCAGGCTGTCCGGGAAGTTGCATAGGCAGGTAGGCTTGTTGTAAGTTGGGTGGTGTCAGTAGTGTCGGGTACCCTCGTTGCTGATTCAGCAAAACTGCTTGCTGATGGTTCTGTGCCATCGCGTCGGGATGTGGTGAGTTTGATTGCCCCAATATCAGGGGCGGGTCTGGTGCTTGCTGTGCTTTGCTGGAATCTGCTTCCGCCTTCAATGAGGCTTGCTGACCGTTTTCTGGAGTATTTGCCCCAGAGGCGGGCTTGCCTGGCTCGTCCTTCAAGGCCGCCAATTCAGATGCGCTCAGGAACCGTCCTCCGGGCCCTCTTGGTCGCCTCATAGCGTGCCGATGGCGCGATTCGTGAATATACCCCTAGATAGTCCAATGTGAGCCCAAAACGATTTTTTGAAAAAAAGCTTCCATGACAGTACCTTCTCCCTCCGTCCCCTGTTCAGCGCCTCTATTTTCGCCCTCGCCTCTCTGCGCTTCAAGATCCGGTGGTATTGCTTTGCATTAACGTATAACGGCTCGTCCGCTTGACGTTCCTGAGTCGTAGCGGCTGCCACTGCCGCCGCGGCGGCCGCGTTCATCGCCAGCGCCAATTGATTCGGTGTCAGCTGTGTGCTAGTGGGCTGTGTGGTTGCTGGCACAGGAGGATGTGCCATCATCTACCGGGCCCAGAACCAAGATGAATGATAGGATCCAGAATGGTGCTGCCGAATGATCTGAAACTCACCATACCACCGTACTGGGGAATCCCTGTCGTCCCTCCAAACATAGCCGCATATTGTTGTGGGTCCATTTGTTGTTGTTGTTGTTGTGGTTGTGGTTGTTGTTGCTGCTGCTGCTGCTGCTGCTGCTGCTGCTGCTGCTGCTGTTGTCCATCGGGAACATTGGCGGACGCGCCAGTCGTCTTATTCGCAGTGCTCATATTTCGGACCTATCACAGCGTAATGAAGACGGCTGCTCGTCAGAGAACGGCTCGCGCTTCTCTCATCGCCCCATCAATGCGCCATAATCCTTCCCTGCTCTCCTCCGAAGTGGAAGGAAGCCATGCCCTGTGTCATCACCGCGTCCCTGGACTTATGCCCCGCATGTCGCGCATCGTGTTGCCCCCATGCCAGCACATACCGTAACCAGTCACCGCCAAAGTAAACTGAATTTGCCGGACTCTGCAGGGACGTCCGCTACTGGTGTTCGACGAGGTTCGCTGGGATGCTTCTCAACTCGAAAGGCTTCAACAACGCGGCACGTTCACTACAATGAAAAGTAGGTAAGGAAAGTCGTGTCTCAAGCGTACGGCCTTCAAGGAGACGGTGCTCCATACTTACGTTGATGCAGAGATGCGCAGGTTTTTGGAAACGACGAAACAGCAGACCGCTTTCCAGCTATCCTCTAGGTATCGGACTCTTAATAAACAGCTTGCCCTACGTTGCTGTTGGTCCGAAAAGACAAGCCATGTCAAACCGCATGCGTCGTGCGAGCGCTCGACGGGCGGCCTTATTTATTTCTCGCAGGCCCCGTTCCCATTGGGCAGGCGGCGCATGAAACCGCTATGTCCATAAGTCTCTTGTGTCACTGCCAGAACCCTGGAGACTGGTAGGACCACATTGACAGGCCCTGTTGAATTCTCGCTCAAAGCACACCGCTTTTCTTCCTTGCGGCCCGTCTCTCTCTCGAATGCCATGCTCTGCTTCCTGCGAAAAGACATGAGCGTAATGTTCTATCTAGACGAGTCGTATAGTTCCTCTCCTCTACTCACAAACACAAACCCAACGACAATGGTTTCCTCGACATCAATCGAGGCCATAACAACGAGGACGCCAGCTAATATGTTGTCCGATTCCGCGACGATAAGGAAGCAGAGAGAACATGCGCTTACAGCCTCCTTGGGAGATCTATTTACCCTTCAAGACGAAGATTTGGACCGCTTCATGTGCGCACCGCTTCTCGCCGATCCGGATAACAGATGGAAAGAGACTCCCTCTACAGGTACCGCTGATATGCGATTACCAATAAGCACAACGAGACATTCCTGCGCGAATTGCCCTAATGCAGATGTGCCGTGCGCGATTCCGGCCCGATGCACGGGTGCAACGCATGATGGATGAGATGATGGTAAGTACAAACGTTGGTGTTGAACGCGATAATGAGAGGCGAGAATCCGCACCTCCAGCTCACGAATGTGTGCATCGATCCACGTTCGGCCCGTCTCAGTCTCCGTCACCCGGCACAATTTGGCCGACCAACTCTGGCTTGCGATCTGGTATGGTGTCACGCTTTCTGCATGCGCTGGCCTATACCTCGATGCATAAGTGAGTTGCGGACCTGGGTCCAATATACCGTACGGAGACACCATTGACACAATACCTTTTTGGTGTCGGATTTTTTGGTCGCCTCACCTGCCCCACAAGACAACTCCCTTGGTCACCATGAGTGACACCGGTCGGTCTTTCGAATATGTCCATATCTGCTTGGGCTATTTCTGTTGTTAACCTTGCTTAGTAATAAATTACCCGTGATGTCAAGGATCGCCCACCCGAGGATCCTCGTTGCTCACTTCCAGCAGCTTCCAGCTGGCTGCGATTTGTCACGAACTTCCCCTCCGCCTCCGAAGCTCCACCAAGCAGTCACCCGGCATCCTTTCGGCCAGTATCCATAGCCGTTTACAGCCAGAACAAGTATAAAAGGGACGAACCACACGGACGGAATCCTCTTCTCTCAGAAAGCTACCCTCTACTTCTGTCTACATTCCCAAACAGTTGTCTATCAAGATGGCCAAGAGACTCGTAACTATCGACGTTATCAGCGATACCGTATGTCCCTTCTGCTTCCTGGGCAAGCGCCGGCTTGAGAGGGCCATGGCTCGCTTTTCGGACACGCTTGACTTCAAGGTGAGTTGGCTTCCATCTTATATTTGAGTATTGGAGCCTCCTACTCACTCCTCCAACTCTTCCCATAGGTCCGCTGGCACCCGTTCTACCTGGACCCCACCGCCACAGTGTCCAAGGATAAACTAGCCCACTACCACGCAAAGTTCGGTGAAGAACGGTTCGCGGCTCTCAACGCCAACATGAAGCGGATGGCGGCCGCCGAAGGAATTAACATCAACTTTGGCGGGCTCGTCGGTCCTACCCGTGACAGCCACCGTTTGACACATTTCGCACAGAAGATCAACAAGCAGGATGAAGTCATCGAGGGATTGTTCAAGGCGTACTTTGAGGATAACAAAGACATCGCAGACGTTGAGGTGTTGACGAGCGTTGCCAGCGGGGCCGGTATCAATGGGGATGAGGCTAGACAGTGCTTGTTGAGTGGGGAGGGTGGGGACGAGGTGGATCAGGAGGCCAACAAGCACAGGAGAAGCATCAATGGCGTCCCACATTTCACCGTCAACGGGAAGCATGAGATCCACGGCGCGCAGGATGTGGAAGAGTTTGTTAGGGTCTTCCGGAAGGTGGAAGGAGGCAACTGAGAGTAGATCGTAGGCATAGACTTGTACAGTTGGCATAGACTCCTACAGCCGAACGTTCAAATGTAATATCTCGTGCGCAGATTCGTGCTTGGTTGTTCAGCAAACCCCCTCCTCACACACTTACTCATGAAAAACTCATGAGCCGAGTACCCACCCCGTTCGTCGTTCAAGTCCCGACGGCTTCTTCGTTCATATACAGAAGAATTACCAACGGCGTGAGAGAGCGACAGAGAGCCGGCAGGACTCCATCACAAGAGCAAATGATTTACTGGATACTATTTATTGTCTTACGCAGGCGGCAAGATATTGACTGGTAGTAACTTTACACCTCCGTGACATATTGTAGTATATCGCTACGTGCTCTTCCCGAATGCCTTTCCATCCCGATCTTCCCATTGGCGAAGACATCATCTCCCCACGCATCGTTCCAGGACATGATATCCTTAGCGAGGAACTTGTGACAAGGCGCTATGTCTAACTGTACGCCGCTCGCAGCAGCCCTCTTCTTTACAACAAGAAGAAGATCGACCAAAAGTTGATTGACCGGTCCCCTTCCTGAGCGACCCCGCAAGCCATTCTGATAGATAAGCCTGCCCATGTCTCCATCTCGAAAGATGTTCACGTACCTCTCCATTTTCTCACAAACTCGACGAGGTTGTCCAACAAAGGAATCCTCGTTGGCCCCTCCGCTGTGCAGTCCCGGAACTACTGCGATTGTATCGACAGCCGCTGTGTCCGTCGCGCATCGGATCAGAAGCCATTCGAAGGAGGTCAAAACATCGGGTGTGTTCTGCAACACGGTACGAGTCTCACCCTTAGCGAGAAATGTCGTACTTTCGGTGGCAAGCGTCTCTGGCAGGCACGCAATGAAGCGATAGGCAATGGCGGACGAGCCGCTTGAACGCTTCAGCTCCTGGAATCGCCCGATGCCATACATTAGATCATCCTGCAGCTCATAGAAAGGGTAGGTTCGAAGCAGTCTCGTATGCCTCATAATGAAAAGGGGCCAGGACCTCGCACATCCAGTAGGCACAGTGAACCCGCCCGCAATGAGCGGGGTTCTTCCCCACAAGTTTACTGGTATCATACTGTAGACTCCGTCATCTCAAGACCTCAGCGGACGGAGACGGGAAAGGATAGCGGTTGTAGCAGTCAGGTATAAAGTGTGGTCATCAAGAGCACGAAGGAAGGTCCGTATATAAGCCGGCACCAACCCCGCACCCAAAAATCAGTGCTTGACTCTATATTGTAATCATCATCCTGCTACACCCGGCCTTTCTCTGGCGTCCCTCGAGATTCGCCCGTCGTTTGGTACAGAGTCTTGGTTGGCCAGCCATATCGTCGAGCACGGAGTTTTGTACTGTGGCCATAGTCCTGTTGAACTTCCGTGGTAGATGGACTGGCTTGAACAACTTACTCTCTGTGTCGCACAGATCAGGATGGGTCGTTGGGGAGAAAAACCTCTGCGCGAGCGCTCGCTTTTATAGGCGCCCAATTCTCCAAATCGTTGAGGGTCACGTGATTGCGGCATTCCAAGACTGAGATTTTTTCTCTCCCGAGATCGCCGCCTGACATGGCACCCGGACGGCCTACTGTATGTAGGGGTGACGAAGGATCTCGGCGAAGGGGTGGTCGTCAATGCTTTGAGTGTATTGAGGTATACGGGCGGTATACAGGTGGAGGCGCAAATCGCCACTGCCGTAGTCTATGAGCGCAACTTCCTTCCTCCATGGTCGCAGCGATGCGCTTCACACTTCATACGTGCTCAGTCTGCCGCCCAAGTGGGTGCTTTGAAGTTGGGGAATCCCGCCTTCACCGCATGGTCAGATCTCAGAAAACCGTCGTGATGGTTGTATAACTCATCAGGTTTCCCCACATCTTATTCATATACAGGGGCAAAGCTCTACACAGCGCACCATATCACGAAAGAAGTCCGGCCGACTTTGAGTCCAAGACCCTCATCCCTGGAAACGTCAACTTCCATTGCCCTGCTGTCCTGTCCAACCTATACGCTCCCTACGACTCCTACCCCACCTTCGGACCCGCCGTTGCCAGCGACGGTGGCGCCACTCCCGCTCCCGTCCCTGTCCCGGCTCCTTCCTCCTCTCCGACCGCTCCCGCGCAGGTCTCTACCCCCGCGGCGCCCGTGCCTACCTACACGGCGTCTTCTCCCATACGCCTCACGATTAATGAAGCCAATAAAAAGCCTTTGCGTTCACACAGGATCCATCCGCCAAAGATGCGGAGGAGTCGTTGCACGAAGGCTAAGGTTTTTTATGACCTCATAAATCCAAGCGATGAGGATGCCAAGTCAGACGGAACCCACTACCCCTCCTACTGGGTTGGAATATCCCAGAGGCGTGATCTTCAACGGAAGCGGAGGGCAGATGAAACTGCCCTCAACACTTCCCACTTCGTGTTGGGTAGAGGCTCTTCGTCTCATCATCCTTGGTGATATGTGCGGCTTTGTTAGAAAACAAAGCGAGGTACGATGAACTGCATAATATGATCCTGTAACGGGGGAGCGATCGGTGAATACGAGGCCTTGGGGAAGTCAAAATCGGCTGTTGGTGTGTGAAAGGTCCGGGTGGCCTACCTTATGAGTATCGTCGATAATTTTTCGAGGGGTGGATGCCAGACGTTGCTTCCTTATATACCACTGACGAATACCTTGTGTAACGTCAACGAGGGAAGCTTCCCCGCTCGCGAAGAAAAAGCCACATGTGGCACAGTCATGACAGCGTCCAACGAGGACAAATACCGGGGGTCCGAATGCATGCATACATTAAGCTCGACATAGGTCACGGACCAGGTGGATTACAATGCTACGAGTGCTCATGCAGATGCTTGGATTTCAGCACTCATGGTGTGAAGGTTCGTAGAATGTGGGATGAAACATGGTTGCATGTCGGTGGTTGAATCCGTGTTGGGGAGTCCGGGATTCCATTCGATTCGGGTCGACGCGCCTGTCAATTCCAGGTCATGACGTGTTCGTGTTAATTGTGAATCGGCTTCCTTCCCTTATGGAGCTTTTCCGCCCCAGTTTGCCGAGCTAGTCTGTAGCATTAGATCAGGTCAAAGGTCGAGCCGGAAAACCCAACTTTACGTAGTCAGCGGTTCGAAAATTAGCCGGACACCCCACGTAGGGTCTTGTCTTGTGTGCGTTTTGAGATAACAAAGGCTTGAGGTTCGGGCATGCAGGCATTCACCGGACTGTTCGGCCCGGCCGATAGCGACACTCCCGGCGAAGAGCCACCGAGGGACGGGAACGGGAGGCAGGAGGTGGCTGAAGGAGCAAACAGCATCGACAACCTTGAGGACTCGGATGAAGACGACGATGATTACGAGGACATGGACGACCTCCTCGACGAGGACGTGGAAGACGAGTTCCTAGAAATCGACTCGGAGTACTGGGTGGATGAAGCCGATTCCGTCGATGCCAATTCGGAAGAAGACGATGACGATGATGACGAAGGAGCTTTTTCAATGGAGGTTCTACTCCGCCATGGGGGTATGGGCCGCCCGAATGTGAGAAAGGCCGCTGCGGTGGCTGTACAGGAAGCGAGGGCCGCTCCAGGGGTTGATCCGAGTAAGGATGACTGGTTGCAGCCGAGAGACTCCGGCTACGAAGACGATGGCATCTTCGCTGAGGGTCTTGCAATGGACTTCGACAAAAGGCGATCAGTGCATGACTTGTTGAGGGATCGGGAGCGAGGGACCATTAAATCCCATTCGGTCGTCCCCATCGCGAAGGTCAGCAATACTGATGCCGAACCGATCGAATGTCTGTCCGCTTTGCTCAATGACGTCTCTGATAGACCTTCATGCCCAACCGATGCAAGTCTGTGATCGCAAAGTACGGATCACGAGCGTATTCGGGGCAATTCTCCGGTCAGTAATATTGCGTTGAGTTGCGGAGGGCTGGTAAAACTTGTCGGATTCAGGTTCTAACCTCTTGATGCAGAGGATGGAAACTCGTATTTCACCTGCACGCAAGACTTCAAACTGCATTTGTACGATACGTCCGATATCTCCAACATACGGAAGAAGATTGACCTTCAGGGCCATGTTGGCCAGTGGACTATCACTGGTGAGTTGTCCTTACCCATATCCAGACTGTTCTGTAGGTCTTAGTCTGTGCTCATATGACTTTTGAAGATTGTTCTTTGTCGCCAAACAACGAGTACGTAGTAATCATCTTCGAAATCCGACGACCCACCTCGATGGGACCGATAGCTTATCAGCCGTCTTCGCCGGATCTAGAAAGATGATCTACTCTTCCATCGCGCCGGTTGTCTGGCTGACCTCGTCAGACCCGGAGTCTGAGGACAGCTCGCAAATACCACTTCAATTCGATAATTCGTCCATAGGGAGTTTTGCGGTATGCTGCTTCAAGTGTTCTCATGGCGCTATGTTCATATCTCACAGTTCACCCGTCTTAGATTTGGTCTATCCGCTTCTCAGGAGACGGGAGAGAGATAGTGGCAGGCGCTCGGAACAACTCTTTATACGTCTACGACATCGAGACGCGCACAGTCTTACATCAAATACGAGGACACGCGAGCGATGTCAATGCAGTCTGCTACGCAGATCCCAACTCGTCACATGTCCTATATTCGGCTTCAGATGACTCTCATGTGAAGATCTGGGACAGAAGATCGCTGGGCAGAAACGCACAACCTGCCGGCGTCTTTATCGGTCACACGGAAGGTATCACCTATGTTGCTTCGAAAGGCGATGGCCGATACGCCTTGAGTAACGGCAAAGATCAGCACATGAAGTTGTGGTAAGCTTCCGAATTGCATTCGACGAAGTCATGTGTCACCTCCTCAATGGGCGTACAGGGATTTGCGGCGAATGAAGGAGCCCAATCAAGTAAAGAACGACATCACAATGCATCCAGGGTACTATAGGTAAGTATTGCACTGGCGTTAATCGCTTTCCCAATGCGGCATTTTTGATGAACTAGTGTTGCTTTAGCGAGGAGGGCTTCGACTATCGGCTAATGCCCTACCCGGGCGATTCCTCATTCCGACATCCCCAAGATTGCTCTATCCAGACTTACACCGGCCACAGTGGTGCGTATCAGTCTTTGTGGGATCGGAAACAAACTCTAATTCACCACTGACCATCATTATGCAGTGCTCAAGACGCTGATCCGGTGTCACTTCTCACCGGCTCACAGCACGGGGCAACGGTAAAGGCTTCATTCGGATTTGCATTAATGTCACCCAGTTTTCGTCTCAACCAATCCTTTCTATTCGGTCATGTAGCTACGTGTACACTGGGTCCACGGACGGCAAAATCCGCATCTTCTCGCTAGAGGGCGAACTAGTGCGAACCCTCGACACTGGCGCCGTACTGAGCAGTACAGACTTCAGGAACGTAAATCTGACCGATGGTCCCGGATACTATGACTTCCTGAGGCCTAATCGGTCGAATATGCGAAGCGTAAGATGGCGAAGTGTGCTTTATTGAGCAGCAACTTCTTGTCTGATTTCAGTTGGGTGTTTTCAGGTCATCCGAGACGTGTCGTGGCATCCGACTCTGCCATATATGGTACGTGCCATATGTTTACATGTCACATGCCAGTCCTCCGAGTATGCGCTGACCTGACCCGTCCCAAAGATTTCGACGGCGTGGTGCGGCCCCAACCAGATGTTTGGCGCCGCTATAGCCCACGAGTATGCAGACCCACAGTTGTGAAACAGTAGGATTAGACTAACGTTGTTCTTCCTGGCCACGTTCGGATGATCCCCAAGGCATTATGGACTCCGTCCAGAGGCTGTCAACCTTCTGTATATAGTTTGGTCGGAGATTTGAATACCCGCCGCCGAGACACGATGCGGTTGTCAACAAGAAGTTTTGATACATTGAGTATCCTCCGCTTTCTGCGCTATTGCTAATTTCATGAGGATCACTCGATACCGAGCCAGCTCTGCCTCCAGTTGAGCATTTTCCAGCCTGAGCAACTCGGACTCTTCTGCGTCAAGGTCAAGGATGGATGCGATTTCCGATTGGGTCAGATGTGACGTGGGAGGAGTTACGTTCCTCACGTATGGTATACGTGCTCGAAGTGGGAAAGTGGGAGAGCGGTCTTTGGGGATTGGCGGCGGATTCTCTTCAGTGGCGAAGTCGACAGGCGTAATATCAACGACAATTTGCCGCTCGGTGTTCGGGAATCCACTGATGTCGTGCTCAGTCGGCGTCGGTGCCCTGTCTTCCAAATCCTCTCCCTCAGTGGGAGTTGTTACATTCCTCACCGCGACCTCTGATGGACCTAGAAGCACGTGAGGTTGCACTTCGAAGGGGTCTCCATTGGTCAAGTCGGCAGGCTTATTGTCAGTGTCAGCGACAATGCTGTGCGAGGATCCAATGCTGTCCTGTTCTGTCGGCGTTGGTGCCCTGTCCTCGAAATCCTCTCTGTCCGTGGGAGTTGCTACATCCCTCGTGGCAGCCTCTGATGGATGGGAAAGGACGGGATGTGGCGCTACGTCTCGGCTAAAGCCCGCAGGCACAGTCTCAGCAACATCTTGCGGATTCCCTATGGATGGAACTCCAATGACATCGTGGTCTGTAGGCGTCGATGTTCTGTCCTCGAGAAACTCTTCAAGGAGTTGCCGCGGAGTCTTGGCACTGGTCAATTCAGGAGGCACTCCCTCAGCAACATCTTGCAGCCCTCTGATGGCTGCAACACCGATGATATCGTGATCTGTGGGCGTCCGCGCCCTGTCCTCGACACCCTCTGCTTGCTCTTGAGGTGAAAAAGGAGGTGTCACTTCAAGGTCTCGCTGTCGATCTTCTTCATTGCTCAATTCGGGAGGTATCCTCTCAGCAACATTCTGCGGCCCTCCGACGGATGCGATGCTGATGATATCGTGGTCTGTAGGCGTCGGAGCCCTGTCCTCGAACGCTTCCTCTTGTTGAGGGGCCGGTGGCTCTTCCGCGAGTTCCCGCGAAATCGCTTCACCGGTCAATCCGGGAGGCAGACTCTCGGATACATCTTGCGGCTCTCCGCCGATTGCCAATCCGATGATGATATCATGATCTGTAGGCGTTTGCGCCCTGTCCTCGGCGTCATCTTCGTCTTCGTTGGCATCACCTCCGTTGGTCTGATCGAGTTGCAGAGACTGCTGATGGTCACCTTCGGCATCACCAGCTTCTTCATGATAGTTTTCGACTCCTACATCATCGATAGGTACCTCCAGATCGTCTCCATCTCCCTTGTCGTCAACAGCTTTCTCTAGGTCGTCTTCACCCTCATCAGCGGCCTCGTCGCCTTCGTTCCCAAACATCGTTTCCCCAGATACTTCCCTAAGCTCTCCCGCATCCCTTTGATCATCCAAGATCTCCTCCACGGCCCCACTCTCGGCAACGACATCTTCAAGGTCACCTTCGCGTCCTTGGTCCTCGACGTTTCCGCCAATCTCGTGACCGTCTCCATCATCGGCAGTGAGCTGGGTTCCATCGCTTTGCTCATCAGCCAACTCATCCTCATCTTCTCCCGCCCCCGGATCACCAAGCACTTTGTTTTCTACCTCAATCTCCACGTGGTCGGCCGTCGCGTTCTCCCCTCCTTTGGCATCCGATGATGAAACGGCTATGGAAGCTTCTTGAGACGTTCTTGCGGAAGTTGCGTCATGAGCCTCGGCTGCAAACATCGGGAAAATGGGAAGCGCACGATGCGCCTCCACGTCTAAAGCTCTTTCGGCCGGCGAGGATGGGTCGTGATCAGTCGGCGTTGCCGAGTTGTCCTCGTCTTCTTCTTGAAATTGGTCTTCCTCTTCCTCGTCAGCGTCATCCTCATCTTCGCTCTCATCCTCATCTTCCGCGCCTTCGCCGGAATGGAAGCCTGCCGTAGCAACCTCTGTTGCGGAGCCGTTGCCGTCGCTCTCTGTAGATACTATTTCGGTGGCAAGGGTCGGTTCGCTTGGTCCGGTTTCCGGCTCTTTCACAATGTGAAGGCAAGCTTTATTCTCTTCCAAGCCCTCAATCTCATCCTCTTCCAAGCCTTCATCCTCCTCCGCTTCGAAGCCCTCCGTCACGCCCTCATCCTCATCCTCTTTCACGTTCTCATCTCGATCCTCATCCTCACCCACATCCCCTTCCTGGTCCAGATTCCCAGACACAACCTTATCAGGCTCCGCATCAAAACCGCCGTCCTCGATTTCGGAGACAGTCTCGCCAATGTCCACTGGTCGAGGAGCTATGTCGTCGCTCGCTTCGGTTTTCAACACTGGCGCCTTGCCGGACCATTTGCTGTCCACATCGTCTTCCGAGCGATGTTGCTCGGCTCCCGATTCTTGGTCGTCGTCGTCGGCGGAAGATAGCAGCGGTCCAATCGGTCCATGATCAATCTCAATACCGGCGATCAAATCCGCCGCGATTTTCGGATCAAAGGTCTCTCCAGCTGACGATTGCACCTTCTTCCCACATCCACTCTCCCCATCGCCAGCCTCAGACGCTCCCTGCATATCTCTACCTCCTTCCTCATTCACCTCACTCTCAACCGCAGCCGGCACCTCCACCCCATCACCAATATCAACATCCTCAACCCTCGGCACATAAAACGAAATCTCGCGCCACACACCTCTTCCTTTGCCCTCGGGCACGCTCACCGACGTCCTCGGCGGTAGGTAGTCCTTCGGCGACGCAGATACTGGTGACGGGGGGAGGGGTAACGGTCGCCTGGCCGATCTTCCAGTATACGAATGCGCCGATGTGGGTGTAGGTGTGGTCGGTGACGTCGCGACAGGCAAATGCGGAACGTAAAACGAGATCTGCTGCACTGTTCCGGGTGTCAATGGCGATAAAGGTGAGGTTGGGAGGGAGGTGTATGGTGATGGGTGGTACGGGGAGGGTGGGAGGGAGTGGTGGGAGAAGGCTGCTGAGAGTGGGGTGAGGTTGAAGGTAGATGATGTGGGGGAGATGGGAAGGTCGATTGTGATGCGGGGTGGGTAGCGGGAGCGAGGGTGGGGTTGCGGTTGGAGGGCAGACATTTTTGGGGTTCTTAGATCCAGAGAAGGTGGAGTAGAAACGTAGGGCGAAAAGCGTCTCGAAAAGTTTCGATGTTGTTTAAGGAAAGGGGTGACGAAAGGCGCGAACGAATGACGGTGAATTGACAGGGTACGCGTTACGTGTTCGAGTTGTTTACGACGGATCGCTCACGTCCTGCAATCATGCATCAGGCAAACGCTAGCTAGAGAACAGCCGATGTAGGTCCTGAAAAACAGTACTGCAATAGAACAGCAAAATGCATGGTCTGATATTGTCCTAGATGTAAACAGTGCACGCTAAAGTATGAAAAACGAAAAACTCGGAACCAGAGAAAAAGCGCGAAAAGCCCTTACTCCCTCGCATGCGCCCACTACCCCTATCAATGCCTCTTCTTATCCACAATGCTGATCAACTCACTCCTTAAGCGTCCCCTTTCCACCACAACCTCCCTCAACGTTTCCCGTCCTTCCACAATGGTAGCCCTTAACACTCTCCAAGTCCCCTTCAAGCTCTCCGACGCATGCCGTCTCAGATCCTCCGCTCTCGGAAACGGAAGACCAAAGATGAACGCCGCGATCGTGATGTACCATGACGCCAGTAGCGAGCTGTGGAAGACCGTTGGTGGGGGTGTTAAGGAGCCTGGAGCGATGGGGGCGCCGAGGATGTAGATTGTGAGGAGGAGCCACCAGATGGTGTAATTGATGGGCAGAGCGAGAAAGCAGCCGAAGATTTGGATTTGGGCTTTGGATTCTGGGAACTTTTCGCGAGCGTTGAAGAAGCTTAGGAGGAGGAGGGCGGGGAGGTGGAAGAGTGTGACTGTGCAAGGAGGATAGGTATCAGCAATGAACGTTCGAGATCGCCAAGCCAAGAAGGAGCCCCAATAGACTATCGGAACACTCACATGGCAGCTCATACAACATGGCGAGGATCGTGAAAACGAACTGCATCAAAAGATCGGTAGCGAGCGAGGACAGATTCCTGATACTTCCACTCTCCACATCAATGTCCTTCAATCCCAGCTTGGCCAACCGCGAAAAGTAGGCGGTTACGCGTGGGTTGAGACTGTCAAGAGCAGAATCGTTGGCCGCGGTTAAACTCGATGCGGCGCTGCCGACGGCAAGGTCTTGCCATCCCCTATCGTGGCCGACCGTCAACGCTTGAACACGAGCAGTAAAGTCCAAGGCTTCCCTGTTGTAACGAAGTAAGAGTTCATGTGAGCTTCCTGTTTCAGCTTCGAAGGTATCTACGTAGGTCGCTTCACCAGCAGGGCCGAAACATACCAGGTAGGCGCGTTGACAGTGAGAGCAGAAAGCGTCTCTTGCAGTCTTGCGGTCAATCTCTTTACTGCCGCTCGCTGATCGAGTTCAAACTCTTTTAAAAAGTCCGTGACCTCGATGGCCTTCCCGAAACTGATGTCGAGAGAAGTTCTTCAATATACAAGCCACAAGCCAGGAGCTTCGCATGAGCGAATCCATACCGAACATGCAGGCGGTTCCTCCACCGCCATTTCAACGGTTCGTAGGTGATGCCAACCGGAACGATAGGCGCATAGTTGGCAGGGTTGCCAACCGCCTTCGCATACTGCAATGCCGCCCATGAAGCGCCATCCTTCAGGTCGAACAACTTGGGAGTGTGATGACTAGTTCCTGTGGAGCACGTTTCAGCACTTTCGCTTGTGCAAAGGATGCCTTAGAGGAAGTCCTATCTCCCGGTCAAAAGCGTACCTTCTGGGAAAATGGCGATAACACCACCTCTGTTGATGAAAAAATGTGAGTTGAATTAGATCCACTAGTGTCAGCTTGTAGATGTTGCAACGCACCTGAGGAGGGTGGTGATCGTACTCTCAAAAAGATCATCATTCGACTCGTTCTTGCCAGACCGCGAGTTGCGCTTCACCGGCAAGCAACCCATCGCCGTCATGAACGCCGTCAGGCCAGGTAAGCCATGGAACAGCTCTGATTTCGTCCAGAAGTGCACTTTCCGAGGACATGTTTGCATCAAAGCACCGATGTCTGTGAAATGCGGTGACTAGTCAGACTTCTGCCACTGTAGGTAGTTTCTCCACCCCGTTGCACTCAAACCCACCAATGGCCATATTCCAGTGATTACTGATTCCGTAAGAGTCACAAGGTGAGCATGTTGTCAATGTACGAAGTTTACAACCAAGTCACTTACGCAGCCCTGTAAAGTGATGTTCGATAAGCATTGGAAGACGTGGGCAGGAACGTGGATGGTAGGATGGTTGTTTGGTTGAAACGATACCATGCTCGCTCCGCTCGCGACAAGGAGGTTGGCTGGTGTATGATCCGCAATCCTGGGCCTTCCGGCCCAGTTGAGCTCAATATCGCTTGTATTCTCCTTACTTCGCTCGGAACCCTCAAGCATTCCTCGCTTCGCTCGGTCCCCGCTTCCCTCGGGACTTCGGTTCAATTGGACTCGCTATTACTCCCATTCTCCTCGCTTTGCTCGGAACCCTCAAGCATCCCTGGGCCTCGATTTGCTCCGACTCCGGCCGAGTTAAACCTCCGTGTCGCTCGAGCGCTCCGCTCGCATCCTCGCTGCGACTTACATGATGCAACCCCTGTCCTGGGGCAAGTTTTCCACCCCTTGGACACTCGTCTCTCTGTAAAAAGCCTCCATTGCAAAGCAGACCCATGCGTTGACTATGCGGTAAACAAAGTTGTGTGGGCCCTTGAGCAGTGGCCGATCGTGCTCCGAGTGGGTGGTGTGGTCCACCGTCGGCTTGTTGGTAGAAGGCGACTCTTTGGCCGTAGAGGCCAACCCATCTGGGTTCGTCTGCGCCATGGTTCCAACCCTGCTCTGCCAAGAGAAGACGATGACGGGGTATCAGGTCAGCCGACTCTTCCACTGATATGAACAAAGCACGATGGCCGTAGGTTTGCAGTGAAGATCACGGGGTACACCCACCTGCAATGACGCCTAGAGGTTCGTTGCGTTCGTCGGTTGAGCTCGAGGACCCTGGGAGTTGGTCGCAAGCAGCGAATAGGCTCTTCTCCTCTCTGGTCGTAGGGTCTTCTTCGCAAGCCGCTCGCTCTGTTTGCAGAAAGGACAGCGATGGGGTTGCAGCTGACAGGGTTGATGCGTTCCCACGGGCGTCCCACCACCAGAATGACAGTGTGGCTTTCCGCCCCGTAATTTGATGAGCAGCGCGCTTAAACGGCGGATCTCGCTCTCTCCGCCAACCGGAGTCCGCAACTGATCATTGAAGAACATGTATAAACCACGCACACAGTCACGTGAGCGGATTAGATCTCCTCGCGCGTGTGTCACTGCGAGACAGACATGCGCAATGCCCAACCTGTGTAGGCTTGCTTTTTCCGGGCTGCATTTCCAACGAACACTATCACCTCAATTCAGACTCCACTGCGAAAATGGACTCAGCGTCTACCGCAAAAATGGAATCCGCCAGAACAGCATACGTCACTCGGAAGACGAACGAAACTGATGTCGACGTGTCGCTCGCTCTCTACCAGTTCGGTCCGCAAACCATACGAATCAACACAGGAATCGGGTTCTTGGACCACGTGAGTGTCGGCGGCGGAGAAGTGCAGAAGGAGGGGCCGGTGGATAGCGTGGATGGGTGTGACAGCCGCTGTGGTGCTTGCTGGATGTGGCCGACTTTGACGACGAAGGCTAGGGCGCGAACCGGTTGGCGGGGCAATGCGAAACGTGATTGCGTAAAAAAGGCAGCCAAGTTCATATCACCATTACAACAGCATGAGGCGGCCGAGAACAGTGTTTCGATGTTGAGGGGAGAGGTCCCTGGCGATGGGACAAGCCTCGCTTTCGCCGGTCCTGAATCCACACAGGCTCTCGAAAGTAGTCCTGTCCACTGACGCTTGCTCGTCATAGATGTTCCACGCCCTTGCAAAGCACGCCCGTTGGTCACTCGAAATAACCTGCAAAGGCGACCTCCACATCGACGACCACCACACCGCCGAAGACTGCGGCCTAGCGCTCGGCACCGCCTTCAAAGACGCGTTAGGCCCACCCGCTGGTATCAAACGCTACGGATCCGCGTATGCTCCCCTAGACGAGGCGCTATCGAGGGCTGTAGTGGATGTCTCGGGACGCCCGTTTGCGGTTGTGGAGCTGGGCCTGAAGAGGGAGAAGATTGGGGATTTGAGCTGTGAGATGATCCCGCACGTCATACAGAGTTTTGCGCAGGCGGCGGGATTGACGGTTCATGTGGATGTGTTGCGAGGTTTCAATGACCATCACAGGTGGGTTACTGAGTTCGGCCTGAGAACTATGTTGCCTGCTGCGCATTGAAGCTAATATATTACCCCTTGTTAGAGCGGAGTCGGCATTCAAAGCATTAGCAGTCGCACTTAGGGAGGCTCTATCACCGCTAGGATCGATAGATGATGTGCCGAGCACAAAGGGTACTCTAGCATAGACTAGTGGCGTGATCCTAGTACACGGCGTACACTCAACCACACTGCATAAAAGCATTCTGCCTGCAAATCACAATCAGTGATTTCCCCTCTTTCCAATGGATTTGCATCTAGTATTGTGTTGGGTACCCATTTTTGAGGGGAATCATGAATTATATAAGTGATGGCATGCTATTTACAATGCTGCTTGACTCTAAGACCTACGCGCGACAACCGAACTACGCCAAGCTCATTCGACCCCTGATACTACTCTCAATGCTATCCGCCAACGCCATATCCTTCTTGGCCACAATACTCGTAGCCCTCCCCGACCGCCCATTCCTCGCAGTCCTTCCCACCCGATGCAAGTAATCAATCGCAGTCTGCGGGAAATCATACAAGATCACATGCCCAACATTCACCGTGTCCAGTCCACGGGACGCAATATCCGTCGCGACGAGGATGATAGGCACGCGGTTGATCGTCTGCCGCTCAACATTCTCCACCTCCTTGAGACTCGCGAGCGGGTCGACGGCCGCCGCGAACCGCTTCAACGCCTTGGCCCTGAAACTGACATGCACATTCGACGAGATGTCCTGCACGTCATACTCCTTGCTCCGCAGCAAATTCGTCACGGCCTCGCAGCTCTTGCGCGTGTTGCAAAAAATGATGATGCGGTCGTCCATCAGGACCGCGCGTTTGAGGATGTCGAGCAACATGGTCTGCTTCACTGTGCCGTTCTCGATGCGGACGAAACGTTGGGTTAGGCCTGGGACGGTGCGGTGCACTGAGGGGGTGGCGATGCGGCGGTAGGTTGGGAAATGGCGTTCGAGAGTGCGGATTAAGGAGACGGGCACGGTGGCGGAGACAAAGACGGTTTGACAGCGCTGGTGTTGCTTGGTGCGCTGTTCCTCGGATAATCGAAGGATGCGTTCCAGGTCCGGTCCGAAATCTTCGTCGGTCATCGTGTCGGCTTCGTCAATCACAAGGAGTCGGGTTTGCGAAAAGGCAAACCCTTCTTTTGTGAGCAAGAAGTTCAACGACCCCGGCGTGGCGACCAACAGATCGACCGGCGCGTTAACGATCTTGGCCTCCATGTCGGACTTGGTGATCCCGGCGTGAGCACCGACTACACGGAGTCGAACTGAGTGACACATGGTTTTCGCAGTCTCGGTAACTTGCATCACCAACTCCCGAGATGGCACAACAATGACCGCCCTGGGTCTGCGGAGTTTGCGAATTTGTGATAGCCCCGCTGTTGCGCTGAAAGCCTGGCCATCGGTCGTCATAGCCTCCACAATGTCCAGCGCCGATTCTGACTCGGCAACCGCACGGACCGCATCCTCCTCTTGCTGTTTCAAGGTGTGAATGATGGGCAGCAGATATGCTCCAGTCTTGCCTCCACCCGTCTCTGCCGCGCATAAGATTGGTCCATCCTGGTCATTATTCAATATTTCTGGTATGCACAGCGCCTGTACGGTGGTCGGCCGCTTGTAACCTAGCTTCGACGTTGCCGTTTCCGCCACATCCGCTCGTAATCCCAGGGAATCGAAATTCAGCAGTCTTTTCATATGCGCCATCGAACGCCTTTCCGATTGATCCAACTCCGACTCTGTGCTCAGCTCAAACTTGGCAGCGTGGCGGGCACGTTTCTGCTCCATCGCTTCTCTATTTGCGAGCGCTTCAGCGCTGGTCAAGCGTTGTCGTACGAGTCTGCCGGATGGGCGAGACTGTGCTTCCGGGTCACCTTCCCTCCGCTTCCGCTGTGGCCCACTCCTTCCCGACGCCTGCCTCCCTTTTCCACCCGCGACTCCAGCATCCTTTTCGCTTCCTTCCTGACCCTGTGGGCGATTGAATTGCGCCAACCGCAGCCGCGGCGGCAGAGCAAGTTTGGGCAGCCGTTTCCGCATTTTCGAGTCCGGCTGGTTCGCACCGACCCGTTTGCTGGTTCGGGTTGAGTTGCCTTTTTTACTGCTGGGCTTCTGACGAGGATACTTGGTGGAAAATGTGAATTGACTCGACGTGCGAGACACTTTTGTTGCGTAGGTCGCTGCGGGACCGGCGAGCTTGAGGGCAGCTAGTCTGGGAGCCAAGTACAGGGGTGTGCTGGCGGCGCACACTGTCGTGCGGAATGCGACTTTCCGAGACAACGACCTCACGCAACGTTCGAGCCTCGCAGCTCTGCAAGCCGTGCTCGGCAGCATAATCGAGGGGCGTCACGACACAAGCCTTTGGTAATATAAAGTGACCCTGCGCTTCCACCTACTAGCGTCTCAACGTACTGTAACCAACGCTGCTGTCGTCGGTCCTGCTCGTAGGATGCTCTGGTGAACATTCGGGAAGTTGGGCGAGTTTTCCGTCGCGTTCAACCAGCGATTTCTTACCCTGTTTCCTAACAACCGCATTCCACATAAACAACAGCTCAGCAACAGCTCCAGGAGTCCAGACCGACTCCGGTTACATCGCTGGCTCCATCGGACGCAGTTTACTCCAACCTCGCCCAACGACCGTACCCTCTGCAGCTCCGCCCATGTCCAGCCGCCAGCAGTAGTGACATCCCCAGTCATTAGCGGGAAACCGACAACGAGCGTTCCTTAGCTTACTCCTCAATCAAGTGCACAGGTCACTCTTGTATTCAGCCATGTCGTCCACGACTCGGAAGCACCGTTCTCCTGGCGCCTGCAGTTCCATCGCGGGTTCGACGCCGCTAGTGCACTGTGAAGACGGCACGTGGCTTAGATTCTGGGGCTCTGAAGGGAAGCGGAAGGACAACACTCCTGCATCACCCGCAAAGTTTTATCCGTCGTCCACTGTACGAAACGGCTTGCGTTCTTGGAAACCTTGGCCGGTGGACAGCATGTATCGGTACGATTCATTGGACGACTGGTTTGAAGGCCGAAAGCAAGCCGTCCTCGCTCAGCACACCGGCTTATTCGGCTGCCCATCCGAGCAATAACTTCCCTTACCTCTACCTTCCCTCACACCACAACAAGCGCCTTCCTTGTTCGCTTGGATGAAGGTCTCGCAATCATGTCGTGCCTGCGTGGGGCTGGATGAGAGCTTTACTGTACGCGCGGGATCGAACACTAACACTTTTCTCAACTCGCATATCACGATTTGTGTCACTCACCCCCGGTCAACAAATGAACCTCGCGGTTCGAGCGCATTTGAAAAACCCGAAAGAGATCAATGTGCGAGAGGTGGGTCAGGGGCAGCAATTCAGGCGACCCGAGGTGGTTGCGGGACACCAGATGTTGGGTAGCGTCTGGCTGGTGTCCCGCAACTATGTCAAACCTGTCACTTAGTGTCCGTAGTCCCCTCTCCGACATTGCATCCTGGTCGCCGGATCTTGCGGCGTGCCCAGGGAAAAAACTGTGAATTCTGGACGTAAGGAGCGGATTGCCGGAGTACGTGGCCCAAACAATAGTCATTAGTCCTAATTGGTTCTTTGTCGAAAGTTCCTCCTGAGACATGTTGAAATCCTACATACTGCGGGAAGCTGCTGGCCTAAATGCAGACCCTCTCATGTCGTTTACATCAGTGCTGCCCGTCTCGCATCACGGGAACGACTTGAGAACAGGTGTGCAGCCGATTGTAGTTCGCACCGCGAATAAATCGACCAAGGACACGTGACTGCGGTGGGGTGTGGATGACAAACGTACTGAGCTTTACCTCCTTCACCTTTTCTTTCCCTTTTCTGCAACCCATTCCTTTCCCACGCACTGATCCGCAAATCGTAGACCTGTTTAAAAAGTGGAGGAGTTATATACGGAAGGCATCAAGATATACCCTTCTCTACCGTCTTCACCGCCGTTAGCCGGTCTGCGTCCAACTGTCCGACGAATCGCCAACTTACGCAAGTCCAGAAGACAAGAGCTAGTATATGAATCAATGGACCCCAGGCAAGACGACGATCATGAACAAGACGTTGATCCTACTCAACGCGGTCGGCCTACGGCCAGCTCTCAGATTCAGGCTGCTACCTCCCTCGGAGCGAAACGGCCGGCCGGGAAAGGCAATCAGGGCACCAGAGGAACTGCTAGAACGACCCCAGCCGATTCCGGGTCGGAGGCGCTTCCCGCTGAACAACCTGCTTCCACCATTTTCAAACCTGCTTCCGCTGATCAACTCGCCCAAGATTTGCTGGACGCTGAAGAACTACGTCAACTACACAACCAACCAGGTGGCGACGACTCGGAAGCGGAGCACATTGAGCGTGAGAAAATTGAACGAATCGAACGAGCTTTCTTCCAGCGACTTCGCGATCAAGGGCTTATACTGTTATGAATGGGCGGAGCCGATGGAAATAGAGGCGACTTGTGGTGCAGGTTGTTGACAGGTAATGGTATTCAGACCGAAACGAGAACTAGAACAAGACTAGGAAGAACTGGTGTTGATCTGCTGGGGGATCAGGAAGTGGGGAGCTCAGGGGAGGCGGCTATTTATGTTTTTCTGGGAAGGCTGGGGAAGCGTGGGGAAGCAGAAGGGTACGGAATGAGAGGGAAGCCAAGAGAAGCGCCAAGGGTGGGGGAAGCATAGAAACAGAAGACTGGGGATGGGGTGGCTACGCTGAGGCTGTGGGCGGGTACGTGGGGAAGTATGGAGAAGCGTTTGTAAGCGCCGAGTGTTGGGAGGTGTGGCTACGTGCGGCTGCGTGGAGAAATGAAGGCAGTGGCAGGTGTGGGGTAGCGCGGCTGCGTGCGGCTGCGAGGTTTGGCAGATGTCAGGTTTTGACAGGGAATTGACATTGACTGACTGTTGGGATGCTGTCATGAGGTAAGCGCATGGTATGGACGCGTCGTCCATAACATCACCCCCTCCTTTAGCCACGGCGTCCGGATGTTGTTTTGATGTTGGCAGGCTTTGGTCGGGGTTTGTCGGGGTACTTTTGGTGGAACTGGGCAACAAGCTCTTGACGGCGGGCAAGGTGTTCCACTGGCTCCCATGTGTTCTCCGAGCTTGGCCAACCCTGCCACTTGATGAGGTACTGAAGGTGCGTGCGTCGAATACGGGAGTCAAGAATGTCTTCCACAATCCATTCCTCCTGTCCTTCGACTTCCTCTGGTGGGGTGGGTTCTGGCTCAGTTCGCTCCGGAATGGTGAAACGTGGTTCAAGAAGGGAGACATGGAAGACGTTGTGAATTTTGTAGGATGGGGGAAGCTTGAGGCGATATGTGACCGAGTTGATCTTCTCCGTGATTGTGAAGGGGCCAATCTTACGGTGATCAAGTTTCTGGGAAGGTCGGAGAGTCTTGAGATTCCGCTGTAAGAGCCAGACACTGTCCCCGGGTTTCATGTCTGGGCCAGGTGCCCTCTTAGCATCGGCAAAGCGCTTCATGCGTCCTTGGGCCTCCTTGAGCTCAGTGGCGAGCTGTTCATGGATTTCCTTGAGATGGTTGGCACGAGCTTCGGCTGCAGGATTAAGGGATTCGGTTGTGGTGGCGGAAGCCAGACTGAATCGAGGATGGAACCCATAGTTGGCGTAGAAGGGGGTTGTCTGGGTGGCGGAGTGGATGGTGTTGTTGTAAGAGAACTCAGCAGAAAACAAGAGTTCCTTCCAGTTATCTTGTTGATAGTTGCAAAAGCAGCGAAGGTATTGCTCAAGAATCTGATTGGTCCGCTCGGTTTGTCCATCGCTCTGGGGATGGAACGCCGATGAGAGGTTGACCTTGGTTCCCAGGAGAGCGAAGAGACGTTTCCAGAAGTGGGAGTTGAACTGTGGGCCACGGTCAGATACAATATCGTCGGGGAGTCCATGGAGCCGGATGACATGGTGCCAGATCAGATCTGCAGTTGACTCAGCGGTGGCAGTTTTCCTGCACGGTACAAAGTGCGCCATCTTGGTGAACCGGCAGATGACAACGAGCACAGAATCAACCCCATCACTGGCGGGTAGATCCGTGATGAAGTCCATAGAAATTGACCCCCAGGGGCGGTCAGGGACCTGCAGGGGTTGGAGGAGTCCGTAGGGCTTGTGTCTGCTGGTCTTGGCTTGAGCACATACGTCACAGGACCTGATGTAGGACTTGACAAAACGCCACTGGCTAGGCCACCAGTAGTGCGAGTAGATGAGCTCCAGGGTCTTTGACATGCCGTAGTGTCCTGCCAAACGCGTGTCATGCATGTCCCGGCAGATCTCAGCACGGAGCTTGTTGGTGGGGACGTAGACAAGGTTGTCGTACAGCAGAACCCCATTTTCCTCGGAGAATCGCTTTATCCGTTCTTGGTCTTCTTGAGATTGCTGGGCAATGGGGGCCCTAAGCTGTCGCCGGATGGTTTGCGCAAACACATCGGATGCCAGGGCAGCTTTGATTTGGTCAAGGAGCGAGGAGTCCAGTGGGGTCAGATAAGTGGCGGCCAGGCGGAGATGGTCAGGGGTGAGGATCGTGGTTTCCTGGGAGCGGAATGCTTCTTCCCCCTCCCTTAGCTCGTATTCAGAGCGACGAGAGAGGGCGTCAGCTTGGTGTTGCTGGGTACCAGGGCGGTATGTGATGACAAAGTCGAAATCAGCAAAGAAGATTGACCAGCGGGATTGGCGGCGGTTGAGGGTCCGGGTAGTCATGAAGTACTGGAGGTTCTTGTGGTCACAGTAAACGATGACCTTGTGGCGGGCACCAATGAGGTGGTGTCGCCATTGAGCAAATGAGTCTTGGATAGCCAG